GAGAAAATTCTATTGTTTTGCTCATAACTTTGCAAGCATATAACTAAGTATTAGCTTGAATTTCTTATTTAAGGAACAATATGATTATTATATCTATAGTCTTTTAAACTTTTAAAGTATTAGTGGATATTTTAAATAAAACTGTCTTTTCGGATTTTTTCGCGAATTTATTTTGATTTTTGGTTCCCGACGTTTCGAATGCTTTATATCAATCATGGTCACGGGAGAGACTCAGGTGTTAGATGTCTCTAAGGTATTATATAGTTGTCACAGACAGCCTACCCACAATTAACAAAATGAATCCAAAAAATTGTAAAATGGCACCAAAGTACCTTACAATATTTTAACTTTTAAAATTATTATTTTTAATTAATCTTAACTTTTTCAAATTACACATAGATCAATTATGTGACCTTAATAATTAATACATTATGATTTTTCTTTATAGTTATAAATATAATAATGGCAACACTAAAAAAATGTAGATTACTAAGGGGGTGTCCATTAATCACGTGATCTTTTTTTAGCATTTTTTAACCCCCCCTCCCCCATTGGTGATACGTAGTGAGGTTTAAGACCACCCCCCCTCCCCCTTCTCAACATCACGTGTATTTTTAGTACCTACAACGAATCTTAAAATTTTCTGAATATTATCTTAATTTAAATACAGGTATAAACTATAATCTTATTTTATTCTGAAATTAAGGACCATAATAAAAATGTCTACACCAGGTTGCAAGTTTTTTTTCATTGCCATAACAATAATAATAAACGAAGAGTGTAATCATAGGAAAAACAAGTATTGTACTAGTACATGAATATATTTAATGTATATTGTCCTCGGACCACGGATTAGCAAGACATTCTTCAACACTAACAACTGGATAAGCGTCTTGCAGGTGTTTGACGAAAAAATAAATACACGAGATATCTTACTACACCCCCCCCCCCCTCCCCCTTGTGTTATTTTCGTGATTTTTATCAAACCCCTCCCCCCCCTTTCAAGCCTCACGTGATTAATGGACAACCCCTAATTAATACGTTTTAAAATTGTAATAATTATAATAATATCAGCTCAAATTAAATAAATAATATTCCATATTCAATTATAAAACAAATTAAAATTATATAAAAATGTTTAAAGTTAAAAGTTAAAATATTGTAAGGTACTTTGGTGCCATTTTACAATTTTTTTTCATTTTGTTAATTGTGTGTAGGCTGTCTGTAACAACTATAAAATACCTTAGAGACATCTAACACCATAGATTATACACTTATATACTGGCATCTAACACCTCAGTAGGTACCCTACCCCAGCCTGCAAATTTATGATATTCGCAATGAAAAAAATACTAATCGATAGATTTTTAATAGCTCAATTCAACTACGTAGCCCTTCCAAATTGCTCACCATTAATTATAAAATTAAAAATCAATAAAGTCCTTGAAAAAAAATTCATTTATCCGTATATTCAAACTCCTATATCTTTTGATGTATACAATATTTCAAATTGCTCAAAGTTCTAAAACACTGCTCAAGTTGCATTTGTAATTGCTCAAGTAGAGTTCTCACCAGCTCCACTTTCCTTAATTATTAAATAAATATATATTGTTTGAATAAATTTAACGTATAGATAGGTGAGTGCTGCGCATGCGCGCAAACAGCAGTATTATTAAATTATTGATTGCTGATCGGAGTTCAAAATTCCTTTATATTAAAGGCAGTTTATATTCATGCAGTTTGTTTCTTTGAAATAAAAATGTCATTAAACTATATGTATATTTAAAAATAAAAAAAGTTCCGTCTTGTATTGATGTTAATAACATTTTACTAATGATCCCTGTCATGGCTATTACCTTAATAGAATAAGCATTTGAACATAAGATTTTGTCTTAATTTATCTGTTGGTATTAATTTTCATTTATTGGTAGATTCCAGATCTGTTCTTTATGTTATAATATCTGAAGTGGAATCACGTAATGTGAACAATTCATAAATTCAATAAATTTAAAGAAATCCACCGAGAAACAGAATTAAGACGTTGAATTGAAACGATTGTCCAAGCCCGCCGAGGCCGACCGACAATGCGCGGTGCGCATGCGCACGCTCACTTAACCTACGTTACATTTATTACAACTATACTTTTAATTATTTAATAATCAGCGAAAGTGGAGCTGGTAAAAACTCTACTTGAGCAATTACAAATGCAACTTGAGCAGTGTTTTAGAACTTTGAGCAATTTGAAATATTGTATAGATCAAAAGATATAGGAGTTTGAATATACGGATAAATGAATTTTTTTTCAAGGACTTTATTGATTTTTAATTAAATAATTAAAGGTGAGCAATTTGAAAGGGCTACGTAGTTAAATTGAGCTATTGAAAATCTATCGATTAGTATTTTTTTCATTGCAAATATCATAAATTTGCAGGCTGGGGTAGGGTAGGTCACCTCAGTCTCTCCCGTGACCATGATTGCTGTAAAGCATTCGAAACGTCGGGAACTAAAAAACAAAATAAATTCGCGAAAAAATCCGAAAAGATAGTCTTATTTAAAATGTCAAGTATTCGCGTAAATCTAAGAAAGTATTATTAGTGGATAGTTTAAATTCTTTAAGAATAAATACTAATTAACGATTTTCAATTTTTTTCTTTGCTTCTTGCCTAGTGTGATTTTAAGTCAAAATAAATTTTTAATTACCTACATAATATGTATTTTGAAAATTACATACTGTATTTTTTATTGCCTTGCCATGATAGCTTTATTTTTTTTAAACTCCAGGAAACAGTAGAATTAGGGCTATTATTAGTTTCAACTAGATAGTTGGACAAAGTTCCAGGTAAATAGGGTCTTGACAGACAAAAAACGATGTGATCGTATAATAAGGGTTCCTACAGAATCCTATTACTAAGCCTCGGCTGTCCGGCTGTAAGATGACTATCTCATGAACCGCAATAGGTAGAGAGTTAAAATTTTCACAGAGTATCTATAGCCGCTAGGTAAATAATTAAAAACACAAGAAACATTTTTTAACGTTCTTAATCGATCATCGTAATTAATATACTAAATTCCAAATTGCACTAAACCGAACATTCGGCCGAATACAAACACAAAAAAAGCGCCGAACATAGCGAATACGAATATTCGACCGAACATTCGGCGCATCTCTGATAAATACATATATCATGTAAAAGTCATATTGATAATAAAAAATCGGTCAAGTGCGAGGCGATTTCGCACACGAAGGATTCTTTTTATTGACTTTTATACTTTACAGTTCATGAGATACAGATCTCTGACAGACAGACGGACAGCGGAAGCTTAGTAATAGGTTCCGATTGCACCCTTCGGGTGCGGAACCCTAAGAAGTAAGTGTACGATGTTAAGGAACCCTTCGTGTGCGAAATCGACTCGTACTCGTTTCCTTTTCAGATAAGGAAGAATAAAAATAAGAAACAATTATCATATCACTCCCTAGGGTTTTGGCTAAAGATAAAACGTAGATGAAATTTAAGTTTGTTCTATATTTGAAGTAATAACCGAATGCTGCGTTAATATTATCGTAGTAATTAACTCAGTCTAAACACTAATGTAATTGGTTGTTAGGTGTTGCGCTCACTATGCCAAGATTTCGACTGCGTCCAGATTCTTAATAATTTTTGACTGTAAATTTTCAAGATATACTATGTGATTTTGTGTACAAGCCATTTTAAATGTAAAATAAGCGGTTAGAATACCTAACAAAAACAAAAAAATAGTATAAAAATATTTATTAATCATTCAACTTATGGTACTTTGTTGGTTTTAAAACATCTAAAAATCTATAAGGTAATAATTTAATTAGCTTTACCCACTCGTTTGATACAAATTCCCTGAATAAAGTAACGTCCCATTAAAAAATATGAAATACAATTATGCATTTGGTATAACATGAATAACATATCCAGTTTCCATTAAAAATTACGAATTAAGGACACTTGGGTGGTAAATTTCATTAAACTTTTTTCCATTATCCAGTGCGACGTTTACCTGTTTTTCCAATAAAGCAAATAAACATGTATAACGCGGCTACGCAGTAATTCCAGCATTATTAGTCTTGATTTTTTATTACATTTTGTTCTTCTTTGCCGTCCCGAAAAAGAGTTTCTTCTTCTTTTTCTAACTTAGAAGCTTATAACATTAAATAAAATCTAGTTTGGTGAAATTGACTTTTTCTCCATTAAAGCAACAGATGTCGGCCGAAAAATTTTGTTGAATGTTCAATCAGCACCCTGGCTGTCCAGAATATGCGGTTTAATGCTGTTAGCGTTTTTTTTTAAATTTAAGGTTTATGTCGAGTAGAGTCCTCTGTCAATAAAATTCAGCCATATGTACCTATATAAAGCTTAAGAGAAATTTTAACAAAACAATACGTAAGTAAGCTGAGCCGAGAAAAAAATTAAACCTAAATATTTTAACACTATGCTATATCGTACATACAATGTACATAACCCTCTATAAATAGACGAAAAAATTCCAATTTGAAATATATAATTTGTGAATTTTGGCGCATTCTATATCTTACATATATCTAAACAAATATAAATTATATTGTAGGTAGGTACCTAATGTACCCACAAGTAAATCTAAGGACACTCAATCGCCAAGCGTTGGCAAAATCTAGTTTATTAACGAATTAAAACTAAGGGAACTGAAAACTTTTTTGTTTAAGTGTCTCTTTATAATCTAACAAAAATTATATAATTGTGATATCACCTGACTCTGAATTTAAATTCTCACGCGCCACGTGTCATCTTTGTATTTTCATCAAATCAATCAAAATGACCGTATCGCGATAATCAATATGCGTGTACAGTTGTACCAACTGTTTGGTACTGATTGCTCACACGATATTAAGTAGTAACATTTAGATTCGATATTGTAGATTTACTCTAAATCAATTTAATTAAATTATTCCCGAACTTGACATAAATTTTTTCTATGTTTACCTAATCTCTTCATTCTTCGCGTGGATCAGTTTTAGAATTTTCCTCCGATTTAAACCTGAAATTAATAAACTGCTGTTCAGATTCAACAACCCCATCAATATGTATTTTTATTATAATCTATGTTTATGCATAAGCCCTGTAACATAAATGTATTACTAGTGGCAATAGCAGCATCTACGCATTTTTGTGTTCACTTTCATTTGAAGCGGTCGCACCTTTCAAACTATAACATGTTGTTACAGCAATTTGTGTTTATAGATATGATATAATTCTTCTCCAAACGTTCATAAAACCAATCAAATTGTAAAACATAACATTTTATAAAAACTATATTGATGTGGAAAAAATCCATTTTATTTAACATTTTAAAGAAATAATAATCAAGTAATTAATCTATATTATGTGCTGGCATTATTAAAGCATAGGTACGTTTCCTAGAAAAACACCTTTGTAACTAAATATTTATATAAAAGCTATTAAGTATATATTATAAAAATATCAAATAATAAAGCCCATAATATTTTATATTATAAATTATTGTATATTATTTATTTAATATTATAAAAAACAACAGATTAAATCAATTGAAATACTATTAAAACGTTTGGAATATTTTAATAGAATAAGTAAAAATGTTAACATTAAGGTTTATAATAAATATCATGTGTTTTACATTCAATAACTGTTCAAATTAGTATTGCGGATAAATAATAGCATCGAGGGAAAGGGGGTATCTTCCAAACAGTAAGAAGAGAACAAAGTATATGTGGTTTATTGAGTTAATAAACACAATATAATATGCGTATCAAGCGTGACGTAAACATGCTGTACACATATACACGTGACATCATACAAGTGTTAAACAAAAGTACAATATTAACAAATTACTTTAGATTAAATAAACACATAATACAACTTTACTTATAGGACATCTAATGTTATATTTATGTGAGTGTCACTCAGCAGAGCCAATACTGACACAAAGATGGCGTCGATTAATTGTTAACAAACATTACACACAAATAATAATCATTAGACACTAAGAAATAAGTGAATTGTTAATAACAAATGCACGACAACCCTCCTCAGAACTGGAATTGTGGGAACAAATTGTTATATGTACGTAAAGTAAGCGTTATTTGTGTGCGACGTACATACATAGAGATCGTATACCTCGTCAACTGTGTTTACATTAGTTTAATAAGAAAATTCAAAACTAGTCGGAGGATCACTGTAGAAATTTTTTAAAACTGTTACATAATCATAATAAATTAACCCTAAATAGACTTATTTACGCGCTTATTTATTGTTAATGTCTGTGATACAATAATGTACAACTGAAATGTATGGAGATTGACAACTTCTGTGATGCGTATACACGAAACAATATAGTCACATTGTCGATGTATACATTGTATTAAAAATATCTCTTTCAGATTTCCTTCATTCTACTTATAATTAACTTAAATTTAATTTCGATAATTATCGATATAAATGTTAAAAATATAACGAACATACATATTTAGAATTAGAAAGAGAACGCCATGTCTCTTGACGTGTCCACTACACCTAGTATGTTGTAAACATTTAATTTAGCATATACATATACATAATATACAATACACTAAAAGTACCTACTAGACGCTAGTCACTACTCTGTAAGCTCATATCCCATCAAAAACAAATGTGAAAATGGGAACAAAGTTCAATATTAAGAATATGCGTGGTTGTTAACTTCACCGACAAAAGAATTGAGATCTAAATGGGTGCCAAGTTTTCCTGAGTTTTTCATAACAACATACAACATTCTAAAATAAATTTAAAACACAAGTTCTTGTTTTTTTTCTGATACAAAAGTGTTTGCTATTTAAAAATAGAACTTAACTGTCCGCAAAATAGACACAATAGTTAAACAATCGAAATGTTCATATATGACTCATGGGACAGGGAAATGGTTAAATTTGAACTGTCGAATTATTTACACAGAGTAGATAACTTAGGATAAATTAACGTTCAAGATTTGACTTGGCTAGTTTTTAACAGCCAAGCAAGTTTTTAGAAGAGTGAGACATGTTGACCTAACAATATAAAAACAGTAACTTGCGCATAGCATAAAGAAGATATAAGATAACTTGTATGTAAAAACTAGCCAAGTCAAATCTTGAACTTCAATTTATCCTAAGTTATCCACTCTGTGTAAATAATTCGACTGTTCAAATTTGAGAAGTTCTATTTTTAAATAGGAAACACTTTTGTAGCGGGAAAAAACACGAAAATGTACTTTAAATTTATTTTAGAATGTTGTATGTTCTTATGAAAAAAACTCAGGATTATCTACAGGACTTGGCACCCATTTAGATCTCAATTCTTTTGTCGGTGAAGTTGACAACCACGCATATTCTTAATATTGAACTTGGCTCCCCTTTTCACATTTATGTTTTTGATGGGATATCATGACTTTTTGTAAAGAAACAATTATTATTCATAATTAAAAAGTGACATGTAAATTCAATCTTTTTTTCATAATTTTGCGACTATTCGTTAGTGGATAAGGCGGAATAGGAAAATGTTATTTAATCATTATGGAACCTTTTCCCCTGAGAAAGAAAAAGTTTTTTCTATTACTATGATTGCTATTGCATTTCAAAAGGCACTAGATTTTAAGCTATTGCTATTATGTTTTGTAAGGCGCAAGGTGTTAATGTTTTTTTAATTTCAAAAATTTACTGTTTTCGTATTTTTCCCTTTGTATGCACACGATTACCTATCTGGACACCCAATTTCAACTTTTTAGGTCATCTGGAAGTGGTTTAGGTTTTATTACTATATGTCAGTCAGTCAGTGATAAAAATGCCTATTTTTAGGCGTTAATATCTCAATAACCGTTTGAGCTGTATTTATGAAATTGGGGATTCTAGTTAATCTAAGGAATTTAATAAATGAACCAAATTTCATGAGTTTATCTTCAATGGTTTTTGAGTTATTACGAGGTGAAAAGTAGCTAAAAATGGTTCGTGTAAAATGTACACTCAGTGTCGCCAGTTCCTTTGGCTTGAACTTGGCTGGACACACTACCGCGTGTCTTGATTGACTTACATTTGTAAAGTTTTTGTAAATTACTGGTAGTAATTGTTCACCGATCGAATGTAAACATTCAATCAGCGAGATAATGTCATGTCGTATGGACAAAATAAAAAAAAACTTACACTAAAATCATACAAAATAAAATTTATTTGTCTATCAAAAGAACGGACAAAAATGTCCAAAACTTTATATAATAATTTAAAGTGATAATAGACACTTAGCTATCATATAATTAGAATGTGTTGATATACTTGAATGTGGTGGCAGTCGTAGCGGCTGTCGCAAGCGGCATGGGTGAAACAGTCCTTTAATATAGGTATACGAGTCCAACGGACCAATGCGTATGGTATATAAATATCCAATGCTTATTAGAATGATAATGTAAAGGTATTATTTCATTATTTCATACAATAATTGAGTAAAAATACAAGAAATAATTTATAAATTCTAATAGAGTAAGTGATTTCGAATACAAATGCAATTGGAACGTTCACATCGCGTATAAAATATCGCTGTGTATATTCCTTCCTAAACTAAATGACATAAGAACAGTAATTGACATCTAGAAAGGTGGGCAGTTTAGTGCATGAAGATTCACATATATGACGAAGTGCTTGTTTATTTAAAACTGGCATTATGTATGTTAAACTAGAAGGAGCCAGTGTCATACATTAAAAATATACATGAGAAACCGAGTTCAATATTTCTATAGACAATATCTAAACGTCCATAATTCCATAATGTCAGTATGAAAATATGTATTTGACCTATCACTATAACAGTTGCCTCCATGTTAACAAACGTGTTATAATAAAGAATTAAACAATCGACAGAACGCATAAACTTAAAATTAGACAAGTCTATAAACAAAAACAGCTACTCAACAATCTCGACTATATCTATTGAAAGAAAATTTCGTTAAATCAAATGTATGGATGTGTGTAAAAATATTTTAAATAAATCCTTTGATATAAATTTGTATATGGTATAAAACTGAGGGGTGTAAAGTCGACAGCGCCCTCAACACCGACGCGGACAGATCTATACACACTACTGGAAGCAACTCGCAGACATTTATATGCCACGGGATATATCATTAGGTAAAATATAAATACGATGTATTACAACAAAGTGCAATAAATTTCTTAATTTTAATTTGATGTCATATATTGTAATATTGAATTTTATTGTACAGTATTTTTTTCTTTTTCTCTATTTTTTTTAATAAATTGATTTAAGCATTACAATAAATATAAAAAATATTACAATTTAGATATTATTTTAATAAAACCATAAATCATCATTTTTTTCATTTCTCTAAATTAATTCAATTCTGTTATTAATGGCTTCAAAGCGTGCCAGTTGAGCACAGATCACTTCGCCAATGTCATGTTGAATGGTAAAGGCACGAAGGAGATTAGTGAGTAAAATAAGATTATTATTAAACTATATTAATTATAAACAGTTAAAAAATCTCTAAATTAAACCGCCGAAATTTAAACAACAATAAAAGCCTTTGTTGTCAAATTGTGTCAGTCAATCGTCGAGTCGATAATATAATAAATATCGAGTCTACAATTAAGATGTTTATTAAATAAAAACATGACATTTATTACGTAATCCATGTACTTTACTTTAAAATAAATTTATTGTTAAAACTTCATAATTCAAAACATCTGTTTCACAGCTTTCTTTCTTAGTGAACTTGAAAGACTACAAAAACAGTTCCTATCACATTCATTTAGGAACCCTTATGATATTAGGCAGCCATAATTGTCAAATATATAAAAATAATAAAACAAAATAAAAATAATAATATCAGTAATATAAAATTTTGCCGATTAATGTTTAGTACCCGGTGGGATAGTACTGATATACTACGATACAACACAATAATCGCTGATAATATACAATTTTCATTATGCAGTACGGTGCATTAATTGTACACTTGACAGACTATTATTGCATTTAAGTATTATTGATTGCACTTTGTTGTGTCACGTCGTATACAGAGTGTATTATTTTGAACAATAATTATTTATTAAAAAACTGTCAAAATATGCAACATCAAAAGTTAATAGAAACAAGTTATTATACGTTGCTCTCGATAGTGTACCTGTCAGCGTTCACTGTCGTATCATGTACGTGTTGGTGTATATGTATAAAGGGTTGGAAAATTAATGTTTAACGTATGTGTAAATGACGATGCCGGCTAGAATGAAGCCGAATGTGATGGTAAGTGGCTTGTATAGTGACCTCTTGAGTGCGTGCCACCGCTCCGCGTCGCGTGCGCGCTTCTTCATGCCGGAGACGCGGTCGGCCAGCTCGCGCGTGCGCCGCCGCCGCAGCGTCTCCACCGGCTCGCCGCTCGCACTGCCACTGGCACATCGGAATACACAATACATAATACAAATATTATACTTTCTTATATATACTAATATTATAAATGTGAAAGTGTGTCATTTGTCCTTTTTTTACGTTGAAACGGAGAGACTGAATAGCGTGATTTTTTGTGTGGAGATAGTTCAAAGGCTGGAAAATAACATAGGCTGCTTTTTACCGCGGAAGATTATCTCATTCCCACGGGAAAACATGTTATAATAGAACCAAAAAAATAATATTTATGATCAGAATTACTTGAAACTTGTTATTAATGCTCTTCAATACCATTAAATAAATAAGGTTTTTAGCATTTTTTCAAAATTCATCCCAAAAAAGGGTAAAATAGAAGATGAAAGTTTGTATGAAATCTACCTTTAGTTTTTTTTTTATTTTAGCGCGAGCGAAGCCGCGAGTTCTGCTTGTTAACCGACTTCCAAAAACGAAGAGGTTCTCAATTCGTCGGAATCTTTTTTTTTATGTATGTTCAGCGATTACTCGAAGACGGCTGACCCGATTTGGAAAATTTTTGTTTTGTTTCAAAGGGTATACTTCCCAGGTGGTCCCATATAAATTTTATCGAAATCGGTTGAGCGGTTTTTTAAAAAATCTACGATAAATATATTTTTTTAAATAAATTGCTTAATCGAATATGTTATTAAAAAATTTTCTTCTTACAAATTACCTGCTTATTACGTCTACACTAAAAATGGACAAATAAAAACATTTTACCAAAAAATAAAAACCGACTGCCAGGCACTAAAATGTAAAAAATAACTAAAAGGAGGTTTTCATTTAGAATAGATACCTAATCAGATATTTTCGAAGTCGGTGCCAGCCGATGCAAAGCAAATCTAACACATTTCGATATGATCTTAGAATATTGTAGGCTTTTAGTGCCTGGAAGTCGGTTTTCATTTTTTGGTAAAAAGTTTTTTTTAAATAAAAATATCTTTTCGGATTTTTTCCGCAAATTAATTTTGATTTCATTCCCCGACGTTTCGAATGCATTACAGCAATTAAAATATTCGAAACATTGTATATGGTGGTATACGACGTTTACTATAGCATGGTGGTTTAGTGTGTATTATAAAGAATTGAAGAAAGAGAATTGTAAAGCAGTAAGAAGAAGTGAATTGTAAAGCATTCGAAATGCCGGGAACCAAAAATCAAAATAAATTAGCCAAAATATCCGAAAAGATGGTTTTATTTAAAATACAAATATTACTTTATTAGTTTGTATAAATATACTAACGTGTATTTCGTTAACATTATAATTTTTATTTGACTACTATTATAACTGCTAAGTACCTGCGAATGTGTGTGTGTATGTGTTCACGTTGAAACGGCTTGATGAATTGGAATAAAATTTAGTATAATAAACTATAACCTGCAGTAACATATAGCCTATATGGCAGCAGGGGCGAACCCGAAACGAAATTAAGTCGCCGAGTCGTGAGCCGATTGAGCTGCAGTGACACATGCCCATGCCATGTTTGGCTAGTATTACATATTAATATTCAATTCGATTAATAATGCTAACACTTTACACTATCTAACAGCAATTAAATGTAGTGCAAGAGACTTTAATTCATAAAGTTAACTTTTACTGTATAAAGATCCCATAAAGTAAACCGTTTTCATACTCCTTTTACAAGAATAGGATTTAATAATTATTACATATTTTAATTTAAGTTTAAAAATAAAATTTATCAATAACGTTTGTGTGAAATATATTACTTAAGCGAAAAGTACATATTGATTCCATTTCGTTAAACGCGAAACTATGTGTCAATTTATAAACGCATTCTTATTATGTCAGGGACATTCAGGTTATATTTATGATTTTATATTTTACATACATTACTGGTGTAAAGATATCAATATAATTATTAAAGAAATGAAAAAATCAGAGTTCGAGAAATATTTATAAAGTATATGACATGTTACCTCTCATTGAGTGCCGGTTCTTCATCCTCGTCGTCCGCGGAAGAAGCGGGTGAGTACGCGTCGCGAGCGGGCGGCGTCGGCGGGCCTTCGTCAGAGCTAGAGCTCTCTGGGCAAGCATAGTTTAGGTTCCCTGTGAATAAACATAAATATTTTTAATTTTAATTAAATTGAAACAATAAAAGCCGTTGTTGTAAAATTCCTGTAAAATCAGCAGAATCATAATGTGTGCAAAAAATTGATAAGTTAATACATTGTTAATTGTACAATGAAACGCAGTCCGCAGTGATTGTGAATTATGCAAAAAATATAATAAATAATTAACAAATAAATCGAAATGTTATTTATTTAACTTTTGTGAAATCCAAAACATTTCCAAAACAAACTAAATAAATTAACTCCATACCATTTTATTCGTAAATTTTACCTTTCGAACATAAAATAATTCGTATAATTTCCAAATATAAAAAAAAATACATAATGGTAATTAATAGTTTGCTATAGAAAAGTGAGAAGATTATAATTTGCAAAGATGTATGTCAAATCCCAGATCTGCTTCCCTTTGTAAAGGAATTCAAATGTTATCAACCTCGTGGAGTTAGCATGGTAGATCAGGACCTGATTCCTGATTCTACTGATGACCTGGGCATGGGCCCAGCAGTGGAACAGTGAAGCAGGCTCACGCTTAACGGACAAACAATAAATAAGTGCGGACTACTAACATGGGGTATGCACAGTTAACGATGCATTTTATTAATAGGAAAAATAAAATGTTATTTAAAATTTAAATTTCATTATTGAAGTAGACTCAAGTCCACATGACGTTAAATGTAAACTGCCTATAATCATTTTCCCAAAACCATCTACCGCAAGATGAGTTTATGTAACCCTTGTTAAACAAAGACGAAAAAAGAAAACATTTACAAGCAAAAACATCTGTAATCTTGTCATATCTACACTACTATTATAAAGAGGAAAGATTTGATTGTTTGTTTGTTTATACCGAATAGGCTCTAAAACTACTGGACTGATTTAGATGAAAATTTGGTAAGAAGTTAGTTTGAGAACTTGGCAAGGACATAGAATAGTTTTTATTCCTGAAATCATCCCTTAAGGTGGTGAAAATGGGAATGAACGTTTGTATGGGAAATCAACCTAGGGAGTCTTATGCCCGATTTCACCAACAACCCATTAGTTACCACCTACGTATGGGATCCCTAGCTTAAAAGTCCCCTAAACTAGTCCCTAAATTAAATTTCGTTTTACGATCGTCTTTAAGCCCATATTGCGAGCACCTAAATTTAGGGGGCCTTTTAATATTTAGGTGACCCCTAACTGTCGGTGAAACAGAAACTGTCCCCTAACCATGCTTAGGGGATCCCTTAAACTTAGGTGACGTTGGTGAAATCGGGCATTCATCTCGCTAGTCTGTATATATCTGTAGACTTGTAGCTTACCAAGTGAAGCACTGGTGGGTATGGCGGGCAGCGGCCGTGCGGGCGCGCGCGTGAGGCTCTCGGCGCGGGGCGGCGGCGGCGGGGCTTCCTCCTCGCCCTCCTCCGTGGCCTCCTCTGCTACCGTCGAATATATACTCTCCTCTAATTTTATGTCTTCTTTCTGTTAACAATATTATCTTATGCTTCAGTTCAATACTACAATATTTATAAGGTGAGTTATAATACAATAAATAATCAAAACTAAAGTTATGATATATATTTTGGAATACTTAATTTGTAGCTGTTATATGTTTGTTCGGAACTGATTTGCATAAAATTTAGTACATAAACAGACTATGTAATGGAGTAACCTGTAACACATAGGGGAAGGCTACATTTTTTATGTAATAAATACTTTAATAAACAGATATTTTCATTTCTTTAATAATAATATTGATATCTTTACACCAGTAATGTATGTAAAATATAAAATCATAAATATAACCTGAATGTCCCTGACATAATAAGAATGTGTTTATAAATTGACACATAGTTTCGCGTTTAACGAAATGGAATCAATATGTACTTTTCGCTTAAGTAATATTTCACACAAACGTTATTAATAAATTTTATTTTTAAACTTATAAATGAAAATATGTAATAATTATTAATTTCTATTGTAAAAGTATCTATCTTGTAAAGGGAGTATGAAAACGGTTTCCGGTTAAAACGGTTACGGTTTACGGTTGGTTAACGGTTTAAATGAAACGGTTTTGTAATAAAAAATCTCTTGCACTACAGTTAATTGCTGTTAGATAGTGTAAAGTGTTAGCATTATTAATTTTACTGATATCTGTCTTATCAGTATATAAGGTTAGTTTATGTATGATGGCAAAAAATAAAATTGTCCAATGTCGTTGCAAACTTTATCGTCCCAATTCTCCCTCCTCGCAACAACTATACTCTTTATATACGTACATATGTATGTTTGTACCTATAAATTATTTTAACTTTTCCGTCCAGGAGATTTGAAGAAAATACAATGTAATTGGCAAACAGACAGAAAATGGCATGGTGAAGACTAGCAGTGCTTCTGTTTTTTTTTATCGAATATATAGAATTTTAAAAACGTCTAAATACATTTTTCATGAATGTACCAATAATTAATCATGCATTCAAATCTAAATATTAAATTCCTTTACGAATAACAAAGTGAAAAAAATCAAGCTCAAAAATAGCACATCTAAACCTGTCCCGCTTTAGGCGTGGCTTAAAAACCGGAGGCACAGTTTCACTTAAATCATTCAAATGTGTCCCAGAAGGATTAGACGGCATTTTTTATATTTTACTTAGGATAAATAAATGTATAATGTTTTGTTATATGTATATATAATATATATTTATTTAAGTATTTACATTTGAGTAACTGCACTTTAGCCTGCATTTTAATACTATCTCTCTAACTCACTTAGGTTGACTGGAAGAGATCTCTTCTAGAGATAAGTCCACCTTTGCTAACTAATTTTATTGTTTGTTAATCTCTGTATTTTACATATAAGTGCAATAAAGAATAGTATATATATATATATATATATATATATATATATATAAACATATATATCCTAGTTTGTAATTAAGCCGTAATAATATGAAGAATTTTATAACTTTTCATGTTAATGCGTAAACTAATACATTACATTATTTCCAACTCAGTCAAGTATATATATAGTAATATACTTGACTGTGTGTTGGAAAATGGTAGTTACTACTACATATTATGTGTCCAATTGCCAATTTATATTCAATTTTTGCAAAATGGTAATTTAGACACCGGTGTGTAAAGTTTAGCCATTGCTTCTGAGAATATCAAGTGTGATGTAAAAGCGAGTGTTCGAACTATAAAAAACAATAAAAATAAAAATCTCCTTATAACAGTAAAAGTCAAAGTGGAAAAAAAATATTTAACAGGATCTATAACTTGACTCACATTATTTTTTATTTTTGTGCTTCTGATTAGTGTAATTAGAATTTATAATTATAGATGTTTTAATTGTATAGAAAATAGACGTAAGAAAAAATAAGTACGCAAACAAATTTACTTATTATTATATGTATATCCATCATCGCCACAAATTATAAATTAAGTTCTCCCGCCGCGCCCTGTTTGTTCGCACTAATCTCAGAAACTACTGTACGGATTTTTACATGGTGTTCGCCAATAGAAAGAGGTATAATTAAGGATAGTTATTGTCCTTGATGCCTGAACATTTTATATATTAAAACTAGCATTGCCCGCGTATACGCCCGCTTTCAGGTGACCAAAAACCAAATTCTTAGGTTTTACATATTAGTATACTCTTACATTACAGTTTTTGTATTTTTTTCTCAGAAATGAGATATTTTTCCACTGTAAAAAATCCTATATGTTAACTCGGATACTCAGCTATGACCATACCAAATTTCATCAAAATCCGTCCAGTAGTTTTTCTGTGATGCGGTAACAGACAGACAGACAGACAGACACAGACAGATAGACAAACAAAAATTCCAAAAAATATAGATTCGGCCTCTGTATCGATTATAATGTCTATTTCAATAAGATTTTCCAAAAAATATTTAATGTACAAATTTGACTTAGTTAGAATTTTATTATAAGTATTGATAAATATTTAAAAACCCCCGACATGAAACCATTTTGTGGCGGCGGCTATCTTGGAGCAATTTTCATCAAACATAGGTAAAAATACGCCCGAACAAAAAAAACAAAATTGGTTCATCCGTTCGGGAGCTACGATGCCACACACAGACACGTCAATCTTATAACACCCCGTACTTTTTTAGTGGACGCTTTTGCTTTACATAAATTGTACTTTGGCTTTATGTTAATTATATAATAATTACCATTTTTTTTCAAATGATCTTGCATGACGTGCAAAATGCAATCGACAGAAATCTACAGATGAAATCGACAGAAATCTACAGATTTTTTATCGTCAGTCTATATAAATTCATCACCCTATATCAATATCGGATTTTTAGAAAACTGGCCTAGCAACACTGCCCCGCGTCTTTTAAAAAACGTCATCAAAATTTTATTTTTTGCTGAAAATTGTTATTCGCATTCGATTTTTTGGCGCACATGCTACCTGGCACTGAGAACGAACACTCCTCTCGCTCTACCCCTGGTCTAGCGCTGGGTATGGTGTGATATTTATGAACGTAGTCAGAAAAAATGGTCCCTTCTGTGACTTTCAGTAATATTGTAAATACGGAGGGCATTTATCGACGATCTTTACATTAAGTCATCATCGATCAAAAAAGTTCTAGATGCACAATCGGCGACAAAAAATGTCCTGAGCGCTCATTTGAACATTTGAGCGCTTTATTAATTTTATTTTTTTGTGAAAGCAACTTTAAGCATTGCATTTAAGGTTCAGTTTAGAAAGTACGAACATCTTTATTTATTATTTTATTTATTTTTGTATATTTATTTTAACTAGAATAATTATCTAAATACAATTGGTGACAGTTTTAAGAGAACTTATGCATAGGATTGTGTATTTAGTACTTTTTTGATCGATGAAAGTCACTTATGCTTGTTTAGATCGGACTATAAGAATAAGACAGGTGTAGCATATAGAACAATAAATGAAGGCGAGCGAACAGTCATAGTCAGAAAAAGATTTTATTACTTAAAAAATATTATTATTATTAATATTTTATTAGTATAATTCTATTAAATCATTAAAAATATAGCACTTACAAAGTTAGGGTCAAATCTTTTGGCTCCTTCAATAATAGCCTGGTATGAGAAACGGAGCTGGTCTGGCGTCTGTATCAATCCCATGCGATCTTTGCGCATATCTAGCAAGATTTGTTGTATATTCACACTTGATAAGCCTTCTTTCTCGATCTAGAACAAAAAGACAACTCTTTGGATAAGTGTAATTATAATAATATCAATAACAGCAATTTGAGGTGCACGTAAACCGAGTAATTTGATTTGATTTCGTAAATGTTTGATGCCACAAAATTATTTCAGAATAAGTTGCACCTGCTTTTATTACATCCGAATGGCCAGTGCACTATTTTTTCTATGTATTCACTATCAGAAAAAAATAGTAAGCTATTAGGTTTTTTGCGTTATAAATAAAATACTAAAAAGTTGGGCGTCATTAAATTTATAATAAGTAGATATTATTAGGGCTTGAGTAATTATAGTTAAAAGAATCTGAAATTTCTATGAAAACTATCGGTAATTTACAGACTAGTTATTAAACAACATCTCATTTATAAGGTCTATAGAACATTTTTAAGCTTTTGTTAGGGTTCCGTAAACAAATAGCTAAACAGAAACTTTTTAATTTCTCCCTGTCCGGCTGTTAATTTGGCCGTTTGTCAGCCATTTACATTGCTGAAATTTAGTATTTAGAATCACATGTGTCATATGAACCGATAGACGGTTCTTTAGTCAAATAACAAAGAAAAAATGCGAATGGCGCCCCATACATGAAACTGGAGAGGTGCTAATATTAAGGACATATTAATTTGCCGGAAACCTCTGGATATGTCTTTAAAATTTATAAATGTTTCTGCTCTAAGTGTGTTCTTTTTCTAAATGACGATATGTTGTTCGAAATGATTATTTGTTGAGTTGTTTTGGAGATATGGAATATTTTCTGTTTCAAGCCTTCACCAGCAATATTTACTTTGTGTCCCATAGTAATTAATACTATAAAATACAAACGTATATGGATATATATATATACATATACGTTTGTGGATATATATATATAAATATATATACTCGCGTGCAACTGAATCGACTCAAGCTGTATATTAGTATATTAGTTTGATTTTTCGGAAAATGGCTTATCCGATTTTTGTAAAAGTTTTTTTATTCAAAAGACATATTTTTTTTATAAATATAGCAATTTTCAAATAAACAATGACAATTTTTTTTAAATAAATACGGTCAAACATGAGCGTTACAGAAATTACTCGTTGTGGTACCCACGAGTTGCGAGACTAAATCATGTATAAAAGCTCACGTGACCCATATTTTTTATCAGTCACACGTCAGACGTTGACAGGTACACATCTCCTTAAGCTCCCAGTATTTTAATCGTGATCCAATGGACACTACCTTAGAAGCAGCGGCCCAAGTTGTAGCTTTGTTGCAAGCGGGCCATAATCAACGGCAAGTCGCTTGTGAACTTAACATGAGCCAATCAGCTGTTTCACGAGTATACAGAAGGTTTCAAGAGACTGGTGGCTTCGTTCGGAGACCACAAACCTATAGACACCGGAGCACACCTGAGACTGACGACCGCTTCATTGTCGTAACTTCGTTGAGAAATCGTCATCTCACGGGCGTTGTTGTACAACAGGAGCTCAGAAAGGTTCGAGGAGTGGCTGTCAGTCAGTGGACAATTAGAAGACGCCTGGAGAAAGCCAATTTAACTCCAAAACGACCAGCCAGAGGCCCGAAACTGAGCGCATCTCACCGTCAAGCCCGAATTCAATTTGCTCGTGAACACTTCAATTGGACTATTAAGCAATGAAGCTCCATCCTATTCACTGACGAGAACAGGATGTGTCTCCATGGCAACGACAGAAGAGACCGGGTATACAGGCGTCCAGGGGAACGGTTCTCGCAATGCTGTTTCGCTGAAACAGTATCATATGGCGATGGTTCAGTCATGATGTGGACTGGAATATCATATGAAGGGAAGACCGAGCTTGTTTTCGTGCCTGGTGGTGGTCGGAGTGGTGGTCTAACAGCTCAAAAGTACGTGGAAAACATTCTCCTCGATTATTTTGTACCTTATGCAGGGTACATAGGAGAAGATTTTCTATTGATGCATGATAATGCTCGGTGCCATACAGCAAGTGTTACTCGCCAGTTTCTTCAAAACGGTGCAACTTGAGACGATGATGTGGCCAGCCCTCAGTCTTGATCTGAATTGCATTGAGCATTTATGGGACGAGCTCAAACGGAGGGTGCTAGCTAGAGATACGGCTCCATCAAGCATCGTCGAGCTCAAAACTGCGCTAGAGGAAGAATGGAATACGATACCTCGAGATTTTATCAAAAAATTGATAAAATCAATGAAAAATCGCATGCAAGCCGTTATAAAAGCTAGAGGAGGCAATACAAAGTATTGAAAATTTTAATTTTCTTTACTTTTATCAAAAATATTTTTTTTATTCATTATGTTGTTGTTTTCCTTTTTCTTTATTTTTTATGCATTTCTGTCAAATTAATTTTTATCAATAAATACTCAACCGATTTTTCTTATTAGGATAGCATTTTTTAGGAGAAAAGATTAGGCTTTCAACAAAAAAAACAAGAAAATCAGATAAGCCATTTTCCTAAAAATCGAACTTTTATACCAATATATGGCTATATATATATATATATATATATATATATATATATATATATATATATATATAGATATAGATATCGTAGACAGGTAAACACATTTAAACACGTTGAAATAAAAATTAATTTAATATTACATGCTTTGGAACCCTCAGAGAGCGAATCAGATTAGCATCTGTCTATTTTTTTTATAAACACAAAAATAAAAATGATTGAACACAATTAAATTTAATTAATATGTAATTTTATACGAGGTTTAACTTATCAATAATTGAATTAAAAAAACTTACAATGACAAGACAAGAGTCTACTAAGCAGAACGTTCCAGAACGTCCGATGCCCGCGCTGCAGTGTACCACCGCCGGGCCCACGTTAGAGTCGAGAGCGCCCGAAGAGCGCACCTTTTTTAAGAATTCGAGGAAAGCCACTGGAGAAGTGGGCACTCCAAAGTCTGGCCACGTTGTGTAGTGGAACTGTACGACTTCACGACTTTCAGAACTCACCATGTCGAAGATTCTAGAAATACGTACAGAAAAATTCATAGATGGTTACGTCCTTTATCATCAACAAATAATATACATATATATCCTATAATTACGTATATTATATAATAAAAATTCCTTCTTAAATTTTAAAAAGGGTAAAAAATATCTGTATATCATTGTCAAAAGTCCATCACATTAAAATTATATTACAAAACATAAGAAATACATTCTCTAAGCTATTCGTAACAAATAAACAAACAAACGTCGGTGTTATTATAGTTTTTAGTTACTCGCTTTTGACTAGTTGTAATCATAAGCTAGTCAAAACGAATCAAATGACTTAAAACTCGAAAGCTCTACTTCTTCCATTTTCATTCTGATTTAACATATTTAACAAAGTTTCAAATCGATATTTCATTAGAAATAATAGGTTAAATGGATTTCCAAAGTTTGATTACACAGTTAGCAACAGGTCTAGTTAATAAAAGCATGTTAAAATAGGTTATCATAGATATAATGAGATAGAAGTATCTCATTATATTGTTGTTACTAGCGACTCACCCCCGCTTCGTTCGTGTTCGTACTCTAGGTATGTTTATACATTTATGAGTGGAATCATAATTCTTTTTCTAAAATAAAACTAACCTATGTTACTCCTTATAACATCAGCTATCTACCAGTGAAAGTCCCGTCAAAATCATTCAAGAAAGTAATAAAAATAATAACTAGATAAAGGTTATATCTACTATATTGCTTTATTTTAAGGCACACACCGGTGGTAAAGGTCACGAGCGGTCTAAAAGTACAATTATTATCTAAATACAGCTACATACTTTGAAACAAAACAGTTATAAGGGTACGATTTACAATCGTTTGGCAGGAGGATGGTGTAGGGAGGGAGGAAGCGTGAGGGGTGAGTCTCCTCATTCCCCCCATACTACTCCTATTACAAGGTAATACATCTTTCTTGAGGGAAAAAAATAAAAAAAAATCCCATAGAGGTTACCTAAAAATTAGTACATTATAATATTAATTTTGAATTGCAATTGCTTCGGACACTAGCGTGACGACGACGCCCCGACGGCAGGTCTGCGAAGCAGACCACAACAACCATGGAGTTGCTCCACAGACCACTCTGCTATCAGAGAAGTACTAGGAGCAACCCGCATGGTAAGCCGCCCACCGAAGTAGGCCATCTCCCTGTACGTTTCTTGGCTTCGCGCCCGGCTGAATTGCCGGACGCTAATGAGAGAAGAAGAGTCGTTTATGGTAACTGTTCTAACCTAACCTAGATCTAACGACAATAACCTAAGTCCTAACCTAACCACGAAGGGATTAACGCTAATTCTTCAGATAATTTATCTAAAGTGCCAGTCACGCTAAATCACCGCTGTAGTCACGTTAGTGTCCGAGTAGCCTCACCGTTATAATATATATAGTGATGAGCCACCACCTTTGGAGATTATAATGATTTTTGTTAATTTTATCCAAAAAGAGAATTACCTTGAGTTGTGAGTGATATTGTTATGGTCAGGGATTAAATATCTACTGAATACAAAACTTTTGCCCACAAACTCTTGCCAAACGATTGCAAATCCAACCCTAACTTTATTTGTTGATTAAATAGCATCACGAACACGGGTAACGCCGAAGACAGCATAGCGTCTCATATCTCATCTCATATATCGCAAGCAGCTCAGCTAAATAGATCCTTACTCGTTATACAATAATGAATGCAAATTAAATTATGTTTATTACTTACTTAAATATCGGTAAATATATGTTTTTAATTTTTTTACCGATATTATTATTATTATTTTATTGTTTAATCACTGTACAAGTATTACCTACTTTTATACTTTTCTTTTTACATATTTTACTTTCCAGTACATAAATATAGCCAAATTCATCTGCGCGAAATGATATAGATTTGTACACACAAACAATCGCACTGCAATAATAACAAATCAGACTCTTATAATTATTTAAATAGCTTCAAATTGACATAGCGACTATTGCCATAGAAATATTATGCCCATATACCTATTTGTGTTATTTAGATGCATTATGTATATAAAATTATTTATCTAGTATAATATATATGTACATTGTACATTTTTTTACATTTCATTACTATTACACTTATATTTATTTACTAGCCTTTGTGTGGTAGAAAACAAGATTTAGCATGTCCGGGCAAAGGAATAGTGAGGCACGGCATTCAATAATCGGCTTCCGGGAAACCTCCATACCGTGCATGTTATATGCGATGTATTGAAGACTAACTGTTATATGAAATATTTTTCGCACAGCGAGCAAAGCGATACCATTACACAATTAATAACACGAGCATAAATTCTTCGAAATTTTACTGAATAAATATCAAATCTGTTCAAGTGCTTCTTGGAAACTTTTTTCATTAGTTACTTCGAAGGTTTTCATACGCAAACAACTTACCTAAAAACCCGAGTGGTGTAGTAATTGCAATCTTCTTCGCTTATTTGCTCGACGGTTAGTTTGACGTCGGAGAGGACAAATTTTTCATCCTCCCCAATACCATGTGGCCAGTACCAATGACATTTTATCTCATTCTTTTCGATGATCTTGTTAAGCATTAAAATAGCGCGGCTGTTTTGCTCCCATACCATCAACCAAAAATGAGGCACAGTGAAAGCGAGCGGTCCTTGTGTAAGAATATACTTTCGATTAGCACGGTCCATCTAAAAATGAAATTAAAATAATTATTATTGTAAATTAAACCCTGTTATGGATAATAGTTTGTAGATTTTATGCATAACTTTTGTTATACATTAATCAAAAATATATTATAGGTTTGATATATTATAGTTATTTAATCGTATTTATATTGAAAAAAAGCTGATGTTGAAGACATGGTTGTTGATTAAAGAAATGGTGTGTTTTATTGGCTGTTAGTATGTTTGTCCAGATTTGAGACACATTGATAACGGCCAAATACACAACTTTATTATATGCGCAGAGTTAAGCAATGATTCTCTACCTGTTCACAAAAGATTAATTATAATTCATAGGATGATAAAAGCTAACTGTGACAGTAGGTATCCAACGTACAGTAGCTAACGTTCGCGCAATGCAGAGTGCATGCTCGTTTATGCTACAATCGCTAAACGTTGGACATGAAGGTGTATCGTAAAAGTTTTTAACTAATAAAAAACACTTTAAAATACATAAAAAATAGTAGCTTATACTAAATATAAAAAGTAGCTATATCCATGTCAAATAACACGGATGGAGTTTAAGTGAACATCGTTTCAATTAAGGGAAGATTCAAGATCGACCGTATCAAACCAAAAACTAGATTGTTCTAGATTTCACAAATCAAGCTATTACATGAATATGAATAATCGATATATATCATCTATACATATAATAAAATTGTAACTAAGCCGAATCTATACATTAAATATTTTATGGAAAATCTTATTGAAATAAACATTATTATAGATACAGAGGCCGAATCTATAGTTTTTAAAATTTTTGTCTGTCTGTCTGTTACCGCATCACAGAAAAACAACTGGAGGGATTTTGATGATATTTGGTATGTTGATAGCTGGTTATCCGGGTCAACATAAAGGATACCTTTTACCGCGGGAAAATATCTCATTTCTGACAAAAAATACAAAAACTGCAATGTAAGAGTATACTAATATGTAAAACCTAAGAATTTGGTTTTTAGTCATCTGAACGCGGGCGGAACCGCGGGCAATGCTAGTATTCTTATAAAACACACTTTAAATCAAATGTCCGAAATTTAATGTAGGCTCGAGAAATTAATGCAAGTGCAAATCACATCTACTTTCTAAAACGATAAATATGTTACGAAAACTGTAAATGTTTTTATTTGTTATATATACATCAGGGGTCTCTTTTTCAATGACTAGGGTGGAAGAATTATTTGTTTATTTAATACTTTCACTCAATAACTTTTAATATTACATATATGTTTACTCGTGTTTGCCAGATTAGCAATTTACGTCTTTCAGATTAACATATATTAATATAAGCAACATACGCATTTCAGGTTTTAACACTCTACAAAAATTAAGCCTATTTGTCAAAACATTCTATTGGTCTAGAAGTTGGTGAATTTGCAAAAATTCAATATTAGAAAGGCCGGAGATAGTATGTACCAATATGCAAATCAAAAACAGGAGAGCTATACCAATAAAAAAGGAACAGACGAATAACATACATACCGATGTATAGCGTTTCCTTGATAATAACATTCAATTTATCTTTTAACTGCAATAATATACAAATTCAGCATTTTAATGTATTTTCTTAATTAAAATTAAAACTTTCGTCCAAAAAATAAAAAAATAATCTTGGAGTAGACCGCCCTTATCACTTAGGGGTATGAAAAATAGTTTACGTCCTAGTCTCAGACCTACTAAATATACACACAAAATTTCATAAGAATCGGTCAAGCCCTTTCGGAGGAGTTTTGTTACAAACATTGTGTGACACGAGAAATTTATAAATTAGAGAGAAGTGCTAGATTGTAAATTCCTTTTATAATTCAGGTACAGGTACAGTACAAAACACGATTCATTTCATTTTCATTAAAGATCCACGTGATAGAAATATTTGGACTAATTTTTTGTTGTTGTATGCTTTCTATGTTGTGAATCAAAAATTTTACGAACTCTATTTCGTCAACTTAACTTTTTTGTAAAGTCTTCTTGTATTTTTTAAATACATTAGTAACTTTATTCATTAGCAAAATATTTGCGATAGCTTTTGTTTTTTCTGTAAAGCTTACTAACTAAAAATAAAAAAACTATGGAAACGTAAAGACGTCTTAATACTATATAATTAAATTTATATTTTTTTAATAATAATAATTCAAGATAATAATTAATGAAATATGAACACGTCTTTATATTTTTCTGTATGTTAACGTTTTTATAAGGTAATGGAAAAGTACAGCTTACGCATACTTCGTAAGAAATACTATAACTTAATAGCTTTTCATTAAAGCCTTCTCATGTAACCTATTCAAAGAGAAAAATGTTGACAGTTATTTACCTTTATATTTTTCCATGCAAAAACATAACAAGAAAGTGAGAATGATGTACCTAGGGGACGGACAGAACGCATTAGTTGATTGCATGCGCGACCTCGACAACGATGCATGTATGTTAGTAACCACACATTCTCTACAATCTGGATTATCGTAGATATAGGAATCGAAAAGATCCTGTATTGCTGTGTCTACCGATCGCACACAGGTGACCAGGAGACAACTCGATTATTTGAACATCTCAGTGAGGCCGCTGATGTGGCTATGCAACGGTACCCCACCGCGCAGCTTGTCTTTCTGGGGGACTTCAACGCCCATCATGAAGATTGGCTGTTCCCATACCAGAAGACGGACCATGCTGGGAGAGAAGCGTGGAAGTTTGCGGTGTCACTTGGACTCTCCCAATTGGTTGAACAAGCGACGAGGGTACCCGATGTAGACGGCCACTCAGCTAATTGTCTGGACCTTCTGCTGACAACTGATCCAGACAGATACAACATCCAGGTTTCATCCCCATTGGGTAGCTCTGACCACTGTCTGGTAAAAACTGTATCGTCTTGCTCTCCACCAGATAACGACTCTACTGGTGTTAGACGAGTATGGCAATACAAGTCAGCAGATTGGGATGAGATGCGACACTTTTTTGCATCTTTTCCTTGGCGGCAGGTCTGCTTCTCTTCTTCCAATCCGTCGAGCTGTGCGGATGCTATAACTGATGTGGTGCATCAAGCGATGGAATATTTTATCCCGTTCTCTGATGTACCCGTTGGTGGCAAAGCTCGCCCATGGTTTAATGCCGAATGCACCATTGCTGAAAAGCGTAAGCAATCGGCTTACCTTGCCTGGGTTGATGCTCGAGACAGCAAAGCTCCGAATGTAAGATCCAAGAAGAGAGCCTTTAACTTGGCCGCTAAGTCCTACAAAAAGACATTAAAGAAGGCTCGTCTTGGCCGAACTACACATCTTGGCGCAAAGCTCTGTGCCCAACCATCTGGCAGCAGAGCTTTTTGGTCCCTTGCCAAAGCGGTCGAGACGAACTTCTCTCGGCCCTCACTGCCACCGCTGGTAAAATCTGACGGATCCCTGGCTCATACGGCAGAGGAAAAGGCGACTTTGCTTGCCTCTCTTTTTGCCCAAAATTCATGTCTAGACTCTGGCAATGCCATTCCACCACATCTACCTCACTGCGGGATCTCAATGCCTGAAATCTGCATAACTAATAAGGAGGTAAAGAGAGTATTGTGTAGTCTAGATGTGAATAAAGCCAGTGGTCCTGATGGTATACCAGCGATAGTGCTTAAAACTTGTGCTCCCGAGTTGTCTCCGATACTGACACGTCTGTACCGCCTTTCTCTTAAGACTGGAATAGTACCTAAATCCTGGAAGCTTGCCAACGTGCAACCAGTGCCCAAGAAAGGAAGCCGTGCTGACCCTACCAATTATCGTCCAATCTCAATCACCTCCATACTCTGCAAGATTATGGAGCGTGTATTGAACACACGTCTTATGGCATACCTAGAACAAAACGACCTCCTCAGTGATCGACAATATGGGTTTCGCCGGAACCGGTCAACTGGGGACCTTCTAGTGTGTGCCAATCACATCTTTGGCGAAGCTCTTGAGCGAAGCGGGGAGGCGATTGCCGTCTCCCTCGATGTCTCAAAGGCCTTTGATAGGGTCTGGCACGATAGCCTTATAAGCAAGCTTGCAGCCTATGGCATATCTCCTGGCCTGATCCGCTGGATTAAAGACTTCCTGAGCGACCGATCACTCAGAGTTGTGGTTGAGGGTTGTTCATCACAACCCTTAAAGACCAACTCAGGAGTTCCTCAGGGGTCTGTTCTCTCTGCAACCTTGTTCCTGCTGCATATTAACGATCTGCTTATACCCGGTATCTATGGGTACGCAGACGACAGCACTATTGTAGAGAGATACCTGCCGAATCCTCGGGCCAGTAGAGATCAAATTCAGTCCGAAAGAGAGGCCATGGTAGAGCGGTTGAATCTCACACTCAGGACAGTCTCCACTTGGGGTGATGCCAATCTTGTGAGTTTCAACGCCACCAAAACACAGGCGTGCCTGTTCACATCAAAACGGAGTCCTTTTACCTTGACCCCTACTTTCCGGAATGTGCCTCTGGAATACACTGACCGTCTGCAGTTGTTGGGCATGGACATTCGCCCCAATATGAACTACGGGCGGTTCATTGAGTCTAGGGCTAATGTCGCAGCGAGGAAAGTTGGCATACTAGCAAAGGTCCGACAGTATTTCACACCGGGACAGCTTCTTGTTTTATATAAAGCTCAAGTCCGGTCGTGTGTGGAATACTGTAGTCACATTTGGGCTGGTGCTGCGAAGTGCCATCTGTCAGCCTTAGACTCAATTGAGAGGCGTGCCCTCAGGCTTATTGGTGACCCTACGCTGGTAAAAGCTAACTTACAAAGCCTCGATCACCGACGTAGGGTTGCCAGCCTTTGTGTATTCTATAGGTTACATTTCGGAGAGTGTGCGCAGGAACTACACGGCTTGATTCCTCCATCTCCTTTCTACCATCGGACAACCCGACGAACGGCTGGTCTCCATCCTTATGTCGTGGACATTCCACCCGTCCGGACGAAGCGTTTCGCTACGTCATTCATTATACGTGCGGCTAAGGATTGGAACAACCTGCCGGCGTCGGTGTTTCCGTCCGAGTACAACATGGGTGTCTTCAAGGCAAGAGTGAATAGGTGGCTACTGAATTAGTGTGATTTACCATCTACGACTGCGTTACCACTTACCATCAGGTGGAACGCAGTCAAGCACTAATTCAGAATACAATAAAAAAAAAAAAAAAAAACCGTCTGACATTGAATGCATTTGGATAAAGTTTAAATATTTATAAGGTAGGGGCTTTTTAAAATATCATTTAAACATAAATTAATACAGAAATAAATGAAGAAAAGAATGTTGGTCTTATAATCCCTTTGTAATTTATCCCAACATTACAACAACAAAAAAAACAGGGTATCTCAATTTCGATGCACTCATCTGTAAAACTAAGTAAAGCGGGTTCAAATCCCGGGTAGCTCCCCTGATATTATCGTGTGTGAATTGTTTTCAACATGATTACCACTCGCTTACGGTAAAGGAAAAAAACGTGAAAAAACCTGCATGTCTGAGAGAACCTAACTAGTTTTCTAAAGACATATGAAGTGCCAACCTGCACTTGCCCAACGTCTTGGACCGTGGTCTAATCTAACTCGGATTAAAGGTAAGGTCCTGACCAGCAGTAAGACGTCAAAATGGGCTAAATACAATTTACAAAAACTTACAGTTTAGATACTTATACCCTTATAAAATCTAACAATACTACTGAGATTTGTCCAAATAGTAAACTGAAAATATTCTAACAGTAGTAACTTTAAGTAGTTATGTATATATATATTTCTATAATAAGGAGATACTCCCGTTATTCCTAACATTCGAATCATTGTTAGATATCAGAGTGAGTTGTATTTTTTATGAATTACGAGTATATATAATAATATTAAACACGATATTCCAATGATTTGTCATTTCTTGTAACAATTGAGTAAAACAAGCCTATTAAAAATCAAAATAATTAATTAAAAGTTAATATATATGTATTATATTATTTCATATATTTGACTACACGTTTGACTCAGTTTGTAGTGACCGTACTTGCTGTGCCAGCAGTCGCGGGTTCGAGTCCTGCTGGGGGCATTCATTTGTGTGATGAGCACGAATGTTTGTACTCCAGTCATGGGTGTTTAAATTTATAATATGTATATATTTAAAGTTATATGTGTGTACTGTATCAACTATCTGGTATCCATAACACAAGCCTCGTAGCTTACCATGGAACTAGGTGGTGCTGTGTGTTAATGTCCCAACATATATAATGTCCCAACATATTTAACTATTATTATTTAAAATGTCAAAACTTCACATAAATATAAGAAAGTAGTATCGTTTCATATAAATTTTATCTCCTCAGTCTTAATTACACTCACTTCTGAGCTATTTCATAAAAAAGGGGAAAAATTAGATCCTGTGAACTTCATGTGAACTTCTCCATTTCAAACACTACTAAGTAAATAGATACTTTCTGAAGTAATATTTTATGTTATACAATTTTTATTTTAAATATTTGACTTAAATCCCTTTATATTTAAAATTTTGTTGGTATTTTCTATCCCTCGTCAGGTATGACAACAACCTTTTTTCAGACTTATAGTTTTTTTACTTACATTAAATGTATACTTTTGAAAGGATGATAAGAATACTATATTCTTATAAACAACTTGCGGCTCACCCTTGCTTCGCTCGGGTTTGTCGCTGGGTAATGTAACATTTTAAATAGATATAAATAGTTATTAGCCATGATTAGCAATATATTTTTTTATTTTCATGGATTTTTCTGATGTTTTAATACTTATTATCTATCCTATTTTGGACTAAGAGAAATCCAAAAAATCAAATATCATAAAAATTGGTCCAGCCGTTCTTGAGTTATAAATGGTGTAACTAACACAACTTTGTTTTATATATATAGATGGTGTAATATTATCTCTATATAGTAATACTTGTTCTTAAGTAAGATGAGATAAATAATACATACTGTCATGGTGGTGATATAATTATTAGGAGCAGTTTATTTACATGAATTATGTACAATTTTTTTTTTTAAATTAAGCATAAACTATTTTACCTTCACTAGATTTGCATTGATGTAGTCACGTTCACATCTCTTCAGAATAACTCTACTGTGATCATAAGGATTTACATCCCTATACCGGTTTAGTGGTTTGTTCTGGGGCTTCTTTGCTTCTACACATGTGTAGGGGTAAGTTTGACATTCTCTCCCAATTTTCTACAAGCAAGATAGAACATTGAAATTTATATACATATTTTGTATTCACGGGGTATCCTATATTTTCTCATATCTAACCAAAAAGTAGAGGAGGAACCAGAATAGATATTTAGAAATAAGTTGAAAATTGATTGTGTTCATAATTTATCAACATGATAACAAAAGAAAATTAATTGATAGTTTTAGCTTTTAAAACTATCTTGATATTATACTGTATACTATTTCAAATATAAATAATACATAAACTTTATATTTAATGCACCCTAACCAAAATGAAAAGTTATATCCTCAAACTTTTTGATATAAAATCAAAAGTTTACATTTATTTTCGACATACCCTCATGGTTTTTAAATATATTATGATGAATTAAGAAGGCAGATAGTGTGAGTTCTAAAACACACTTCATCTAAGACGTTTATCAAAAATATGACAGTGACAAATAAAGTTTTAAACAGAATTACTACTGTTATGTTTTTTTGTTATAAACTTAGTTACTCTTGCGTGGCAAATAAAACGTAAACCAACGCGTCATACATACGCAAAACTTACCTGGTAGATGAGCGGCCAAGCGTTTCTATTCGCAATGTCCATATATTCTGCTTCAATATTATTTGAATTCATTTTGTCGTCGTACATAACTCCACTATATCATTTCAAACTCTTAGGAACAAAGTATTTAACTACAGCCGTCAGCCGGATGCCGCAAAACTTGCGGGTTTCGTTTTAAAACTATGATTAATATAATCAGTGACACTGTGATTTGCAGAAATTTCAACTCGAACTTTTAATAGTCGTTCTAATATCAACTTATGAATACGCGGTGCATAAACTTTACTAGTAATCAAAGCGAATACTTCGTCATAATAAGCAGCCTTCCGTACGAATGGAGTGGATGCACCGCTTCTGTCTAATTGTCTTTTTTTATCTTGCCATATTTAACAAAAAAGTTTACCATGGTAGATTTTTGTATAAAATACAAGTCTGTGCAATTTACTTTCTAGTCCCTTGTTATCATTATTATAATGTTTTTTGTTTGTTCTCCATGTTTCAAAAAAAATATTTTAAAAATAAAGTCATCTCTAATCTAAGCTATTAAGTTCATTTTTTAAAATAATAGTATGTGATCCTTATTGATAAAATTTGAGAAATTTTACAGCTTACTTTTTTATTTTTAAACACAATCATAAAGCAAACATATGAAACAATGTATATATAAATTACTACCTATTTTGGTATAAATGATACATAGGATGGCAGCACAAATTCTTAGTCTGTAGCAAAAGTCTATTTTGTCTCTGGTTGCCAACTGGTGAAAAAACGACAACTTTGAATGAAATGTGAACTGACGTTTGCTTCGGTCGAATCAGAGTTGCGATGCAGAATGCTCGCAATTACTTGCTCTAATTGAGTACGTGTACGGGTGTTTTATACTAAATTCACTGAAGAAGTTCAAGCTTTCCTGTAATTGTAGACTTAATTCAAATTATTCTTAATATAGAAAATGGCGTCGCCGCGTACTCGTCGCAAATTAAATTTCATACGTACTCAAGATGAAAACCACGTATGTATATAATTTTGATCACTATACATTTCACTGTAACATATGTGTTTCATATGTGTATCATTTGTTTAATAGAAATGTTTCGAATGCGGTACTCTAAATCCGCAATGGGTGTCTGTGACCTATGGTATTTGGATATGCCTGGAATGTTCAGGCATACATCGCAGCCTTGGGGTCCACTTGTCTTTTGTACGTTCGGTCACAATGGATAAATGGAAAGATATCGAATTGGAAAAGATGGCGGTAACTATTTTTCCAATTATTTATTAAATTATAAAACTATAACTAACGGAGTATATTTCATACTGTGTATCTACAAAAATAATTAAAAAAATGATTGATGCTTAATTACTAGGTGGGGGGAAATCTGAAAGCTCGAACATTTTTTGAAAGCCAACCTGATTACCGGCCTGATATGAAAATACAGCAAAAATACAACACTAAAGCAGCTTCTATGTACAAACAGAAGGTAAAATAACTTGTAATAATAAAAAAACATGTTGTATGGGTATGGTCCTTAGGGGGATATCAAAACAAAAAAAGGTATGGTAAAGTTGATGCAAACTAAAAAGTAAGCCTTACCAAAAAAAAAGTGCTTCGGATGTTGGTTAGACATCTTTTATTTTAACAAATGGTATATAATTTTATATCGAAATAAAGAAAACAAATAAAAATAAATCTTTATATAGAAAGAACTAATTCTTCTAATTAATTAAACCTCATGAATCTATAATATAATGAATGAATATAATCTTAAATTCCTAAATTGAAATGCTAGAGTGAGTAAAGTGTGCTCATATCTAGTTGAAAAATTAAGATTAGTATATATTTAAATATAATTATTTCAAAGACCTTTAAATGCCAAGTTCCAAATAATAAAAACATAGTTAAAAATTAAAAGATTCACTTCCAAAAATAAATCTGTGAGTAGAGCAAAATAACAGTACATTGTGAAATCCAATAAATGTCCAGTAAATAATTATTACTTACATTCCAAATATAAAAGTTCGGGAGAAAGAAGAAACATAATTTTTCTCGAAAAGCTTAGATAAACAAAATCCAGTTTAAAAAGTGTGGTCTAGATAAAAAAACTGCTTATTAGTTTCTAGCAAGAAATTGAAAGTACTACTTTATGTTTAAAACAAGAATCTACAAAAATAAAGTAAACAACACAAAAATCAACAAAAAATATACTCAAACCCTTTAACTAGCAAGTCCTCTAAATCTTAATCACCTTTTCTAAGGCTATCAAAAATGTAATTTTTTCAAAAAAGTAATAATATTTAATAGATATCCTCGCTATTGCAATTCATTTCGAAAAACATACCACATACGTTTCACTAGCATGCATCTTGGTAAACAAGCTCCCATGGCTCGCATATGTGCTAATATAACCAAATATCTCAAGCTCTACCTGGCATTGACTTCTTTTCCACAACTCTTAAGCAGTCTTAAAAAAAACTCAGTTCTCATATTGAAAAAAAATACATAGTCTTTTTTTTCTCTCAATGTTTTTCATGTATTTGTTGGTGAATGTTATGGTACACATGTTATTGATATACATATCATTGAGCTTGTTACTTTTCATATAATATAGTGTGATAATGTTAAATATGTATATTGTAAGTGTGCTTATGAAACAAATAAATTTTAATATATATATATATATATATATATATATATATATATATATATATATATAATATTTTATTTGTATATTTTAAATGCGGTGTACTTTCTTTTTTATTTTTTTGTATGTTGTATAGATCATAGCACTTGCGGAGGGTCGTGAGTGGAGTCCTTCGGACTACAAGCCAGAAATAATAGAAAGACCATCTGACTGGAGCCAATCACAAAGTTTCTATTCATCTGGAGATAACTATTTCCACACCAGTGGATCTGATAATAACATTAGCTACCAGTTTGTATTTTTTTTTTCATTATTCCTTATTTACATTTTTATCTTTAACCAGCAACTCACCTTCCCCTCGCTCAGATTCGTCCCTTGGTATGTTTTAACGGTTAGTTGAAATAGATAAACTGTATATATATAAACAATAGGTATATTATATAAACAATAGGTATGATGAGTTGTTCTGGTTTGTATTATAACATGTTTTCTCGTGGAAATAAGCTAATCTCCCACGGTAAAAAGTAGCCCACGTCACTCTCCAGCCCTCCACTTTGTTTCGACGTGAAAGAAAAACAAACAAAGTCAAAGTCAAACTACATCATAGAAAGAGACTGTCAAATCTACCGATGCATTCAAGTAGTTTATATTAATTTTAGGTTATTGGTTCATAGTCATAAAGTAGTAGTAAGAAAAAAGAAAAATTTGGAGCTTACGTTTTTCCTTAAAATTTTACAATTTTTCTCTTCATAAGAACCTTCCTTGGACTTCAACAAATATTTGAAAAAAAATATTAGCCAAATTGGTCCAGGCGTTCTCGAGCTTTGCGCTTAGCAACACATTTAGCCATTCATTTTTATTTATAAGAGAAGATACCTCCAGTAAAACTAATGAGAACTCATTTGTCAACAGTAGTGAATATGGAAGCGGACGGTACACAGGATTTGGAAATTCACCAAAACAATCTCTATCAACCCCAATGTCACCAGTTCACAGTGGAAATGAAATGGTTGACAACACAATAGCATCATTAGCTACAGTGAGTTCTAAAAGTGTTTATAAAATAGTAAACATTGACTTCAAAATATTTTGCTGTGTGTAAAAAGTTAAAATAAAAAGTGTAAAATTTTGTTTGTTCTTCTGTTTGTGTTTTCATATTTTTTGATATCTAGTGCATGTTATTTTTGTCAGGGCTGGTCAATGTTTACTTCGTCTGTCACAAAGGTGGCCCGCTCGGCCACTGAGAGTGCAGTGAAATATGGAGGAATCGCTACACAGAAAGTATCTGAAATGGCTTCCACTGTCACTGAAAAGGTAAATAGCTTACTGAATACCAAATTATACTATACATCTACAGGGGATTTCGGGGGCGATAAATCGATCTAGATTCGTTTTATGTCTGGGAAAACGCGTGTTTTTAGTTTTCATGCGGTTTTGTTTTGCATTATTCCACGCAAAATATGGTCGCTAATTAGCACGCTAGGACATAAGCATCGTGGTCAAGCGGCCAAGGCGCCCGTTTTGCGGCCAAAAACTCCGAGCGAAGCTCGGTCGCCCAGGTCCTATAACTTAAAACATGTAAAAATATTATGTTTTGACTTTTAAACAATATTGTGAGGTAGTTGAAATTAATAAATCACATAGTAAGTGCACAATTTCTAATTTAGATGCAAAGACATATACCTAATATTAATTATGGCATAGTGTGTCTTTTTATTATCATCATGATTTTTTTAAGATTGTATTTTATTTGATATCATAAGTTACATAAATTTAATTTTGAAGCTAAAATTACTGCATTTCTCTTCTGCATTTGCTTACTATTTGAAATCGGGGAGATCGATCGCTCTCCCACTCGACACCCACTCGCGCGGAATATTCGCATCTTTGCATTATTGTAATATTGAATTGCGTAATACTTCTGATAGGACTTAAAACTATATTTTCGATGGAATAAAAATTTAATCATTATAATACTAAAACATGAAGAGAAATTATAACTATATTTAGCATGTTGCGCTTAAGGATTAGATTTTTTTTTAGAATTAGGAGAAGTGCAGCAAGTTAAAATTTATTGAGTCTTTTCTGCCCGCTGCTCTGTCCGCGTAGTTTTTTTTAATGTATAATAATTCCCGTTGCAAGAGCTGTAGCGTATTTTTAGATAGCCTTTAATTTCCATCAATTTTATACTAATATTAGCCACTCACCCTCGCTTCGCTCTGGTTCGTCCTTGGTTACGTTTTAATTTTTTTGAGCGGAAACCTAATTGTTTTTCTAAAATAAAAGTAGCCTATGTTAATCCATATAACATCAGCTATCTTCAAGTGAAAATCCCGTCAAAATCAGTCCAGCCGTTTCAGAGATTATCCGGAACAAACAGACAGACAGACAAAAAATTAAAAAAAAGTGTTTTTCTTATAAGTATCGTATATAATTTCATATGCATTTAGTAAAACGCTCTTATTTTGACATTGCCAACAGACGCTTAAATTTCATATATCTGTATAGATGTATAGATAGGTATAGGATGCTCGAACCACGGTTTATTTTAATGAATGACGACGATGCAAAAGGTATTGATTTTACCTGTCATGCGCTTATCATAGATATTCCCTCCCCCTCCCTGTTTGAAACTATTTATAAAGACAGAGTTAGTTATCGGTATTTCCAGTTTTTCTGGGCTCTAATAAATATTTCAAATTTTAACTGATTTATTAAGTAAAGATTTATAAATTAAGTAAAGATTAAAGATATATCCATATTGTTATATTTTATGTAGGATTCGATTAACTTATCTTTGAGAAATTCCTTTATGATATTTGTGATGTAATATTCAACCTGCGGGCGCGAGCATTAATTTTTATTCGTGTTAAAATATCGTAATTTTTGAACTACATTAAACGTAAATAATAAAGAGATCATATATTTCTATAACGTATCTCGTTGATTTTTTCCAAATAATCATTATTTTCACATTGTGTTATGAAATTAAAGTAAAAAAACATGAAGTGGAAGTCGTCAAAACTGAACAATTTGTTTTATTAGTAGCCATTAAAGACTCCTTTTTGAACTTCATCCATCCTTAATAAAGACGTATTTGTATCATCATCTCATACATTACCTTGCAGTATTTTTGAATCGATTTTTTTCTTGACTTGACTATTTTGATTGACTGGAAAATTGGAAAACTGGAGAGAAACTGAAAATGCTTTTTTTTACCTAATCATTTTTGTATGACCTCAATGATCATAAATAAAATTGAAATCGGGACAGGACAACGTCTGTTGGATCAGCTTTTTCACAATAAAAATTACAAAAACAATCGTTTTTTTAATTCGATTTTTAATATATTTAATTTAAAACTTTACGGCTTCGTGCTTAATTTTATTTCTTTCTTTTTAATCCGTTTTAATCTATATATATTATAAAGAGAAAATATATATGGTTTTGTTCGTAATAATAATATACTAAAAATCCGCTAAACTGATTTAAATGAAATTTAGGATGAAAATAGTTTGAGACCCCGGGAAGTATCCATTATTATCATATATAGTATATATTAGTATATTTATATACATAGGTAAACCTAACATACCTATGTATATAAATATACTAACATATAGTCTATCTATTCCATACTAACCGTTGAAACGTCCCTATGGACGAACTCGAGCGAAGCGAGGTTGAGCCGCTAGTTATGTATAACTAGGATTGTGCAGCAATCTATTTAAATAATCCTATACGTCTTTATTGTCTGTCCATATTGGGCTTTTCGAATTTAAAGTAACTTTAACACTTTAGAATAGCTTATATTATTTTAATAGCTCAATATTCGTACTTGTTCCAAAATACAGATAGATAATTTAAATACATTCAAGAAAAGATTTTTTTTGAATTGAATTTAAGTAATAATAATTATACACAAACACGGTTACGCCGACTTCCGTCATATATCCATACTAATATGTATTATAAATGTGAAAGTGTGTTTGTTTGTTTGATTGGGACAGAGACGAACCCAAGCGAAGCGAGGGTGAGTCACTAGTATTCGTATAAATAAATATATTTATACGAATATTAGTGACTCATCCTCGCTTTCTAGTTCTAAAACGTTTCTTTATCATTTTTCTCAATACATTACAGGAAAATTTAAGGAAATGCACTTAGCATTAAACGTTTCTTTCTTAATTTTTTTAGTTTTGAAAAGATGCATTTTGCCCCTGCGTCATTATTCTGATAGTTAAGTAGCTCAACTTTAATATAATCCTGGAAAATGGAAACAATTTCTCATCTCAATTACAAGCTTGCAGCTCCCTGTCTGTAAAAGTATCCTCTAGGATTACACATTGTTGGCGCGGTTGAAATCCTGTTAACATTATGTTTTGTTGTATACGTTAGAATACTAGATTGGATACTTAGAAACAATATAAATAATGCAAATTACAATGATAAAGCATTATTCCCTCTTTAATTTATTAATTAACTATCGACTCACCCTCGCTTCGCTCGGGTTCGTCCCTAGGTACGTTTTAAATTATTTGTGCGGAACCCTAATTCTTTTTCTAAAATAAAAGTAGCCTATGTTACTCCCTATAACATCAGCTATCTTCCAGTGAAAGTCCCGTCAAAATCAAATTCATAGATTATCCGGAACAAACATACAGCCAGACAAAAATTAAAAAAAAAAGTGTTTTTCTTATAAGTACCGTATATAATTTGATATGCATTTAGTAAAACGCTGTTATTTTGACATTACAAACAGACACTTCAGTTTTACTTATCTGTATATATAATTATTATACTTTTACTATCCACTTACACTAGCTTCGGTCGGTTGCATCCCTAGGTGCCTATAGTAGCCTAAGTAGTCTATATTTTATTACGGTATGTATTATAGATTTTATCCAAATCCGTCAAACCGTTTCAGAGTTATAGAGTATTAAACATACACACACATACATATTCAAACTTTCGCATTTATAATAGTAGTCCCATATGAGAATAAAATCAGTATAAATTTAAGGTTAAAAAACTAAAAAGCAAAAGCGTGTTTTTTTTAAGTTTTTTATACTATAATTATATTACTTCACGTATTTCCACTAATTGGTCGCCTCATTTTAAGAAAACGTCAAGATCATAAGGAAATGCGTCTTTGTTTGTGATATTATATCATATGAAGCGTCTGTGACATGCTTTTTCTCTATACTCGTTCCTAGGTGAACAACCGCGGTGGATGGAGTTCTCTAGGCGGCACGAGTGAACTGCGCCGCGCAAGCAACTCAAGCACACTCTTCCAATCTCCGGGCTACGGCGCTATGAAGAATTCCACTTCTGAGCCTTACTCAAAATGGTCAGTGCTTTTGTTTTATAATGTTAAAGTTCTTGTCTCATATAAATATATTTTTACATATTGTATAACTTGACAATTGATATACAAAATTATTAACTTATACAATATATATATATATATATATATATATATATATATATATATATATATGTGTGTGTGCTTTGCTTTGTATGGGCTGGCACCGATTTCGAAAATATTTGATTAGGTATGTATTTAATAGGTAGGCTTTAATTACTTAGCTAAAGCACACCGAGTTCGAAAATATTGATTAGATATGTATAGTAAATGAAAACTACCTATCTGTTATTTTTTACTTTTTAGTGCTTTTGTTTGAAGTCTGTTTTTATTTTTTTGTTAAAAAGTTTTTATTTTTCCCTTTTTAATGTAGACAGTAGTAGCAAAGTAAGAATTCTGACGTGTTAGGCTTGTCAAATCAAACAAAATAAGCCCAAACTCAACGTATCTACTATTAACCGTTGAAGAGTTCCACCTATCCACCTTCTGGCCTTAACATCAGATCAGGTCAACAATACCCAACCACTGTACTATCTACGGAAATAGAAACACTTGCAAAGTTTCAAGTCAATATGACAATTAGAAGTAGATTTAAATTCATCATTGGCTATTTTTCCACCCTTAGGGGTGTTTTTTTTTTTTGAAATTTAAATGGGACCAATCTGGAAGTATACACTTTCAAACAACACAAAAATTGTCCAAATCGGTTAATAAATGACGGAGTTCTGAGGTAACAAACATTAAAAAAAATACAGTCGAATTGAAAACCTCCTCCTTTTTGAAGTCGGTTGAAAATAATTAGATTTGCATTTGCATTGCAATTTAAATTGAAAAAAATATATATACTTGTAATAGTTATAATATGTCACGTAAAATTGTAAATACCGGTACATTATAGTCTATCTCGCAAGATTGTAGACTGTCGAAAGATTTTGAACCGTAACCTACTGCTTACAATTTAATTAACGCATTATTGTTCGGTAGATTATAATCTATCGAAGTGAAACCGGCAAATTGTGAAATGGAAGAATTTACCAAGAAACTATTACAGTGGGCATAATGAAAATGAGTTTAAATTACAATGGACAAATCAAAAAATTTCGTTTAATATTTGGATTCTTCTAAAGTTTTTGTTCTAAAAGTTCTAGTCGCTTATGGCGTTGTGGTCACTGTTAGTAATTAGAAGACTGGTAGAAAGAAATAAAGGAGTCTTCCGAGTAAGACTTAACTCAAGCCTTAGCCTTCTCAACCTACGTTATCCAAGTCGGAACTTTCACATAATCAAAAAATAAAACAACTAAAAATAAAGCATTTATTTTATTTCATTGATAGCTCTTTGAATTCTTCTATCTAATTATCTAACGGTATTTACAAGTTTACGGTGACATACATAATACATTGTATAGCTTTAATTTTAATCTTGAATTTATAACTTACTAGCTAGCGACTCATACTCGCTCGGGATGGTCCCTACTTACGTTTTAACGTTTAGTTTAGTTTTCACAGAGTTGAAATATTTTCCCGCTGTAAAAAGTATCCTATATGTTGACCCGGATAACCAGCTATCATCATACCAAATGTCATCAAAATCTGTCCAGTGGTTGGATACAGTCAGACAGACAGACAAAAATTCTAAAAAGTATAGATTCAGCCTCTGTATCGATAATAATGACTGTTTCAGTAAGATTTTCCAAAAAAAAATTTATGTACAGATTCGACTCAGAATTTTATTATATGTATAGATTTTTCATTTATATAAAAACAAGCAGAACCCGCGGCTTCGCTCGCGCAAAGACTACAAAAAAAATCTCTAAAAATGTCGTTTCATACAAATTTTCATCCCCTATTTTACCCACTTATAGGATGAATTTCAAAAAAAAGAAAAATGTTAAAACACGTATTTATTTAATTTTATTGAAGAGCATTAATGCCAAGTTTCAAGTAATTCTGATCATAATTATTTTTTTTTGGATTGTATTATAACGTGTTTTCCCGTGGGAATTAGATAAATTATCTTCGGCGGTAAAAAGTAGCCTATGTCATTCTCCAGCCTTCCAACTATCTCCACACAAAAAATCACGCCAATCCGTCACTCCGTTTCGACGTGAAAGAAGGACAAACAAACAAAGAAACACACTTTCACATTTATAATATTAGTATGGAAGTATGGATACCAAGAGAAGAGTCATTTTTAAAAAGTACTAAATTGCTTCACGTCGATCAACCAATTTAAATGAGTGGCAACATCTATTGCATTTATCTAAATAAAGCATCTTCAATTTCAATGAACTGTGATTGTGTCTATATCTCATTAGGTAGGTAATAGATAAGCTTGAAAGGTTTCTACGAGTTAGCAATTTCTTCAGCCTTTACTTTCCTAGTCTTATGGAATTCCAACTTTTCTTCCTTTTATAATTCTTTTCTAACTCTATCCCTATTTATAATTTAGCGGTCAAAAGTATGATTTTACGAAGTTAAATAATAACTAAAACGGCCAGTGATGAAATGTGTGTCTATAGCTTTATTTAGTTATGTAGATTACGAATATATTTATAACTAGCGACTTAACCTCGCTCCGCTCGGGTTCTTCCCTACTTACGTTTTAACGTTTAGTATAAATTTCTCAGAGATGAGATATTTTCCCGCAATAAAAAGTATCCTTTATGTTGATCCGGATAACCAGTTATCATCATACGAAATTTCAGCAAAATTCCTGCAGTGGTTTTTCCGTGATGCGGTAACAGACAGACAGCCAGGCAAAAATTCTAAAAACTATAGATTCGGCCTCTGTATCGATAATAATGACTATTTCAATAAGATTTTCTAAAAAATATTTAGTGTACAGATTCGGCTTAGTTAGAATTTTATTATATGTATAGATATGTATGTGTAGTTTTCACAAATAATAATAATATAATAATAAATTTTGTTTTTGTAATATTTTATTTATTTTTCGGTATTTATTATCTCTCTTTCCCACTAACACACATCATTCACACATAATAATATTTATTATTGTTTCTTCTAATGGATTGACATAATTGTAAATATTCTTTAACACTTGGCATGGATTTCCGTTTTATAGGTCATTGTAGTCTAATAGCTATTTGGTCCTGCAATTTTTTTTCAAATAAAATATTTGAAAATTAACCTATTTCTACACATCTGACAGAAATAAGTTTATTTCCAAATTATGAATTAAGTTTCATTAGTAGCCGCATTGGGTCATGACGCCATACAAATTTGTTCAATCCTTTCGACACGACTTTTATATGTCGGGCACGTGACATTCTTATAGGATATATTTAGCATAAATAAAACTTACTGAAACCTGTTCTCTTCGAGTTGTTGGCTCACTCGCATTACTTCTAAACAACTAAAACGTGCTGTCGAGCCACGTGATTTATGTGGCAGATTCTTTTTTCCTAAATACGAGATTGTGTAACTAGAAATTGTTTCTTGTTTTAAATTTAGTATTTCATGTGACACTATGTTTTGAAAATAATAATAAAATAAGCGCGCAATCATAAATTTGCACGAATTCTGCGCTAATAAAATTAAAACAGATTGCAGATTAATTGCATTCGCACCACTGCATGTCGACGCGCATGCACAGCTCATTAAAATATTAATGATTGAGATAATGCATTTTTCAAGATCACAATTATTTATTTGAATTGTTTTATTAAATTTAGAGTACCTAGGATATGGGTAATCACTCGTCACCATTTTCATGCTCTGAAGCGGTTTTTCCGTCAAACATTAAGGCGACTCGATCCCTTCGTATACAAAAAACGTACTTATTTAGTTCAAACTTACAGTTAATCTAAATTATTTATTATTTGAAGATTTTATATCATCATTTAAATTATTTTAATAGATAGTTTTATGTAACCCGTGCGCACTATAAATAATTAAGCATAATTAATGATACTTACCATAAATGTAATGAAAGTGAAAAATTACTTGTATACAATTTGTATATTGTATGATTCCACATATAAAATTTAAAGTCCAAATGAAATTCTTACAAATGACGGGCAAAAGAAACGGTTGGTTAAAAGTTGCTGTTTTCCGCAATCTGTGATTTTAATACTAAATAGGAATTTTCTTTTACATATTTTCTTTAATATTATTTAAAGTATAGATTATGAAAAAATATGCATTTAGATACAACATATAATTTCTAAGATTCTTCGAATTCTAATTCGTTTATTTATTACATACGACTATGATTTCTAGCAACTTTCGATGTTTCATTAACATTTCATTACTAGGGAAGGCCAATTGTTGCACGAAAGAACTTACTGATAGCCAGTATCTATTTCAGAGAACTATCTTAATCCCTCCACGACCGCGGACACGCCGGCGTTACAGTTAACAATAGATTTCTTAGAAATTTACCTGGAGGTGTTAATGTATATTGAATAGATAGATGTTCACATGATAGTATAAATATATGAATATACTCCATTTTATTGAGTTCCGTTTACCTCATGGTAATTTACCTAAAATGATGATTATTTTTATAATATTAGCTAGCTGTTATTAGTTACTACATTTTATTATAATAATGTAGTTCATAAGTACTAGATATTATATTATTTCCGTATATGATATTCTAAAAATATATGATAGTAATATGCTTATCTTCCTCATAGACTAAATACACTGACGCTCTTTAAATTAAATTGATGATTTAAAAGTGCGTGTGTAAGTTTATCAATGCAATGATTTTTTATTTGCCAAAAAAAGGATAATTCCTTAATCTCATCCTCCATCTACTGTATACATTCGTGACAATTGACTACGGAAATTACTACTTTTGAACAGAATAAACAGAGGGTCTGCGTAGACAGAATTCAATCGCTTATTCCCATTCAGCAATAAATACTCTATTAATATACTTATTGGTGGGGCAAATGGGTAGAGCCAGAAATAAAATTCCCAGAAAGAAAATAGTTATTCTAAATTATTTTTTATTTAAACCCCCTAAGAACTTATTACAATTTGCTGATTGACCGTCTTTGGGAGTAAGGGCGAATAGATAAACGAGGGACTAATAAAATAACAAAGCTCTTGACTTGACCAGTTGCATCAGTGCTCTATTAATAGATAATTCTTCTATCCGTCGCTTTGTACTATACTTCACTACAAGCAACTAGTTGCAATGTAGTTGCGAATAAGAATCTAGACTTTTTTTCGTAAATATTTTTAAAGTACTGTTAGGTGTTAATAGCGAAACCCACTCTCCTGACTACATAAGTAGGCGAAAGTTTAAATAAGTTAATGCTTATTAAAACGTAAATCACGAAAACCATTGTCAATGTTAATAATTATTATCAAAAAAAAAGTTAGGTTTACAAGTAATATCATTATTATAAAATTAAAAGTTCATTTGTTACCATTTTAAATATTTTGTAGGAGTGAGCAAACCCAACCGGGGATAGTGCAATCAGTGGCAGCGCGAAACAACTTGGACACCCGCGATTTATCGCAAGTCGGGGTATCGAGCCCACCGCCAGATATCAAGAGCATCACTATCAAGAAGAAGAAAGATGATGATTCCTGGGATTGGCTCAACAACTAAACACCTTAGAACCTGGTTAGTATAAGTTGCTAAAGTAGTAGTAGTACTATAGTTTCAAACCACAGAATATATAATATTAGTCTAGAGATCTCTAAGCCATTTTACAAAAAATTTGTATGAAGCTGAATTCTCGTGTATAGCTTCGATCAGATAAGATGCTCAACTTCCTTCTCATAGATAATGAAGGCTAATACAGAGGTTACAAGTGTTAAACATGCCAATGGGTTAAAAAGTTATGGTTCAAAAAACATACGAATTCAAATAATTTCTAGGGCAATGTTGCCATTACATTATGCATATTAGATTTTTATTATTAGAAAAATAAATTAGCTGGTTAGTAACATAATTTATGATGGCCCAATTATTGGTACACTACATATTGAATGTGGGAGAAACTCTTGTCAGATAATTTATTATGTTAATATATTAAAAAAATATATATTAGTCAATTATTAATTGTAAGAACTTGAACAAACATACATTTGACATGTTTTACACCTGTATTTTTTTTTCTTTTAAACCACTTCTTTTCTCGATAGTGCAGTATAAAAATGGATAGCATGCACTATTTTACTACTTTGGTTCCTTTGTTTTTATATCCCTAATAATTCAGCCACATTGGTTGTTACTTAATGATGTCGACTGTACGTTGTATTTACTTCAATATGTTTCTTTCAGATGGCACAAAAGGACAAATGCTCTACAATATTTGCTGTTGTGCAATTATCCGTAGATTTAGATTTAATTCCAGTAAATGTTACGATTATTTCACTTCATTATATGTGTGTAGTACAAAGAGTACCTATACCTTTATTGCAATAGTAACTTGTTATTAATTATGTAATTGAAAAATATTCTATAAAGAAATTGTATTCGTAACTTTGCTTATGAAAAAAAAACTAAATGTATTTAATGTCTCCACATTCTATTGTTATTATCATAATGTATTTATGCTTTAGTCATTTTTAATATAGTAATATTGTGTCAAAGTTAACTACGAAAAATATCACACGAAATTGTAATCTTTGTGTGTATTGTAATAAATACAGTTTAAGCAAATGTTAAAATGCCCTAATGTGGGTTCCTTAGTAAATCTCTCTTCTCCTGCCATAAATCAAGAACTCGTAATATAAAAAAAAACTTTTTTTATTACATAATATGTACGCACATAAAAAGTTATACTTCTTTGGCGTAACAGAACAAAAAGAGCTAAAGATTTCATCCGTATGTCACAACTCTCTGTTTGTAAAAGGAATGAAGCTAACTTCATCATGTCGGTCTCAGCTAACTCCATCATGTCGCTTTTTACTCTCATATTTTTTCCAAACGTGCCAAAAGAAGTATAACTTTAAAAATAACAGTAATATATGTTTTGCATTTATTCGAAAGTATAGTTGTGTTTAAGGTTTTGTCTAGATCAATCAAATGAGTGCTGAGTTCTTGTTCATTTCGATTCATCGCAGTGCAATTTCTCGATCAATCATCAACTAAATCTTATGAACATGACCATGACTTACTCGTATATAAAGTGCGTGTGCTGGATTTGAAATAATACTATATTACGCTTATAAAATTACTTTTTTATATTCAAGTTTTTACCTGTTGTAATTACTACAAAAATTCTAACGCTGTTGACAAATGTTAATAATAAATGGCTCCTGTCCTTACTACCGTTGCTGCCTAATTATGCTTTACAAGAACAGATTAAGTGATCAATAGAGATTACTTCATATGTTTCAACATTTTGTACTTCTCTCGTGCTTTACATGGTATGAAACTTGAATTGATATATAGTACGATTTTGTAATGCTAATATCATTTAAGGAGATAAAGTTAACAATTTCCATTAGCGACAAATCGCGTAGATGAAATTAATAATTAAATTAAATGAATTTGTTGTAGAAAACTACGTAACAATACTAATAAATAAATAATAATAGAACCATATCAATATCATAATCTTTTTAATAAATGGTAAAGTAAGTATCCTTTACGATTATAGTATTTTAAGTTAATTATAAATAATGGCACAAAATTAATGGAGGTTGTTACACTGCGCTCATATTATTTAAAAAATAAAATTTTACTTAACTAATTAAAAGTTAATAGCCGATACATATGGCGCCCGACTCATTGTCGTAGCCAGCTAAGGTCAAGGGTGGGTGCGCCCACGGCCACATGAAAAACAATCCAAATACTAAAATTTCATTTAACATCCATACAAGTATAAGTATTGAGGATTTCTCAATGGCTCTAGTGAGAAGGCTCGGGTCGGGTGTTTAGGTAATGAGTTTTTCTGTCAAGACATTCTCAGTAGCATCCCGAAGTTAGGAATTTGGCGGTATTTCACCTCCGTGCCTTGGAGTGTGGCAGGAAGAGAGAGTGCACATTGTGTTTGTGCACATGCTTGACGCTTGTGCACTATAATATCTCCTGCGCGCGCACATGGCTGGTCTCAATGAAATTGACCGATGGAATCGGTGATTATTGTTATTATTCCGCTATGATCAATTAACCTTTTACGCCATTTGAAGACTGTGGTCCTTCTTATATTTCTCTCTTCAAAGAAAAATTGACCCCTCGTACAATATTAAGAAACAAAGTATAGCTAAAGACTCTTCTAGTTGCCCTTATTGTGTACAAAAATAGTTCTTTTTTGACATTTATAAATTAAATTGCCACAACGAAAATTAAACTATATACTAGGTATATTTAAGTGTAAGTTTTGGACTTCATCTTAGGGCAGTGTGGTGCTATGATGCAGAGGGGGCTGCCTCAGGCGGCACAAAATAGGAGCGGCATTTGGAGCCAACAAATATATCAGATTCTCATGCTTATCTCCTGTATTTTTTTCGGGCGGAGAACCATTTTATATAGTAATTTGACGGAATTGTCTAGTAATTGACAATATAGCTATATACCTTTTAGCAATATATCTCCAATAGTCTCTGAGTAATATTACTGTGACAGAGATATAAACGGTCGGACAGACAAATTATAAGGATTTCGTTTCTGCCTTTTAGTTAGAGAACCATATTGAAAAATTCCTAGGGGCGGCATTTCCAAAACTTGTATCATTCTGAGAAAATCTACTGCATGGCCCTGCTTCATCTCAAAATGTTTGTTAATTAAGTTTGTTAATTTTTCTTCCTATTTCTTAGTTTAAAGTTAATGATGGTTCGAAGTTTAACTAGGTTATTAATGTTTTAATTAACAAATTGGCGCTAATGGCAATAGTCAATAACGTCTTTCTTGTAACCTCGTCGTTTGATCACTATAATTCTACCAAAATTATCTGATTAAACTGTTATGGTGACAGAACTTTTCGATAGGCACGATATTACTTGGTAGCGTATAAAGATACTTTTGAGTTCTCGTATCTAGTGATTTCTTAAAGCAGCCTAATCTACACTATATTAATGTCTTATTGTATTATTATGTTAGTAAAATTAGCATGCGAACATAAATATCATGCTCAGTAAAGTAAATATTTTTACTAGTTTCTATTTGTGGCAGCCTAGGCGTGGAATATGCGGAAGAGACACTAATACGTACGCATTTTTAATATATAATAAATTATTTATATATAGCTATATATACATCATTACCTACTGCGACTTGCGAGACTAAATCTGTATATATTAGTGAAATGCTCAACCATATTTAAATGTTTTTAATCTAATTGCTTAGTGATTTTTTTTTAAATATTTATAATTATATTAAAAAAACGTAATTTGGCCGGGCAAGACACCAGTTAAGCTTTTTATTAAATATATTTTTAATAATTATATTATAATATAGAAAATAAATTTAAACAAAATTGTCTACTACGTACATACTTATTTTCCCTTCAAAAGAGGATAGTATGAAATTAGTATTACGATAGGAAATTAAAAATGGACTGACTTGTCTTCTTCTCGATTAGGTACATTGGGTTTCATTTTATGGTTATTCTGATTTAGAGGTCATATTTAGTCTAAAATGAACCATACCATTGTCATTTATCCTCATGACGACAAATTATAATTTAGGGGAATGCCAGTATATAACTTTTTATCTACGTTTTTTAAAGTAAACTATAAAAAACGTCCTATATATTTAGACTGTTGTAATTATATTATTTTTATACAATCTAAAAAAACTATTTACAATATAATAATAATTTTACATCTAATTTTAAAAACTATTCCAATTACTACATTTTATGTAATTACATTTATATGTATTGTTTGAATCAAACTTTTATGATAGCAGATTTTTTTGTTGTCATTTGTTAATTTGGGCTATTTAGACATATTATGTACTGTATTTTAGTTATTAAGTATTGCCTACTATAAGAAAGTATTTTTTTGGCCATTTTAATTAAGATGATGTTATATTTCTATGTACAAAATATTGATAATATAATGAAATTAAAATTCTAAGGAAATGTTAAGATTTATTTTGCATACTGTGTACATATATCTGAGTACTATAGAGATGAAAAGAAGACTATAAGGAGATAGGAATTCCTAAACTGGAACTAGATAGATGTTATAGTATACTTAAGTGCTGATGTCTTTATTTACTAAAGAAAATCTCAAATCATAGTTATTGTGGAAAAAATTCATCTGTTTGCGTGGTATTTTTAGAGAATTTTATTGATAATATCGATCAATCGATAATTTATAAGCTATAGACTTATTTTATGCATGACATATGTATGGATTACCTTCTTGATGTTACTGTTCTTTACTAATGAAATCATACATTTTATTAAGTCTGGATGTTAGTTGATTTTTGGTTTATTATAATTGTATTAAAAATATCAATAAATAAAGAATCTTAGATGTGTTGTATGCTTTTATTAAACCCTATTAATATGACAAATTCCCATAATCAACATAAAATAATCATAAAAATCAGAAACAGATAATATATTATAATATCTAATGGAATAACAAAAAGGAAGCTCAGCATCTTTTATTTAGAGAAAAATATCCTAAAAATGATACTTTACTAATTATAATGATGCAAAATTATGTACCATTATACCTCTTACTTAATTATTTGGTCAGATAAGTATTAAGGCAATTTTGAGTGTGATGATGGCACTTTATAAAAAAATTGTAAAGCCAACATAACATCAAATCGGCCACAGATATTACTACAAGTATTAATGCTTAATGCTTACAATAATTAACCAAGTCACCCCACCCCAGTCCCCACAATACATAAAAAGATACATAGACAAAATACAAAATACTTACATATTAGTTAGGAAACCCATTAGCCATGCTGACATTTTTACCAATGTTAGATGATATCAATCAATGATATTTTAATGTTCAATACTTTATTAACTATTACTTTCACCATCTAAAAATTTGTGTTATACAAATATCTTGAAGGTTATACAATAAGAATAATAATAATTAAACTATGCATTATCCATGAAACTTGAAAAACCAATATTTCCTTAACATACATTATACATTATTCATTGTTTAATATAGCTATAACAATGTTGATATAAATAAACAATTTATCCTCAAAGTGTATTATACTATATATGTACCTACTAAGTTTATTACGAGTACACAGTAAGAAATTAGATTTTGTCAACTTACTCTAATATTATAAGAAATTTATATCTATGATGCCCACATATAAAAGTATATGTCCTGCCAGTGACTAAGGTATTGAATGATAGGACTACATATAAATGACAACATTGGAATTTTGTTTGAAGTTGAGGTCAAAACACTCTCAATAATATTTTTAGAATAACCATTATACATTGGACTACGTAGCAGATATAAAACTAGCCCAAGTTTTCTTCTACTTATTTCTAATCTTTGTTCATAGGAGAAATTATCCATATGTCGATTGTATAATTTGAAACTTGCAATGTCAATGCCCAAAGCTAAAAGCCACTGTTTCCACGACTTGCTTCCAAAAATTCGCATTGCTGCAAGGTGAATTAACGGTTTTAAGATATGCAATAGTTCTGCTTTAAAAATATCTTTTCCTTCAACTGTAGGTGAAATATTTTCTTTTATTTTTAGTGGCTGCCAATCTCTAAGTGCAACTGGTGGTGCTCCGTCTATTCGTCTGATAACTCTACCTGATCTTTGTAGAGTAAAACAAGAATTTGAATTATCATCTGTATCTTTTCCATCAATAAATTTTTTTCTTTGTAAAGCTGGTATGGGTGGATGTTGAATAGGTATTTCTTTATATCTGTATAGTAGAACAATAGCTGAAGCACACTTAAACATCTGAATCAGACTTGTTGCAGTCCATTTTCCTTTATTACCCCATCGATTCCTGACTACTAATTCAACAAAAACTTCACAATAATGAATTATAGTAAGCCATAATTTTATTTGTTCGCGTAAACCATAGTCATTTAATTCATTTCCATATGCTTCTTTTATGAGTCGATCATTGAATAATGACAAGAGTTTAGATAAGGAATACACAAGTTCAGATATTATAGGTGATTTATTAATTTTACCAGCAACAAAATAAGACGACCATGTTGCAACAGTTTCTACATCTGTCACTAGACCAGGATTATTAATCACCCATCTCTTATAAATGGAATATAACTCAGTGAGTGACAATTTTTTATCCATAACTAAATTTGTATAGAAAATTATATTTTATTGGATAACTATCACAAGGTATCTAAACGCAGCTTGTTTTTTAAGTTGCAGATTCCATACCCGTTTTAAATCTTTGAACTCTTGGAACTTCGTAAGCGAGGTTTATTAAGGCAAGTTTTTTTATATTAAAAAGTATGATGCATTTTACCTTATTATTGAATTAGATTTATTTTCTAGTACTAATCAAGTGGTATAATTTCTAAGTTTTTCTAGCCTTCAAGTTCAATGTTCCAATTTTATGTCATTTATACATCAAACTTCAAAGTTCAAACTGGTTCAAACCAATGACCAATGATATACATCTCTATGGTTCAAACTCATTTTCACAGACTATACATAATACAGTTGATATTATAAGTCTACGTAGATATCATGGATCTGGTAGATATTTTTTTTAAACTATCCATGCTACAGACTATTTAAATACAAAAGACTAGCGCTAACTATTGTTTAGACTATAAATGAATAGTATAGAGTAGGTAGTAGCATATCAAACGAAATACGATCGTTTATTTGCACCCAAAGGGATCTTGGGGAAGAATTTTGTTTTTTTCTCCCGCCAGATGTCGTTTTCACTAAAACCCTCACCCTCAGTATATTGTAAAGCTCTATAGCATGGCTTGATTTCTTTTTATTTTATTTAAAAATTTAATTTAAATTACAAATTGTGCAGTGCTCAGGATGCAAAGAAAATGGACATCATTTGTTCCCAAAAGACAAACTCAATATGGTATGGTATGGTATGGTATGGTATATTCGGGCTGTTTTCCGCAACTCGACGACTATGCGCCTATTTTGCGTGTGTGGGAAATTAACTTCTTGTTACTCTTGCCACCCCAGTTCCTCCAGGAACTTCAGCAACCTCTTCGTCTTGCCGAAAATTTCCGGGAGCGACCCAGGAGTGCCAAGATGTTGAGCCCGGTACGTCGCTACACCTGGACAATACAAGATCACATGTGCAGCCGTTTCATCTGCCCCCATGCACGCCCTGCAAAGTGGACTGTCAGTTATACCTATATTAAATAGATGTTTATTATATGGTCCATGGCTGGTTAAGGCCGCGGTTATTTGCCTGAGTTGAGGTCTGTTAAGTTTGATGATACGGTTCGATATTTTGGCATCAATGTTTGGAAGCGATTCTTTCGCCTGTCTACAGTCTACAACTTCACGCCATACATTGTTGTGTTGGCGTTTAGTTCGTTGTCGGATTTGGCCTTTGAGCCAGCAAGAAGGTAACGAGACGATGGGCTCTGGTCCTATCGCCGTCATGTCCGAACCCCTTCTTGCTAGCTCATCTGCCTTATCGTTCCCCCACGAGTTACTGTGGCCTTTGATCCATTGTAAGGTAATCTCATTCGGGTCACGTACCTGTGTCAAGGCCTTATGACATTCATAGATCATACCTGAAGTGGTAGAATTACTATTTAATGCCTGTAGTGCTGACATGCTGTCTGATAATATGCGGATGGAGCAGTCTTCCACCTTCTTTGTCGCAATTGTTCTGGCTGCCTCAAGGATACCTAGACTTTCAGCTTGAAACACCGTGTTGTAGGTACCTAGAGGTATTGAGGTTTTAATGTTTAGATCATCGGAGAAAATGCCACAGCCAGTCCCCGATTTGGTTTTCGAGCCGTCGGTGTAGATTATTAGGTCCTTACTGTCGCGACCTTCATATGTATCTTCCTCCAGCTGTATTTTATATTTTTTGTCAAAAACAAACTCAATATATTGTGGGCTAAAACATTAAGATGATCAAAATTAGCGACATCACATTTTTTATATTTAAGGCTATGTGGACATAATATTAAAGAATGTGATTTTAAAACTCTAAAATCCTCTTGAATATATTTTTTTTTACTTTTTTACTCATTAATTACAGAGTTTCATACAAACTTTAATCCCTCATTTTACATCGTTATGGGATCAAATTTCGAAAAATGCTAAAACACGTATTTATTGAAAAGATTAATACCAACCTTCATGTAATTCTGGTCATAAATCTTTGCCCATATAAACTTTATTCTCCTCTTTTACCCCCTTGTAAGGGATGTATTTTGAAAAAAATCAAATAAATATAATTCTTATTTGTTGTTTTATCTTAAAGCTAAACACCACTTTCCGTGTATCTCACATTAAGGATAACAGAGTTTCATACAATATTTAATCCCCTATTTTATTCACTTAGGAGATAAATTTTGAAAAATCCCATTTTATCGGATGCCTACATCATATAAGGAATATGTCCTTTAAATTTTATGTTTCTATGACCAGAGGCTTAGGTTGTGTGTTGATCCATCCGTCAGTCAGGACCACCACAAGGTGCACCTCTCCTTCTCAATTAATCCTTTAGTTGATCTAACTTCCAGGTACAATATATTGCACAGGTAAGATGCGAACACTTTAGAAACAAAAAACCAGCGATCAAAGAGATATCTTAGTAAACTGCTTGATCTCAGATTGACTGTAAATAGGTCATACGTGTGGCGCCCTCGTTTGAATAAAATTTTCCTATTGTTGTTAGTTGTTACATAAAATGTAGAGTTGAAAATAAAACCAAAGAATCTAAGCTCATAAGACCTTAACGAGTGTGTATATTATACTTTTTAATCATAGTAATTGATTTTTTACTTTAAGTAGTAATGAATAAAATATTTTTGGACTGCGTAAACTTATATTCGTAAATGCAAAAAATAAAAATTAAATTATTTTTATGGCATAACCATAGTGTACTTTCGTTTGCAGAAATAAAAAAAATGCTTCCGCGTCCTCCCCTTTCCTACCGCCACCTTGGCCTTACTCTTGATAAATATTAAATTTCATTCTTGTTCGCGTTTTTATGATGCAAACGTTTACATGGAAAGAAAACACGTAAAACTATAATAAATAGTACTTAAAGTTTTGTTATCTTGTGGAATATTTGTGTTTTGTCTTCTATTTGTGACGGTGAAAAATGGATCCATTGGCGCAGATTGAATTTAACGCTACTCAATACACAATGAAAGATGATTATCCTGGTTTCGGTGCCCCGGCCTTAGAGCGTGATAAAAAGACAGTATTTTGGATGAGTGGAGTGATGGAATGCTTTTCAACGGTTTGGTCTTTATTCAAAAGCACGGATTATGAGGAAACACAAGGTAAGCTTATGTATTTAAATTACATAAATATTCCCAGGGCTCATTCGATCCGATGCAATTACAGGGACGCATCCAAGGTCGATGCGCCACGCAGCTTTGTTCAGAGGGAAGGGGTGAAATGATTGATTTTATGCATACACCAATTGCATAAATGCTAACAGCCTCCATCTACCTTGCACTATTGATTTTACTATTTTTATTACTGGAACTACTGTTGCGACATATTTGCATTTTTTTGCCTTCATAGATTTCTGATTTGATTTGAATATTATTATTATACTTTTAGTAAATATAATTATAAATATGTTTGATATTTTATAATTCATTATCTTGCATACACTAAGTACTATACCATCATAAGTATATAATATTAAAGCTTGCTGCATGACTTAAGTTCAGCGAAAGCAAAATAAGAATTTAAGTCAAATATAAAAGAATTTAAAAAAAAATTTAACTGGTGCTAAAAGCGAATTGTTAAAGTAGTTTTTTACATTGATAAATTATGCTTTTGCCACTCAAGATGTTATAGTTTCTAAATAAATAAGTGTTCATTTTTGTTATGATGTTGTATAAGTTTTTGTTAATATTACAAGGTTTATATTGCGAAATTTACATCACTTTCTAAATTGTGTGAAAATAATATCTCTTAATGATTTTTTTTTAAATAAATAATTCTTTTGTTATTCAAATGATAGTTTTTAATAAACTTTTCCTTTCATATAAACAGAGAATGACTGGGAAGTTCCTTTTGAAAACCTCACTGATTTGGTATATCTGGGTTCTGGGGCACAAGGAATTGTATTTGGAGGCAACCTCAAAGGTGAAATGGTTGCAGTAAAGAAGCTGAGGGACAAAAGTGAAGCTGATATTAAACATTTAAGGAAACTCAACCATGAAAATATAGGTGACAAGATGGTTTCTTGTTAAGAAATTATTAATATTTTTTTATAATTACACTACTTGTAAATTATAATGAAACTTATTTATTTTAGTTCGCTTCCGAGGAGTTTGCACAGTTACACCTTTCCATTGCGTAATTATGGAGTATTGTCAGTATGGACCTCTATTTGAGTTTCTCCATAGTGGTGTATCTTTTACTCCGAAGCAAATTGTAAGATGGGCAAGGGACATCGCTCTGGGCATGAGTTATCTTCATTCACATAAAATAATACACAGGGATCTCAAAAGTCCAAAGTGAGTTTTATTATCAAAGCTGTTTCTTGAAAATCTTAAGATTTCATGTCATAACAATTATTCACTTTTCTTTCTTGTAGTGTTCTGATTGCTGATAACCTTGTAGTTAAAGTTAGCGACTTTGGTACAAGTAGAGAGTGGAATGATGTAAGTGCTATAATGAGTTTTACTGGAACTGTGGCATGGATGGCACCAGAAGTGATACGTCATGAGCCATGCTCAGAGAGAGTGGATGTTTGGTCGTATGGAGTGGTGCTTTGGGAACTACTTACACAGGAGGTTCCTTACAAAAATCTTGAGACACATGCTATCATGTGGGGAGTAGGAACTGATACTATTGCATTACCTGTACCATCAACTTGCCCAAGCAGCATTCAGCTATTACTAAATCAATGTTGGAATCGTGTGCCCCGTAATAGGTGAGAAAATATTCATCATTCATCATATCTTGAATTTTGGTTTTTATAAATAAGTTAATATGTTATATGTGATGTATATATGTAATGTGTTAATAATATTTTTTTTTATAATAGACCACCATTCAAAATTATTGCTGCTCATTTGGAGATGGCAGGAGAAGAGCTGTGCTCTCTAGATATGGAAACATTCAACACTACTCAAGCACTTTGGCGCCAAGAAGTCCACAAATGTATGGAGAGGCTCTATGCAAAGTATGTAATATTAATTTAGTTTGTATCAAACTTTACCTCTTGATACTAATATCATATCATAAAGTTTGTGGGTTTGTGACGTTGTAGGGGGTAATGTTTAGATTTACTGAACCAATTTAGATGAAATTTGGTAAGAAGATAGTTTGAGACCCTGGGAAGGACATAGGATTCTTTTTATCCTGAAAATCATCCCTTAAGGGGGTGAGAATAAGGAGGCAAGTTTGTATTGGGATGCAAGCTAGGGACGAACCCGAGCGAAGCAAGGGTGAGTCGCTAGTATAATATATAAAGCTGCTTGTTTTGTATGATCTATAAATTTCCGGAATAATGATTTGAATAGAAAATGATCTGAAGTGCTGAAAGTTTGATTCTTATAAAGACATGGGTGACTGTTAAAGAATTATTTTTTTGACATCTAAAGTGAAATTTGAAAATGGGCAGCAAAATTTATATGAAAAATATTTTTTCTGACCTAATATATTTGAAACTTGCTTTTAATATCCGTGAAACCGACCTCTGATTCTTAATATGTTTTGAAATGTGTATGAAATTTTGTCTTTATGAATTAGGAATTTTGAATATACAAATGTAAATATTACAATAAATAACGTATGTGCAGGAGTGATAAGCCAGTCGCAAAGGACGCTATAGCGCAGCGTCGCGAGGACATAAAGCACGCTCGCGACGTGCGCTACGTGTACGAGCAGCAGCTATCCAGAGCTAACGAGCTCTACATGGAGGTTTGTGCTGTCCGTCTGCAACTGGAACAACGAGAACGAGTCATTGCTGAGTATGTCTCTTTCATTAGTTTTTTACTTAATACCTGTGTGCTTTTAGGGTTCCATAGACAATTATGGAACCGTTATTATTTAACTTTTAAAATTAATTATAACAAAAATTCCTAGGCGCGAGAACGCATTGAGTGGCTGTCGTTGCGGTGTACGCAAGAACTTCAAGTACTTCCACCGACAGACATCCTCGTCCTCAGATGGTATTAAAGGGCTGCCCGCCCTTACTGAGAATAACCGTCGTCGCAAGAAGAAGCACATCACAAACCAACCCACCCAACTAGTAGTCAACTATGAGGAAAACAACAAGAATGACGTGAAAACCGTCACAATGGCTCTAGATGATTGCATCACTTGCGCATGCGATGACAGCGTGAAAAATAACAACATGACCGTCACCGTGAAAGACAGCGTGGTAGAGGACAACGGGAACATCGTAGTGAAGGACACCTGCAATGATGCTCCACGCAATGATAACTATATGCCAGAAGTTGCTAATGTCTAATCAATGTCTTTCCTGTACTGTATTTTTGTAGTATTAATCATCACTATTTCACTGTTTATGAATAATTTTAAAATTATACAAGTATTCCCATCTAAACTTTCACAAATGGCCTTGTGTGTTCTAAGGTTTATGTTGTGGTGAAATAATATGAGAACCTTTAAATAGAATTGTTGCGACGTCGTTATATACCTGTATTGATTACTATTTACGTATGGTTTATGATTGCTTTCAAAAGTATAAAGAAGTGAGCTCGTAGAAGTCCCTTTGATACCTTTGGAAATGGACTGAGAGAAGAATAATGCGTTTCTTTGAGAATGATATAAAAATAATGCATTATGAAAATATTGTTAATATAATTATGCCATTGTAAAAATATTAGGTTATTGAAAATCTTTATTATAAGGGAAGGATCTCATTGTGTATGATTTTTGTTAAAAAAAAATGTTCATAAATTTTATTTGAATATTGGTTGAATGATTTGTAATTATTTTATTTTAGTCTGAAATTTAGGATCTCCATTTTATTTTAGTCAATTGGCCTAAAAGATCTCATTTTTATCTTTTGCATGATTATATGTAGGTTGTATTTTATTGAATTTTATGTGAAAAAATTCTTAAAGGAGCATTTATTTCATTAGAATAAAAATAATGTATAAAGTATCTCTAAATGTATATAAAGAATCTTTATTATTATAGTATTGAAGTAACTATCAAGTCAAGTTGCTATTGAAGTTGCATTCCAATAAAATTGTAAAGTTGATCCTTTCTTTACTACTTGTAGAAATGATTATATAAAAAACAACAAAAAAACAAAAAAAAATCACCATAAATATTTCGAATTATGTATTTTATTAGAAAAAAATATAAAAAATTGTCATTGCTCGAATATAGTAGTATTAGTTGTACTTGTAGATAACATAAGTACAAAGAGATAGATCTGTGGGTATTATTTTTAAATTACTCTTTAAAAATAATATTAATTGATCTTATATTATTATATATTTTTTTTATTATAAGTTTTAGAATATCTTTATCATGTTTTTAACAGTAGATATGCAAACATCAACGCTGTTCCACCATTCATCAAGTCTTAAGGTACATATAGTTTTAACGAGGGAGCTATCTACATAGGGATTAGCTCCCGAAATATGGCTTTGTAAATAGCTTGAATACTTCATGGAGAGAGTTGTATTTCAAATATTTATAAATGACTATAAAATTATCTGTAGTGGTTAAATATTTTTTTTATTCCGCAATGTGCTTCTACAGGGTACATTTTCTTGTGCAGATCTGAGCTTATGAAACACTGGCGCTGTTTTTTTAAACGTCCCTTACGCGTTTTTTACTTATAAATTAACTTGTGATATAAAGATGCAATTATTTAGTTAGGGTGTGTGTGTGTCTGCATTTCGTATAAACTACACAAAAGGCAAAATGTTTTATATAAAGTTTTACTTTAAAATGGTTTTAGCGGGCCTAAAACTTTTTTGTTTATCTTGATATTTATAGGGTAATTTTTGTTTGATTTGCTTGTAAAATATGCATTTTGGTTTGGTGCGTTTACATTATCTAATCGCAATAAGATTTTATAATAAAATTTTTGAATCTTAATTTCTACTTAAATATTTCTGATCATCCAATATATTTTTGTAAATATCCATTGCACAGCACGTATTGCGAAGTTAACGTTAAATTTTCATATAAAAATGATATTTTTTAGAATAGTATTTGTTGCACGACAGTATTCAGCGCTGGATTTACACTAGGCGCACTTGGGGCTAGTGCCCAGGGCGGCAAAATTCAAAGGATAAATTAAAAAAGTTCTTCGCGTTAAAGAAAATATTTTTTTATTTTCCAAAAAATGAATTAAAGAGAATATATTTTTGCATTCATCAAAAAAAAAAAGAACTGTATCGAAAGTTTTATGCAAAATTTCCATAATATATTGGCATTTCTTACATATGCCCAGGGGCGGCGCTCAGGTTGAATCCGGCACTGACTGTATTCGTCTGTGACTTTAATCCTGTAAAGCTGACAGGATTAAAGTTTCATACACGTGCTAGAATGTGACGAGGCATATGAAATTAAATTTGTGATGACTGCAACTGCGATATATGTATGTAGGTGTTTATGGGAGATATTGTATTCTTATGGCTTTGGAATTTATACTGTAGTGTGAATTTAATAAAAGTTTATGTCCAGTATTAAAACTGTATTTCGAGATTGTACCTAATTGTTTATTTATCTATCTACCTTACGATTATGAAAGTCTAAATAACTTTCGATTTAAGTTGTGACTACTCCGGTTACGGGTAAGATTATAATTTTTGGTTCAATACTAGTGTAGGTGTGAAGTATATTAAATTCCAGCGGATTATAACGAATAATCCGTTGAATAACCAATAAGTCCGTTAACGATTTATTCGTTATAATACGTACACGGTAATTAGGTATAAATAGTATATAAGGATATAGCAAATACATACCTATATGTATGTAACTTATGTATTAATTTTGAAATTGCAATATTGTGTACCAAAGTCATAAATTTTTGCCACAGAAATTAAAGATTCTCAATATTTATATTATGTACATATGCACAAGATAGGGGGATTTTGAGATCTCTTATATTCTTCTTATATTATTTAGTAGGTACTTCAAAGTTATATTTAAATTTGATAATTCTTTTTGATATCATGTTTTTTTCTAATGCATGCCATACGCAATTATTTGTATTTACTATTATATATTTCTAACTATAGATATTTAGTATTAATTTTGTCAATGTTAGCAACATTTATGGTATTAAAAATAAATTGTAAGACGTCCGAATTGAGGACTTAGTTTGTAATACTCAGTGGTTAACCAATGCTTGTTGCTGGATCATTCATGCCTACAAATAGTGAGGTATCTTCGAACTAGGTTAACCTTGATATAAAATTGAGGTTTGATATTGGGAAGTTATATTTAAACTGATAGAGTATTTTTGGTATAAAGAATGAATTCATAATCTATTTTGATAATGTTACGGCGTGAATAATAATATTATAACTATACCTTTGCATGACGTAGGATAAACCCCCATTTATGCTCTAACAATTAGCCAGTCCCCTTAGGGGTTGTCCATTAATCACGTGAGGCTTGAAAGGGGGGGGAGGGGTTTGATAAAAATCACGAAAATAACACAAGGGGGAGGGGGGGGGGGTGTAGTAAGATATCTCGTGTATTTATTTTTTCGTCAAACACCTGCAAGACGCTTATCCAGTTGTTACTGTTGAAGAATGTCTTGCTAATCCGTGGTCCGAGGACAATATACATTAAATATATTCATGTACTAGTACAATACATGTTTTTCCTATGATTACACTCTTCGTTTATTATTATTGTTATGGCAATAAAAAAAAACTTGCAACCTGGTGTAGACATTTTTATTATGGTCCTTAATTTCAGAATAAAATAAGATTATAGTTTATACCTGTATTTAAATTAAGATAATATTCAGAAAATTTTAAGATTCGTTGTAGGTACTAAAAATAGACGTGATGTTGAGAAGGGGGAGGGGGGGGTGGTCTTAAACCTCACTACGTATCACCAATGGGGGAGGGGGGGTTAAAAAATGCTAAAAAAAGATCACGTGATTAATGGACACCCCCTTAATGTATTTTATACACCCAACTATAGAAGGTAGGCTGAATTTATAGACTGCGTCCAGTCAACTTTTTGATGTGATTTACTATTATTATGAATATTCTGCTACACTTTACCAGTAAGACTATAATATCTAAATCTAAACTTAAGAACTTAAATTTAACATTTCAATATATGTACATCGAGAATGAGATTACATGTGGTATTCTTTATAATAATTTTGGCGGTCGATAAGACAGATTGGATGTTCATATTTTTTCTATTTTCGTTTTTGTAATGTACTGTATTAGCAAACACTGAATTTATATGACTTAAAAGTTGTTTTATAATTTTATAGCACTGGTAGCATATTGGTAACAGGCTCACTTGAATGACCAAATGAATCGGGGTTCAAATCCTGGTCTCGCGCCTTTTGATATTTCCATGTGAGATGTTTTTTCAACATGATAAAGACTTAACTAGTTTTCGAAAGACGCGTGAAGTAAGCCAAACTTCATTCGGTCAACGTGGTGGAATATAGTTTGAGCCTCTTCGTACTGAGGGGAGACCTGTGCTCAGCAATGAGACGTTATAAGAGCTAAATATATATAAATAAAAATGAATCACCGAAATGTATGTACACGCATAACTTCCGATCGATGCACCAAATTGGATAACTCTTTTTTTTGTGTTTGTTCTTGTCAGGAAATCTTGTATAAAAGATTTTTTTTACTGAAATAAGATTACCTTTAAATCTCTTGATATGAAAAGTGAGTGAGTGAAATAGTTTTTATCCCGGAAATCATCCCTTAAGGGGGTGAGTATGGGGATGAAAATTTGTATGGGGAAACAAGCTAGTGACGAACCCGAGCGAAGCGAGGGTGATTCTCTTGTTATTTAATATTATTAATTGTTGTCTACATGCGCCGGCGTATACAACTTGTGTTAACTATATCTAAATTGATATTACTTAACTATTTCTAAATTGGTCTAGACAGGCAGGTGGTCGTGTACCTACTTATGACCGTCATTATTGACGAGATGGTACAAATTAAAACCCAGTTGTTTGGCATTGTCTGCGAGTCGACTAAAAACTTCGTGCAAAAAAGTTTTTTCATTGTGTCACATAAATAAACACAAATTACCACATGTAAATTCATTTTAAACGATATAGATTACTATATTACTTAATTTTTTAATCACATACATATAAATATTAGTAAAAATAATTGTTTAGCTAATTGGATGTTTTTATGACGGAAGGATATCGATTAAATTACTCGTCTTTAAACTGTCGAAATTGAAATAGACAAAAATGGAGTATTTTTCGTGAATTGATCAGTATCCTTTCGATCAGTAGATTATATTTTGTGGACAAGTATAATCACCAATATTTAAATATATAGGTACTTATCTTCAGGGCTCTTTGTGTTACTGCTACGTTACGGTGCATGTGATATGTACTTGCATAGATTTATTTAAGATATTACGTTTCAGAGCATTTTGCAGTTTATTTAATAATTTGTCCCATCGTCGAATAAATATCACTACGAGACTCTATTTTATTTACATATTTAGTTTGTGTTAAGTTTCGGCCTTATGAATTATTTGTTTGTTTACAAGCTAAAAACTTAATATTATATTGAAAAAGTATATTAAATATTTATAAAAAAAAATTCATTTCATTTGATTAAAATACTTAATTTGTTTATTTACAAAAGCTTATTACTTTAATATATGTATTTAAACGCACACAGATATTTTGTCTCATATTTGTTTTTTTTTGTAATGTTAAGATACAATAGGGAATATGCGTGTGATTTAAATAAAGGTGAAATATTTTTTTTATAATCTTTATTGCTGTGGAATTAAGCCTAAATCATTATTATTTAATGTAATCTCTTTAGATTAAGAAAATAATTATTATTAAAAAGTGCAAATATGGGTGTGAAATTCAAAGTCGTTGAACCGTTCGCCATTGGTCAGACCGAATATGACGTCAAATTATTATTATAATAGAGCGACCAGCGATTTTGTCGCTACAAATTGAGTCGCCTTTTTCTGTGTATGTCATATTGTGACGCCACGCCAAGCGCGTGAAATGGCGGGCGGTTAAAGTATTCGTATCTGTATATTTTTATTTTTTTTATACTAAATTAATTTAATTTAATTAATTTTTTGGAGCGGTTTTTTTTACAATTATATAATGATGTTAGCTATTGTATAAAAATTTAAAATAAATCACGCAATATTCTCTATTAGGAAGTCCATAAAAATATCGTAACCGAAAAAAAAACTAACTGAAAGAATGTTCATGTATAAATTATCTGTTTGGTATTATTTTGTTCTATTAGATGTACTTATTAATTTTATGCATTTAGAATATTGAAATTCAATACGCTCATGTTTTTAAACAAAATTTCAATTTAATTCAAATAAAAAAAAACTATCCAAAATTTTAGAATACACGGTTATAAAGTTTATTTAGCAGCATTATGTTAAGCCCTGAAAGCTTGTAAATTAGCCTAAGAAATGGTCTAGCTAACTCAACTTATGTTAAAATTTGTAGTTTGATGAATAAATTATTTAAATGTCAATGCATTTTTATTTTGATTCAATATTCTACCAGCTAGTTTACACATAAATTATCACCATTCTTTTTGCAGTATTAGAAGTTTCATAACTTCTCAACTAAGATATATTACTAATTATAAAATCAGTACATTGGTGTAGTAACAGTATTGTCCAATTATTTATTAGGGTAAAATAAAATCAAATACATACCTACATTTATACTCTGCTTTAAATGCACATAAAAAAAATAAGGTTTAAAAAAAATAAAGACACCATATAATGTTAGTGTGAAAGTGCTCATTCAAAGGTAAGGTGCTCTCTAGCTATAGCGACAGTGATAGCCCAGTGACACGCTCGCGTGGATAACCGAGTGATGCGGGTTCAATCTCTGTCTCGCACATATGATATTTTCGAATCTGATATTTGCGAATCATTTCTTACATGAGAAAGGGCTGTAAATACATATATTTTATTAGTTTCCTCACGGACTTACACACAGATATTTAATGTAAAATATTTATTTTCATAATGTAAAAATGACGATTTAAAAGAGCTTGTAAAAGTCTATTTGAATAAAGTATATTTTGATGGATTGATTAAAAATACGTACAACGTAAGAAGCCGACTAGTCGGCCCTTTTTGCCGACTATTCGCCGACTACTCGCCGACTACAAAAGTGGCCGACTAGTCGGCACATCTCTAATATTTACCTATTAGATACTCATATCTTAAAATATTGTCGGCTGGCAGTGACTTCGAAAATATCTGATTAGATATCTATTCTAAATGAAAACCTCATAAATACCTTACGTGTCAATTAGTGTAGAACAGAATTAAGTCTCATAAACAAAACAAAACTGCAATATTGCATACATACTAGTATCTATTCGAATAATCTTTGAAAGATGCTTACATATGTAGGTATAACTGCGCGAGATCTTCAGTAAAAAAAGCTTCTGAAGAGCTTGAAGACGCTAGTCAAAGCCTGATTCAGTCATTTCTATATTGTTATTGTAATTACTATATTTAAAACAATATTATAGAGCTAAAGTTTATTAGGACTTGATATTTTTAAAGCTAAAGCAGAGTCGATCAATTTTGCAAGTTAAGTAGCTGACCAATTAATAAATATGTCATAACAATTTAATCGTGAAGAATAAGAGAAGTGGATCCGTTGAAGAATGTCTAAGTATGTCTCCTACATACGACGCTCTACAAGTTGCTCTCTCAGGTGAAAGCTGCAATTTGAAAGCTGCATTAGAGCAAAGGATGTAACGAAGTTTAAAGCTAGACTTGAGTCGCTTAAGAATTTTATTGTATATTATCCTGAGGAAGATTGCATTTTATCATTTTGCATAAATAAGAAATAAAACTTCATTTATCGTGTATTCATAGTTAATGACAGAAAGATTATTTTATTATTAACATTATTTTTATGTTCCCAAAACGTTATTATATGTAACGTTAAAGTTAGGCAATGTTTATGAAAAAAAAATTAGTATCTTCGAAATTAATTTCTTTTACGTACGTGCCCCTTTAATACTTTGTGGTTACAAAAACCACATAATATATTTTTAAATTTACCACAAGTCTTTGTTAATAAAGATAAGATTATATAAAATGTACTTATACGAGTTAGTAAATGAAAACTACCAATCAGTTATTTTTTACTTTTTAATGCTTTTTTTGAAGTCGGTTTTTATTTTTTTGTTTTGTTTTTCCACCCTTAGGGGTAGTTTTTTTTTTGAAATTTAAATGGGATCAATCTGGAAGTATACACTTTCAAACAAAACAAAAATGGTCTAAATCGGTTAATAAATGACGGAGTTCTGAGGTAACAAACATAAAAAAAATAAAAATAAAACATACAGTCGAATTGAGAACCTCCTCCTTTTTGAGGAACTCAGTTGAAAATTAAACGCCTTCCTGAGGAAGGCTTCCTCATATAATTTCTTGTATTGTGGTTGTACCAGAATATACAAGTAGTTTCACACGTTACATTTGAATTACAAGCCTAGAGAAAAATAAAATTTTACTTTAATTATATATAATTATAGGTATTATATTTAATTTAGGATTTTTTCAATCATAAGTACAAATGTACCTGTAAAAACTAAAATTTTGAGAATAACTTGATTAGCGATATTATTTTCATTCGCTACGTCGTGTCGTGTTGGTTAGATAATTTGAAAGCGCAGCGTTGCAAACTGCAACTCATTATACATCTTCACTAATGCGAAGTGGAGAATTTAATAGTCGTTAATTGCAACACGTGCATGTGACTTGTACAGATGAATTAATAAATTTACTAATACCTACATTTCTTTCTATAATTGTATAAGTATTAAGATTTATGTAATTAATGCTATTATTTACGGTGCTTAAATAAACTTATTTTTATTTTATATATTATATAGGTTTCGTATGAACAGCTACGCTGATGATTTTTGGAGTTCATTGAAGAGCTTTTATGACGTTATAAACAGAAAATTGTAATTGTATTATTGTAAATATATTTTAAGAAGTTTACATGTGTAAAGGTAGGTAGTTTAAAGTAATAAAATATTATGTTGATTTCATTTTTTACATTAAGTGTAGAATTGTAGCTTTCAAGTATCGACGCAAAATAATACACATAATATTCACATAGCGGTTGTTGATGATCAGTGTGTAAAAGTTAAGCGACAGAGGTGATATTAGCAAAATATTCGCGTCGTACGAAATTTGCTCTGCGCGTGTTACATTTTTTCGTATTATTTATAGAAAGTGAACGGGCGGGAGTGTGCGCGCGCACACGGTGTGGCGCGCGCGGGCCGAGAGGACTGGAGCCCATGGAGCCCCCATCGTTCCCCACCAGCGGCCCCCCAACACTCAGGGCGGTCCCCGGCGGAGACGCTGCCCTCGTCCTCCCGCTGCCCTCTGGTTCACCACCTTTTCAATTCGAATGGTACGTTCTATTTCTAGCTCTATTTCCCCCCCACTCATAAATACGAGATTGTACGTTCTAATGCTTACAATAAAGTGTGTACAAATCAAATGTTTTGTCCAAACTAAATGCCAGGTCGTTTAAAATTTTAGTACATAACTTTCATAAGACCAGCTTTTAGATTTATAGATATTTCAAGCAATGGCGTGCACAGTAAATGTAGTTATTCACATGCGCATGCGTCTCGCCGGTAAGCGTTGTTTGTTTTTCACATGTCGATGTATAAATACAGACCAGGAAGCGATGTGCAGGAGATACTCGACACTCGGCTTGTGGCGAAAAAAGTGCAATGATCAGCTCGTGTCCTGCAGATATTAGGAGATGCTTAAAACATTTGTAATCATTGATGTCGGGCCGTCTGGGTAGTGTGTTACCTGAGTAAAAATAAAATACGGTCAAGGCTAAATAAGTCGTGTAGTCTCATATATGTATTATAATCACAAAAGGCATTAATTAATATCAGAAAAGAAACACATTAATCAGAAAAAATGAAATACTTTTATAAACCACTTTTAGAATAAAGAGAGCGAGTAGTTTAAAATCAGCATTTGTAATATGCAAATCTTTTGAGTTAAACATTTCATAGCAGTTCCATTAACAGTAATGAGTTTGATTATAGACAGAATTAGATAATAAAATAAGTTGACGGCTTTTTCTTGTTCTACGATTTAAATATATGATATTATTTTATGGAAGATTTTAGAAGGCTTTTGAATAAATTTAACACTTTTGAAATTAATTAAAAAATATACTCGTATGTAAAATTAATAGTTTCTACTTATTTATTCCATCCGTTGTGGAATTAGCATATATCAACTTTGAAATGTTATTTAAAACATTGATCAGCAACTCTATAGTTAATGTTAAGCATCAACTGATTAACTGTACCTAAATTAAAATAAAATTTAATACGAAATATAAAACTCGTAAAATCATACCGATTGTTTCAAATCGAATAGTAGTCTATTATTAGTCTTAGTAGGTATACATAATACCTATGGCCTGGTTTGATGGTTGTGATGTCAGTCTGAGTTTACCTTATACTTACCAAAAATAAACATGAGGTTATCAAGTCCGTAATTCATTGTTAGGTTAGCGCCATCTTTCGTCGACTGTAAAGATTGTGGACGCAAGATCCGATGATTTATACGTTCTGCATGCAATGCCATCTGTTGATAAAATTACGAGCGATGCTGAAAACATGTTTTCAGGGATGAATATTATGTAGAAGAGATAATCTCTATACTTTTGCTTTTAACTTAATCACTTGCACTAATTTATGTTCCGATTATTTAGTACAAAAATTCTTATCTAGCATTTTATACTTTAGTCACAGTTTGTTTACGAATAATTTTGTTATTCATTGAGCTGAAAAATACTTCATCTCTTTAAATTATAAACAAGAAACGGCGCTAGCGGCGCTTCTACGAAAATATCTTGTGAGTTTTGGTTCGCGCAGTCCGCGCCTGGCCATCGCGAACTCGATTCGAAACGAGATGCGCTCCTGCCATGGGCAGCAATTGTTGCAAGGGTGACGCAGCTGGGAAACCCCTCGTGCGGTCGAGCTCTTCGATCTACAACAGGTATTTGTGGCTGGCAATCATCATCTTCCAAGAGTATTCCAGTGTTCCGTGGGTGCTGCGTATGCCGTGTCCGTACGTAGAATAGAAGATCAGTGATCAGTGTTATGCCTATTGTGAAATATGTTATAAATCCCACGATAACCAAGCTAAGCTTTATAATTGGATCGATGTATAGCCTAAAATCAAACAGTGGTGTGAATAAAATTTTGTTATTAATATCTCGACAAACTACCTCGACAGAATATCGTGATAGGCGCTTGATGAGTATTTCAGGATTCATTAACAAATTTTACTTTTGTTAAGGAGCAATTTGCAATTGTAACGTTCTCAACGATTTTATTGGATGAACACAAAACTATAGCAAAACTAGATGACTTTGCCTTCATTTAAATTAGGCGGTTATATAAACGATAGAAGTAGTATCGTGTGAAATGCACCTAAGATTAGGTGCATTTCACACGATACTACTTTATTGTTTAGAGCAGAAGTAGGTAACATATTTTTATTTATACATATACATACTTGTGTACCAGGGAACCAGATGTGTATTACCAGAAGAAACAATTAACATTTTTTAAACTAAAACAATCAAATAAATCAAAATTAGCATATCAAATTTAAAATAATTTGATATTATTTTAATTGAGTAAAATAACATAGATATTTAAAATATATTATATTCTATAATATTTTTTTATCTCTTCATCTAGATTCATAAATATAACAAAAATATTTTTACAAAATAAAGTATGTATGAAATAACGTAGGTACATTTCCTTACTTTTTTAGTTAATGTAATTTGTTTCATTCTTTTATTAATGTATTTAACTTTATGTTATTAATTACATATTTATTAAGGAATTATTTAATGTTATTCTTCGAAGTACTACAAAATGCAAAAATAATTTACTTTCATTGGTATTTCCTGAGATTAGCGCGCTTATACAAACAAAAAATTAAACAATTTCTTTTGCTTTATGAAATTATATTATATCTAAACAACAAATAAGCATTGACTCTAGATGTCTATTTTTCTCATCGGTAGACGTAAGCACCATAAAAATAAACGTTGACGAATGTCATCGATTTAATATTGTATTTACGTTTATTCTTCACCCTGAAGCTTTTTGGTTGGAGGTCACCTCGAATGAAGAAGTTTATAAATCTCTCACTATTTTGCTTTACGTTATAATTATAATTTACTAATATATCATAGAATAAATTCTTGCGGTTGACGTGATATTACACGATATGTATATATATATTAGTGTGTGCCAAAAAATGACGATATTATATCTCAGAAAATGTCCCAACAAAACTCCTGTTAAAAGCGGAGCTCAAAATCCAATTCTAAGAGGTTCTCCATCGAATTGTAAGTTTTCCCATACAAATTACAATATGATTTTTAAAACTTTTTTGTCCTGCAAACTGTGACGAAAATATTTTTCAAGAAATGAATGAATGGACCGTTTTTATTATATTATATATTTGTATTAAATTTACTATAAAAAGTTCCATTGAGTTGAATTTCTATCTACAATATTTGATTTGTTAAATAACTTTGAAGTTAAAATTTACGGTTTTTTGCATTTTTTAGCTAAACTGTAAGAGTTAGAGAAAAATGTAAAATGGCAAATTTGTAGTACGTTTCAAATCCTATAAAAAAGTGTCTGACAACTTTTTCATATCATCAATAACAACCAAAGTGACAGGCTCAAGAACATTTATTTTTTAAATTTTTGCTTTTACGAACTGAAATATCGATAATAATTAAACCAAAAAATTGGGGCAAATGCAATTACATAAAATTTTATGCATAAGTATTTAATACAAAGTATTTAAGAGATAAGTATTAAATAGCTACATACTATAGTACGTAATAGGTAAATCATTTAAAACTTAATGTACATTTAATCGATTGTGTTTACCTTTGATCATTTGATAAAATTGGCGTTATTCCAAACATTTTATGAATCTTGCGCAAAAGCTAGACGAAGCCAAGCATGCTTTGTACTACGCCTGTACGTACGTCTACAGTTAACTAACTGGGTCCATGAATTATATGGACTTTTTACTTTGAAAATTAATAATAATAATAAAACACCATTCACTATGGAGATTTAATACACTTTTTATACCTAATAGGGATTTGATAATTTACATGTGATACTTTATTATAAAGGCAGTGGTAGCCCAGTGGTAACACGCTCGCTTGGGAAACCGAGTGAACCGAGTTCAAATCCCGGGTCTCACACCTCTGATATGTTCATGTGCGAATCATTTCCAGCATGATTACCACTTGTCTTAACGATGAAGGAAAAACATCGTGAGGAAACCTGCATGTCTGAGAGTTTTGTGAGTTTTCTGGAGCAAGTTTTCAAAAGACATGTGAAGTCCGCCAACTCGCACTTGGCCAGCGTGGTGGACTATGGTCTGATCCCCCTCGTATTGAAGGGAGGCCCGTGCCCAGCTGTGGGACGTTAAAAAGGGCTGAATACATACTTTATTATAAGGTAGTAGTAGGTAGTATAAGGTAGTAGGTAACCTTGACATATACGGACAGTTATCATTATTCAAAACAAGTCAAACATTTATTTAGTTCTTATAAAATTACTAACAAATATTCAGTTCCACTCGTATTCCCTCTTCGGCGTTAAGCATTACAATAATATATAATCATAAATTGTTTATAGATAGTGACTGTTTTAGAAATGTTGTAATGTAAAAGCGATTAAAGTCTAATTTACTCAGTTTAGGGAGCTCTTTGTTAAATAGTTCTTTTAAAACTTCAACTGTATAAAATTTCATTCAAGTTCTCCCTGATTTCATTAGATTTACAAATAAATTTAAGACTAAAAAATAAGTGCTGCTAATTTTCTAAAGAGTCATAGTTCGTTGGTCTATCTTGTAGGATATTAGTGTACAGTTGATAACCTCAAATAAAGGCCTGTTTGTTATATTTTAATCAGTCTCTTAGCCACAATTCGAGCTTTCCGGTTGAAGCCGCTTTCTTAAAAGATAGGTAACGTTTATGGGATAAATTGAAGTGAAGCTTCTCAAGACGCGCCATGAGAGGGGAAGAAAGGATTGGCGTTACGATTTTTGTAACGGATACGTTTACGCTGGGACGTTACATTACAGAAGTGAAACATGAGTGATGCATTCATCATCATCAAATGAATATTGTAATTTTTCACTAAAAAAATTGCATATCTTTACGCGCGCTTGACGGGGTGGAGGGGGGGAGGGGGAGTTTGGGATGTGTGTAAGTGATCGGGCGAGGCGAACGTTTGTTGCCATGGTAACCGTTGTCATTGTCTAACAAATGATATATAATGTTATATTCTTTTTTTAAATGATATTCTACAAATATATGATTGTAATATGCCTAATATGCGCTATTTTTAGTATATCACTTATCCTAATTATTTAAAACATAATTTGAATTTCATAAAGAGTACCGATAACCTACAGAAGTTTTACTTCTTGCGCGTGTACATATTCATACACTCACTCTTGAATTTTTTTGACCTGTTAGTTTTATTTGAATCATTACAATAATTGATTGAAAATTAAATTTTATCTTAACACCATCTGTACTATGAATAATAAAATATTGTTTTCCTTTTTAAATCGATCAAAAAATATTTTTTTAGTATCTCTCCTATCCTAATTATTTAAAACATACATTTAATTTCATAAAAAGTACTATAACCTACAGAAGTTTCACTTCTTGCGCGTGTATATATCGATACACGTACTCTTTTATTTTTTTATAAATAGAAACGTATTAGAACTTAGGAGTAGAGTATGTAACATGAATGGATTCCTTAGTAATAGCTAGTAAGGAAGAGGCATTTTAAAAGAATTACTGTTTCGCTTAGTTTGAATAGCGTTACAATATAAATATAAAATATAAACAAACAAAAATAAAATTTAGGCAAAACCTAAAAAAAAACATGAAACAATTGGTTAACTATGGCTTAGGCTCGGGCTACTTTTAAAACTATACCCCGATGTACATTATATATTTATATACTATTGCCTTATGTAATAAAATATCTAGGGAAGTGGTTAATATTTTTTTCTTCTTCGGGGCAAACAAATATTTCATTATCCCTTTTTTCTTATAACACATAAGAAAATTTCAACCAATCACAGTTCTAAAGTAGTCCTTAATAGAAGGAACATTGTAGAGTTAATAAATTAGAGGCTTAGATAAATTAAGCACGAAAACCGGGGACTAAACCTTGTATCATCAACAGCTAAAAGATTTTCTTAATTTGTCTCTATATTTTCTTATATTAACCTACTTTTTTCTTTCAAGTTAACGTTTTTATTCATGCTGCTATTAATAGAATATAGCACAAACAAATCTTTCGGTATCTAGGCCGCGATACAGGAACAGTTGCATTACCAACTGGTATATATCGTGTGCCGAGGAAAAATGCATTTTATTTGAGCTTTAGGATTTCCTGTACCCAATAAAAACGGATCCGTTAGTCTTAGATGTCCGACAGACTGACACTAGATATTTTCTAAAAATCAAATGGCTGAAAAAATTGATAAATGTACATATGTCCAAATGCACCTGTAGAGTCGTTTAATGATAGTATAATACTTTCTTAGATTTACGTGACTACTGTACAATATGGATACATATAATAAAATAGTAACTTAGCAAAATCTGTACATGAAATATTTTTAAAAAACAATTAAATGACTTTACCGTATTGTTTCCAGAATATAGACTCCAAAACAATAGTTATTACATTTGTTGTCTGTTTGTCTGTTTGTGTGTGCGTGTTTCACGCAAAAAGTACTGAACTAATTTTAACAAAATTTTATATAGTGATAACTCGGGTCAACATTTAGGATACCTTTTACTACAGGAAAATCTTTCATTCCCACGGGAAAACACAATAATTGGTTTTATCGCGTCGTTCTTAGACATTTATATAGGTAACGCTGGCTAAAACTTAAGATGTACATTAAAAAATTGTTTTTTAAAAATATTTCATGTACAGATTTTGCTAAGTTACTATAGTAGAAAGTGGAGGGTCTTAAAAAGGCCTATAGAAAAATCTGCAATAGCATAAGTCTTTCTCTTTATGTACACTCGCAATAATTATTATTAACTAGTAATAAGGATGAGAACTGGGGGGTGGAAGTTTGTATGAGGCATCCATCAATTCTCAAGTAACTGATATATATAAAAAAAAATTAAAATAAATATAAACCGACTTCAAAAAATCACGAGAAATTAAAAAATAACTGATTGGTAGTTTTCATTTACTATCTGTAGGTATTAATCTATATTTTCGAAGTCGGTTTGCTTTGATTTGTATCGGCTGGCACCGACTTTGAATATCTGATTAGGTATCTATAGTAAATGAAAACACCACTAGTCATAACTTTTATATTTCCATTTTTTGTGTAGATATAGTACGAGTAGTATAATAAGAAGAAAGTATTTTAAAAATTTAGTAAGTAAAAAATCAATAATCCCTTATTTACTACACTTAGGGGAGGATTATTTCTTGAAATGGGACCAATTTTGATATAGGTATTATATCCAATAAAAAAAGAATAATTGAAATCGGACAATACTGTAAAAAGTTACGCATGGTCAAACATACAAAAAAAATCAAAATATACGTGTCGAATTGAGAACTCCTTTTTTTTCGTCGTTTCGTCGTCGTCGGTTAAAAACCATCGTACCTATGTATATAATACATATATAGTCTATCCATATATACAAGAGTCCTAATTACCGTAAACCATTTATTTTGGATTTTTTCGCGGATTAAACTTAAAAAATTAAAATAATTTATATTTTAGCATATTTTATTAATTTACTTCATTTTCTTAAATGAATTATATGTTATGAAAAGTAATTAGTCCAAAAATAACACTTCATTTTTTTGATTTGTTTCCGAAGGTTAGGCCACTGACGATAGTGATAGTCCCATGTTATCCTAGCAAATAGTGAAATGTTAATAAATTGTAAACGCTTTGAATCTATTTAGGGGAAGTTCGTCGAACTTTTATCTAGTAAGATTTATCTTTGCCTATGTGTCTAGTAAAGCTAGTAAGCTTTTACCTAGTAAGATTTATCTTTACTATATATGTATTTTATTTATACATAGGCAAAGATTTTCGGATATTTTAAAAAAAATATTATGTTACAAATCATGTATTTATTATATCTTTATATACATAACTATTATATTTTGTATTATTAATAACACTAAAATTAATTATTAAGCAATAGAGTTAAATAATATGAAAAAAGTTACCACTTTTACTTACTGTCATACTTTAATCTGGTCATAATATATTTATGCTGTTTGCCTGTTTAATATTAGGAAATAAATTTACCTAAACTTTAACAAAGTAATTGTGCTACGCGTTTGGCCGCGGCATTGGCGTCTCAAATACGATTATATTTTTAGACTAAGAACTTCTCGGGGACGAGCAGGCGGCTGTGAAATAATGAAAACAAGGGTCGCAAGGTCATGAATTTTCGCTTTAATATTAAAACATTTACATTTAGAAAACGTTAATTTTTAAAGCCGTGACTTTCATTGTCTTTATGATAAACGTTTCAACCTTAGCGCCGCTCCTGGGCTTAGTAAAAAATGCCGCCCAACTATTGAAATTTTGTATAAAATGGGTAAAGGTTTAATAAAGTTTTAATTTTTTTCTTTACTTATAATTATTTTGAAACATTCAAAAAAATAATCATGTATAAATGATTTCAATTTTCCGACAATTGTACTAGTATTTTTTTTATTATTTATTTTTCTAACCTCTGAATTTCGCCGCCCCAAAAACTTTGTCGCCCTGGGCACTAGCCCCGAGTGCCTCTAGTGTAAATCCAGCGCTGGGTCTAAGAAAGATTGTAGAATATATTTTATACTTTCTTTTGAAGGAACAGACTAACTTAATATGGAGTAGGGAATTTAAAATATTTATAATTAAACAAGTATATATTATAATGTAAACAAGTATATATATATATATATATAAAGTAATAGATCTCCTTAAATCTACTCAGTAAATAACTATTGCATATGAAATTATATTTCCGGAAGGTAACATTAATTCACTATCGAAAATGATGATACCTATCATCATTTTCGATAGTGCCTTTATGTTCCTAAACATGCGCGTCAAATCGGCTTGCTTTTATAAATAGCTGCATCTAGGGTTGCAATTATCGATCTGCCCTATTTCGCCTGCGCGTACATTACCTGGAACTGAACCGTTGCTACTCGCAACCTCTCGGCGTCCCGGGCTGTTCTGTATCCATATTATGTAATCTAACATAAAACAAAGTCAGGTTTATTTCAACACTTAAGTATAACTCGAGAACGGCTGGGTCGATTCTTATAATCTCTATATTTATATTTTATCTTTATATTTTTGTTGGATTTGACTTCACCCCGAATAGCAAAATAACTATTAAGACATTGGAAAATTTCACGAAAAAAAATTATTCAATACTAAGCGTCAAAACGTACCTACCGACGAACCTGAGCGAAGCGAGGGTGAGTCGCTAGTATGAGTATAAAATGTTTAGTTTCACTAAGTATCATATTAACAAAATATGATAGAATGTATTTTAAATGTAACTCTAGTTACACAATAATAATTACTGTTGTAAAGCCTTATACAGAAATCTTAGAATTACTAATAATATGAACAAGTACTCGTATTCTTATGGCACCCTAATAAATATTCACTAATCTCATGCCAACTGTTTCCATTCATCATTGAAGCTTACATCATTTATATTTAGAGTAACTATAAAAGTTTACGTAACCTAATGTTCGATGAATGGTGTCGACAGAGTAAGCCAAAATATTGGGAAATTAAGTATTTTTATAAATAAGTATGCCAAATAAAAAATCTTAGGTTTAATTAGCAAATTTTTATATATTTCTCTTATGCTGCGGCCTCTTGAGAGAGATACGTATTAAAAATATTAGTAGGGGCAAAATTAAAATACACATTAAATTTAATTTAATAAACTTATCACGATTAAACAACGGATGTTGCATAATGATATCGTATAACTTATAGTTATGGTCGCAAGATTATGAAAAGCTAGACACTGTAACGTTAGTGTTACCCACAGTCTTTTGTTTATTGCATGCTCGGACGCATTTCTTTACATTCGTCTTGACTAACTGTTTCAAGGTAATAAGTAATAAATATACAAGTAGATGGAAGTGTGTGTATATTTTAATTTAAAATTTATAAGTATACTTTATACAGATTATCAATATTTTTCTGAAGGACTCGTGCGGGAGCGAAACTAAACGACCGCTTTACCACGTCTGACGACGCAGGCGGCGTTCGTCTTACCATTACCGCTGCAAAGACCGGAGACAGCGGTGTTTACACCCTACAAGTAAGTTAATTTTATTGGTTTAAGAATACTATGCAGGACGTGTAGGTAACACGTTTGATATTCTTATACACTTGAAAACTAAAAATAAAATTGCGCCGGAAGTCTGTTCAGGTGGTGTAATTCGCTCTTTAAATGTTTACGTTAAGAAACTTTAACAATATTATGTCGGAATACAAACTCATAAGAGACTAACTACTTTTATAACAAGTTTCGAAAGAATTATATTTTTTCTATAAATGGAAATTGACGATAGTGTTTTTCAATTGACAGGCCAGCAATGCTGCCGGGAAAGATACGACCCGGGTACAATTGGAAGTTTCCCCGGACGAAATGCCAACAGGTGAAGACCCACCAACTTTCCTACGGCGTTTGCAAGATCTTACCGTCAAGGTTGGGACACGGACACGGTTTCTGGTCGAAATCGTTAGCTCTACAGAATGCAGGGTAAATAATTTTACGTTCTATGAATACGGGGCTTGGGAATTAAAGCACGTCTTTTGCACTATTGATGTTTTAATGCTTATGGTTAACAAGGGCGATTCACTAAAACCATGGAGCATATTACAGCGTAAGGAGTACTATCTGTGCGAAAACATCGTGTTTGTCAAAACGCGTCCAATAAGGGCAGCGCCTCCGTCTACAACAGCTAAATTCATATCGTAGTTTTTCATACGCCGGCATCCATTCTAGTCTATTATATCTACTATTATCAGCATACAGGTGGACAATTTTTCCACTTGTCTCCTCCTTACTTCTTATATTGTTATTCATGATATTAGTATTCATTATAGATGACTATTATGTATACTGTTTTTTTTTTAAATAAACGATTGAATATTATCGATTAAATATTAACTTGTACAAGTTAGCCCTCCGACTTACTGGTAAGGTACCTGCTTAACGCTTGTATATTCATCAAATTTGCCTACTTTCAAATTACTACGTAGTAAGTACAGTAATGTTATTAAATAAATGTATCGCCCCTGGAAAGCGAATGAGACCTTGAAAAACTGAGGAATGCGTACGTCAAACCTAATGACATAATTCTTCTATTTTAAATCTCATCGTTCGCCAATGTATTTATAATGTGCTTATGAGTGAATGTACTCTCATAAAACGAATTGTTTTATTATATTTTTATACCAATAACAATGAAGAGTTGTGGCAGCTAGTCTACCTCATAGTAAGAGCTGGTTATAATTCGTAGTTGTATAATATCATCATCTATCAATCCTTAAAAAATATCAAAACTATAGAATCGATTTATTGTTTCTTTAAATTTGTAAAACATATCGTGACAACTATAATATGAAATATTTAATTTGAATTATATGTCTATAGAAAAGTTGATTTCTATGAAAGCCACGTTGACACGCTCGATGTCTACTTTGACAAAGTAGATTTGACAAAAAGCTTTGCAACAAAGTTTTCTTTGATAAAGTCCACTTTGATTGAACGCCTACGTCAAAGTGCGCTTTGATCGCTCGTTTAAACGATCAAAGTACTGAAACTAATTTGTCAAAGTAAACTTTGATCGTGACAACGCAGCTTTAAAGATTGTAATAATTTTAAATATACGTATTAAAGTAATAGCAAATTATGATTTTGATATTAATAATTCATATAACGTAGTTTAATAAATCAGCATAAATAAGAAGGAAGATTCTTTACAATACACTTCGCTTCGCTTCGCTCGCGCTAATACTACAAAAAATATCTTAAAAAGTATTTTCTTAAAAAATCCCCTTATGGGATAAATTACGAAAAATGCTAAAACACGCATTTATTTAATTGTATTGAAAAGCATTAATACGAAGTATCAAGTAATTCTGATCACTAATTTTTTTTTTGGGATGTGCTATGCCGTATTTTCGCGTGGGAATGAGATAATCTTCCGCGGCATAAAGTATGCCTAGCCTTTGTCACTCTCCAGCCTTCCAACTATCTCCACACAAAAAATCACGCCAATCTGTCACTCCGTTTCTACGCGAAAGAAAGACAAACAAACAAACACACTTTCACAATTATAATATTAACTATGGATTTAAGTTAAAGTGCATAAAGAAAACATAATTTTATGTTCATCTGAACATAGCGTTTATTAAATAAGCTAAATAAAAGCTTGTAAAATAGTGAAACCTAGTATCTGTGACAGGAACTAAATTAATGGTAGTTGGCATGAATAGTGTTTTGAAGACGTTGATTGCGGTCCAATTATGTCTTAATTTAACTGCACATGATATATTCAGAACGTATGATTATATTTTTAATTTCATATAAGGTAACATTTGTTCAATAATAAAATTATTTAGAATATATAATAATGTCTTCCTGATGGAGATTGGCCACGGCGGCCAATCTCATTGAGTCTAGTCATCGGCGTAGGAGATATTATGGTGCACATGTGTGCGCGCAGACACAAGTGGACTCTCTATTCCTGTCACTTTCATACTCGGGACGGACGAATATGGGACGAATACTCGATACGACCAGTGAGACTTTTAACTCGACAGGACAGGAAGGCTTTACAAGCTCTCCAAGGCAAAGGGGTGAAACACCGCCAACTTCTCAACTACTGGAAATTTCTGGAATGAAATACTCAACAAACTCTTCGCCCTACTCAATTCAACTCCGGGCTGCACTACATGCTAGACCACCGAGGAGTTGCGATTGAGGCAATACATAGACAAAGCATTACTTTTTTGTCAAAACTATAGACTTTGTATCACATTAGGTATAATGAATCGTATTTAGCAGCAAAAGTTTTAACAGCTCTATCGGCTGACATTTAAATATACCTACCATTATATGTCCATTGTTTTACCTGAGATAATTTGTATATCGACTTATGTTTAGTCTGCTATCTTCAGTAGCTAAGGGCAAAGTACATCAGGTTTTTTGCGGGTTTATTTATATTAGATATATTGATGGTAGAGTCTACATATTCAACGCGAGCGTTATACTTTTATATTGAATAAAAACATTACTTCAATATTGCAGGTGACATGGTACCGTAATGAACGCCGGCTATTAGAGGCAGAGAGGATTGCGTTGGTGCGCGATGGTAATTTTTGGTGTGCTGACATCTCCGCCGTGAGTGTGGACGATGCTGGCCGCTGGACCTGCACCGCCGAGAATATTGGAGGCAGGGCGAGCTGCTCCGCACATCTTAATGTTCTAGGTTAACAGTTTTAAATTAAATTAATAATGCTACATTGTTTCAAAGACAATTTTCCTCACCTACAAACAAAAACTGTGTATTGTAAATCGAATTAAAAGGATGGGGAAAAGTTAAGAAGGATCATACTTATATAGTATTATGCAGTCGGAGATGCACGATACTCGTAGCCAGAATCACAGCATGGATGAAGCAAATATGACTAAATAGTACGATAGTACAATACGTCTTTAAAACTAAATCTATTATACAAATAAGAGTGAAAAATCCAATAAACTAAAGAAAAGTCGAGAGAAATTGATTACAAAAATACCTGCACTTACAAAGTTAACATAAGATTCTCAAACATAGGCTCCCCAAAAATCACATTATACAGGCATACTTATCTTACTCGTAAGTCGCAAATGGTTAGATGGATTTCAATTCATTTGTTTTTATCTGAAAGCATCTATTACGGTATGGTTATTAGCTATATTTTAAAAAAAAATTATTTTTCCCTTAGACGATAGATTCATTTATTCCCTTAGACGGCTTACAGCTTTGTTGTCCAAAATAGCGGCAAGCTACATTGTGACAATATAAATTTAGATTCAAAGTGCTAGCCTTATATTATACTAACATTGCCACGTTCAGATGACCAAAAACCAAATTCTTAGGTTTTACATATTAGTATACTCTTACATTGCACTTTTTGTATTTTTCTCAGAAATGAGACATTTTCCCGCGGTAAAAAGTATCCTATATGTTGACCCGAATAACCAGCTACCACCATACTAAATTTCATCAAAATCCTTCCAGTGGTTTTTCTGTGATGTGGTAACAGACAGACAGACAAAAAATCTAAAAACTATAGATTCGGACTCTGTATCGATAATAATGTCTATTTCAATTAGATTTTCTAAAAAAATATTTAATGTAGAGATTCGACTTAGTTCCAATTTTATTATATGTATATATATAGAAGAGTACCTACCATAAAGAGTTCATCTTATTAACTTCTAAATATTAATTCATCGATATTAAATATGGCCCAGTTTACCGCTACTGGTATTAATAAATAAAATTGCCTTACTTAAAATGATTATATTAAATTAAAAAAATTAAAAAATTAAAATATTTATCATAAATTATATACGAATGCAATTTTCAGTGCCAAAAGCCTACAAGCGTCCTGAATTTGTTGAAGAACTTCGCGCGCTGCTCACTGAACAGGGCACAGTGTCGCTCGAGTGTAAAGTGGTGGGGGTTCCCACACCGGTGCTTCGGTGGTTTAAGGTAACAGCTATTCTCAATTACTGGTTACCGGTTCGGCCGATTTGTCCTTTACACTAAAATTTCAATGATTTATTACAAAAAACTTAAATTAGCAGGGTTAAAAATAACCATAATAAACAATAGAGTGCGATAATCTATTATTTTAATGCGGGAATAAAAATTGAGCGCAAGTCGGTCATCTCATACATCTAAACACGTATACTAATATTATAAATAGGTAAATGTTGTAAGTTTGGATGTAGAAGATAATCTTCGAAACTACTCATCCGATTTAAAATAAAATCTTTCACCAATATTTAGAATGGAGTTTCAGGATGGACATAGGCTATATATTATCCCGTAAAAATATAAAGGCTCTTTTCGTGGTAACCGAATTTGCAAAGTTACGAACGCTGCTTAAAAGGTAAGAGATATATGAATGATTTCTATAAGAAGTTGTAAGCTTAAAAATACCCAAAAAAATTCCACGATAGCATATTAACTTTTATATTTAAGCTACATAAAATACTTTTATGGGTTAAAAAAATTAAAATCATAAAATTTTTAAATAATTAGGTGATGTTTAAATGGTCATATTATTGACAATTTATTATTATTAATCCTTATGAAAATTACATCACAAGTATGTAATGGACATGATTTTTGATCTTTACTGTATGTTATTTGATGAGCTTAAAAAATAGCTCGATATAAGTAATATGCAGTCGCGATGCCGTAATTCTTTAGTTAGATGTAATTGAGTCATTCGGTGGCAACGCGGAAGTAGAACACTCCATTATTATCAAATACAGAGACCCCGCGCTTTGATCCTATAATAGAAAACTGTAGATCTTAAAAAGGCCTACAGAAAAGTCTGCAATAGCAGTATGTAATATCTATCTGCTAAGGTACACTTGCAACAACTATTTTTATCTATTTAAAACGTACCTAGGGACGCACCCAAGCGGAGCGAGGGTAAGTCACAAATATTGTATTATTATAGTACCTATAAGTAGTTTATATTTTCACCGTATTTAGAAATTCATATATATCACTCTAATATTTTTAAAATACTTAGCATGTCTTCCAAAATTAATATATTTTTTTTAACTATTTTATTATATTAATAATAACAATTGTTTGATTATAGGACAGCTGTGAGATTAAAGCAGGCGATGTTTTTGCCCTGACTGCAAATGCTGAAGACCCAACTTCCTTGGGCACCTATACATGCGAAGCCGTCAACTGTATGGGTAGAGCCTATTCATCATCTAAAGTTCATGTTGTGGGCCGCGCTAGCAGGGAGGGCTCCACACGACCAACTACTGCGTAATTATATTTTTTATAAACTAAGACTTTACTCCAATGTTTTATTTAATTATAATTAGTTTACTTTAGGATTATGCACTTAATATCTATCAAAAACCTATTGTTTCAGTGTGGTGACGCCAGAACGTCCTCCAATATTTACTAAGGAACTGGAAGACCAGTTCGTGAGGATCTGCGACCCTCTTATCTTAAGTTGTAGTATCGTAGTGCCGCCGTGGCCTCGCAGCGTAGTTTGGTATAATAAGGAAGGGAAAATCGAAGCATCGGAAAGGTAATATGACAATTTTTAAGAATTAACTTTTTAGAAAGGGGTTTGTATTTTAACGAATTTTCATTATGAAATCATTGTTAAGGCACGCGCCTTTTTTCGCGCCAAGATAAAAAGAAATTTTTCATTCGAGGAAGCGAAGTCCCAACGCACATTAAGATAGTTTGAACGTTGATGAGTTTTTGCGTCTTGTGAATGTTTTATGCATTCAACTTTTGTATCCACTGTTACTTACTACTAGCGAATCACCCTCGCTTCACTCGGATTTGTCCCTAGCTCGATTCCCCATACAAACTTTTACCTCCATATTCACCCCCTTAAGTGATGATTTCCGGGATAAAAAGTATTCTATGTCCTTCCCAGGGTCTCAAACTATCTTCTTACCAAATTTCATCTAAGTCAGTTCAGTAGATCAAGATATTACCCCCTACAACGTCACAAACTCACAAACTTTACGTCTTTATAATATTAGTATAGATTCATTTCTGTTTTCATATAATATGTGAAAATCACATTTTTCTTTTTTTTCCCATTTATTACCTGGCTTTGCCGTTGTTCTATTTTAATTGACTCGCTTCTGCCTATTTATGTTTTTACGTGTGGTTTTCGTACAAAAATTCTAAGAAAGCACTTTATGGCTCTCTCGACTTTTTTTCAAATTTCTGTTAATAAAAAATGGTCAAATTTTTATTTCCAAGCATTTCATTTTTATTTCTTATATCGGAGAATCAGCATTTTGTTCGTCATCGTCATTAGTAGTTACGAATCCCGTGGGCATTATATTATAATCTCGGTTGAATGCGGGCACATAATAAAATATTTACTGACATGTACAATTAAATAAAAAAAATCACAATTTTATAAACCTAAAACAATAATAATAATTCATTTTGTTTGTACGAGTATATCAAGTATAGTCGAGATAGTATTAAATCTAATATAAAATGAAATGAAAATGATATGAATTGTAAATGTTTTGCAATGTATTTTGAGTAATAATTAATAAATATTTCAGATATCGAGTGCTTGAAGATGGTGTGGGTGGCTATTTATTAGAAGTACAGTCAGCGGAGTGGCCCGACGAAGGGGAATGGAAATGTGTGGCTACGAGTGCAGGGGGTAGGGTTGGCATCTCCACATGTTATGTCTCCATGGATGGTAAATATTATTATGTAAAAGAAAATAAATTATGGATACAATATTATTTGTTCTAAAAATATTTTTAAAACATTCTTATGACTTTAATATCATTTTAGTTCCAAAGAATTATCGCAAACCACGGTTTATGGAGAATTTGCAAGCTGTTTTGACTGAAGAAGGCTTGGTATCATTTGAATGTAAGGTTGTTGGATTTCCAACGCCGGTGCTAAGTTGGTTTAAAGATGGCCAAGAATTAAAACCTGGAGATGTATATCAACTTACCGGTACAAACTCATTAGGCTCGTATTGTTGTATAGCACGGAATTGTATGGGGCAAGCTAGTAGTTCTGCAGAATTAACTGTGGAGGACATACAAAATCAACTTAACGAAGAAGAAAAATTGCAATTATTTTCGAAAAATCAAGCGCCCAAATTCCTTCAAGGCTTAAAAAGTGTCGAAGCTAAAATTGATGAACCATTTCGTTTTATTATTAAAGGTATAATAAAATAAAAGCTTATATTAAGAATATATTATTGCGTAAGTAATTAACAGAAAAGTTTATAATGATATTAAATTCTTGTTACAGTTGCCATTCCACCTGAACCTACAGTATTATGGTATAGAGATGATCAACCAGTGGACGAATCATCTCGATGTCATTTAGTAAAAGAAGAGCGAGGTTTTTTCTATCTTGATATTCAAAACTTAGAGTTTATGGATCAGGCTGAATGGAAGTGTGTCGCTATGAATGATTATGGTCATAGTGTTACTTCATGTTTTCTTAAATTAATAATACCACGACATTATAAAAAGCCAAGATTTCTTGAAAATCTTCAAGCTATTTTGTCAGATGAAGGTGCAGTTAATTTGGAATGCAAAGTTATCGGTGTCCCGCAACCAGTTTTAAAGTGGTATAAAGACGGAGAAGAATTAAAGCCAGGAGACATTCATAGAATTATTTCTGGTCAAGATGGAACATGTTGTCTTGGAACATATACTTGTGAAGCACAAAATTGCATGGGCATCGCTGCCAGCTCCGCATCATTACTTGGTTTCGAAGATTCTATGAAAGCGAAAAATAAAAAGAAAACCGATGAACAAGTACTACAAAGAAACTTATCACTGAGTACTATTCATGAAGAAAGAACGTCTCAAATGTACGACACTCCTGTTGGTGATATCACATTAGATGAAAGAGGCGAGATATCATTTTCATTTGATGGTAAAGAAGTATCTGTTTCCTTATATGAAACCCCAGACTTAACAGAAGAAGAAGCATTACAAATAGTTGAAATGTACGCTGATCAATTATCAGAAAATGTCACGGAACACAATGTCATTGAACTTCCTCCTCTGAGATTTGTTAAAGAGACTTCTACATCAGGAAATTTGTTGATGGAGGCTATAATTATTGACGTTTCCCCTGAGTATTTTACTTCTCCAGAAGAGGATCTTCGAACTGAAGCTGATATAGAAGATATTTCAATTGCTGATGAAAATGGACCGCAGCAACTTTCGTTAGATCAAGAATCTGTGAATGGTGAAGATTATTTAGAAAGAACAATAGCTTTATTATCTGAAGAAAAAGCTGATTTTCCTAAAAAAACAGATAGGAAAAAGTCGGATTCACAAAAAAGTGTCGATGATTACTTTAGTCTATCAAGGGACCAGTCAATTACTGATGAAAAAAAAGATGATGACACCCAAGCATTATCTGAAAGTGAGCTGCAAAGTTATGCAAGTGCGCGTAGTTCAGGAAAACCCAAATCAAAATCCTCAAAACCTTCTCTTGATGATGGCGGGGAATCTTCTGAAATAACTAAGACGGTATTGCTTAGAGAAGATTTACAAAAACAGACAAGTGAAGAAGATAACATAATTTATAAAAATAGCCTAAAACGACGTAGTAGTCGAGGATCAAGAAGATCTAGCTCTGGCAGTGATAAATCTATAAATAAAACGAATGAAAATCTTGCTACAGAAAATCTAGATTCTAATGATATTTTAAGAATAACTTTTAAAACTCAAGAGAATGTTAAAACAGAAATTACGGATATAAGTTCGTCACTCACAAAAGTAATAAATGACATACAAATTATCGAACGAGATATAATACTTAAATCGGAGCTGATGTCCACTGCAGCTACAGCATCTCAGAGCTTAGAAATTATTAATAGTTTATTAACTCCACTGACGGAAATACATAGTATTACAGATGCTATACGAGAAATAAGTGAATCATCGGATATTGTTATACCACTATTAAATCGGCTTCCACAGTCACTAGAAACTTTGCAACAATCACTAACGATAATCAGCAAATGTATTGATTACGAAAGTGATAAAAAGACATTGGTAATGAAAACTTCCACATCTATTATTGAAAAGTGTGGCAATGAGTTAGAAAATGCAATGAAAGGAATTATATCATTACATAACATTGTTAATGAACTTACAAATGTGAAGGCTCTAAGTATCGAAAAGGTTACTACAGATATAATAAGCACTATAAATGATGCAACGAATATCGTAAAAAAACACAAAAATCTAAATATAGAAATCGATACAAATATTAGTGAAGTATCTATAGAGTCAAAACATTTAAATGATACTCAGAAAGTTACACATGAATTAAGAAGTTCTTTAAAATCGCTTTTACATATTTTGGATGAGGTAGACATATCAACTAACAGATATTTCAAAATTAGCAATACTGAAATTATTTTAAATGACATGTCTATTCCTATTCAAGATTTACAAAATGCGTTAGAACATATAGAGGCTCTATCAATAACGGAGTCTAAATATAACTTACCAAAATATAACACGCAAGTTATAGAGACGGTAATGAACTCTGTTTTAAAGCTAAGAACATCATTTGAACAACTGTCTGCAGATGTTGATAAGAATGATAATAAAGACGGTTTAAATGAAATTATAAATGCAATCAAATTTGATATAAGTGAAATTTCTTTGCATCTGAATAATTTAGAAGCAAAAACAGGAAAATATGACATTTTAAATAGTGATAACAAATTGGAAGTCTTGCAAAAAATGGCACATATATTAATTACTTTAGAGAACAATTTACCTCTATTAGAAAGTACACCGAGTGTAAAAACTCATTTTTCTGAGTTTCATAAAAATATGACAAAAATTCTTGAAAATGTGATTGAAAGTAATGAAGCTGAAAAATATATACATTTTTTGGAAATTTGTGACAGTATCAATAGGGTAAACGCATCTTTGAAAAATATTGAAGTGAATAATGTTTTATCGCTAGCTAGTATTAGTAATACTCTTAAAATAATTCAACAAAACGTTAGTCAAAATATATTTGATCTAGATTTAAACCTTTCTGTAACATCATGTATAACAAATGTACTAGCTAATATACAAAAATCTATTAATAATGTAGAAGAAGAAACATTGAACTTAGAATTGGAAAATGCCCAAGACTTAATCATAAGAAAGTATGATGAAAATAAAGTTAGCATAGTATTCGAAAATATAGAACAAACCATTGCTTCATTGAGCAGTGTAACACTTCATGAAACAGTAACAGATCTATCTTTGGTAACTATTTTAAATAAAATATGCCCTATTTTAGAAGATCTTAAGTGTAATATTGCTAATGTTGTACAAGAAGCGGAAAACGATGAAAAGATATCTGATTTGGACAGTTTCTCTTATACGGAGTCTATCGCACATCAAATTTGCAATTTACATCAAACCATAAATGTGTTAAACCAAGTCTTATATGAAAACGTAGGTAGTCAAGAAAACTATCAAATATTAAACGAATACGTAAAACCACTGTTAGAATTAAGTAATACTTTGCAAATTTTACAACAAGATGTAATATCTCAATGTAAAGATAACATAGAGAGCACCGAAATAAGCAGCAGCATTGCAAATGTAGTAGAAAGTCTTCGAAGTTGTATGCTAGCTATACAGGAACAGCCAATTATAGAAGCAGTGGATGATATGTCTACATTAGAAGATATATCCGGCCTAAAGTCTACAGCAGAGATTTTACCATGTGATACTCTTAATACGGCAGTTGTAAAAGAAACAACATGTGCGGAATATGATGCAAACTTTACGCCTATATTGCAATCAGCTTCATGCAAAGTTTTACAATCTTTAAGCAACCATATTATGAATATATTAAATCCACAAACTGTTGAAGTTATTGATTTTCTCACAAATGATTATAATTTGTCAGATCTTAAATCAATAATTACTGAATTAGAAACTATAAATTCAAGTGTTCAAGTTATATTACAACAAATAGAAGAGTTTGAAAAGGTTCCTATAATCAACTCACAAATAGCAGAAATAGTCCAATCCATACAAGTGATACATGAGAAATTGTTAAGTTCACAAATAATTAATATTGAAATTATTGACCATATGACTCAAGCAGATAAAGAAAAAGTTTATCTTTTAACAGAAAACTTATCACAACTAAAAAATAAGTTAAGTGAAAGCTTATGTATGTTAGAACCAGCAATTGAAGTGGTAGATTCTGTAATTAATGACTCCTACAACGTACTAAAATTGCGCCAAATATGTGAACACTTAAATATTTTGTTACAAAATAAATCTTCAAGTATTCTAATAAAAAGTGAAATAAATACATTAAAGGAAATAGTGAATGATTTTATGGAAACAACAAATAACCTACAAGAAATTAAAATACCACAAATAAAATGTAACATAGAAAATCTTTATACTACTGTGGCGGTGAAGGAAGACGAATTAATTAAATTTACTGCTCAACAATCTGATTTATTACAAGATGAAGCGTTGATTATAACGTGTATAGCTGATCTTAAAAGTGTTGTTGCATCTTTGCAGGAGAGCCCGTACTTGAACATATCTTGCGATTTGGAAATACCTTATAGTACTATGTCATTTAATGTCAGCGACGTAAAAATGAATGCATTAATGCAGGTCCATACCGATATTAAAAATATATTAAATGATGTACAAAGTATTTCTAGAGAAACATTAAATGATAATATGATGCTTGTAGAAGATTTTTGCAAGTCATTTGATAATGAAATCACTATTTTACGTCATTTAATAAAGAAACCAATGAGCCCCAAGAGAATAATTAAATTATTACAAGTTTTTTATAATCTTTGTAGTAATTTCAAAGAATTTAAATATGGGCAGCATGAAGTTCCCTTAGAAAATATAAACAGTCATTTAAACAGTTTATTTGTTAACACAGACGAGTGCCTCAAACATTTACAATTATTATTAACTGAAATAATTGAAACTCACTGTCACGTACTTTTTGATACTCCCATATCTAATATAAATAGTCTTGAATTAAGGATTAGAACAATGATAGAAATTACTGATAATACTGATCAATCTCAATTATTTAAACAATTCTTAAGTCTAATACAATCTACTCAACCACATCTTGAAAATTTACAATCGTCTTTAATTCAAGAATTGTATTTATGTCCCACTAAAAAACCTGATTTAAGTAAAAAGGAAACCGAACTTCTTAAAAAATTTGAGTTATTTACTTCTTTCCTTTCACATCAATTACATAACTTAAGCGAGAAAGATTCATTCAAAGACGTTTATTTACAAATATCGAATGTTATAAAAAATCATGAAGATTACAAAGATGCTATTGGCAGTGGTAAAATGCTGATAATTATTAAATGTATGTCTGAATGTTCACAAATTTTACAACAAAATATGGAACAAGAACCAATGATTGTGTCAAATGCAGATAATTCTTTAAGTAAGGAACTATCCAAAATAAAGATTCCTCTTGAAAATATTTATACGAATATTCTAAATATACAAAAAGAATTTACCGCAGACTCCGAGAAAGCTCTCGTTTTATTCGAGATGAATTCAAATGACTTTAGCGATTTGAAAGAAATTAGTAGAGAATTAAATAAATATCAAGACCTAGAAAATTCATCCGTAACTTGTAATGATATAGCTTTAATAAAAGAACTTCATGATAAAATACATTTATGTCATGAAACTTTAACTGCTGTAAGAAATATATCTGATAGTGAAAGTAATAAAAGTATTTGTAAACCTATTGAAAACATTGAAATAGTTTTACATAAAATTCTATTATCACAAAATGTGATCAATGAAGAGGATGGCATTTCTAAAGGTAAGTTATTGATTTGCTTGTTATTTGTTTCCTGACTTTTTACGTTGGACAAACATAATACTTAATAAGTCTTAATAAACATATACATAATAGTGCCTACATTAAGCTACGTGTGACGTAGTAGTGCATTAAGCGGACCCGAGACGATCAATCGCAATTGTCAATTTTACGTTATTGTCAATTGCACTTGATCGTTTACAAGTACAATTGAAGCTATTTTCGATCGCAGTTACGTGATTGAAAGCAATTGATTGAATGATTGATGCTCATTGACAGGAGCCATTGTAGTTGCCAATTGATCGTTTACTGAGATATTAACAATCGTTTCCGTCATTCGCGCGTCAATAACGCGACAACGCGCGAAAACAATAAACAATCTTCTAGAATTTAAATTACAAACATGGCGAATACCCTGCCTAATGTGGAGGACCGTGTATTTATTTTACTTTTAATATCTTTATATCAAGATCGACTAGAGTTATGGAATATCAAATTAAGAGATTATTCCAAGAAAGATAAAAAAGTCTAGCAGTGAAAAGTGTAGTAAATATATTAAACACTTATAAAAACGTTTTGGATATAAATAAATACGTAAAGAAAATCAATGTTCCGCGTACTACTGAGCGCGAACATATTGAATACTGCACCAATCGCACTTCAATTGCAATTGACAATAAGGTAGCATACTGACAATAGCGATTGATCGTCTCGGGTCCGCTTTATTACACGGCGTGGATTAACGCCCAAACATAGCGTGAGTTAGCTAGGTGCATTAATAAACTAACTTAAGTCTAGAGTATCGTATTTTATGTTATATCTCATGTGACATTAACTAGCAACCTTCGTAATCGAACTAACTATTGTAAGTTGCAAACGTTTTCATATTCGATTAATCCCTCCACGACCGCGGACATACAGTATTTTAAGATATGAAAATCTAAATATGTATTTTACGTATCGAAATATTATATCGATTTGCTTTGCATCGGCTGGCACCGACTTCGAAAATATCTGATAAGGTATCTATTCTAAATGAAAACCTCCGTTTAGTTATTTTTTATACTTTAATGCCTGGAAGTCGGTTTTTATTATATAATCAATAGAAAAAGAAACGCAAACTAAAACTTTCTAAATGGACCTACGGCTATGGAATACACATCAAATACAAGTTTAAAAAGAGCACATGTTCAAAATTCTCATGGCTGAAATTTTTTTGAAGTTATTTTACGTATAAGTACATACTCGTATGTTCCTTCATTAACTTTTTTTCATTGATTTAGTTAGCGTTTATGCAGTTGGCTTTTATTTATATATATATTATATATATATATATATATATATATATATATATATATATATATATTATATATATATATATATGTATTTTTAAATAGGTATAAAAAATTATTAGCCAGCGCTAGCCATGTAATTTTTTTTGTGATTTTTTCCGATATTTTAATAGTTATTCTGCTATAATTGAGGGCGGAGACAAATCCTACAAATTAAATATCATAAAAACCGGCCCGGATATTCACACTTATTTGATATCACCACCGTATGTAATAACACAAATAATTTTTATTTTTATCGATATAAAATACTGTACAGTGTCGTGTATAAAGAAATACCGTAATAAATATCTTGGATATATACATTACTTCACAGTATACTAAAGGGAGATTTAACGACTAACTTCATACTGTAGTCTAATTGTGTCGCTGTACGCGTGCATCGTAAAAATGCTCTCTCATCATTTTTCCCCTAACGCGCCAAAAGAAGTATAACTTCAAAAATATTAACTTGAAAACTGTGAATTAATGTTAAAGCCTGAGAACTTAAATTTTTAGAATTTTTATTTTAAGAGATTTTAGAGTATAAAGTAGAGAAAAAGTGGTTCATGATATCAGTTAATTTTCATTTTTTATTAAAATCACTATATAAGGATGAATAAAAAGCAATTGATTTGTTTTTTTAAACGCGTTTTCCTAAACTGCTAGGTTTTATAATTAGTCGAAATAAATTAACTGAAAAGTGTTTTTTTGCATGAAACATCATTTCATTTAGAATTAACCTTTTTGACTTACAAAAAAACTTCATACAACATTTTTTTAAATGAACTCTTCTTTCAAATTCCGAAGTTTATTTGAGCATATAGAAGGATATATAGCAATCACCCCCAATCCTGTAAAAGTACTCTTCGGCACCATAAAACATTTATCTTTGGACTATTCTCTATATACATACAATCAAATTGAGTCAATTGGTTCTGTCGAAAGAGTTCTCATGTAATAACGTTCAAAGACTGGATCTGGATCTAAGCCCTTTGAATCGTGTGTTTACCGTGTAAACTTTATGTGCCGACAAAAGTAAGTCAATCACCTGACTGCCTTTTATTGGAAAGAACCCCCCCAATAATAGATCCATCGTTGCGTAAAGGATATATCAATAATTTATATTTACAGGAAATACTAAGGCTCTCTTACAACACATGGCAGAGTATATCGAAGTAATTGAAATTGTTGAAGAGGTATCAGCAGTTATAAAACTAGAGGATTTAAAAGAGTCAGCGGATATAATACGAGAACTACAACAAAGTATTGCAGCTTCTGAAAATTTAGATAGTAGCAACGAAGTTAACGTAGAGGGAATAAATAAAAAACAATTACAACTGGCTCAAAAGTTGCAAAAAGCATTAATATCTTTACAATCTGAAACTTTCGAAGGTCAACAAGAATGTATACCTTCTATTTCTAAAGATGTACGTCAGCAAATTATTGAAGTCGTAAACGAATTACAAAATGATTTAGTTGTTTTCACTGGCCCAAATAAAATTCTAGAGCAAAATTTGACGTTGGAAGATATTAAAGATCCATATCGTAAAGAAAATATAATGAGTGAAAATATTTTAGTTGAAGAACAAAACAAATCAATTGAACTTGTTGAAAATAAGAACAAGGTATGGGTCGAAGGAGAAGAAACCTCAATTGAATACAAAGAAAATGAAGATGATTTACAAAATGAAACTGATACACATACAGTTCTTCTTTTGGATCAATCCCAGTTAGTAGAAGTTGCAAAAACAGAATCAATTATTGCAATTCAGAATGCGGAAAGCAAAGAAACGAAATGTCATGCAATTTTGACTCATGAATTACAAAATGTAGAATTAATTAAAAACATTCCTGAAGAACTTCAACAAAATTTAACATCAGTTGATCAGAGTACTATTGTTACTCTTCAAGATACATCTAAAGAAAAATTAGTATTAATTATTGGTACGTAAGCTTAAGTCTTTGTAAAGAGCATAAATATAAAATTTGTTATTAATATTATTATTATTAATTTAATCTATTTCTTTTAGACAAACTTATAAAGAATATAGAAGAATATATATCTGAAGACACAAAGGTTATCATTGATAATCTATCTCTTCCTGTACACTCTGGTCACTTAGATCATACAAATAAAATAGCAAAACGGTTGAAAGACTTTTCCTGTGATTTATTATCTAGTCATAAACAGTTGGCAAACTTCTCTACTGAACAATTTGAATTAGCACTTAGTTTAAATCAAGCATTATCAATAATGTATGCAACTAATTTTGAAAACTCTCAAGAGACACTAGGAGTAGTTGGGGAAGATAAATTCAATATCGTTAAAACTATTGTAAATAATCTACGCGCTACACTTCAAACATTTATAACAGTGGTAAAAACTTCAATAGAAGCTGAACAGAATGTGGCAATAGAGGCTTTAGATTTAACGAAAGAAATAAAAATAGAAGAAAAAGAAATTACTATGACAAAAGATAAAACCCTTTATTCAGAAGTTCAGACTTTATCGCACTTCAAAGGATTATACGAAACCGATGAAGCATTATTTAATGTTGAGTCAGAAATGCCTAAAGATATAACAAAGAAAATTGATAATGACGGTAGTAAAAACGAAGAAAATATTTTAGAAACCAATTCAAATACAAGCAGTGTAAGATTTTCTACAGTAATTAAAAAAGATACTCTTGAAATTTCCACTACAAGTAACATTGAAAATCAAGAAGTTAAAAAAGGTATATGCTAGCCATAAGTTCATTCTTAAAAAGTAAAATATTAAACATATTTTAATTTTTTTGCCAACTTTATCAAAATAACTATATCATATATGCCATTAAATATTTTTTAATTATTATCATACATTAGTTATAAAGATATATTTTTTGTACATTTGTTTGTAAAGGACAAACTAAAAATCCGCTGAACTGATTTAGATTAAATTAAGATAGTTTAACACCCCGGAAATCATCCCTAAAGGCGGTGAAAAGGGTGATAAAAGGGGAATCAATAGAAATTTCTCATATAGGGGATATAAATATATACTACTCGTATATATACATAGGTATGATGAGTTATGCTATACTAATATAATACAGTTAAAATGTACCCAGGGACAAACTAGCGAAGTGAGGGTGAGTCACTAGTGTAATATAAACTAGAACAACATAATCATACAGCTATATATTTTCATTTTCAGAAACACTTTTAAATCAGTTGGAGGAGTTCATTTGTCTACAAACTGTTAACGTGATTGAAAAAATATCATCCTTGGTACCTAACTCAGAAATGCTAAGCGAATCTATTCAAATAGCACGTCAATTACAGGAACTTTCTGTCCTGGAAGGGCCAGAATCTGTTCAATTTTCGAAACCACAGCTAGGCTTAGCCATAAAGTTAGAAAAGGCCATATCATCTATGTGTGAAATCGTAACTACAGAAAATGAAGAATTAAAAACTTTAAATATAAATAATGAACTGCAAAAGGCAACTAATATTATAAGTGGCCTAAAAGACACATTACACGCATTAATTACATTCACATTGTCTCAAGTTGAGGAACAAGTCTTAGATCTAGATGAAGTAAAGGTTATTATTACTCAAGCACCTGTTTCATATCAATTAACTATAAACGAAAACATGTCAGATTCTAGTTCAAAAGCGGCTTCAGCAAGCGTTGTAGATGTACATGAAGCAAATTCAAACATTGCTTTACCTGAAAGTAAAACTACCAATGATTTACTTAACGATGGGACTACTAATGATGTATTGAAAAATGAAGTTAATTCATTAATTAATATCACATCAAATGAATCAAATAACAAAAATGAAAGCAATGACCAAGTTACGGATGAATCTGCCAGTTTATCACAAAGTACGTATAATCATAATTCAAATACTAGAAATGAAAAGAGTCATTTCCTTTGTAGGAGTGTGTAGTATATTAGAGAATTAAATAAATCAATCAACTATTAGTTGTCTTAAAAACCGTTAAGTATTATTTTGAAATAGACCACTAAAACTTATTTCATTTACAAATATCTATTTTTTTATTATCTTTTATTAGTATGTACTTACGTAATACAAATTATTATAAAATAATTAAGTTATATATTTTTATTTTCAGACACACTTTTAAAACAGTTGGAGGAGTATATTTCTATAGAAACTGTAGATGTGATTGAAAAAATATCACCTTTGGTTCCTGACTCAGAAATGTTAAGCGAATCTATTCAAATAGCGCGTCAATTACAGGAATTTTCTGTCCTCGAAGGGCCAGAATCTGTTCAATTTTCGAAACCACAGTTACGCTTAGCCTTAAAGTTAGAAAAAGCCATATCATCTATGTGTGAAATCGTAAATACAGAAAATGAAGAATTAAAAACTTTAAATATAAATAATGAACTGCAAAAGGCAACTAATATTATAAATGTCCTAAAAGACACATTACACGCATTAATTACATTCACATTGTCTCAAGTTGAGGAACAAGTCTTAGATCTAGATGAAGTAAAGGTTATTATTACTCAAGCACCTGTTTCATATCAATTAACTATAAACGAAAACATGTCAGATTCTAGTTCAAAAGCGGCTTCAGCAAGCGTTGTAGATGTACATGAAGCAAATTCAAACATTGCTTTACCTGAAAGTAAAACTACCAATGATTTACTTAACGATGGGACTACTAATGATGTATTGAAAAATGAAGTTAATTCATTAATTAATATCACATCAAATGAATCAAATAACAAAAATGAAAGCAATGACCAAGTTAAGGATGAATCTGCCAGTTTATCACAAAGTACGTATAATCATAATTCAAATACTAGAAATGAAAAGAGTCATTTCCTTTGTAGGAGTGTGTAGTATATTAGAGAATTAAATAAATCAATCAACTATTAGTTGTCTTAAAAACCGTTAAGTATTATTTTGAAATAGACCACTAAAACTTATTTCATTTACAAATATCTATTTTTTTATTATCTTTTATTAGTATGTACTTACGTAATACAAATTATTATAAAATAATTAAGTTATAAATTTTTATTTTCAGACACACTTTTAAAACAGTTGGAGGAGTATATTTCTATAGAAACTGTAGATGTGATTGAAAAAATATCACCTTTGGTTCCTGACTCAGAAATGTTAAGCGAATCTATTCAAATAGCGCGTCAATTACAGGAATTTTCTGTCCTCGAAGGGCCAGAATCTGTTCAATTTTCGAAACCACAGTTACGCTTAGCCTTAAAGTTAGAAAAAGCCATATCATCTATGTGTGAAATCGTAAATACAGAAAATGAAGAATTAAAAACTTTAAATATAAATAATGAACTGCAAAAGGCAACTAATATTATAAATGTCCTAAAAGACACATTACACGCATTAATTACATTCACATTGTCTCAAGTTGAGGAACAAGTCTTAGATCTAGATGAAGTAAAGGTTATTATTACTCAAGCACCTGTTTCATATCAATTAACTATAAACGAAAACATGTCAGATTCTAGTTCAAAAGCGGCTTCAGCAAGCGTTGTAGATGTACATGAAGCAAATTCAAACATTGCTTTACCTGAAAGTAAAACTACCAATGATTTACTTAACGATGGGACTACTAATGATGTATTGAAAAATGAAGTTAATTCATTAATTAATATCACATCAAATGAATCAAATAACAAAAATGAAAGCAATGACCAAGTTACGGATGAATCTGCCAGTTTATCACAAAGTACGTATAATCATAATTCAAATACTAGAAATGAAAAGAGTCATTTCCTTTGTAGGAGTGTGTAGTATATTAGAGAATTAAATAAATCAATCAACTATTAGTTGTCTTAAAAACCGTTAAGTATTATTTTGAAATAGACCACTAAAACTTATTTCATTTACAAATATCTATTTTTTTATTATCTTTTATTAGTATGTACTTACGTAATACAAATTATTATAAAATAATTAAGTTATATATTTTTATTTTCAGACACACTTTTAAAACAGTTGGAGGAGTATATTTCTATAGAAACTGTAGATGTGATTGAAAAAATATCACCTTTGGTTCCTGACTCAGAAATGTTAAGCGAATCTATTCAAATAGCGCGTCTATTACAGGAATTTTCTGTCCTCGAAGGGCCAGAATCTGTTCAATTTTCGAAACCACAGTTACGCTTAGCCTTAAAGTTAGAAAAAGCCATATCATCTATGTGTGAAATCGTAAATACAGAAAATGAAGAATTAAAAACTTTAAATATAAATAATGAACTGCAAAAGGCAACTAATATTATAAATGTCCTAAAAGACACATTACACGCATTAATTACATTCACATTGTCTCAAGTTGAGGAACAAGTCTTAGATCTAGATGAAGTAAAGGTTATTATTACTCAAGCACCTGTTTCATATCAATTAACTATAAATGAAACCATGTCAGATTCTAGTTCAAAAGCGGCTTCAGCAAGCGTTGTAGATGTACATGAAGCAAATTCAAACATTGCTTTACCTGAAAGTAAAACTACCAATGATTTACTTAACGATGGGACTACTAATGATGTATTGAAAAATGAAGTTAATTCATTAATTAATATCACATCAAATGAATCAAATAACAAAAATGAAAGCAATGACCAGGTTAAGGATGAATCTGCCAGTTTATCACAAAGTACGTATAATCATAATTCAAATACTAGAAATGAAGAGAGTCATTTCCTTTCTTGGAGTGTGTAGTATATTAGATAATTAAATAAATCAATTAACTATTAGTTGTCTTAAATAACGTTAAGTATCATTTTGAAATAGACCACTAAAACTTATTTCATTTACAAATATCGATTTTTTTATTATCATTTATTAGTATGTACTTACGTAATACAAATTATTATAAAATAATTAAGTTATATATTTTTATTTTCAGACACACTTTTAAAACAGTTGGAGGAGTATATTTCTATAGAAACTGTTGATGTGATTGAAAAAATATCACCTTTGGTTCCTTACTCAGAAATGTTAAGCGAATCTATTCAAATAGCACGTCAATTACAGGAATTTTCTGTCCTTGAAGGGCCAGAATCTGTACAATTGTCGAAACCACAGTTACAATTAGCCTTAAAGTTAGAAAAGGCCATATCATCTATGTGTGAAATCGTAACTCCAGAAAATGAAGAATTGAAAACTTTAAATATAAATAATGAACTGCAAAAGGCAACTAATATTATAAGTGGCCTAAAAGACACATTACATGCATTAATTACATTCAAATTGCCTCAAGTTGAGGAACAAGTCTTAGATCTAGATGAAGTAAAGGTTATTATTACTCAAGCACCTGTTTCATATCAATTAACTATAAACGAAAACATGTCAGATTCTAGTTCAAAAGCGGCTTCAGCAAGCGTTGTAGATGTACATGAAGCAAATTCAAACATTGCTTTACCTGAAAGTAAAACTACCAATGATTTACTTAACGATGGGACTACTAATGATGTATTGAAAAATGAAGTTAATTCATTAATTAATATCACATCAAATGAATCAAATAACAAAAATGAAAGCAATGACCAGGTTAAGGATGAATCTGCCAGTTTATCACAAAGTACGTACAATCATAATTAAAATACTTTTTTGGAGTGTGGAGTATATCAGAGAATTAAATTGATCAATTAACTGTTACTTGTCTTATAAATGTTAAGTATTATTTTGAAATAAAATTTATTTTAGTCCAATTTCAATAGCAGGTTAATAGTATGTAAATATCATTCTGTTTTATAATAATACTGATTGTACTGAAGCTCTTTAATTTATATTACTATGATCACCTTTTTACAGATGTTGAAGAGGCTACAAGTTCTATACAAAAAATAGAAAATCTCTTAGAAGAAGTGCTCGACATAATAGATCTATCTATGGATACTATCAGTGTCGAAAGTTCCGATATCCTACAAAATACGCTTGACGAAGTGCAAACAATTATCATGAAACTGAAATATGAATGTGATGGTACAATAAGAGATACGATTAACGAAACTCTCGAAGATTTGGAATGCAATGTAAGAAGTGTACAACTTCAAGTAAATGAACATTGTCCTACGATGTTATTAAAAGAAGCTTGTGTGAATCTGCAGATGCTTGTTTTATCTTTAAACGAAGTCGGAATTATAGAAAGGGTTAAAAGTTTACCCAACACACTTTTTGATTGTTCAGATAATGCAAAACAATCGATTGACTTATTAGAAAAAGCTTCTTGTATTGTATATGAAACGAATTACGAAAATATTATTTCAAACTTGAAGGACATCAAGGATACTTTAAAAAGTTTAAGATCGAATTTTATGACTGACGCAGAGGCCTTAATTATAGGAGGGATTGATGTAATTCAGAGCTTAGATGAAATAGAAGAAAGAATATTTTTATTAGAAAAGGATATCGATAGAGAAATAAATATGGATCCAGTAACAAGAGATAGTATATTGACTGCTGTACATTCGGTTTATGGCAGTATTTCAAATATGAGAGGGATGATTTCCAGTATTCAAAAAAAATATATGTATGATAATTATGGAAAACCATCCGGAAACATTTTGCAATCTTTAAAAAACATAAGTAAAATTTCTAAACTTGACAATAAGCCTCATTGGAAAGCTGTTGCAAAAAGTCTTCGCAAAGTGTTAAATCATTTCGAAGATATTAAATTTTATATAAATTTAGATAAAACAGCTAGGTTGCCTAGTGATGCTGCATTTACTAAAATTATTCTTGGTGAATTAAATTCTGTGATCTTAGGAATAATCCAAGAATATAAAGATTTAGAGGATAATAAACGTGGGCATGATTGTTCCATTTGTGTTAGTAAAATATTAAGTGATATAGAGAATAAGACAACACTTGAAGTAAAAGAAAAAATACCTATTTTCATAAATTTATCAAGTACTATTTTAGAATTCACTCAGGTTATGAATAATATTGCAGAAAGCATAGGTGAAAATGCATTAGAGAATATAAATACAAATTTAACTCCTGCCGCACAAGAATTTTCTATTAGTCCTTTCTCTGATGAAGCGAAAGCTACAAGTAAAGAAAAAGATAAAGAAGAAGTTAGTAAAATAACTGAGTTTGAGATAATAGGACAGTTAGAAAAAAATAAAAAAATTGAGAAAATAGAAAATGAAGATACAGATTTATTTCAGAATGAAAGTCGAGAAAATAATATGCTTCTTTTCGAAAATGGAACTCATATTTTAGTTGAAAATAATAATTTACAAAAAAGTATTTTAATTGATTCTCAAATCCCTCAATCGGAAAAGAAAGAATCAGTAAGCGAACTAAAAACACCTGAATTTACAAAAAGCCAAGAAGACGATAATAAAGAAAAACAAAAAAATATTACTGAAAATGAAGGTGAAAGTAAGAAATCTATTTTAGTCGAAGAATATAATTCAGACACAAAAGAACAAAGTCTTACAGCTCGAGAATGTATTGAGGATAAAATTTTAGAGGACCAAGGTCAAATTGATCAACAAAAGAATATTAACGTTCAAAACATACAAAATTTAGATAAAACTGAAATTGAAGAAAGTAATAAAAATATCGTGTTTAATGAATATGAAGATAACAAAATTCATGAAATATTAAAAAGCCAGAGCAAGCTAGAAATATTTGATAGAGCAGGTGAAACATTACGTAGTAGTGGGAAGAATGTAAATGACGTGGTAATAATAAAGGAAAAAAAATCTGATGAACTATCTCTTGTAGATTGTGTGAAAGATCATAAGTTAGAACCACAATGTTTTGGAGAAGAACATTTGGAGGATGATAAATGTTCAATAGAACAAAGAATAAGTTCAGATATTGTACAAGATAAATTTGTTAAAGAACAGAAAGAAAAATCTGTACATGATGAAAATGATACAACTTTAAAAGATAAAAATACTCAGAGTCTAGAGGACGAAAATTTCAATATTTTATGTATGAAAAGAAATACTGAAAAAGAAGGAAATTCTAAAGAAAGCTATACGGACAAAAATACTCCGAATAACCTGATGCAACAAATAATACAAAAAAATGACGTAATTTTAGAAATAAACGAAGAAAATCAAAATAAAAATGTGATAGAAAAACCTCATATGAGTGTAAAGGAAGATACTAAAATAATTGAACCTTGCAAAGATCAAATTAACAAAGAACTTTTCATAACGAATAATGAAACCAATGCAGATATTAAAAGTGAAAACGTTGTGAAAACAGTTGAAAATGTAGAAACTTTTTCACCATTACTTAAAACAACAGAACAAAAAAACAAAATAGACGAAAAAGAGTCAGCGAAGGATATATACATATTAAAAGAAAATGCTGATACTTTTACAAATGACCTTAATACTAGTCAAACTATAAAACTTGATACATTATTTACAGAAGACAATAACTCCAGCGCTTCAAGCAATATACTACCTAATCAATCTGAAGTAAACTATGTCAATGACAATCTACTAGAAGAATCCACAGATATAACTTTACAAGTTGAAGACAAATTAAATGAAATCAAAACCGCTACAACTACAGAAAGTAAACAAGAAAAGCAAGAAATAAAAGCAGAAAAACATATAAAAGAATTAGACATAGACTCAAATAGTAAAGAAAACACACAGGAGGATAAACATCAAATTACTATGTCAATAAATAAAATAGAGTCAGAAATGGCTGCTGCAGATCCGGTTACTTCTAAAAAGTTTGATGAGGAATATAATCAAACAAAGTTAAATGAGAACATTAAGAGCGAAAATAAAATCGACATGAAAAATATTACCGATATCGAACCTTTACTTCAAATAGAGGAAGATGTTAGTATAATAAAATATTCTGTTGAGATTAACAAGCCTCGTAATGAAACGGAGCTCTTAGATGAAAAACTAACAGTCGATAGCAATAACACGGCGATTGAAGAAAAAAAATCTTTAGAAGGAAAATTAAATATTTCAAAAGTGAACGATATAGTACAAGAAAATCTACAATTGATTAAAGAAACAGATAATAATGATAAAATAAAAGGAACTGAGGAGAAAGAAGGAATTACATCCGAGTTAGAAATGAAAAGTAGTATAGAAGAAGCTCAGAGTGTAAATATTTCACATGAAAAAATTACAATAGAAGAAAATATGCAAGGCCTCACGAAAAAAGAAAATTTAGTTACAAAAAAAATATCTGGAGAAGAGAGTACCAGTCTAGATATAGTAAAAAATAATGGCGGGACAGTAGAACCAGATGATATTATAAATAAGAATATTACCAAACAAGAAATAGAACACCAAACTAGTATTACACCTGATGATAATACTGTTCACGAAAATGTACAAGACCTAAAACTAAATAATGATGCAAATAAAACAAAGAAATTTGAAGAGAAAGAAAAATCTAAATTTAAGTCAAAAAAGAAAAAAAATGAGACTGGAGAACAACCAGGTACTCTACAGGAGGAGACTACAGTTCATGAAAAAATACAAGAAATGAAAGTAATGAGTGACCAAGAAAGTAAGAATAGAATAAAAGAAGAGCAGAAAGTAGCTGAAGAAAAAGTCATTGAGCACCAGCAAGGTCACTCAAATAATACAATATCAGATGAGACAAATTACGATAAAGCTGAAAAAGAAGAAAACTCACAATTTTTTTCAAATATACAACAAAATGAAGTTATTTTAAATACTACAGATAGCATAACGGCGACTAAAAAAAGAGATATAAAAGAAAATCAAGAAGAAGACAATCGGGAGCGTATTGTGTTTCACGAAGGAGATGAAATTATTGTAAAAGATTTTGATGGAAAATTAGATAAAATTGAAATCAAAACATGTGAAGAAGAAATTGGTGAAAAAATACTACACAACGATAGTTTATTGCCATCACCAACAGATGATGAAAAACGTGAAGGAAGTGTACCGATATTAGAAAGTCACATCGACCTTGAGCTAAAGACGGAAAATATACTTGAGCGTACTCCAATCACGTTGAAGATAGAAGAGTCTTTACATGATAAGGAAGACCACTTTGACCATGAATTTAAAATTCAATCTCATGAAATAATTACAGAAGATAACAAATTACAAAGTGGTGAAATTCCGATAAAACAACAACAATATAATATAAATAACGCTGAGACTTTTGATGATAAAGCAAAAGAAATAATAAAAATAGTATCGAATGAAGAAATTAATAGACACATTATAATAGATGAGCCATTAGAAGATCAAACTCGAGAACTAGACCATTTGATAGTTAATGATAAGAAAATAGATGTAGGAATAGAAAAGAAGAAAGATGAACAAGAGTCTCAAAAAATAAAAGAAACAAAGGATGAAGACCAAGAAAATATAAAAAATCGACAAAAACAAAAGAAAGTTAAAGCAAAAACTGAAAATATTTTAGACCATTCAAGCAGCCAAGAAAAAGAATTAGAACAAGATTCAATGGAACATAATATACAAAAGGAAAATGACAATGAAGTAGATAAAACTCAATTTAAAAAAGGTAAGAAAAAAAGTAACGGAAATGGTAAAAAAGCTACAATTGTAGTAAAACAGGAGAGTGAAAACCAAAAAGAACTGAATGAAGAACTTATTGAAATAAATCGGGACAATAAAAACATTGAGACAGATATTAAGCAAGAAACAGGGCACATCCAAGGTAAAGAAAAAAGAGCTATTATTGAAGCTACAAGTAGTAATCAATCTACTACTAGAATCGATAATCAAGATGTTGGTAGAGATGATCAAAAAAATATAAAATTAAAACAGAAAAAAGAAAAGCAAAAACATAGCCAAGACGAAGAAAAGACAGATGACAAAGATATTTTTAAATCTCGCGAAAAATCAATCAAGACAATGGACGCTATGGATACAGTTAAGAAAAATACAGAATTGAATAGCGTTAATGGACCAATTACAAAAGGTGAAAAAGTTTTATGTCGTCCTGAGAGTCAAGGGTTTATAGATCATACTAAAACTGACTATGCATTGGAATTTTCTAAGCCTCCTGGCTATATACCAAGAACATTTGATGTACCAGATACAGTACCACAAATCAAAACAAATAGTCAATATCCCACTATTTATAAGACTCAGACTTTATTATACGAATCACAGCTAAGGTCTTCTATGTCTCCGCACATAGAACAACAATCAAATAACGAATATAGTCAAATGAAGGAAATAATAAAGGCTGCTAGTGAAAGTAGAAGTATTTCGACTGATAGGCGTACGGGAATTTCTAGAGACGCTAAAAGAAAACCTGTATTTTCAACTCATTTAACGGATCGTACAGCAGTAGAAAGTTCACGAGTAAAACTTACTTGTAGTATATTATCACCATCTAATCCTACCATAACTTGGTATAAAAACGGAGTTTTATTAGATAATAAACAAAAATTTAGAAGTAAGATTGTTGAGGGTTTAATAACTTTAGAAGTGCTTAATGCAGTTCCCAGTGATTCTGGAGAATACAGCTGCACTATTGAAAATGAAAATGGTTCGATTACCTCGTCAGCAAATTTAAAAGTTTACCCAAGTTTTGAAGCTTCTCCTATACCACCTACGTTCACTAGATCTATTCGTGGTAGGTATTAAATAATATTTTTTTTATTTTTATTTTTGTTACATTGTATATTAATATCGTACATATGTTCAACAGATACTTATCATTTAGCTGAGAATGAATTAGTACTAGAATGTCGAATTCGTGGTCAGCCTCTTCCAAGTATAACATGGTATAAAAACGATAAACCTATTATTTTGAATGAGCGATGTCAAGCCCACTACTTAGCTGATGGTGTTTGTAGATTAACAATTAGCTCACCTACGTCTGAAGATTCTGGAAAATATAAATGCAAGGCCGAAAATTCTGTATGGTCGGATCAAATAAGTCACGAAGTATTCTTTAGTGGTAAGATATGCTGGACGTTACACGTATTCAATTATTACGCTAATTTAAATTAATTTTAAATTCAATTATTATACTAATACTTTTTTATTTTTTTATTTATATGACCAATATCAATTCTTTTACTACATATTCTTACGTCATTCATTACAGGTAAAGAAAATCGCGTCAATGCAAATATTGTATCTTTAGAAAAGATAAATTTGAGACAGCAAGTTTTAGAATCGCGTCGCCCACATTTTACGAACGTTTTATCAGATCACAAAGTAGTCAGTGGTGGTACAATTGGCTTACAAGTCGAAATAAGAGGGTCTCCGACGAGAGTAGAATGGTTAAGAGAGGGGCACTCTGTAACAGATCTATATCGAAATGCCCAAACGTATGTAGACCATGAAATATATACTCTAGCACTTACAGATGTAACTGAAAAAGAATCAGGATTATATACATGTAGAGCTTGGAGCACTAGTGGTAATGTTGATATGAATGCAGCTATAACTGTCGTCCAGCCTAACTTGATTGATGGAAAGCCGGCTACTATAGTTAGTCGGCCACCTAAAGACTTACTAATTTCAGTGGGTGAAGACTTAAACATTTCGTTTAGAGTCCAAGGGGATCCTAAGCCTAAGGGTAAGCAATTTTAATATTGTCAATATACAGAAAATACAAAGTAGAACTACCATGTAATTAATGAATGCATATTGTATAAATTGTATTAATTTTTAACTAGTCTAGTGGCTAGCATGTACTGCCGCAAATCCGAAGGTCTTATAATCTATCTCTGTGCTAAATTTCATCCAGATCCGTTCAGTCGTTCTGACGTAAAAGAGTAACAAGCATCCATACTCACGAACTTTCACGTTTATATAATATTGCAGTATAGATTAGTATAGATTTGACATTTTAAATCTTTACGGATTTTTTCGCGGATTTATTTAGATTTTTGGTTCCCGACGTTTCGAATGCTTCAAACATAGTCTCCCCGTGACCATGTTATATTTAATTCTAATCATTTATACGGCTTTTCTTTTCAGTTTTCTTTATGAAGGGAATGAGAGACGTTACAAACAGTCAACGTGTTTGCAAAATGTCGTCTGATGATTATGTAAAATTCACTATGAAACGAAGCATTGTGTCTGATGCGGGAACATACTGTATTTTTGCAAGGAACGCTTACGGTTGTGACAGAGCATTTGTGACGGTTGTGGTAAGTGCAAATTAGCCATCAGTAGTAATTTAACCATCGGCAATAGGAAATATGTATACATAATGCAGTATACATATCACTTTAAATATTTGTTTCAAATATAAACTATACTATAATTATTTTCTTTTTTTTTAAATAGTAAAAATGTAAAATATGCCCGCAAAATTAAAATTACAATATACGAGTATCAATAGATTAGAAATTAATAACATTTACATTACACAAATACTTATTCCCTCCACGACCGCGGACACGCCGGCGGCGTTACAGTTAACAATAGATTTCTTAGAAATTTAATTATTTTTTTAGAAATTTACCTGGAGGTGATATTTGACGAAAAAATATGATACTGCAGTCTTTTACTTAATTAGTGCAATTTTGGCATCCATATAATTTCGAAGCTTATTTATATTTTTAATCACAATATGAAGCTATAAACAGAATGTAGTAATATTCCGGTAATAATATTACTTCATCTATTTTTTAGATTAAAAGGAAAATCAGTTTATTGCATTATATTAATATCGGAAAATAATTGTTCACTTGTAGTTGCATTAAAATTGGTAGAGCTATATGTACTTGACTGCGCTTCTAGTTTAGAGAAGGTTAAAGAGACTTCTCTAAATTAGAAGTACAGTCAAGTAGATACACAGACTTACTCTGATTAAGCGTAAGAATGTGTAAAAATATACATAATATGTAAATGTCTAATGTTCATGTTTAGATAAGACAGCGTGCCTCTTCCGATTGTCTGATATCTGATTGGACTTATCCGATGGACGATTTAGCTATTTCCTCAATTGAAAGAAACTATAAATGTGAGTATGAATTTATAAGAAGATATTTTTTTAATATTCTTTAGAATGCCCGCACATCCGTGGACAGTAAAAGTTTTTATTTATTATTTACAACTTTACATAAGTAGCAATTATCTTCAATAACGATATATTAGGTATACTATACTAATAGTACATTAGGTATATGGAACTAGGAAATAACCAAGAAATTTATTTTTAATGTTATGTGGTTTTTCCATTATTTTTTTTTACATGCTTTGTTCATTGCGAGCTTGTCCATAATAAGAAAAAAATATATAGAGTAGGCTAAGTTTACAACTCTCATATAAAATGTACCTAAATTAGGTTATGCTTGGACAAACAAAAAAAAATTAATATACACACAAAAAAAAAACATAAAAATGCAATAAAATATTTAAAAATAAACTCTTTGAAAGGCTTTACCTCTCTATTAATTTATTTTATGACTGGCGAATCACCCTCGCTCCGCTTAGGTTCGTCACTACGGTTAGTATAGATTTCTCAGAGATGGGAGATATTTTCCTACAGTAAGAAGTATCCTATATGTTGACCCGGATAACCAGCTCTTATCATACCAAATTTCATCAAAATCTGTCCAGTGGTTTTTTCGTGATGCGATCACAGTCAGACAGACAGACAGGCCGACAGACGGATAGGCAGACAGACAAAAATTCAAAAAGCTATTCTAGATTTTCCAAAAACTATTTAATGTACAGATACGGCTTAGTTAGAATTTTATTATATGTATAGAATAGAGAGAGGAATATTTCATTTCATTTGATTTCCTTATGATTTTATTAGTTATAATATGTAGATATAGATACAAATTACTTGAATCTTTATCCAAGCACACTTTGGCATTAAATCAAAAATGTAATTATTGTTACAACGGTAACAATTTATTTTGTAGCTGTTCCCGATCGGATACCGAGTGAACCTAGTGTCGTGGATGGCGGACAAAATTGGATATCTCTCGCTTGGCCAAAGCCAGATGCTCAAGCAAGAGCACCAATTTTAGCCTACAAGGTTGAAGGATGGCGTATTGGTAAAGAAGGTGGAGCGCGTTGGGTAGAATTGGGCATCACGCCGCGAAATTCTTTTGATGCTTTTAATTTACAACAAGGTGAAGAGTATCATTTTAGAATTACTCCAAGAAATCGTTACGGTTGGGGCGAATCTGTGCAGACTTCAATGCCAATTGGGATTGGCTTGTCCGGAGATAGACCAGAATTTACAGAAATTCTCCCTGGTCAATTAAAAGTACTTGTGGGTGGAACAGCATTATTAGGCTGTACTTTTAAAGGTAAACCTATTCCTGAAATTATCTGGATGAAAAATGGCCATGAAATAGAGGAAGAAGCAGGAAGGATAAAAATTAATATTGATAATCTTACTACATCCTTAAAAATCGATGAAGTAAAAATAGAAGATGAAGGCAGATATAGTTGTGAAGCATCAAATGTTCTTGGTCGCTCATCTACATACGCAAGAATGGCTGTCATTACTGATAGAAACATCTGGGAAGCGGATGCAAAGTTAAAGATGTGAGACAAATTAAAATGTTTATCAGTTTATTATATAATATGTATATATGAAATAGTATTTCAATAATATTATTTATTTACAGAGAAAGATCCGCTGGAATAGATGGAGAATATCCACCCCAATTTACGATGCGCCTGAGAGATCGTCGAGTACAAGCAACGTATCCAGTTCGTCTTACTTGTCAGGTTGTTGGTAACCCATCTCCAATTTTAACATGGTTCAAAAATGGAGAACAAATTTTAATAGATGGTGAGATTTTGTGTATACATTGTATACATACTATTTTAATAATGGCTGTAATTATGAAATAATTATTCGTCCGACTATCGTCGGTTTGTACAAATGTCAACCTTTTTTTCCTAATGTAAAATAAGTGATTTTTAAGTGCAGGGAGTTCCTATATGCAAAAAAAAACCTTGACATGCCGTGATGAAAACTTATTCTTTTAGATCTCAACGATATTTGAGTTCAAGAGTTTTAAAGTGTAAAAAACAACGTCAACCTAGCAAAAAATGGATTTTAGTAAGAGAATATTACTTCGTCATAATAAAACAAGATAATTCTAATCTATAGGCTATAAACATTTTAATTTAAGTCCATTTAATATTATGTGATACTTAAAATTTTAAGTATTGATACTTTTAAATGTCTATATAAGTAACTTGATAAGTTAGAATTGTTTTTTTAAAGAAACAAAAATAGTGGCAGTGGCAATATATCACACACCAACAACAGTCGGACGAATAATATATTATTTATTCATCCCATTATCGGACGAATACACTCTTCCTTGAATAATTATAGGTATATGTTAACTTAACGTGTGTTAATATTCGTTTGATGTTCGTCACTGAAATCCCAAATCTAATCACTATTTATTTGACATTTCTTCACAAGTATACACATTTATATTTTAGACTGAATTTTTTATCACTAGATCGTCATGCTGTATCCCAAGATGAGCACTTCTATACTTTGGAGATAGCACCAACTACATTAGAAGATGGAGGAGTGTATGAGGCTATGGCGCGCAATAGTTACGGAGCAGTAAGCTGTCGATGCAGCCTTGTCGTAGATAAGGGTATAAGAGCTTACATTGCGCCGGAATTTTGCTGTGGGCTTCAACCATTATATCGCTTAAGTGAAGGTACTGTCTTGTTCATATATGTTTAGTTTCGTAGAGCCTTGTCACATAGAATGTCGAAGCTACTCACTTTATATAAAGTGATAGACTTTAGGTGCAACTAATGCGTGAATGATACCAACTGGCACTATAAATATAGATTGTCAACGGTTACTTCTTACTATCAAACAGGTGGCATACTAACACACTACTGCTAGTATTATATGATCTGTGATACTACCTACATTACTACCACCATCGTGGTACAAAACATCAGTCTCAAATAAAACCAAAGTATTTTTTCTCTATAGCCACGTATAATTAAAAAAATTATTGTGACCAATATTTTTGTATCAAAAATCTTTATAATTATGTTATTTTTATGTTTTTTTTAATATCTTTCCTCGATATAATTTAAATTTCCACTTTTTAGGTGATGAACTCAGAATTTCGGCAGTGGTTGAAGCTTATCCATCTGTCGGCGTTACATGGTATCGCGATGGAGTTCGATTAAGACCTAGTAGGAAAGCTATCATGACTTTGGATAGAGATGGGCAAATCGAACTAGCATTAGCTTCTGTGACTGGCCGAGATGCTGGCATTTACACTTGCACGGCATCTAATGAGGTTGGTAGGGCTTCTACTTCGGGAAAAGTCGAAGTTGTATCTGGAGAAAATGTAGTGGAAAAAACTACGATGCCCCCAATTGTTATAAGTCCAGATGTACCGTAAGTTTAATTAGTATCTAGTGCATTCAATCATTTATTTATTATTTAAATTACTTATTATATTAGTATTACATATTTTGCAGTTATTCAAAGGAACCAATTTTCATAAAAAAACCAAGATCAAGTGAAGCTCGTGAAGGAGACACTGTTATAATCGAATGTGAAGTAGTAGGAGATCCTAAGCCTGATGTTTATTGGCTTAGAGACTTTTTAAAGGTAAATTTAATGCTTATAGCGTTCAGTAAAATATATTAACCATAATATGTTAATCATTATGAATTTTATTACCAAGTATCAAATTTCATGAAAGGTTTTCCTTAATTTCAGCCGGACTATTATCGAGACGCAAGTCACTTTAAACGTGTAGGAGCAGGACCTGCTTATCGGTTCGAAATTCCTCACGCTAAGCTGGACTATACCGGCGCGTACTCTATCATTGCTAAGAATATGCATGGTGAAGCAAAAGCTATTATATCTCTGCAAATATTAGCAAAAGGTATTTACATGTTAGCCAAAGTTTTAATATATGTATGTAGAATTAGGTATATAATATATATTATTGAAAGAAATTGCTGAACTGACTTCATATTTTTCCTTCTTAATTTGACTTGATGGCAGCACCACCTAATCAATATGGATTGTGTAAATCATTTTGGTCCATCTATAACAGTAGTTGTACTATTTGTAACCAAATTAATACGTCTCACATTGTCTAATTCTCTAAAATTTCATTTTCGTCGCAATCGAATGACTAGGAATATGTAAGCATATTGATATGTATGTAATATGTATATGTACACTGTTGATGTTGAGAATTATTATCGATTCTAACCATGAACTCGTGCTCCATTTATGATGATAAAAATTCCTCGACGCGTTTTCAAGCATGCGCAAAAGAAGAATATTCATTTATATACTCGTATACTAGATTAAAAGAATGTACATGAAAAATTATTTTAAGAAAATGTACGTAGGTAATAAAAATGTAATGCAACGTGAATATTTAGATTAGCATTAAATTACCAAAAATTATATCTACTACTACTTTACAGATCCTAGATCTGGTGACGATGTGCATAATATAAGATATGGGTAAGTAATATCCGAATGACTTTTTAATTTTAAATTATAATAATGTAATATAATAATAACATTGATTTTTATTCTATATTAAAGGCGTGTGGACGTTATTCCTCGTTTCGACAAGGAACTAACAGATTTGTTGTGCTACGATGGAGATGCTGTAGAGTTCGAATGCAGAGTATCTGGAAACCCTGAACCCGATATCAGATGGTTTCATTACAATGAGGTACATATTGACGCTACTAGTTTTATAAAAAGAAGTTACTATTGGCCTTTCTTTGATATGAAATGAAATGAATAATAAAGTATGAAAATCTTTACCATTCATTATATACCTTTATTTAAGGCGAGTAAATTTTACAATATGTTCTTTCTGTAGTAATAAGTATTTACCCAACTATTATTTTTTATTGAAAAAAAAAATGTTTTTCTAATACTGTCACCTCTTGTGGTTGTAGATTGTACCAGAATGCTTAGATTTTGAATCATCGTACGACCTCGGTACAGCTAGGCTTAAAATAAAGCAAGTCACCGCTGAAGACGAAGGCACATATAGGTGCGAAGCTTCCAACACCCTGGGGAAAGCGACCTCTAGCGCCTGTCTTGTGGTTTACCGTAAGTCATAAAATCAAAAAAATATTTATAATGCGTATTAATTTACTACGTTTGTTTTACTTAAATGTGTAATTGTTATTTTATCCTCAACATAAATTTGTGATATATACCTGTTGAACGCCGATGTTTCATTGTAACAGCAAAGATTTACATATATCGTTAAAACTGAGCAAGATTTTAAGTGCTATTACTAAGTCACATTATCACAAAATCAACGTGAAATAAAGAAATAATAAAAGCATCTACATAATTTGTTTGATATTCTTGATATACAGCTCCCGGCGAGCCTAATACACTATGTCAACGACTTCGACGGCCACCCGCGCTTCTGTCTGCCGCCTCCACGCCACGCTCTACACCCCGCTCAACCCCTCGCACCACACCGGCTCGTTCTATGTCTCGCACACCTGGTAATTCTAAACGACAAATTCTTTTATGTATATTTTTGAGTATAATTTGTGACCTAGTTGGTCAAATTTAATTTACTGGTATTTGATTTATTCAGGTCCGGATTCGAGACGCTTATGCAGTCCATCGCGTGAAATTGCACCAAAATTCTATACATACCCGTACAATAAGGTCGCTGAAGAAGGCGATAATGTAGTGTTTCAGTGCGCGGTTAAAGGCCTTCCTCCACCGTGGGCCACATGGGATAAAGATGGTATTATCATAACTCCGTCTGCCAGATTTAGTATTAGAGAAAAGGATGAAATGTTCAAAATATTGGAAATCGAACAAGTAACAATAGAAGACGTGGGTTTATACAGAATCACATTGGAAAACGATTATGGTAGGGCTGAGGCTTCAGCGCGACTGGAAGTCATCACACAAAAAGGAAAGTTCTATGGCAGCACGAGATCTTACAGCGTCTCGCCGCGCAAGTCTCTACCATACAGAAGACGTACGCCTTCTTTTTCGAAACAAGACTGATAGCACTATTATATGTAGACAGCAAGCACAAAAAGCATATTTTTCTTTATTAAATTATGCAGACAGAATAAAGTCGCGGTGGCCAAGCCAATACCTTTACTTAAGTAGTAAGTACACTGTTAATATAAGATTGCAGTCTATGCGAAATATATGGGTACCCATTATCTTGTTGCAAAGCGAACTGTTTATTTATTGAATATTTGAAATGTGCGCCTTATCCTGATTTTATAATAATATAAATTATATTTTTTCAGGATATAATTAATAAGGAAGAAGGCGACAATTTCGAAAACATTTTTTTTGTTTTCTATAAATTACAATTTCCTTTGCATTTTATTTGTAGAATAGTTTAGATTAGATTGATTTAACTGTCATTGCAAAATTATTTTACCTAATCGCAAAATAAATATGAATTAATTATATATTTATCGAAAAAGGCGTAACAAGTTAGCCTTGCGATTTATTACCTATTATTTTATTGTTAGCATCATTTATGTTTAGGTACTTATTTAAAAGATTTGTCAGCGTTTTAAGAGCCCACGTATCAGTAAGCAATATGAGCTTCTGTGACCAATATACCACGTTCTTTTTCTAGAATATGAACTTTATTGGTTTTTAAAGTACTTTATGTACGAATGAGATTTATAGTTTTAAATATCTGGTACGTGAGAATGTGTGAAAATTATTTATTGTCTACTCTAGCGTTTGAAGTATATAGAAAAAATGTTTTAATAACACATGTATATGACACTAAGTTGTAACATCTTTTAGTTAGTTGCCAATAACTAGCACTTCCAGAAAATTATAAAATAAATTGTATTGCGATTTATAATGATGTTTTATTATTTTATGTTCATTACAAAATACAGATTTTTTATCAAACAAACAATACGAACTAATCTCTGTTTCGTTTAAGCTTTTCACTTATTCCATCTCGTCAAGGTTAATGACCTCCCGACCGACTTCGGTCACGGCGGCCAGTCTCATTGAGACTAACCATCTGTGCAAGAGATATTATAGTGCACAAGTGTATGCACAGACACAAGTGTACGCACAAACACAAGTGCACTCTCTATTCCTATCCTTCTCATACTCTGGCGGGACGACTACTCGACACGACCGATGGCTGTACGTGCTCTCCGAGGCACGGGCATGAAACACCGCCGACTTCCCAACTCCGGGCTGTTACTGAGACTTATTAAACAGAAAGACTCAATAACTAAACTTGGCCCGACCCGGGACTCGAACCCAGGACCTCTCGATGTGCAGCTGTACTTGCTAGCCACTATACCACCGAGGCGTCAACGTTAATACGAATTGTAAGGAATGGAATGTATGACCGAAATAGACACTTTCTTCGGGACGAACACTGTTTTTTAATAATCTTGTTTAACTGACCAATCTCCTTCGTGTCTTTTCCGTTCAACGTGACATTGGCGAAGTGATATAGGAATGTAATGTGTGTGTGTGAATAGTGAATAGGAAAAGAAATATAGGTAAGGGTAGGAGTTTACAATATAAATAAGAAAATAATAAAAATTTAAAAATATACTAAAAAAACAAGAATGTTGCACTATGCATAAGAGGCGAGGTAATTCAACGATAAAAGCAGAGCAATTTCAATGCTGGATATCAGTCCGCTGTGGTCAAACGACGATAAAAATACAATGGGATAGAATAAATAGATCATACTTATTATCAAGCCCAATCTTAATTATGTTTATGATATTATAGTAGCTATAAAATATAAAGTGATCACATATGTGTGTAAATAATTTCTAAATTCATAATTCGTGTGCAATGTGCATGATAACGTGGCAACATGTGATACTGTCATCGGTTGACCAAATTATAAAAAGTAAAAATGTATTCGGATCATGGAACTAGAGAATGGATTGAGCAATACTCTAATGAAATTGACCACTCTCTAGGAACAGAGAAAGGGAACGTGCGACGAATACCTGTCTTTTATGCAATTTGAATTTATAAATGGAATGTAAAAATATTATCTATCTATAGATAGATATAATAAAATTATAACTAATCCGAATCTGTACATTAATATTTTTTAGAAAATCTTATTGAAATAGACATTATTATCGATACTAAGGCCGAATCCATAGTTACTAGAATTTTTATGTCTGTCTATCTGTGACCGCATGACGGAAAACCCACTGGACAGATTTTGATGAAATTTGGTATGATGATAGCTGGTTATCCGGGTCAATATATAGGACAGCGGAAAATATCTCATCTCTGAGAAATGTATACTAAATGTTAAAACTTAAGAACGTAGGGATGAACTCTAGCGGAGCGATTGTCAGTCGCTAGTAATATTATAATTTATTAAAAATGTAATGGAATGTAAAATGGTTATAAATATCTTTGTCATTAATGGTATTTCAATTAATACAGAGGAGTTCTGGCCTCACGTTCGTTTGGTCTATCTCGCTTTTCCACCTGCATTTTTAGTATTGTATTGTAGTATTAATATTAAACTGTTACCAAATAAGCAGTTAATAAAATTTATCATATAATATCTCGAATGGTATGTAAAATAAAAAACAAATTAAATAAAAATAAATAATTCTCGTTATATTTAGTAATATACATATATTACACAAACATATCAATTAATATTTTCAATTATCGAAAATACGATATAACACTTTTAAGATGCTGACTGTGTATCTTGGGTTTTTGATTTTTTGTATATCAACGTGCTGGATAAATTTTATCGCATTTTTATTAAAAGAGTTATAAATAACAAATTTATTTAGATCTCTTGTATACCTACTGTAAATAATTATAGAGGTACCTATAGATAATATTATATATATTACGTGTTTTTTGTACAAAAAAAAACTTTTTTAACTCCTCCAGGTTAATATTACTTGTAACGTATACAAGTCCTGTTAAATAAATATTTTAATAGCTTCCGTTTAAAAGTGACACATCTACCGCAAGATAGTGATAGAATTGCCTGTCCTTTGTAACAAGTGCTGTGTGGTAAACCCTTTAATGGTCAGGTTAGGTAATGAATGAAATATAAAATATGATGGCTAAATCGCTGGTTGTAGAGAGGTAAACTCAAGTAATTCATAAATTCTAAACTTAAATTCAGCGCTGGTTTTACACTAGGGGCATTCTGGGTTAGTGCCCAGGGCGGCAAAATTCTGAGGGTGGAAAACAAATTATCTTAATGTTATCGAAAATTCTTTCTGTATTTTCCAAAAAAATTTAATAAAAAAAATACTAGTACATTTTTCGAAAAAATGAAAACATCATTTTTTTGCATTTTTCGAAAAATAACAAAAAACTTTATCGAAACTTATTCTACTTTATGCAAAATTTCGATAATGGGGCGGCATTTTTTACAGTGCCCAGGGGCGGCGCTAAGGTTAAATCCAGCACTGCTTAAATTACCGCCATGTCTTTCACAAATTTTCTATCACTATTTTCTGGTCTATTATTATTAGAAATCGAAATTAAATAACCTTAACTTGGTCCATTCTTGTAAACACATTACTACTTATTTTTTAATAATAAATATATTTAAAATAATAAATTTGGTTTTCGATCTTAACAAAATTTATAACGGTTATAACAGTAATTAAGAGCTGTTTTAGTTGCTAGGTAACTCGTGGAGCACCTCTGTCGGCATCTTCGGTATTAGTGTTACGCTGTATGGTCGCATGTGTCCGCAAACGATGTGCTGCTATCATGACATTACCAGCTCTCTGTAATACACAAAAATACTTTATTTTCACTCATTCATCAAAAATAAAGTTACTACTCTACTACTACTACTAGTCTACTGGGGCTAGTATGTACGGCTGTAATCCTGAAGGTCCTGGTTGCGAGTCCCGAGTCGGTCTAAGTATATTTATTTGTTAAAAAATTGTCAAGAACAGTAGCAAGTTGGAAAGTCATAATAAGTGCTATTGTGTTAGCTCAGAGACTTGTACCTACTCTAGAAGATTTGTAGAATTTCCTGGACTAATGGCTAAACTTCGTGACATTAGCCGAAATAGACCAGTTTATAAAACGTATGGCTATATTATTTGAATTACAACATAATTATTTATGAAACACAATAAAATTAAAATTCAATCATTTCAATCCTTTCAATTCAATAGTATCAACACCCATAATTGTCGATCACAAAACTTTCATTCGATAACAAATTTCAACAAAATATTATTAATTCTTCTCAAGACTTACTTGCCACCTAGCTCTGTGGTTAGCTAGATAAGATCTCAGATTTTCTCTAGCTCGTTTCATATGTCCCGCTTTCGCACCACCGGGTGGCCCTTCTAAAATCCACTGGTGATTTAAAGCAATGGATGCTTTCATACGTTTTTCGGGTTGTAAAATTAAAAGGCGATCTACAAAGTCTTTTGCTAATCCGGATATTTCTTTAAAAGCTGACTCATGGTAGTCGTAATTAGCCATTGTGATATTAGCTGATCGCTCTGGCCAAGACTCACCACTAAAAGGCATAACGCCAGATAATCTGTAACAATAATTCGTAAAGAAATTATTATTTAAGGTTAATAAAGTTCATTAAGTGAATATACATTTAGAATATTTGCAGTTAAATTAGTTCACGAATAAAGTATTTAGAGGCACTGAAATAGTGTCGAATTGTACAAATTGTAATACTCGTAATTTATAAATATTTAAAAGGAGCAGGATGTATCGAAATTTTACTTCTAAATCTCTGAAATTGTTTCTCAAATTTATGGCTCAGTAGTTTTGGATATATAATTTAATTGTAATTTTTTAATGATTATTCATTATAAATATTAATAGATATAGTATACATTTCATAAAATATCACACATTAGTTCTAAGATAAAATGATTTCACTTTTAAAAACATATAAATATATGATCAGTTTATGTTCATAAATAAGCAATATTTACTTACAACATGTAAGTTACAACTCCCAAGCTCCACATATCACATGCAAGAGTGAGTCTTTCAAAATTTAAAACTTCAGGGGCAACATAATCCCTAGTTCCGTATATAGCTCTTGTCACGTGACCTTCATCAAGTACTCTCGCTAAACCGAAGTCTATGATTTTCACTAGTCTGGAGTTAGGACTAAGACAAATTATATTTTCTGGTTTTAAATCTAAATGGGCAATTTTTTGGTCGTGTAGATAAAGTAACGCTTCACAAATTTGACGAACGTAAGGTACTACATCGACTTCCTTGATATGTTCCTCTTCAACTATTCTATCGAAAAGCTCTCCACCCCATAGGCTAAAAATAAATAAAAAATATTAGCGCATTCGTTCAAGAAGGAATACTAAACTACTTTTATTATAGCTCTATACAACTTACTAATCCATAATTAAAATAAAGGAGTCTCTCGACGAAAATGTTTGATAAAGCTTTACGAGTTTAGAATGATGCAGTTTTCTCATAGTTTCATACTCTCTCATAGCTGTATCTCTTTTTTTCTGTGTTCTAGTCTTTAATATTTTTGCTGCATAGAATTCTTCATTCGTGTCTCTAACAAGAACCACACTCCCAAATGCGCCGCAACCAATTACATCCCCAGTTCTCGTAAACATAGTCTCAAATTCTTCCATTGGTTTTAGCTCACACGCATCGTTTAATTTTTGTAGATTATTTTCATGTGGTACTACAAAAACGTTCTGAATACATTTATTTGCATTATAACTTTATTAAATTTCTCGTTATCGAATAATATTTAATTTATAGCTGACATACTCGTATTTAAAAATATGATTTATTAGTGTTTAAAATTAATGTTTATTCTAATATAAATAAACCTTTATAAAATAAATAACGACATGAAATATGTTGTCCCTTTAATTTGAGTTTATAAACTTTGATATGGCAAACGGAAGTACCTATGTAAAGGAACTCACATATACAAACTCTGGACTCGTCGGAGTTGTTTGGACAGTCTGTGGTTGAAATACGAAATTTCATTATCTGCTCTATCGGAGGATCTTTAATTTCGAACATAGGTAAACTCGATATTCCTGCTTGTACAAAAGAAGCACTCGTTCTTCCAAATTCAATGACATACCATTTGTTATTTGTTTCCGTGCTGTACCTTAAAATAACATAAAAAGTTATTAGAAAATTAATTTCGCATTACTCGTTGCATTCTCGACACATGTATGTATATTCACCATTGTATTACTACAAGCATGGAATGTTCATTTGATGAATTAAAGTATGTCGTTTTTATATTAACTACAAGATGGCTTGCATATATTTCATTTTCATCATTTTCAATTTCCAAATAAAAGTGTTCATCATTCAATCTGAAACAAGTGAAACAAGTTTAGTACAAACATATCATACTCATAGGTACCTCTTTTTTAATAAAAAAAACCATTTAGTTTTATGTTCACACAGCTACAGGTTTTTACATTTTTATTAGCATCTTTTTCAACTGTTTTAGAATTTAATAAAATTTTGAAAGACGATATTAACAAACTTCTAACTGACATATAGTTTTGAATCTTTGTAAATATTTAAAATTCCGACGACCATTTAAAATACCTGCAATAAGTGATGACCATTATGCCCCGATGTTCCACCATACGCGTAGCGCCATTTGATGATATCTATTTAACATATTTTACAATTATTATTAATCCACTTTTTTTGTTCTTCTATAATAGCTATAAAAACGATTTAGAAAAAATAAGATGTACATTGAAAGTTTACCAAATTTTTTGCGTCCAATGAGAAACCAGCTAGTTCATTACTAGCTGGTCACTCATTAGTTGGTAGGCCCTCAATTCTCAACTTCACTCAATAGTGCCATAACTTCAATATAATTCGCCCCCAGCGTGATATATTTAATATAGGTAATATGTCAAATATGTTCATGAACTAATAATAATTACTACTTAAATATTATTATTACAAAGGACTTCTTGCACCAAGTTCTTAATTTGATTAAATAATTCATTTTTAAATATTTTTATTTATCAAATGTCAAATTGTAATTTTTGATGAATTTTGGTAAAGCGGCCCTAAGAATAAAAAGACGGCATTCATGACTTTATCAAAGTTAAATCATATTATTTCGATTAACGTACTTGAGTATACAGGCTTGATTAAAAGAAAACAATAGCTATAGCTGCGATAAGAAAAAAATTATTTAGTTTTTATGTACATACACACTGCATTATATCAACGAAAGAATATACGCAAACTGAACTTTCCAATGCAGTTTAAATTATTGATACAACAAAAAAACATAATACATAAAAAATATTACTTACATTTTTATGAATCCCATTTAAATCACTGTCGTTTTTAATAACTACCTGTGTTTTCGAGCTCGCATTATCGAATACATATCTTTTAAAACTTGGCTTACTAAGTTTAATTTCTTTATAGAGTATGTCAGGCGGAACGATTGTCAAATATGTCGTTGCGCTATTAATTAGAAGGGATTTTCTGTTAGGTAGTGATCTTCGAAGCTCACAAGTTACTGATCCGGCCATTCCAGGGTCCACTTGTTTTACTATTAAAATGTAATCTCCTCCGCTATGCATCACCTGTAATTTGTAAATCAACTTCAAAGTAAATAATAACATATAAATCAAACATTAGGTAGGTATAATTTCAATCCTTACATGAAATCTGTGATTTGTTCGTTCAACCCTAAAATGACCAATGTACCACACGACGTAATAAAACCTTGGGTCATCCATCGAGAAACTACAAGTAAATGATATCGTTGTTCCAAAGCATGTTATAATGGGTTGCAAAAGTTTAATTAATTTAGTTGCTGTTTTTATTCCTGGAGTTTCTGTAACAATATTTGCACAATATTAGTAAACTATTTCTAAATAATTAACTAAAAAATTAAACGAATTATTCAAAATATTGATAAAAATAGGTTACCGTAATGTCTTTATGTAATTACTTAACAAAAAGTACTAACATAACACATACCGTTCACAGTTAAAAAGCAACTTGTCGAATCTACTTGATCGGTTATATTATCTCGCATATTTAATAAATACTCGCCACTGTCACCTAAACAGGTATTTTTAATTCTCAAACATATGTAACTGTTGTTATAATATTCTGTTACCATGTTATTCATATTTTCTAAGTTTTTCCCGTTTTTGGACCATTGTATTGAAGTGTTTACATCATAAGAAGCCTTACATAGTAATCTTATCTCCTCTTCATTATTAACTTCTAACTCTTCTGCTAAAGCTTCTTCTATACAGGGCACTACTTCACTAGTATTTAACGCATTTAGGTCAGTATTTATTACGACTATACTTGCGAAACTTGACGCAATACCATATTCTGATTTAGATACTACATGGTAAATACCTGTATCCTTCTCTTTGGCACACAAAATGGAAAGTGTGGTAGTCCTCTTATCGCTTAATACTATTGTACGCTCATTTGGTATTAATATACGATTACTTTTATACCACACATAATCTTCTGAAACGTCCGCATTAAATTCAGCTTCTAGCTCTATAGTGTCTCCTACTAACAATTTTGCACTTCTCAGATGTCTTACGGCAACATTGTATTTTGGTATTGGATTCATATAAATAACATCACTATAAATATTATTACATCTATCGTTTATTTGTCTTACATACAAGTTTGCTTTGGAAAATGTTTCTGTTGAATTATTTTTTAATAAGAGAACATAAACTCCATGATCTTGGACCGAAACTGATGTAATTTCTAGGCGATACCATTTATCACTATAAATTGTTTTTACTTTACGCGAGGGCTCTATATTTTTTCCGTCCTTATACCATTTGTAAGAAGAACATTTTTCAGAACAGTCATTTAATTTACATTCAAATACAACACATGTGAATTCATCTGCAACGACATCTTGTAAGCTTTCCTCGATCTCTAACCGTCTCATGACTCTATTACTGTTCGTCATTTAAATGCTATTAGCAAACTTTTAAAATAACTTGACAAGTAACTATGTTAAAGTAAAATAATATATCTACGAAATTCTTTTTCACCAGTCTCACAGGTAAGTCAGTCTTCTGTAAAGAAAAAAAATTATTGTTGATTAGTTATATATACATATGTATATACATATAAAATATAAATAAAGAAATTCAAATCAGTGTTCGTCCAGTGGTTGATATAGGACCATAATCATTTATATAAAATTTGAGAAAAACATATATGAATAGAATTTGTCTATATAAAAGAAACTAATTGTTTCTAAATTTTTTAATGATATGTTATGTTAACAATGTAATAGTCCGTCAAAAACGACAAAATACAAAAAAGAAAATTAGTTGACAAACAGAGGGGAAAAAGGTATTGAAGTGTTTCGTCTTTAGAATTTTCATTGATGATACTATCTCAGAACCATTCACTGGTGCATTCAATTTTCAATAACTCAAAAATTTCATCATAAGCAGATGAATGTTATATACAAACAATTTCTATCAGTCGTAATACAATAATACAAGTACAATAGTACAAGTTACAGGTAAGTAATAATATCAATAAATAGATAAATAAAAGTTAACCCCTGCATAGTAATCACTTATTTGTATAGGATTTATCTTTGTCTAGTAGATAAGCTTAAAATGTTTGTGTTTAAAGAATCGTGTCGACGTAAGAGTATGTCGCCCATGCTCGCTATGAGTCACGCTCACAATAAGGTCGTCCAAGGTGACGTGCACAGGCACTGGCCAACTCCAAAAACACGCAATACTGCGACCTTCTGAACACACCCTAACTTAATAAACATATAGATGTAGATAGCTAAATTTAATTTAACAAGCGCCTGTAAATGTCACAAGAAAATTTAATAAAGATAATTTAACTGGTTGTCAAGTGAACATTGATCGCTCTAAAATTTATCGTGACACATTTTTTTAATAAGGGATTAAAAGAATCTTCAATTCAATCCATACGACAATATGAACTTTGACCAAGCGAGTAAAAAAGCTTAAAATAAATAGCATTTAGGTAATTAAAAAAAATCACAAGTAATTACAAAACTTAAATACAACAACTTAAATACAAAACAAAGCTTAAATTTACAAGTTCTAAAAATGTAAGTAAATAATCTAGCACTGAGAAAAATCTCACCCAGGCGCCTGCTCTTTATGCACCATAGCTCTACATGGTAATCAGACATTGAAATTACAAGTAGGGTAAAACAGGTTTAGCATATCCTATTAACTGTAGTCTTATTTTTATTCACCTTTCACCTAATGAGGAATGAAACTTAGTTGCTGTAAATGCACTAACTCGGTTAGGATACTACGTAACAAGTTCATTTTAGTAGATCATTTAAAAGGCAAAACAGGCTAGCTTAGTCATCAGGTCGACCTAGAAAGAAATATAATAAGTACTTATATTCTAATATATATATGCTTTTGTTTTAGATGTTATGTATATAAATAAAAATGCTGTTCGTTGGTAAGCATCAATTGAGAAAGGCTGGACCAATTCGGCGAATTTAGTTTTTTAAATGATCTTAATTATCCGAATAAAGTGCATAGAGAAGAAAATGGAAAGAAGCCCCGAATATTTGGGAAAAATTGAAAGTGTTTTTTTTTCTATAGGATTTAATATGATCGAAATCATATTGGAATTTGACAGGACAACGTCTGTTGGATCACCACATTACAATTTTAAGTTAACGCGCCTTAAATTCAATAAATATTAATTTTTGTTGTAGTATTTTTATTCATTATGATGACTAAATGTGATAAACAATAATTACTTATGTTTGATGAAGATATATCTTTTTATACAAAAATGCGATAGGCAGTCTTGGTAGCCCAGACAGTGGTAAAGCTCTCGTTTGGGAAACTGAATAAAGCGGGTCTCGCACCTCTGATCGTCCCCGGCAATGGGAACAGTGCCGGATTTAACCTTAGCGCCGCCCCCAGGCATAGTGGAAAATGTCGCCCTATTATCGAAATTTTGAATAAAATATTGAAAGTTTTTTTTTTGAAAAATAAAAATAATAAAAAAATATAAAATATCTCATTTCTGAGAAATCTACACTAAACGTTAAAACGTATGTAGGGACGAACCCGAGCGGAGCGAGGGTGAGTCGCTAGTCTATACATATAATAGAACTATAGAGGTCGAATGTCTGTACATAGAAGAAAAATGCTAAAGACCGAGTCAGAGGAATGTAAGAAGAGAAATAGAAAAAAAAACTGTTTTTTTTTTTCAAATTTTTAACTCTGTCTGTTTATCTGTTGTCGGTAATGTCGGTTGTCGGTAATGTACACGTATGGTCTCTGGACAAACTACGTTAAACGTTCTTTCAATGTTCTACGAGTATAATGATGTCTTTAGAGCAATGTTTAGATAATAATGAAAGAGGATTGCATCTCTGAGACAGAGGATAAATAACAGCAGCAATGCTGTCATACGACTCTCAAATTATAAGATTCTGGCCTCTGGGTCAAACGATCCAGACATAGGTTATTGCTATTTATGGATTTTTCGTGTTGTTGCACTTTAAATGTTTCATTTAATTATCAGTAGGTGTAGTTTTGAATGTATGAACCTTTTATATTTATTTTATTTAGTTTATAATAATTGTTTGAATTACTTCTTAAATTGTATGGAAAAGTGTTCCGAAATAAAGATTTATTATTATTATATCCATAGTTCCATGTGATTGCGATGTAACTATATGATGATATGATAAGTAAAAAGTTAAATGATTAACTCAAAATAAAATCATGCTACCGAGTCTTATCCGAGATTCGAGGATTTATTAATTTTAATATCTACATAATTGTGTGTCTAGGGCCGGCGCAAAACCAGGGTGGACTGTTGGTGTAATAAAAGGTTCATATTAAAGTATTTTTATTTCCATTACCTGTAATATGAAATAATTAATGTATAAAAAATTTAATCATATTATTTAATATATTATTCAAATAAACAAAACCAACAAAATATACCTCAGTATTTGAAAATATATATTATCAGTATCCACTATAATAATACGTATAATTATGTATCTAATAATAGATGGTATAATTTAAAGGTAATAATATTTAGCAACAGAGCGCCTTTACTTTTAAAAATAATATTAAAATGACCAACAATGACCTAACCCAAGTCGTTAAAGCAACTTTAATGAGGCTGAAGGCCTGCTAATGAGTCGTGATTTTAATGTTTTGCCACTGGTGTTAAAAAGGTTGACGATTTAATCGTCGTAATTATCTCACTTTAAACACGTGTGCGTTAAATAAAATCTTTATATAATTTATTAATTTCATTTTAAATGTCTCGTTGCCAAGTAGCCTTACCATAGGTAATTTTAATATTTAACCTTAGAAGAGGACTTTAGACCATTTTTAAAAGTCTAAAGTTAGGAGTATTTATCATAAATGTACTATGTTTTATGCCTCCATATTTTTATGCTATTTAATTCACTAGTACTCTAAAATCTAATTTTGATAAAAATGTAGCAATAAAAATACCATGGGAAAGATATGATTGCAGGATTCAATCACCACAAAAGACAGGCTTTAGCGATTTCTCATTTTTTCTGTCTTCACAATTTTTTTACTTTACGTGTATTTCTGCAAATATCATTTTATATTGATAATAATATGAAGATAAATGTAATTATAATAATTATTTTAAATCTGTTCGGCTTATGGGTAAAAAATATATTATTTAATGCTAAAAAAATCATTTATTGTTATTTATATTTATTATTAGTGTTTGAAAAATTCTGTACAACTAACTACATATCTAATATTTAATTCAATACGAGATATATATAGCCTTATAAAAGATTACATCAAAGAGAAATGCAACAAAAAGGTTTTAATCAATCGTATGAGCATTGCGTAAATGGTGGATAGCATAATAAAGTAGATAAATTACTTTTTCATACTTCGTCACCGCAACATTTTTTCATTTGTACTGCGACATAAGTTGAGGCAAATAACTGCACATACATATAAGGAAGGTAGCAGTCAGCAACGATTGTACTCGCACGATTATATCACACCGCTGCGTGCGGGTGTAATAAAAACATCTTGAACTCAGTATTTAAAATGTTTAGATCTTTAATATCGACAAACTGAATAATGTTTGTGTCATTTTATAAGTTTGATGTATTTTAAATTTTGCCATAAACGGACTGTCTATTAAACATCCTTATATAAAAATAATTCATAAATATTTTTTTCATTACGAGCCTTGAGAATGTTACGATGTCCTCAAACAGAAGTTTTAAGTTTAAAATTTAACATGTATAATGTACACTGTACAGTTGTACATAAACAAAGTAAAATTTCAATCAAATTTAATTTAATTCTTTATTTAAGGATCGTGTAAATTTTTTAAGGGGTTATCCCCTTAGTAGGTATAATAATAATAAATATGCTCATTTTGTACGTTGTTGCATAGGAAGCGCGTCAAATTATTGCAAACACACGTAATAAAGTGTGATTGATAAATTATATTTATATTGGACGCAAGAACTAACCACAGTGGGTAGTCTTATTGTAAATTAATACTTGGGCCACGGTCTCACTTACTTACATACATTTATACTTAAGCTTATCCATGAGAATATATTTACATGTCTCGCTAATGGCTTAACTTGGTCAAGTTGTTCTTATTTTTTTGTACAATACTTACAAATAGGAGAAATATATATGTACATAATACCTTATATACTTCTAATTATACATGCCTAGCACACATACACTTGTATTTATCTCTATCAATATTAATAACAAAATTATTGTTATTATTTATTTAGAATTCATTAAATTATTAAATTTATTTAAAGTTCAGTGATTTCTTTAAATTCCACTCAATATCAAAATATCCACACACGTAATTGTTATAGTAAATGAAGGTAGAATTTAAATATATGTTTGTTTTAATTGTACTATTAAAAAAGTATTTACAGAAATGAAATAAAACCCCGACTGCGCAAAAAGCGAACTATTAAGATGAGAACAAGTTGACGAAGAATCAAGAACCTAAGTATTGCAGTCGGAGTCAAAAATAGAAAAATGGCACCAAAATACCTTACATTACTTAATTTTAAAGGTTTTCATAATTTTAATAAGTTTTACAATTAAATAATATTCCGATTTATAATAAATCTGCGAAAAAATCCAATAGGTAGTTTTATTTAAAACGACTTCCGGTCTCACCCTTGCTTCGCTCGGGTTTATCCTTAGGTGATTCTTTAAATTGACATAACATTTGTATTTATAAGCCTACCACAACACATTAGAGAAAGCCGCACCCCAATTGGCTAAGCCGTTTCTGAGATTAGCACAAACGCACAGACAAATAGATAAAAATTTTAAAAAATATTTTTTTGGGTATATCGCGTTCATGTACAGACAGCGATCAGTTAAAAAAATATTATATGTGAAGATGTCAAATACGTAAATCTCAAAAAGTATTATGCATAATATATGTTTCTTCGTTAACTTGTTCTCATATTTTTAGTCATTCATCATATAACGTAGTCGTTAAGAATTTGGTGATGTAAGAAGTATTGTTCTATATGCAAAGCAGCACGATCTAAGTAAACAAATAAAGGCTGACTGGGTACAAGTGAATCTCTAATACCTCTCACGAGTTGTATTGTCTTCTTATGTGCTATTTTACTCGAAGTCGTGGCTAGAATCAAAGCAATAATTATATTTTGTAAATAATACAAATCATTAATTTTTATTAAAATATAAACTACCCTCTGTAATATGTAAAATGACGATGCGACGTTCAAATTAACTTCCTTCGGAGGCGAAATTTTATATATACAAATTTTATATGCCAAACAAATATTATTTTATTTTCTTTTTTACATGATATACTAAATCTCTATATATAAGTCTTTCTAAATGCTCTAGGAATTTAAATTACCAATCAATAAAATACCCTACCTTTTATTTCCGATAAAATCAATGTTCCCTGTAAAATCAATGATGATAATAGGTATTTTAATGAGAGATTGACTTTTTACATTTTAAAGTAAATACTAGTAAAAAAACCATAACTTATAAGATTTACATATTTTATCAGTTTCATAAACAAATCTGACGCAACTTAAAAGACAGTAAAAGAAACAAAAATCTCATTATAAACGACGCACCTATCTTTTATCGGCTTTATGCTTTAAAAGGGTTTTACAAATTCCTGTACACTTTTGAAAGTAAAAAATGTGTTTATCGTTCTTCGAAACTAGTTTAGAAAAGCGCGTGGTTGACTTCATGATAATGTCACGTTATTTTCTATTAATACTTTTAGCTCTAAATCTATACATATAATAAAATTGTAAATAAGCCAAATCTGTACATTAAATATTCTTTGGAAAATCTTATTGAAATAGACATTATTATTGATATGAAGGCCGAATCTATAGTTTTTAGAATTTTTGTCTGCCTGTCTGTCTGTTAATCTGTTACCAGATAACGGAAAAAACAGTGGAAGGATTTTCATGAAATTTGGTATGATGATAGCTGGTTATCCGGGTCAACATATAGGATATTTTTACCGCGATAAAATATCTCATTTCTGAGACAAAATACAAAAACTGAATTCTAAGAGTATACTAATATGTAAAACCTAAGAATTAGGTAATCTGAACGCGGGCGGAGCCGCGGGCAATGCTAGTAAATAAATATAAATGGATAGCAAAAATTGTGCCTGGGTTTGGAATGTTATCACTTACATAGAGACAATAAGTTTAATCGCGCATCACTTTAGGACAATAGGAGGAAAATCATTGACTTGGTTGGACAGCTGATCTAATTAGATAAATTATGATAATCTGAATTAAAAACAAAATTATTTTTTATTTTTAACAGTTGAATTGGTTCAACCTCAGCTCTCCTTTCTGAATGTTCTATTGAAAAACTGGAGTCATGTAGCTACATATTTTGTGTTTGAGAATTTAATAGGTACTATAAAAACCCAGCAGTCAGAAATGAGAATATAATTATATTTTTTTATGTATTATATAAATCGTATGTCCTATCATCATAATTTCTTATTGTACCTACTCTATACTAGGTGTAGTATTGTACTCGTACATAATTAAAACGTATTCGTTCATAGGTTAGTACACACATTACAATAATGCGAAAGCGTAGATAATTGGACCTTTTTAAAAGCTCTTTAGAGCTACATTGTTTATGCACAATGATAATAACTGAACCGAGATACATCTGAAGTAAAATATGAGCTTTACTTAAAGTGAGTGTCGACACGGCCGTTATGCAAGTGTTGCACAAGCCAGCGGCATCCTAGCTTGGATTTGCTGATTCAGACCAAGCACATCCGTGTTTGAGTGCAAAATCGACGTACGTATTTGTACGTGCTGTAAAAGTGCCTACTTTATTAATATAATGTCATCATTGAACCAACAAAAAACACAAAATAACAAAACAATATTTTTTTCTAATTGTCACTGAAAAACTATCTAAATATCTTTTTTTATTGACAATTTGTAAACTCTATGTTCGTTTCATAAATCATATAAAGCCTTGATATACTTTGTCTTTATAAAACACGGGCAGATGCGCTTTAGATATTATAAACTAGCCCTATCTATACTCGTGAATTATGGAATTTACATACTTATAATTAGTTAAATAATATAATATTGCCTTATTACTCTGATTAAGTACAAATACAAATTAAAAACTTAATACAAATACCAATAACGTTCAATCAAATTAGAAAAATCAATTTATATTACATTAAAAATAAATTAAATCATTTTTTTTTTTGATAATTTTCTATGTCATTATAGTATATTTAAGAAGAGATAAAATATATTGCTTACATTATTTGTAAGTTGTGTCCACCAGGGGCGAGCACAGATGATATTTGGAAAACAGGCGCGGCCAGTTACTCTCGGCGCGAAGCACGACACACGAATGAGTGGAGGTGGTAAGCGACACTGGGACGTGCGTGTTGTGTATGTCCCATACTAGTTTCCAGCACACGTAGAATCAATTAATCTAGTAGACACGACCGATAGGCGATAACGCAATAGCAACAGTTAGACCATGCTTTCCCCTGTACTTCTCCTCATAGATAAAACGTGGAATAGAAAATCTTAATGTAACCACATATATTTATATTTAATATTTTATGATTAAATATTACTACTTATGAAATATTTGTAAATTTTCCTTTGATTTGTATCGGCTGGCACCGACTTGGAAAATATCTGATTAGGTATCTATAATAAATGAAAACTACTAACCAGTTATTTTTTACTGTTTTTTAAGTCGGTTTTTATTTTTTCATTTTTAATGTAAACATAGAAGTAGCAAAGTAAGAAGAAAGTATTTTAATAAAATATTCGCTTAAGCCGTTTAAGTAAGTTTGATGCCAATTTTTATATGATAACTGACAAACCAAAATTAGCTTTTATTAGTAACACTAAAAATCAAGCTCTAAAATACAACTGTAACGCATTGGGTTTGTCATATCTACTATTAGCTGTTGAAGAGTTCTAACTATCCACCTTCTAGCTATACCATCACAACAGGTCGACGATACCAAATCACTGCATTATCATTGGCAATAGAACACTCGCAAAGTTTCAATATGACAATTCGAAGTAGATTAACTTGTCCTTAGCTATTTTTCCAGCCTTAGGGGTGGTGTTTTTTTTTTAAATTTAAATGGGACCAATATAAAAAATACAGAGAATAGGAGAAGTACACTTTCGAACAAAACAAAAATTGTCAATGACCATCCATTAATAAATGACAGAGTTCTGAATTGAAAACATCCTCCTTTTTAAAGTCGGTTGAAAAAAACTGACGAACTGAGTTTAGTTCGTAGGTATATATTATGTTTACTATTTACTAAGTTAATTTTCAGTTTATTTCTCTTCAGATGTGCCATATGTTCATTGAGTCATAAAGTGTCTATCCATATATAGTACATTATAAGTTTCAGTATGTTATCTGTAGAAACTTAATAAGCAATATGCTACAATTTTTAGAAAATCTCTAATCCTTTGAAGTTAAATAAAAGTAAATCTAGTCTAAGATGTACTCGTAGGTAGTTCAAGAATAAGTGCGATGTTAAAGAACACCAGTAGGTATGTAATTTTTCTGCCATATATCATTCTATTTTCAGCAAGTTTTATTTCCTTTTGATGTAGGCAGATGTAGGTATAATATACCCTCAATCTTAACTGCAAACAACAACTATCTTTTTATGATTGTGAATGCAAGATGTATATCAGGAATAGAGCGGAGTCACGATTTTTCGACTCTATTGTTAAACAACTTACTCTTGTATCTAAAAGTGAAATTAAAAGTAAAATATATATAACAGCAATAATATTTCTTATTAATAGACTCGAGGCTAATAAAAAACATGTACATATGTCTCCGACTGCATAATACTATGTTCCTTCGTCAACTTCTTCTCAAGTTTTTAGTTCGTTTTTTACTCACTCGGGTCGGGTTGCTATTGCAAGTATGAATTGTCTTTACAGCAAATTAGAAAACCTGAAGGAATTTATTTATTTATTATTATTTTAGGTTAGAATATTCAATTTTTATAATATTAAATAATTTCCAAAAAGAAAAAGCCGAGAAAAATTTAGTAACTATTATTAATAGAATTGTCTTTACTTGTGGACAGCTTGGCAAATAGTCAGTAGATACTAATTCAATAAAAAGAATGAAATAAATACGAAGAATAATGTGAAGTGCCAATGTAATTGTAAAAGTAGAAATAATAGTAAAATATGGTGCTCTATGACAAAATATTTTATAGTTCGTTTATTTAAGCACTTAAGTCTTAGTGCGGGTAGCCGGTAGGTACTGGAGCTGTTTTAAGCATTTGTGCTCCTTCATTTACCTAAAGAAAAATATAGGAACATAAATACTATTAAGTATATATAATTTTTGACGGAAATCGATAATTAATTATTGTGAATAACATTTAATGCTTTTTTAATGGAGTAGATATTTTTCATTAAAAACAGTCATAATTTTAAGTAAAACCTATAATAACCTTCATTTAACTAAAAGAATAAAATAATATTCTAGTCACATTCTATTTAAATTTTAGTTCAGGTTTCAAAATTTGACACATTATTATTGAAAAAGTTTTTAAAGAAATATTTTAAGACAAATTTTTGTGTATAATATGGATATATTAAATAGCATAAGTATTGCTTTTGAAAATGTTAAGAGTGCAATTAAAGATAAAAACAGTTCTAACAGATTACATACTTTAAAGAAAGACATTTTATCTATTCAAACGGAACTTCTCCTCCTGGGTAAGGAAAATCATGATCAATATATTAGATCATTGGCAATGGAGGGGTATCTAGCGCTACTTTCTGCCAAAACGTTACCTTTATCTATTACAGAGAAAAAAAATACTCTCATAGCTGCGTTTGATAAATTAAAGCAACACGCTTTACGTGAGGAATGTTTATTCATACTTCTTAGAATTCAAAACTTACTTTGTTATTACCTTATACAACTGGATGAAACAATCCTGGCTAAAGATATACTTGAAAGCATGGAAGAAATATATGATACAATTGGCAAATCTCAGCCCAACATGTACCTAGACGCAGAAGATCTATTTATACCAGAAACTATTAGTAATATAAAACGAATGAATCCAGAAAAAATTGATAAATTGATCACGAATAATGTTCAGATGTTAGCTTTCTTATATAACAAACTCAACATGCCACAGAAGTATACCTTATATAATCATACTGCTCTGAGACGGCAATTAGAAATGAAAGAGGGCACACCGCAAGATTGGGCTTTGCGAACGGCAAGGCTAGGTAACTATTTTACATACCTCAACGAGGTCCTTAACGCACGGCATCATCTATGTGCCTCATATTACATATTGCGAACTTGTCATGACAATTGTAAACTTATGCCTGAAGAATTTGTGCTGCAGAAGGCTGACTTCGAGATGCACTTTTTAGAACTAAGTCACTATTTTGTAAAATATGGCTTAACGCTTTTTAAGCTTTCGAGAAAGAAAATATTAACACGATATTTCGCACAACAATCCTCCGGTTCTGATTTGTGGAGAACAGTAGATACATTAAAGGATGGAATAGATAATCACGACAATGTAGAGGAAAACATAAAGGATCTAGGAGCCGAAAAAAATGACAAAGGAGATAATATATCTGATGCAGTATTTACTTTTCCCACTTTAGATTTAAAGGATATGGAGAAACGGGTTCCGCTAGATTTTATTCGAAATGTTGAAGACGCTCGGAAGCTCTTTTCTTTTACCCATAAATGGTTAATGCGTGCTAAGCACTACTATGATTTTGAGCACCATTCTGCACAGTATATTTCTTGTTCTTTACAACTAGCAGAACTCTACGAACATCTAGCCTTCTTTGAAAAAAATATTGATAACCAATATAGTATACAAAAACGTAGAGCAGACGTTTTAGAAACTCTGAATTCTTTATTAAAAACGTGTGACAATGTGATGTCGATACAAATTGACGTTATAAAAGAATTATCCCAAGTTCAACTTGAGCTAATGGCTTTAAATTTGCAAAAGTTATGGAGTGAGGAATCACAAATAAACATCTTTAATTTGGATAACGACGCTGACTCCATAATTCATTCTTTAGATTCCGAATCAAATAAAACTTTAACTGAAAAAACTTTAAACACGAGTTCTAAGAATATGTTTCTTAGAAAAATGGAGGCTGCCACTTCGCTTAATGCAAGATTGTTTAGATTAAGCGGACATTTAGGTCCCAGAACGCCCTCAGAACTAAGCTTTGAATACAGCTTGAAACATTAGTGGATAAAATATACATAATAATTCAAAATATTTCGATCTTAAAAATATGAATACAGTGATTTAAAAAATGAAACTCATACTTATTGTTTACAATATTTACTATTACACATTGATATAAAGTTTGTAGTCTGTAATTTATATATATAATAATTAGATACAATACACATTAAAAACAAAATAAGTTTAATTTATTCTACTAAAAAATCACAACAATTTGATTAAAGTATCTTTAAATTAAGGTATTAAAAATCTCACACTATTCTGGAATTGTAAAAATCTGCCTACGTAAATGCGCATAGATGGCCCGATTTCATACGGAAACACGGAAAAATGAGAAAGAACATTAGGATGCAGTTAAACAACAGTTTTTACAAGTCAAATACCACACCACAAAATAATTCTATTTCATTTTCATTTAATTTATATTTATTTTCTTCTTTCCATCCAGCTTTAAAACATGTAAAAGAATATTAAAATATAATTCGATGAATCAATCCTTGGCGCAACATTTTATTAAAATATACCTAGGTATTAGTAGTAGTCAAGGTGATGTTCGCTAGTGACAGTTTCGTTTAATCCCCAAATGGAATAAACAGATTTTCATATTTTTATTCAGTGCATTTGGAAGAAAAGACAGAGGAAGGAACTTCAGGGTATTAAAATATATTAATTAAAGTATGGATATTTTTTAATAGATATTAATATTGGTAAAAATTTTGTAGATTAAATAGATAGGATTAAAAAATTTGTAAATGTTTTGTCGGACAGCGTAATATAGCTTTAAATATAATTAGAACTATAACCAATAACCCCAACCAACTTAAACCAATATGAACAAAATTTATTTAATCGTCTACGCAAATGATGAAATTAGCAAAATTTAAAGTGTCTTTAGTTAAAACTAAAGACACTTTCAATTTTCCTAATTTATATTATTTAGCACAGGTGACACAACACTATACTTAGTATTAGTAATTTACCGCACATTATCAGTTCCATAGTTTTGAATTTCGTCTAGGGTAGCCAATCAGAATATTTAAAAAATATTTTGTTTAGAAATACTTGAAACCCCCCGATTAAGGTGTGTTGGGCCAATGACAATCGAAATTCCGATTGAAAAAGTTGAAAAGTTTGCAATTCAATAATCTATTTCCACAAGCTGAAGAAACAAAAATAGTCTATAAACTATAAGCTTTTCAGCATGTATTAGCCCACCACATCTTAATGTGACTGATAGAGGTACAACAGAACAACTAATGTTAATCTGCCGCGCTTGTATCAATCCCAAAATCCCCTCTTGGGCTCCCCTACTATACCGCGATTAAGAAAACCTGATAAGTACCTAGTGTACGCTTTTCCATCGTAAAAAAATTACTTAAAAAAACTCTTAATAATGCCATATTTTAGGCAATTTTATACTTCTAATGATTCTTTTCTAGTGATTGAAGAGGATAGCCAAACAAGATTTTAAAAGTTAACAATGTAATAAGATGTGTGAAAACAGATTGTAATTTGAACAATATTTTGTTGCGGTACAGCGCAGTTATTTTCGAAGACCAAAAGTAACTAAATATAAATATACTAGCGACTCACCCTCGCTTCACTCGGGTTCGTTCCTAACTTGCTTCCCATTACAAACTTTCATCCCCATTTTCATCCCCTGAATTTCCGGGAGAAAAGTCTATGTCCTATGTTCTTTACAGGGTCTCAAACTACTTACCAAATTTCATCTAAATCGGGTCATGAGATTTAAAAATCTTATTTTAGTAAAAAAAAACTTAATTTTCTTCTATACAAAACTTGTTCTGTCAATTCATATAAATAAATAACAAACACAAAAAAAATAAGTTATCCAATTTGGTGCTGTCGATCGGAAGTTATGCGCGTACATACATTTCGGTGATTCATTTTTATTTATATAGATAGATATGTATGCATAAAGTACCTTCTTAACAGGTAAAAATATGCGAGGCGTCATTGAAATATGGACCAAACATTTACATCTTTTGTTTTTAACGAGATTTTAAGGTTGTAATTTAAGGATTATTATCAAAAGGAAATAAATTATATAAGAAAATATAGATGTATGTATTTACATATATCAATCACGTACCTAATTACAGGAAAAAAAATCAATATGAATGATAGGAATGATAGTAATATATGTATTGTTACGTTATTAGCAAAAGAAGATTTTATTTACATACATTTAAGAAAATAATAAACAAATAGTGCATATATTTCAAATGGACTTTTGGAATAAAGAAGAAATTTAAAATATTAAGTTTTAAATACATTTTCTTGTAATTTTTTGGACATGTCAAGTTTTTCAATGGCGCCCATCTTATTAAAATAAAACTTATTTCTTTTAAAGGAAACATACAGCTGTTACATATTGTTCATTTTATTAATATGATTTTTACATTACGTCATTTGAAAAGAATATTATATTGACAGCATATTAAATATTTATATTTTTATTTTACTACACTTAACTTAGAATGCCTATAGTTTACAAGAAAAATAATATTACAACCTCGTGAATTATAACTTAAATCATAACTAAATAAATATTGTATTTTAATTTTTATATTTCTTGATATATTATGCTTACTTTATATGCTATCTTTGAAATTACAGTCTCTTCGATTTAAATTCAAGAAATTTCCTTGAACTTCATACTAAAGATTCTATTTTAAACGTTTGCATGAATGAGAATTTAGAAAAAAAAATGCGTTAAAAAAAATCATTTGCAATAACGTTATCATTTTTGGATTTTACAACAAAATATCTATATAGAACAAAGATTTTTAATAGGTAAGTTAAATAAAAAAAATAATAGCTGCGAGTTAAAACCTAGAAGTCGCTGCATTTTTTATTTTAAATATAGAGGACGAAAAACGAGAGGCGATCGTTTAATCAGATTAATTATTAAATTACTAAAGGTACGTTTTAAATGCGGGGTCAATTAGTAATTGTACATTTAACCTTCGGACTGAGAGAATACATAACATAGAACGCTGAGTAATACGAAATTTGAGAAGCCCTACAGTCCCCCTCCCCATTGAGGACCAGGGCAAACAGAGACCCAGCCCCGGGACAGACATATAAGGGGCCCACAAGAGAAATCTGTGTTATATCATAATGAGAAATATGGAAAACTAAGTATGAAAAAAGTTCAGTGAAACGTCATTGAAATATTAGGACTTCTTTTCTGTCCCGGGCCGAAACACATATGTATGTATGTATGTATGTATGTATGTATGCATGTATGTATGTATGTATGTGGGCGAGGTGTGATGCCACCACAAAGAAATGTCTACGTGTCATGGTTTGTAAACTGCGAAATTTAGATATTTAAAAAAAATTATCCATACTAATTCTTTGAAGTATTGTAAAAGCGTCTACTTTTTGTTTACCCTGGAACCCCCATACAGGACATTTTCTGGTCTTATGTTTACAAAATGCAACAACAATCAGCCCGAAATACTTCTTTCTTAATAGCATCTATACCTTGTTGTATAGATATAATTGTAAAATTATAAAAATAAAAAACCCGACTGCATAAAAGCTAAATAAAAAGATGAAAACTAGTTCACGAAGAAATATAGTATTATGCAGTCGGAGACATACACGTTTCATCCTTGCCGCGAGATGTACAAACTCGTAAAGCTTCAAATCGTTATAATATAACCTATTATTTAAAATGAATAATACAGGGATGTTAATCTTTTTGGAATCCTTTTTATTAGCCCTTTAATTTGATATCCATAATGCAGAAAAAGAAGATAAAAATAATTTTCAACTTAAACAATCAAATCTAGCAGCCCCCATATTTATTTATTTTATGTCATCTATCTAAGAACACTTGGACTAATGAGACTAATCTAACAATACCTTAAGTAAAGAAATCTAATGAGTGGTTTGGAAGATATGAGGAAATAAAGAATATTACAAACAAACATACAAAGATAGGCGCGAAAAACATAACCCTTTCGTTGCAGTCGGGTAACAACAACTGTTACAAATCAACTAATACCCGAAGGATTACATAATTTTAAAAAATAAACTTTGAAAGCTTCTAACGATTAAAACGCGCACAAGTAAGGTTTTATAATTTTACTTTTTTTTTAAATCATTTTACCGAACATAAAAAGGGCTTTCCAAAGATCTATAAAAAAGGAAGCATTGTCATTAATTTTAACTCCAGCATTAGATTTGTTTAAAGCGTTCATAATGTATCTTACTGCCATTGATATAGGTACGAATATTGTATTTTTGATTTGATTTTGATCTAGTTGTACAAAAATTTGTCTTAAATTTAAATAAAATGGCAACTTTGGCAAGTAATTTTTGGATATTTTTTTTTTAAAAGTTTATAATTTCACAGCTAATAAAATGGCTTAAAATTCAAACATGCAGTTAAAAAAGTAAGATTTATAAAAAAAAATATTTATTAAAAGATTTAAGAATACAGTTTGAAGAATCAAAATCGATGTAAAAACATCACCGATGATAAGGTATATATAATAAGGATATTATTATAATTGCCATTGGTCCAATAGTTTTGTGCTTTAATTTACATTTATTTGATAAAAACATTTTTATAGAACATGGTTGTTGTTCTTAGGTATTAAGATAAGTATAAAAACGTTACAATATATAAGCGCCTTTAAACACGAGGCATCATCCCTATTGTGCTTTAAATTGGCTTAAGGGCTGTCACTTTGAAATTGTATAAAAAATAAAAGCTTAGAAGGATTGGCTTTTCTTATTTGTTGTATTATAAGTAGAAATATTATTAAAATAGAATCACTACTAATGTCACACAGTCTGACTGATGTAACGATATTCTTTTAAGTTTTTACGCAAAGTCAATTGCGTTTGTTAACCATTATGTGCATCTCTATGGCAGGAATTAAAATCTTTATCTATAAACAAATAAAATTAAAAAGCACTCCTACACACAAACGTAAATAAAAATGGAATGTAACATTTTAACGACTCACGATGTCATATAAGTAATAATAATCTATGTATTAAATATTTAAATGTACCTACTAATAATAACATCAAAAAGCAAACACAGTGGTAGGTTGTTAAATATTCCAAAATGTTGAACACAAATATATAGGCTTCTGATTAAATAATTCAGAAATGCTTATAATAAAAGCAAACATTACATTAACATCGATTGAAAAAAATCACAGTTCTAAAATATTTTACAATAATTACAGATACCACTTTACAAGCGAGTTTTTATTAAAAGAACGAAGAACAAATCCTCTTATGTGATGTTATTACGACCATCAAGAAGTTTTTCTGGCCCGAAACGCATACAAGTGTAATTTATCTGAGCTAAAATCACGGGATTTATCCCGGTTGATTATAATCAAACATTTCCAAAGATAAAATCGTTTACCGATCTTTATATGATGTGTACATTACATAAAAAGTTATATAAAAGTTTAATCATATTATCGGCCATCCCGTCGTTGCAAGACTTCGAAAAGAACGACGTTAGAATCAAAATCGCTGTCTTCGCTTGCTTGCCACTTGTTGTTATCCTCTAGCAAGGGCTCGTGGATTTCTTCTTTAGGCTTCTGCACTCTCTTACGTTCCCGAACGCCCATGTCGTTGAAATCAATGCCGCGAACATTCCCCGTAACAGATTTTATGAATAAAACCTTGTGTATAATGTGCCCGATAATACCTAATAGGCATAAGCCCAGTCCTACCACATTTATGGGGCTCAATTGATCACCACTTACCTCCACGGCTAAGACTAGAATGCACATTTCCTGAAAATAAAAATATGTTCCTTTTTTTATAAAGTATAATTTTTTGTAAGTATATTTTTTATACTAATATTATTTGTAATAAACAAAGTTATAGTGCCATGCGCATTGTACACGTTAGCCATAGTTAACCTTTGTAGGCTGTATTCTTTTGTAATCACCGTTAACTTACAACACTGGTTGTACAATAAAGAATAGTTTGAAGGGAAAGTATTTAAATTAATATAACAGACGCGGCTATATTGAATTCAACCAGACTATCCTTAGAATTTTAAATAGCATAACTATCAAAAGAGTTAGATATTTATCTTTATATTAATAAGATATCAAGCTAAACATAAGAAATTCATTAATTTTCACGATAATAGTCAATTAAAATGTCATCATTATTCTAATAGTTACATATTAGTTATAGACCGATGTTGGGTATTTTATATTAAACATATATTTGTTAACGTATAAATAGTTAAGGCACAGATTCACGACTACGACAAATTATGTTTAAACATGAGTTCTGTAATCAAAAACATACATATCTATACTAATATTATAAAGAGGAAAGATTTGCTTTTTTGTCTGTTTGTGCCGAATAGGCTCCAAAACTACTAAGCCAATTAAGATTAAAGGAAGGTAAAGATTATCATCAGATAATCTGTAGATCAGTTTGAGGCCTTCAGGACATAGGATAGTTTTTATCCCGAAAATGATCCCTTAAGTGGGTGAAAATGGGGATGAAAGTTTGTATCAACCTAGGGAGGAACCCGAGCAAAACAAGGGTGAGTTGCTAGTTTATTAAATAGCTCTTAATATTTCAACACTAATCCGAAAAAACACAATGAAATTTAGCATCCATTATGACATTTTTTAAAGGTATGAGTATTATCGTGGTACCTAACGTCACATGTTTTAAATCAAAAGTTGACCTTAATTCTTACCTTAAATATACCCGCAATGGACAAGGTAAGACTAGAAGTGTACGTGACAACGAGAAATTCGCTAATTTCCATAGCAAATGCTATTGTCGCCCCGACTGACACTTTAAGAAATGTCGGCAATAACTCTTCTGGTGGGAGTTTCAGCATGTAATCAACACACTTGAAACCTAAAAAACGAATATATACTTGTACATTCACCTTATATTAAAAAAAATACATGAATATTACTATAGCTTATTTTTTCAATCTTCAGCAAATTATAATTAACCGACTATGGGTATTATTTTTAAATAATGAGTTATTCCTCAAGGCTTAATCCCACATCAATTTAAAAGAAATGTTCCGCATCCAACAGTGGTCATGAAGTCATATAAAAAAATATTTCTAAAATCCGTGAAACATTATTTAAAAAAGTGTACACCGACTACAAAACTACTGATAAGTAATCAAAAAACAAAAAAATATCTCCCAAACAAAAATCTTTTGGTTGGGAGATTTTATAGCACACGATATGTGAATACTTAGCACACGACACAAACTCGAGATTAATGAATTAATTATCTACTCTGTTTTCCAATTAAAGAACATAATGCCGCACTTTGGCGCACAAACACGAACAACGCGAATAACACTTCATATATTTTCTGCTACTGAGTTGGTTGGTCACGCCAAAGCAGTACTTTTCAAAGTGCTCGACTGTGCGGAGCGTGCTGTAGTTGAAAAATTTGAAGTCAACTTCAAATTTTTCAACTACAGCAACTTGTGGCATAATGCTCAAACATTATGCCACATAATGCGCTTTAGTGCCGTAATTAGAAAACGCTCATAATAAAATATCTCATGTATCAATGAATCATATATAAATATCTCATGTCACGGTGTTTGTTGTCGCACTCCTCTGAAACGGCTCGACCGATTTTAATGAATCTTTTTGTATATTTGGTAGGTATAAGAATTGATCGTACAGTATTTTTCACTTTCCTATCCCCAACCACCATTTTTAATTTTTTTTACCGATTTAGATGAAATTTCGTAAGAAGATAGTTTGACACCCTGGAAAGGACATAGGATAGTTTTTATCCCGGAAATCATCCCTAAAGGAGGTGAAAATGGAGATGAAGTTTGTATCGGGAAGCAAGCGAACCCGAGCGAAGCAAGGGGGAGTCGCTAATATTATATAACTACATAGCAACAAAACGGAGCGAAGCGCGGGTGAGTCGCTGTATATTATATAAATAGGTAGCAACGAACCCGAGCGAAGCAACAGCGAGTCGCTGTATAACAGAAAGCTAGAGGTTTTTATGTAGATTGAACGCGGGCGTAGCCCCGCTGGTTCTGTAAGTTGTTATATAGTTAACAATTAACAACACCTACCTTCAAACATAACAGTAAAAGGCAGAAGCGAGAGGAACATCCAAGGCTGTACATGGAACACCATGTCCACAGGATTGTGTAGACCCAGCTTATATTTTTGCATTAGTAGTTGTGCGAATGTCCAACGAAGGCCGGCAGCGAAGGAAGCGAGCAGTAAGAAGTTAAATCCAAGAAGGTCGAACTGAGTTGCTTTATACGTGAACATTATTAGGCCAGCTGATATCATCAACACTATCCCAACGAGCGACCACGACTGAAAATAATTATTAATTTATAATAATTGTTAATTAGATGTAGATCTTAATTTATTACGAATATTCTTAGTTTTGTGGCTTTTAGGACTTATTTCATTATTTATTTGAAATGTTTCATTAAATAATAAAGTAACGTTATTATAATTTTACTGCCACACAAATATTGTATTTATTAACCTTTTTTAATTAAAATAACAACATAATATATTATGCAAATTTCTAATCTTTATACAAAGCGCTTTAACAGCAAAGGCCATAAATAAAAAAATATTATTTTTTAATATATGTATATAATATAAAATATGAATAATTCGCTAAATGCATTCATGCCCCTGAAGTTTTCGTGACACTGTTATTACCAAAATGCAAGATAAGAGTTGCTTAAATTGTATTAGATATTTGATATTATTATTGTAATATTGAACTCATGAAACTACTCCTTTCTGATTTCGTCGTAAATCATTTTAAATCTCATATACTCTTCGTATAAAAAAAACATATATTTTTTTAATTTAATAACTTAAATGTTCATGGTTTAGAACTGTGGATATTAAATTTTTACTATAAGCAGTTACTTTAAAATATCGATTTAATGAAATTGAAGTCATTTTAGCTTAAAGTAAATCAAATAGCGAAAGCAATAAAAGGCCGTATTTCAAACTGTACATTACAATATTTGCTTCAAATAATATAAAAGTAGCTTTCTATTCAGTTTCCTTGACCTACTGTGCCCCATCGAAGTTATTAGTTTAACATTTTCAATATACTAGTCTGCCTTTAAGATAGAGTAGTAAATGAATTAGTAAGACGACGACGATTCGAATAATAAATTAAAAAAAACTAAATATGAAAACTTTTTAACAAAAAAATAAAAACCGACTTCAAACAAAAGCACTAAAAAGTAAAAAATGACTGATTGGTAGTTTTCATTTACTATACATACCTAATCAAATATTTTCGAAGTCGGCGTGCTTTGCTTTGTATGGGCTGGCACCGATTTCGAAAATATTTGATTAGGTATGTATTTAATAGGTAAGCTTTAATTACTTAGCCAAAGCACACCGACTTCGAAAATATTTGATTAGGTATGTATAGTAAATGAAAACTAGCAATTAGTTATTTTTTACTTTTTAGTGCTTTTGTTTGAAGTCGGTTTTTATTTTTTTGTTAAAAAGTTTTTATTTTTCCCTTTTTAGTGTAGACAGTAGTAGCAAAGTAAGAATTCTAAAGTGTTAGGCTTGTCAAACCAAACTAAATAAGCCCAAACTCAAAGTATCTACTATTAGTCGTTGAAGAGTTCCACCTATCCACCTTCTGGCCTTACCATCAGATCAGGTCAACAATACCGAACCACTGTACTATCAACGGAAATAGAAACACTTGCAAAGTTTCAAGTCAATATGACAATTAGAAGTAGGTTAAATTCATTATTAGCTATTTTTCCACCCTTCAGGGTGGTATTTTTTTTGAAATTTAAATGGGACCAATCTGGAAGTATACCCTTTCAAACAAAACAAAAATTGTCCAAATCGGTTAATAAATGACGAAAGGCTCTATTGTAACATTTGCTTCATTGAACTTTCATAACAATAAGCAAACTCATCTCTTATTAATAAAATGCATAAATATTAAGAGGTTGCTTTTATTTTAGTAACAGGACTACAATACAATAGTTTGAAGCCTTTTTCAACCGACTTCAAAAAGGAGGAGGTTCTCAATTCGACTGTATTTTTTTTATGTTTGTTACCTCACAACTCCGTTATTTATTAACCGATTTGGACAATTTTTGTTTTGTTTGAAAGGGTATACTTCCAGATTGGTCCCATTTAAATTTCAAAAAAAAAAATACCCCCCCTAAGGGTGGAAAAACATCTAATGATGAATTTAACCTACTTCTAATTGTATGGCTAAGTAATTAAAGCCTACCTATTAAATACATACCTAATCAAATATTTTCGAAATCGGTGCCAGCCCATACAAAGCAAAGCACACAGACTTCGAAAATATTTGATTAGGTATGTATAGTAAATGAAAACTACCAATCAGTTATTTTTTACTTTTTAGTGCTTTTGTTTGAAGTTGGTTTTTATTTTCTTGTTAAAAAGTTTTTATTACTAGCTAATTCACGGAACGTCTGAAACCATTTTAACAAGACTTTCACTGACGAATAGAGGGAAAAGCTTTCGAACACTGTTAGGTACACATTTACGAATTGTTCGCATTGCGATATTTCATTGTACGTTTTTTTCTCGTAATTCTGTAACACATTGAATCTAATAGGAGTAGCCGCACTGGCGGTTAAAATTTCACACGGGAAAAATCTGTGATTTGATGCAAATTGAACCCAATGCGGTGCGGAATTATCAAGGCAGTAAATGGGTGAATCCAATGTTCATGACATCTTTTGATAGGTCTGTTACACCATCGCCGTCGCCGTAGTATCAGCTAAATTTAAAAAAAAACTATTATTCATTTCAGCCGGGAACTACATTGAGCTGACAAAAATCGTACGAAATTTTATTCGCAGTGCGTAATCTATATATATAAAAGAAAGTCGTGTTAGTTACTTCGCTTATAACTCAAGAACGGCTGAACCGATTTAGCTGAAAATTGGCAGGGAGGTAGTTTAGAGCCAGGAGAAGGACATAGGATACTTTTTATCCCGTTCGACCGCGTTCAAATTTTTATGATATTTTAATTTTTGGATTTCTCTTAGTCCGGAATAGGTAAGTATTAAAACATATAATTAAAATGTGAGAAAGAAAGATTTTTTTTTTTTATATCTATTTAAAACGTACCTAGCGACGAACCCGAGCGAAGCGAGGGTGAGCCGCTAGTATGTAAAATTTCAATCACGGAATACGATACGTAAGGGCCTTACATTACTGAACGAAATCATATATATAATACATTACTGAATCTTGTAACTTCCTAATATCCGAAAACCTAGGGGTAGTTCAAAAAACTTCTACGGCCGCGTACGGCGATGGGTTGAGCACCTCCGCATGCTCCCTATTAAATCTTAGCAAATCATCAAAGTCATAATGCGACACGCAGTGAACATTCTTCAGCAAATATACAAGTATAATAAATATTTTTTTATATATTTATCAATTCATATTATGCCACTCGTGAAAATTCACTTTTATGGCGAACGAGCATAATTCACCGCTAATGAAAATTCGCATTCGCAGTAACTATCTCCTACGTGCAAAATAAATAGTTGTAATGGACTTGGTTAAAATGTAAGAGTAATTTAAAGGTAAAACATATATTATGCTACTGTTAAATTCATTTCCTAAAATATTTTTCGCAAAACGTAAAAAGAAATAATCATAGCTGAATAACATTTTAGTCAGCAACGTTAAATTTTTAAAATGTCAATCGCCATGCAAAAATACAATGCAATGTAAGATAAAATTACAAAGCAGACTATTATTATTTAAGTAAAATTTTCCGTCCTCTTAGTGATTCACACAATATACCTAACTTTCTTATGATAAAACGTCTCTATATCAGTAGTATTTTCAATACAAAATCGGTTCTTTCCATTTTAAAGATAATTTTTACATTAAATATGTACAAATACTTTTAAACCAATAGCGAAATAAAATATAGTTAAATTATATTCATCCCAAAATGCAACTTATTCTTACTGTTCTATATCAGACTACTAAATATAATAACTCATATGATTATATGCGAAAGTTTCTATGTTTGTTATTTCTTCTTTAATGCTGAAACAGCTGGACAGATTTACATGAAAAGTAAACTATTAGACAATGAGCGAAGCGAGGCTAAGTTTTCTGTTGTTGTCCTAATGTCTGCTCACAGTAGAAACATTTGCAGGCAGTAAAGTTTAAAAAACTGTTTAATTAAATTTAATCAATAAAAAGCCAGTGTAAGTCGCGAAAGCCACACATAGGAATATGCATACATAAACTCAGTTACAATACGAATGCAGTTCAAATAAAATTTTATACAGTAATAAATACTCAACAATAAAAAACACATAACAGGCAAAGTATTTGAATTTAATGAGTTTCCTTAAACTTAAGCGAGGTTGTGAAGCATAAAGTTGAACAATGGTTAATTCAGATTAAAGTATTAAAGGATTTAATCAATAGACCATGAAGTAAAGTTTTTAGAGAAATAGACATATTTGGCTCACTTTTTAGTGACCCTACTCGCTGTGCCAGCAGTCACCAGGTCAGCCTTGGATGTGTTCGAATGTTTGTACTTGAGTCATGGATGTTTATATTTATAATATGTGTGTTTTTAAAGTTATATATGTGTAGTGTATCAACTGTCTGGTACCCATAACACAAGCCTCATAGCTTACCATGGAACTAGATGGTGCTGTGTTAATATCCCAACATATAGACAAGTCACTTCATGTATGTTTTTTTAATAATTATTTATTAAGAACACCAACCACTTATCACATACTCACAGTTTTATAAAATAATACAATTTTACTCTGGATTTTAATAAAACCTAATAAAATTGAGTTCACCCATGCAACGTTATTACAATTATTTTTGTTATTACTATAATATAACTTTTTGAAATATACTTTAATAAGTTTATAATATATCTAAGTCATCATAATTTGCTATTTATATCATTGTTGTAGGAAATATTGTACTTTTTTGCTTGTTATATAGTAGCTATATAACAACATGATAAGATGTTATGAGAAGAGAATTACTCTTTCACTAGAAGCCTAGTTATTTATTACTAAAGTTATTTTAAATTACAATTTTCAATAATATAGGTAGCTAAAATGCAAGGCAGTGAAAAGCTAAATTTGATAGTATGATGCACCATGCATCATCAAATACAGAAAGTCATTTATTATAATAAATGACTAAGTAATATGAACAATAGTCTAGCATGAGAATTACTACTTGTCTAGTTCATACAATTGCAAAAATGTTATTGTAATAAGCAAATAGGTCAAATCTTCAGACATGTTCTTTAATTTGTTATGTTATAACTAATAATACAACATAAACCATATAATGCATACCTTTTTCTCAAGACCTAAGAGAATGGCGAATCCAAGAATAAATATAATTGTTGTAGATTTTGTCATAGTATAGAGAGATATAGTAACAAGTTCAAGGCCCCAGTTAGAAAATCCAACATCTATTCCACTCGCAAGACCTGTAGGTGCCACTGATCTCAAGCATGTCATGAAAGACAGCATTAGTTGAGGGGTCCCAGTAATAATAAACAAAATCATCCGCACCAAAACTGACAGCATCCACTTTACTATTAAGTGATACATCACTACAGTTAAGGGATAGTGAAAATCCTGAAAAACCAAATGGTCTATGTTAAATTGAATATAATAAAGTTCTCTATATCAAGATATATCTTAGTTAATTTTTTTCTTTAATTTTCTCTAATGGACAGGTAATAATTTATTTGAATTTCCTATTGAATAATGTATTATATTACTTTAGTATTACTCGCATCATCATATAATGTAAGTGCCATAGTTAATAATATGCAAAAGTACTTGACAAGAAGTAAAAATTTATGCTATGACAATCTGATATTTCTAATTGATTTTTTTACAATCCTCAATTTTATAAATAATTATAAACCTCAACTATATTATTAATATAAATACTGTATCTTTTATGCTATATTAGGAAATATGTTTTGTCCCATAATAAACTAGTCATTCAAAGTGATATAAGCTTTTAATTTATTATAATTTTTTTTAGCAAAACACACATTAAAAAAACATGACATAAAGTATATCAGTAATGTTAAAGTTATTTTAATTGAATAACAAAGATAAATACCTTTTTTACTATAAATAAGCCTTCCATACAATTTATCTTTATATTAGTATGATTATTAAGCTTATGTGTATAATGTTATATGACTAGATATCAAACTATAGATAACAAAAACCAAAAAAACCTAAAATTAAATTGTTAGTAATGTTTTTTTAGCCTTTTAAGTCCCAAAATTATATTAATTCAATTAAGAAACATAAGGTCTATAACACTCAATAAATGATTTTATTAAATTACTACTAACCTTCAGGAGCCATCTCTGGTAGAATGTAAGTCCAATAGATAACGAAAAATATAATAAAATCAAGCCTAACGATAATAGGCCTTTTTGAAAGCATACATCAGACCATTTTCCTTTCGGTTTACTTGTAAACACATCTTCATCGGCATCAGATTTTAAGGACAGCTGTTCATATTTTGCGCCTGGCATTGCGAGCGCAACGCGACTGATCACTTTTAATAATATCACTTAATTGCATAGCAGTACTAATATCATTAACGCTTAACCAAGTACTCTTTGTAACCAATATATCATCTAGCATTAGCAGAACCTTAACACAATATTATATGTTGTATAAATACACCATGCACAAAAATAATATTACTTGAGTTACATAGGTATCACAGACCCATAGAGTATATTGCTACATATATAAACACAGACCAGATAGGTATAAAGATGTGGACGTCAGACGTCTCTAGTCGATTGTCAATATTTTTTTAAATCACCGCAGTTGACAGTATACGTAAAATTCCTTTATAGGAATGGGTAAGAATTTTGCCCTTTTCTCCCACCAGATGTCGCAATAATTATGGCCTTCAATATATTGTAAAGCTATATATCATGGATGGTTTTTTTTTCATTTTAGTTAGAACTAGCGACTCACCCTCGATTCGCTTGGGTACGCCCCTAGCATGCTTCCCCATACAAGTTTTCATCCCCATTTTCATCCCCTTAAGGGATGATTCCGGGATAAAAGTATATAAATATTCAGATAAAAATATATAATTGTTTATAAAGTGCTGTTTATTTTACAATAAGCTGTTGAGATATATATATATATATATATATATATAATATTTCTGGGATAAATATATCCTATGTCCTTCCCAGGGTCTCAAAATATCTTCTTACCAAATATCATCTAAATCAGTTCAGTAAATCCAGAGTTTACCCCATACAACATCACAAACTCACAATTCACAAACTCATAAACTTTACTTCTTTATAATATTAGTATAGATGGATTGACGTATAGTATTAGTATTGTATATGAAAAAAAAAACCATCTTATAGAAATATCACTCAATAGATTACAACACGATCGCGGTTCCATACCTACGAATATGTTGTATTATGTCTTTAACCATTTATCCAAATTATATGCAGTAAAAGGGAAAAGTTTTTTGTTTAAAACATTTTAGATGATAAATTTACTTATTTTGATAAGAATTCAGAATTGTTGATAATATGACCAATAAACATGACCTACCAATTTAAATTATTTTTTTAATATAAAAAACCTACTTTTTGTGACTTAAATATAAAAGTTAGACATATGCCATCGCTGACTTTGTTGTAGGCATTATTAAGCTCTACAACTTTTCTCCAGAACATAATCATTATCTCTCATCGTTAAGACAGCGTTCGTAAGAAACGTTTTCATTCGACCGTTTTTTTCTCCGACTTACTTTGCAATTCCAACTACCATGAAAAAGTCTTTTCATTCTTCGGGTTAATATATAGCCTATGACACTCAGAAAGAACGTGGCTTTCTATTGTTAAAGAACTTTGAAAATCGGTTCTGTAGATCCAGAGATTACCCCCAACAACATCACAAACCATAGAGTATATTGCTACATATATAAACATCACTCAAGGTGTAAAAGTAACGACAAATAGCGTACCCGTATGCATTCGTTACTATAGCATCAGTACTCGTTACTTTTGAATCGTTACTCGTTACTTTTGATACCCGATAACATACTCGTAGAGCATCGTATCGAGTCGTGTTGCATATGTATTGCGTACGGTATAAATTATACGTTATACCGTATATCGTTGACGTCGCGTTGTTTTCTGTGGAATAATGCACGATCAACAAACCATTTCAATTGGAGAGTTACATGATATCCAGAACCCGTAAATTTTGATTATTTATAAATCTATATAATTTAAAAAAACTTTACTAACAATATTTTTTTATTAATAATTTTTGAAATTAAATAATAAATATATAATAATAATAGGTAATTTAAAAATGAATGAGTAACGGCATCTATCACGTTAGTGTGACGTCGTAATGCATATTTTATTTAAAATCAATTGCGCGAATGATTTATCAAATCATAATCTGTATGTATTACACATAATCACATGATCATGTCTCACGTAGGATAAATAGATAATTATTGTATTACAGTATTGTACACAATTATTATTTTAAAAGAGCCGTTGTTGAGTTTCTCGCCGGTTCTTCTCAGCAGAAAACTTTATTCCGAGCCGGTGGTAGTTCCTAACGGACTAACATTTAATTTAAAATGTAAAATTGACGATTCAAAAGAGCTTGTAAAAGTTTATTTGAATAAAGTATATTTTGATTTCATTTGACATAATCATTTAGTAAAAATTATAAGTATTTGTTGGATAAAAAACTAAAAACTTGTTCTAAATATAATGGTTGTTTCTAATTGAAAATTGTTTCTAAACAAAATTTCTAAGATCTGGAAATCATGCAACTCGAAATAAATAAATAAACTCTCTAATTTACTCATCAATGGTATTAAGTATTTACTGAAAGTTGTATTTTGCTGAATAAAAAATCAATAAAAACATTAGTACGAAAATATGTACGGAAAATGCGAATAACGAAATGCATTCGTGAGTAACGTTTCGGTACTCGGTACTAGATGGCGTACCCGTTACTCAGTAACGAATACATACGGTTTGCTACAGCTCTAAACATCACACAGTCACAAACTCACAATATCACAAACTTTACCTCTTTATAATATTAATAGTATAGATTTAATTCAAATGACTCATGAATGTGATTCTTCGAACGTTAATTTACTATCTTTGAAATTTTTAATACTGGTAACTAAGTTTTCCATCCGTGACCGTCACCCGTGATTGTTGTCTGTTGATAAATTATTGCTGATTGACTTTTATGATATTCGCGCACATCAATAACACGCAATAAAGTTTCCAAAACCATTTCATCATAATTTTTTCGTTACTAAATTTGTGGCACCAGTACTAATGTTTTGAATTACATGAATCAAAACATAAAATCAATTCAAAATGACGGATTCTACAGTATATACTTCTTTGTTTGCTTTAGTAGACAGTCATCTTTCAAAAGTAAGTTTACAAGATAATGAGGAAAATAGTAATAATCCCATAAACGTATCACCTTTCAATACTTTAAATAATGGTAGTGTTTCTGACACATCTGTGCTACCATTGCCACCTTGTCGAAGATTACCATCTTTTGGCATTGGTATGGGTGATAGTTCAATAAGAAACGTTTTAGCTGAACAAGTAGCTAACATGTTAAAGGCCAAAGAAAAGAAACAAGAGGAAGAGGAAAAATTGATATTAGAAGAAGAAATGAGGAGGCTCAAAATAGAAGAAGCGAAAAATACTATGATTGATTTAACAAAGGCTATTCAAACACCATACCGACCGGAGCTTCTTCCACGTCCAAAAAAGGAAATCCTGAGTAATAGTAGCTCTTGTGAATCTTTGTTCAAGCTGAACTTTATAGATTGTGATAGTAAACCAGATAAAGTATTAATTCCAGTACCATTACTGCCTTGTATTACAGATATGTCATATATTTTGAAACAAAAGATAAGAAAAAGTAAAGGCTCATCATTTGGGAGAGTATTGTCATGTCGTCAGAAAAGAGTTGCTGCACCATATTTAAGAGAAGTTATTAAGACAGATATTATTCCATTTGACTTTAGTACTCCATCACCATGTGATATAATTAAAGAAAAATTGAGAAAACCTAAAATGTCTTGCAGATTCACTTTTAATCTGGAAGAGTTTTTAAATGAAAACAAATAATGTTTTAATATCTTATTCTTAAATTATTATAATGTTAGAATTCTCTATGGAAATCTTAAATCTAATTATTAAAAAAGGTAGACATTTATAATATGATATGATACAAATCAATAATATATAATAACTTTTAAATTCAATATGCACTTTGTAACAAATCAATGTCATAAAAAGATTCCTCTAAAAATCTATGTGTATTCCCTGAATGAACCAAGCACTGAGATTTTGCACTTCCACATGATTAGTTGCAGATAAGACGTTTAGGCTGTGATTACAAAGCAAGTCATAATTAGTCCAATATTGCTTTCCATACTGTTTAGATATGTAGACTTGTGTAGTTACCTTATTTATTATCAATGTAGGAGATAACAGTGATACGTCAGAAAGCAAAAATTAATACATAATGTATACAAATATTTAAAAATACAGTTAATTTTACTTTAATGTTGATTTCATCTGTATGTTGATTTTATTTTATTACAAATTATTAATAATTTCTCACTAAAGTACAACTACATGAACGAGCCATAAGATTTCAAACCAGTTGAAAGTGTTAGTGGGTGGAGCTACAGTGTTCTGTCCTTATCAGTTTGTATGCTAATGTGGGACAAAGAAATCGCTTTGCATGGTTCACTCCGTGAATAGAGTATAGACAAATTGTGCTATGTTTTTTTAGAATGACAGTTGCTTCAATATAGATCATATCTCATGCTTTAGTATCTCAAAATAATGGATTACTTGTAATAGTTATCTCTGGTACTATGTGTAAGCAAATTTACGGTTCTGAATGTATTATAAATGGTATAGTGTAACAACCTCATATTTTACCCAACAGTACCTTAGTACTATGAGTACATTCATTACAGCATAGTGGACCTGTGGTACCTACTGCTTTTTACAAGCAAAGTGTTTGCACTTCATCAAATAGTAGTATATCCAACATTTTTATTTACAAATTTGTGTTTGCTTGTAGTAAACATAAATTGTAGAAAAATGGAGTTAATCTTAATTTTATTAATTAATTTCTTTTAAATAAAACTATCTTTTCGGATTTTGTCGCGGATTTATTTGGATTTTTGTTTCCCGACGTTTCGAATGCTTTACAGCATTCATGGTCACGGGAGAGACTGAGGTGTTAAGGTATAGTTGTTACAGACAGCCTACCCACAAATAACAAAATGACAATTTCACCAATTACCTTACAATATTTTTTAACTTTAAATATTTTTATAATTTTAATTAGTTTATAATTGAATATGGAATATTATTTATTTAATTTTGCTGTTATTATTATAATTATTACAATTTTAAAATATTAATTAGTAATCTATATTTAGTCTATAGTATTAATTATTTAAGCCATATTATAATTGTTATATGTGTAATTTAAAAAGTTTAAATTAATTAAGGATAATAATTTTAATTTGGTTTGTTATTATTTAAAAGACAAATTACTAAGCAACACTATTACTATATACTTTTATAAATGAAAAATATTAATCTGATATGCTGTCATTTTGATCCACACCATAAGAACTTACTACATCTGCTTGTCTGTTATGTTTAGATTTATTATTTGATTTTACTATATTAATAATAGGATCCCATGACAATGGTAGTACCCAGCCATCTTCCCTATTGAAATTTGGATGTTGTGATATAATATATATATAATATTTAAATATAATAAAATCAAATAATAAATCTAAACATAACAGACAGGCAGGTGTAGTAAGTTCTTACTGTGTGGATCAAAATGACAGCATATCAGATTAATATTTTTCATTTATCATGTTTATTCATTTATACAGTTATTTGTGGGTAGGCTGTCTGTAACAACTATACCTTCGAGACATGTAACACCTCAGTCTCTCCCGTGACCATGAATGCTGTAAAGCATTTGAAACGTCGGGAAACAAAAATTCAAATAAATCTGCGACAAAATCCGAAAAGATAGTTTTATTTAAAATGTCAAATATTCGCGTAAATCTAAGAAAGTATTAATTAATTTCTATTTTAATTTTAATAATTATTTTATTAATAACTATATTATTATTTTATTTATACTATAAGTTGCACATAATGTAATGAATTTATATTATAATATTTCCATTATAGTTTTCAATTAAATGACATTATTTTATAATTATTGTTAGAATAAATAAGATTTTAGAAACAATGTGTGTCCATATAAATACATGTCTTAGGCTTAGTATGTATATAGGTTAAATGTTGAAAGAATTATGTTAATTAAATGAACAAATCTGATAAAATATTCTTTTATTGCTTATTTATCACAAATTATTCTTATATGTTACATTTTGCATTAATACTTTTATTAAATGAACTCTATATTGAATGAATTAAGTAGGTGAGATCACAAAAAATTCTCACCTAAAATAAATAACTAATTAAAAAAAACGTATGTGTGTGTACTTACGTACGTACGTAAGAAGTTATACTTCTTTGGCGTAACAAAACAAAAATAGCAAGATTTCACACCGTATGTCACAACTCTGTAAAAGGAATGCAGATAACTTCATTATGTCGCTTTTTGGCTGTCGGTGTGCGCGCGTGTCGTAAAAATTTTACTCTCGTATTTTTTCAAACGGCCAAAAAAAGTATAACTTCAAAAAAACAATTGTATCCTGTAATAATATAGCAAAATATGCAGTTATTTGGAAGAACTTTTTCAAGAATTTAATATGTGACAGCATTCTAAGGCTGGTAATGTCTACCAAGGAATTGTTGTGGTTCATGCAATTTCCTGGTTGCTTGATACACATCTCGTTCTTTATCTGGATATTTTGTGGGCAAGTTAGGCGAATGAAGGTTAACTTTAGCAGCGTACCTGCGTGATGAACAATTTGTTATAAATCCATAATCAACTATACTTATAAATAAAAAAAAACATTTGTCTGTATTTTCATAACAGCTGTTCATTATTAGCATATTATTAAAAAAAAAACATTTATTTGTCTAATAGTCCTCGCTAATCTCCAAAACTACTGGACAGATTTAACGTAGTCGTATGATGCGGATGGAGTCAAGGACGAAAGCTAGTTAACCTCCTAAGTGTGCAATTTGGTTATACCTTGATTGTCACAATGACGTCATATAAGTATGGTGATAATAAAATGCTATTTGTCTTTAAAAATGTTTCCACTTCAAAAAAAAGATCTACAAATAGCGACAAATTACTATGAACGTACTCGTACTCTATAACATCACATATAAGGTCGTTTTACAATATAAAACACAATCGAGTGAGCAATGTGAATTACCTGATACCAGCGATGTCAATTTCGTAATGTCCGCTTAAAATGTAGTCGTTGGTGACTTTTTGCGGCACGCCATCCTTGTCCAGATTTTGCACGAAACCGAGACAGACCTTTTAAAATAATTAATAACAATATGTAATTTGAAGATTTGTTTCAAAAGCTTGATTTTTACGAATTAATGCGACTACCTACCTAATATTAATTATTATAAATGTCAAAGTTTGTATGTATGTTAGTTAGTTACTGCTTTACGCTAAAATGGCAGGACAGATTTTAATAAGTTACATGATATTTTACAGAGGGTAAGTTGGTAGTCACAAATAGGGTAATAAAGTGCGAGTTTGCGAGTTACTTTGTCACTTCTCCACATTGTAAAAGATTTTATATGAAAATATCACAAACCTGTTTCTTGAATGTGAATCCGTAACTGGTTGTAGTTGTTTGTCCACAGTAATTGCCGTCCCGGTATATCGGCTCGCCACCCCACGACCATACATCCAGTTCGTGGTCGTGGTCAGTTAGTAGCAGCTGAACGTACTGCCTTCGTATACCCTCTCCCTTTTGTCGTAGTAATGCTTCGCGACCGATAAACGGTATATCTTTCTAGAAAGGTGAAGGTAGCAGCTTTTAATACATTGAGTTCTTGTCAAAAATTTGATTTATAAATGATTAAAAAAATTCGAATAACTAGATACGGTCAAAAGATGTTATTGATTCAATTTAAAATAATAATATAAGTATTTAAAAGAAGTAATTTGTTCTTAATAATTTATGTTTGTATATTAATTATGTGTAGGCATGTTTTGTGTGCATATGGCCAGTCACGGACTATTACATAAAATAAATTAAAAGAATCTCACATCGAACTTAACTCGCCACGTTCGACCACACTCGAGTGGTGTAGTCATCGTGTCGAGGTCTTGACCCCAAAAAGCAAAGAATTTCTCTACTCGCAGCGACCTTGTCGCGTAATAACCAACATGACTGATACTGTACTTTTCACCAACTGTCATTAAACGATTGTAAACATGAAGGGCAAACTGAAAAAAAAATACGGTAAAACTAATTATCGAGTACTTATATAGTTTGTGCAAAATTTTATAAAAATCAGTGATTTAAATAGATGTACAATACAAAACGCAACTCTATTTAAAATGTCACTGTATTTAAGCAAGTTGTAGTCCATACTAATCAACGACTACTTAGCCCAAGTAAGTCGGGCTAAGTAGTCGTTGATACTAATATTAAAAATTTGAAAGTGTGTTTGTTTGTTTGTTTGTTTGTCTGTCCTTCTTTCACGTCAAACGGAGTGACGGATTGGCGTGATTTTTAGTGCGGGTATAGTTGAAGGGCTGGAGAGTAACATAGGCTACTATCGCGGGAGATTATTTAATTCCCACAGAAAAACACGTCTTAATACAATCCAAAAAAAAATATGATCAGAATTACTTGAAATTAATTAATACGCGATTAGCATTTTTCGAAATTCATCCTATAAGGGGGTAAAATTGGGGATGAAAATTTCTATGAAACTACCTTTTTAGAGATTTTTTTGCAGTTTTAGCGCAAGCGAAGCCGCGGGTTCTACTAGTAATGATATATATTGAATATTTCAATTATAAAAATAGATAGTTATGTAATATTACAGTGCAAGAAAAGTTACTGTGATATCAAATAATTTAAAATTTATTCAGGACCGAAACATGTGTAGCGCGCACTCGAAGTTATTGAGTGACCTATATGCAGTAGCGGCCATTATCACAGTTTATTGGTGGGGCGAACTGCGTTCGATGCATCGCAGTTTACCTTTTAATGTAAAATTAGGTCAAAGGTACCAATTAAATTGCTTCGATTTACTATCCCATATTTCAACTAGCTCTTATTAGATGTTAATTTCACGATTGACAGGAAATAATGTAATAGGTTTGCAAATTGCCTTTTGACCTTGCAGCAAGCACTTGCGTCTTTATTTTGTTCACACAAAAAAGTTGCAAGTTTTTAGAGTAAGATAAAGTATTTTCTGGATTCACTTTAATTGTATGTGTCAAGTTTTAAATTAATAACATGAGCGAGAAAAAGGTATGGTCCCGTGAAGACACGGTGAAACTTATATCATTCGTAGAAAGTTTTTTAATTCTACGGGATCTTCGCTTTGGAGATCTCTTAATAATTGGCTTTGAATAAAAAAGTTATCACGCCCGACTATCCTATCTCGTACCCACATCTTACTTTTTTATTTTTATGTTTTAACAACAACACAATAGACGTAGCTCATATTTTTCTGCAGCTGGGCATTTTGTTTCATCGCTCTTGCTCAAGTAATTTGTGTCGAAACGAAGAAGAAGATCAAATTATACTACACACAACATTTTTCTTATAAATCAAACCTAAAAAATTGTATAACACTTGCTCCTCACCTCATTGGGTATATATAGAACATATCCCAATTCTCCTGTATGAGTTAAATTCATAGCACGAATGCCATTAGCCAGGCCAACGTCTAGTTCTTTGAAAGTGAAAAATGGAAAGTTCGAAGGCGACAAATCTGTATCTGTTAACTCTGAGAGCAAACTTCTCGTGAAAGGTCCAAGTATGCAAATAGCAGTGTACATTGAAGTGACATCGGACAATGTTACTGTCCCGTTCCTTGGAAGGTGACGCTTTAACCAAACCTTACACCGAGTTTGTTGGATAGTAGGGGCAATCATCATATAACTAAAAAGAAAACATAACATAAAAAATAATTAAATTCCATAAAATGGAAATATTATAAATGTTCCATAATACTTACTGGTTTTCTGAAATCCTAGCTAAGCTGCAATCATTTTCATAACCACCCCTTTCATTTTGCATTCCAGTGTGAATAATACTGCCAATAGGTACGTCGACATCGTTAGAGCATAAATACTGAAGTAAATCGACGACTTCTCTGTCTTGCGACTAAAAAAGAAAAAAAGAAACAGGAATGAATAAAACAATAAATAAAATGTACTTAAATAATAGGCATTGGAATAAGTTACCTGAAGATCGATTTTGGTAAAAGAAGAGTAGTCAGCAAGACCAACTGCCTCTCTGCACGCCCAATATTCCCTTTGTACTGTTTCGAACCAATGTGGTTTTCCAAATGTCTTAGTGTGAGCAATTTTAAAAGGCCGAGGTTTCTCTGGCTCACTTGGAGATTTATCTATTAAATAATTATTATTATTGACAAATAATCAAAACGTATCATGAAAAACGTAAAGTTAACGTCCAAAACTGACCTATTGTCTCAAACCAAGTCGGTCTCTCGTAACCCATCACCTGTCCAAACACAGCACCATTGTCTCGTAAAGTTGGGTAAATTGGTGATAAGCGAAGGTTACGACCCATTTGAAACTCGTAAAAGGGGTAAGGAAGTCCGTAGTGCACACCTACATTTAGAAAGTATAAACTTAATACGATTGACATAAAACGTTTTCAAATGCAATAATACTAAGCATCTATGCGCCTACCCGGAACTTCTTTCATCCGGTCCCTTAGAAATCGCTTGTTATTGTGTAAGCCAAGGAAGCGATTGATGTCAAGTTCGTACATATCATACTTTGTGTAGCCATCGACAATCTCATCGACCGTCGCCTCCGCCACCCCACCCGCCGCAGATATGCCAACAGTCTTCATTCCAGCCGCCACATGATAGTTAAACAACTGAAATTATACTATTTTATGTATTACACAGATTGTTTTATATAACAGTATCATAAAATATTTAAAATCTTATATTTTCAAAGCTTTCTTAATTAAGGACGATTATATTTATTAGATATATATCAATTTGTAGATTTTCTAAAAAATAAGAACATTTTACCATATTAAACAATTTACGAAAATAGAACAATACATGAAAAATCAAAAGTTGTCATCAAATAGAATTTTTCCACTTTTCATAAATAAAAAAAATTAAGATAGAAAGGTTCTGGCTTATTAGATGAACGCGGTTAATTATTATTGATTTCCATTGCAGGATTCCCAGGAAGGATTAAGGTCGACCAGGAGTGGATTGATAATAATTAAAAATTATAACACTATGTTCACTATTAAATTTCATGCATTGAATATGTACGCCTGATATGGGAAGGTATTAGCTCCTTGAACACAGTTTTCTAGTTCAGGAGTTAGGGCTGCGTGCATTTGTTACCATTGTGTTATTTAAATAAAGACTGTTTTTTTATGTATTCAGCTCTTTTTAACATCTCACTGTTGGTCACGGGTTTCCCTTCAATTCAATTCAGTGAGGGAGAATAGGTCGACGTCTATTTTACATTCTTCTTCTTATGACATTTAATATAATTTCACAGTCTTTCGTAAACTTTGTAGGTTCTCTCAGACGTGCAAATTTCCTTACAATGTTTTACTTCACCGTAAGGCAAGTAAGTAGTAATCATATTGAAAATAATTCGCACATAAAAATGATATTTAGACATATCATTTGGTTTTCCAAGCAAGCGCGTTACCACTGGAAGCCATTGAGCTACCCACTACCTTTTTAACACATACGAACTATGCATGTATAAGCAATATTGACGAGGATACCATTGTCATCTGGGCTTGAGCCTGAATCTCAAACTCTGGAGTATAAAATGCTAACGCTCAAGGACTTATAATATTATGTAATGATTAAGTGTGCCAAAATAACAATGAAATAATGTTATTACGAAATAATTCCATTAAAAATAACATATTCTTTATTACAATAATAAATGAACAAATATATTTATATTTGCAGAGATGCATGGTGCCTTCAACCCCGAAGTCGCGTTCAAAAAAAAATTAGATAAAAAAAAAATTGTAATAATTCTAATTTCTTGATAAATTAGCAAAACCAAATCTTCTGGGCGACATAGGCTCCATCGGAACGTCCGATATAACGAATTTAGCAATGCTGTACAAACAGCACATAAATATAGCTATATTCGCTAGATCCAACTTCCCGCAGGAACACAGAATCATTCACATCCACCTGTCACTCTTAATCCCGTCAATTGAAGAACACCTGTAGAATTAATCATTGGCTTGAAATATTACGAGAATTGTAGTAGCTCTATGATAACAAACCTCTGGCGCTTCACCTACAATCCATTTGCAATCTGGTGAGAAAGCTTCAAGGCCATTGCAAAGTTTATTTAATACTGCTTGATTGAGAGTAGGTACACGTTTGAGGAGTTCTTGCAATAGCACATGAAAGTGATCCCAATCTTCTGGCAAGCAACGCTGCGACGCATTTAAAACTAAAACAATGAAGATGTTTAGTTTGTATTTGTTAGAACACTTAAATTATTTGAATGAAAATAAATTTACTTTCTTCTTCATAGACAGGTTTTGCGAGTGGCTCAAAACCACCAGCTAATATGCAACCATCCCGTTCACGCAAATAAATATAGCCATCGGGATCTCGTATTACTGAAATAAATAAGAAAATACTTAATAAATACATAGACAAGATAAAAAAACATCCATTCAACTCCAATAAAAAAGATACCTGGAGTCATGGGATCCAAGTTATCAATTTGTTTAGTATGCAAATAATAATGTTCACATGGAAGCAAAGGTACTTTCACTTGAGGCTTAGCCAATTGTCCCACCTAAAAAAAATGTAAATGTCATAAATATCATGAAAATAACAATATATTCTTCAAAATCAACAAACTGTCTTACCTGTCTTGCCCAAAACCCAGCACAGTTAACAAAATATTGGCATTCAATAGAACCATTAGTTGTGTCTACACCTGAAACCTTCCCATTTTTTGAATGTACAGCCTTTATGGCACAATCTTCCATGACACCCACACCTACAGAAAAGAACATACAGGTATTGAGATTGAAATGAATTATTTATATAAAATTAATTTATAAATTATACTTGAAGTAAAAATTTGTACCATTTTCTACTGCTTCCCTCATTAAAGACATACAAAATAAATGTGGGTCCCCAACACCATCTCCTGGTATCCAGAGTCCTCCAAGAATATCATCAACATTTAACATAGGCCAGATCTCCTGGCATCTTTTAGGACTCACCAGCTCACATTCTATATCCCAAGAACTGTCTAAAGAAAACAGTAATGTTAAATAATGAGATAAGCATACTAGAATATTTATACTTTCTGCTTGTACATAAATAAAAAATCTTTTTTTATTTAATTTTAAAAATGTCTATAATTAATTCTTCAGATATAATTATACAAAATCCCATGTAATATTAAAAAATAAAAGCAATGATGTTTTGAACATTGTGTACATACACTGACTGGCTTTTCATTCTTCTAAAAACAGTCATTCTATCTCTTGTTCTTGCGAGTAGTAATGATCCACATTGTTTCCATCCCGTAGGTCTTCCTTTTGACTCAAGATCTTTTAAAAGTCTAATAGAGGACTGAGCAATACACACTTGAGCCAAGGAAGGCTTGAAAGCACCTACTAATCCTGAAGAATGCCAGCGACTAGCTGCCCCTATTCTAGTAAATCACAAAATTTACTATGATATAGGTATATTTTTTTTATATTGTTAACATATTTTTATATGTAAGGTAGAAAATTTACTTAACTTCTTTGAATATTATGTGTATGTTCTTTAATTATTAAGTAATGTACTAATGATAAAAATAATTACTAGAATAAAATGTATTAATATTCAAAACATGATAATATGCAAATTACATGATACCAATGCTACCCACATTTATTAATTGATGGCAACTACCTACTTTGTATTATACAAATTGCACCTTTAAAATCAATAACTATTATCGTGTTCCTTACTGACCTATGCAAAATAAATCAAAACATAAGCTGACAATCATTCGTTACATAATGCAAAATAAACTGAAAAAAAATTGTAAAAGATTTACTTCTCTTTCTCTATTACAACTGTTTGGGCGCCCCATCCTCGCTTGGATAGATGATAGGCCACTGCGGCCCCCATTACACCGCCGCCGCATATTACCACCTTTGCATTTGAAGGCAACGACAATAAACATCCACTGAGTCTCTCTTCATGATCAAGATTATCAATACTCGATAAACATCGAGACCGGATTCTTATGCACTTAAGTGCACTGTATCCTTGGACGCCATTTCGGACTCGCCTCACGAACATTGTGGGCTACTGCGCACATACGCAATTGCACTGCAAAGCTTTAATACATCAATAATTTGTAATATCTAAAAATATTTAGTGCAACAGTGTCAATGACATTTATTTTGACATTTGACAGTCTTATGACGTTACATTCAGTGTTTCCACTTTCCAGTTACACTAAGTGATTGTACTTTGAAAACATGTATAATAACATTTTAAATATGACTAAATAATTTTGTCTACATATTTATTATTTTATATTATAATTAAACAAGTTTTGCAATAAAAAAGAAAGAAATATAAATATTCTAATATTATGTATATTATGTCGGAACCATGGAGGTTGGAAGAAAATCTTAGCCGATTATGGTTTCCATAACGACTGAAAATAATTTGTTAAACTTAGCACATTTTTTATTCAAAGTTATTAAACTATAATTAGTTCAATAATTTTATATTACATTCTTTACAGGGAATTTATAAGTCATGTCCATTGTGAAAATAATTAATCACGATGAAGTCATTTATACCATCTTAGATAAACCTCCGCCGGAACCACCGAAAACCCCTAGGTAATAATATGAAAAAAAATATACTAAAAAATATTGTATAATACATCGTATACCCGTCAGTAAAGTTTTGATTGCAGAGATAATATGGGAAAGTGCTTGTAAATTTCTTTAGGTCTTTAATTCTTGATGAATTACTTCTTCCTACAAAAACCCGAATAAAGTGGTGAGCTTGAAAGGTCCATCAAGGTCCAAACAGTGCAAAATATGTCATTGATTTCGATCATGACTAAAAACATTTATACTAGTCTATACTTATGGTGAAGTTTGTGAGTTTATGACGCTGTAGGGGGTAATCTCTGGATCTACTAAACCGATTTAGATGAAATTTGGTAAGAAGATATTTTGAGACCCTGGGAAGGACATAGGATACTTTTTATCCCGGAAATCTCCCTTAAGTGGGTGAAAATGAGGATAAAAGTTTGTTTGGGGAATCAAGCTACTATGTTATATTCAGAGATATCAACGTACCGATATAGATTTAGCGAAGGCAATGACCACCAATTTAAAAACATACTGAACATTATTGCGAACATAATATTGCGAATTAGAACTCCGGACATGTAATAAAGCTTATAATCGTCAAATGTGGCCCAGAATCTTTATTAACAACCTGAGAAACCTGAGAAAGGCGCTTATAACCTGTAACTGTAATATCGTCACTGAATTTGAGATTTTTGTGGCGATTGTTTACTATTCATTCACTGCAGCGTACTTCCAAATACATGTTATGTTAGCCTAGACGAATTTAAACTAGCCCTTAAAACAACTCGAAAAATGGACTCATTTCAAAATTGAATTAACACTTCATAAGAACTTTTTGTAGCAGTACATTACCTACTTAGTGGGTAATGAAAAATTACATAATACATTTATAGGAGCTATTTAAGTCCACTCTACAAAACGGGAGAATTCTGAAAGCTTGGAGTACCTAAGAGTAGTGGTAGGTATATTCTTAGAGGGAGAAGATAAAATGTTTCTTAAGATTTGCAGGCCTATTCCGCTTCTGAGCTATACATATCTACAAGCTGTTCTCAAAATTCATCATAGATTATGGATCGCGTGGATTGATGAGTTAAACCAAGCTAGGTTTTTCTAAAGTTATAGAACCACTAGCGGTTCACCTTCGCTTCGCTCGGGTTCGCCTCTAGAAAAACAAAATCAAATCTATCCCTCGAGAACCGTATATTTTTCCGGGATAAAAATAGCCTATGTGTTATTCCAGACTATAATCTATCTCTGTGCCTAAGTTCATCCAGATCCGTTCAGCCGTTCTGGCGTGAAAGAGTAACAAACATTCATACTCACAAACTTTCACATTTATAACATTTATACAGATATACCTTATCCACACTTTACAGATTATAATAATAACAAACACAGGTAATTACAATCAACGCTACGTGCAACATTGTGTGTGGATTTTGAAAACTATGAGAAACATTTGACTTCATAGTGATCAATGCATTTCTAAACATATTATAAAAATTGTAACTAAGCCGAATCTGTAGGTATCTGTAGGTACATTAAATATTTTTTGGAAAACTTATTGAAATAAACATAATTATCGATACAGACGCCGAATCTTTACTTTTTAGAATTTTTGTTTGTCTGTCTGTCTGTTATCGCGTCACAGAAAAACCACTGGAGGGATTTTGATGAAATTTGGTATGGTGATAGCTGATTATCCAGGTTAACATATAGGATACTTTTTACCGCGAGAAAATGTGTCATTTCTGAGAAAAAAATACAATAACTGCAATGTAAGAGTATACTAAAATGTAAAACCTAAGAATTTGGTTTTTGGTCATCTGAACGCGGGCGAAGCTGCGGGCAATGCTAGTCTGGAATATATTTAAACATATCAAGAATAACAATATAATATCATATTGCTAAGAAATCTATACAGTGCAGCCACTATGTCCGCGCAAGAAAATAACCAATGGACAAAACTTATGCAACTTCTAGGAGTTGGACCTATTACCTATCACAGTATTCAGTAACGCTTTTAAGACTTGTTTAAAGACTAAATGGGGTCCTTATATCAATGGCGAAAATATTTGACATCATGATTTAATATTACTTTTAGGAGATTCGCTGCAGGGGCTTGTTTAGACCGATCACTATTCACTGTCGCGTTAACTCTTGAAATTTTCCGAAAACTAAGCGAGGCAAACTTAGCAATTAATAGAAACAATTTCGAAGAAATAATAAAAAAAGAGTGCTACCGGGATGGGCATCGTTCCAAAAACTTCTTTGTCTTCATGACACCCATATTATAAGACAAAAACCTTAAACCAGAGCATCCTACAGCAATCTTTTCACAACCTATGGCACCGAAACGCACCGTTTGCGGCAAGAATTACTAATATTAAACGTTCTTCACTTAGCGTGAAAATTTTATTTTAAAGTTTGTAATGAAATTTTCATGACATTATTGCTAAAACAATATTAAATTAATTCTTATCTCAAAATTATTTCTAAGGTTTAATCATTCAGTCCCACTGTGGTAGTATAATTTTTAACTATGTATATTTATTCTAAATTAGTTGCTAGCATCGTGCAGGGTTATATATATATATATATATATATATATATATATATATATATATAATAAAATTTACTTATTTTAAAGGTATATATCTGAGTTGGAAGAGCAATTAAAAGAGATGAAAATACCTAAGCTTCGACGAACATTTGGATACGCTGAAACACCACTCAAACCTCCTGATAAATTTCTAAAAAGAGGAGAAGGTGTTACTCCGCCCATTAAAAAATCAGATCATAAATGTTTCGTATCAGGCAAACTCCCTCCGGTTCCAAAACATGCGCCGCTCAATAAGAAACCTGAGAAACCTAAAACTAATTTTAAAGTTCTAAATATCAGAAAAGCAATTAAAACAAAACCAAAACCTATAGAACCAAGGTAGATGTTTAAGTGATGATTTTTAAAATATTTTATTACCAAAGCTAAGTAACATACTTCGTAAAAAAAAATGTTTTTCCCTTAGGTTAGTAGATACGAGGGATGGGCACATAAAAAAGATAAAAGGATCAGGAGAAGTCCCCGAATATTGTTTAAGAAAAGATTTCGGCCAAATGCCTGCATACTTGGTTAATAGGAACAGAAAAATCCAGAAAGAACTAGATAAAATTCACTATGCGGAAGAGCATAAAGAGAGTCTTTGCAAGCTTATTAGTGAAGAGGAGAGACAAGCCCTATTAAATGTAAGTTTAATTGAAATTTAAAAAAATAGATTGTTTTGAACCTATTTCTAAGAGAAAGGGGTCAACACAATTAGACAAAAGTTTTCCTATGAACAGTTAAAACACGTTTCTGATTTTGAAATTCTATTTCTAATGTATGTATATGTATTCTAGCATTGCCCGTGGCTCCGCCCGCGTTTAGATTATCAAAAACCAAATTCTTAGGTTTTACATATTAGTATACTCTTGCATTGCAGTTTTTGTATTTTTTCTCAGAAATGAGATATTTTCCCGCGGTAAAAAGTATCCTATATGTTGACCCGGATAACCAGCTATCACCATACCTATTTCATCAAAATCCCTCCAGTGGTTTTTCTGTGATGCGGTAACAGACAGACAGACAGCCAAAAATTCTAAAAACTATAGATTCAGCCTCTGTATCGATAATAATGTTTATTTCAATAAGAATTTCCAAAAAATATTTAATGTAAAGATTCGGCTTAGTTACAATTTTATTATATCTGTAGATTACACGCGTATTATATATGTAGTTCACGCCGTAATTTGTGTGGTGAGAGCACAATTATTTGATGCCATTAAGCTGAACTGGCCGTCGATGACAAAGTTTTCAATGACTTTTAGAAAACCCTTAGAGGTTTATGTGATTTGTTTTAATCCAACATTTTAATGTTTTGTTATTTTTATTTACTCAGACAATTATAATAAAATTGTAATAAAAATTATTTAAATTTACCCTATCTAAACATAATATATTATTACAATAAGAGTATAGTAATTTAATAAATATAATATAATAAATATAGATAATAAACATTTAATATTAACAAGTGTCAATTGATATACCTAGTGATATTGATTTTATTTTTGCGTCTATATTCTCTAAAGCCACATTTAAACATAATATTTACTATTTTTCGTAGGACTTAAAACACAATTGGCAGCTGTTACAAAAGGCCTTTCTTCAGTTGCCCATGTTAACAGATACAATTCCAAAGATCCTGAAAAAAACAAAAATGGAACAAGAACTACGTCAATTGGAGAAGGATATTGCTCTTGTAGAATCTAATCCATTCATATATATTTATGAATAACATATTTTCTCAACACAAGTTTTGTTAAATTTCACTATTGATCGGACAAGACAATTTTATGTCAGCACTAAAAATTATGATGAAAAATTAAACAATATATAATGTTTAATTGTATTTTTAATTCAGTATAAAGATAATTACTATTATTATAAAACTTAATGTCAAGAAAATTTGGGACAACTAAAAGAAATTCAAAAACGAATAAGGTAAACCAACAATTTATTTACAAAGAATCTCAAAATATGGAATGTTGAACTACTTACATCCTAATTGACTAGATTGCAGACTAGACTACAAATATTGAGCGTCTTGAACTTCTAATACTATACATAATAGATATGTCATTTTATGTATTACTTCATAAACTTAATTCGTACAAAAACATTATCTATAACAAGCAAGCACAGAAAACTTTTAAGATTAAAAAAATATTTTTTAATATTCTATTACATACATAGGTACTTATTTATTGCACTACGTGGCTGTGATTCTATTTTATATACCTTATACAAAACATTCACTTAGGAAATTTCTAAGGAATTAGACAAACGTTCCAATATACCATAAAATTAAAAATATATTTTTTTTGTACTCATTAATATTGGGTATAGCCTTATCACATCTATAAGGTTTACAACAATTAAATATGCTCTAATATATAAAAATAAATGCTTTGTTACGATTAAATGGAAATTTTGACTTAATTCGATGCCATTTGGAGGGAATTGATAAAGCCCAAACCTTCATACAATTCTTACGTATTTTTATACTTCTCAAACAACCGAATAGTGTAATAATTAGTATACAATGTAGGTCATTATATGTATATAAAACCTGTACTTATTATTTCGCTAGTAAGATATCTTTAGATTCATTCAATATCTTTAGAAAAGAGATTTATTTTAAATGAATGGAAATGTATTCAATCCCTTAATCTGCTGCAAGTATTTTAACATGATTAAAAAGATTTAATTATTCATATGGAACTTCCTCAATAAAAGATTACGAGTAGTTGTTATGGAGGAAAATTACACGATAAAATATTAAATAGACCGCCTAGGTACTAGCCAGCCGCGACCACAATTACAGGTACCACTATTTACAATATTCAATACTGGGCCATATCAATAGCTTATCGCCGGCGATTATAGCACATGAGTTAGTATCCCTTCGCTCAGAGACAAAGTTCAATACAACCGCTCACCAAGATATACTACTACCACAGTCGACTAATCCATACAATCGTCTAACCAAGGTCTCTAGAGTCTAGACAGGGCAATGTGTGTGGCGACGCGATACCGAATATCATTCTACTTTTATATGACATATATAGCTTCCTTCTCAATACAAATTCCGGGTGATTTCCGGGATAAAAAGTATCCTATGTCCTTCCCAGGGTATTAAACTATCTTCTTACGAAATTTCATCTAAATCGGTTCTGTATATCCAGAGATTACCCACATCACAAACTCACAAACCTTACCTCTTTATAATATTAGTATACATTGAAAGACGACTTTAGAATTTACAACGTGCTACAAAATGGTACTACAGCGCTAAACTTCATATCTTTCGCCATGAAAATTTGATATATTTGACAACCATTACATTTGACAGCACTTCCGTTAAAATCAATGGGTTTTCGCCTAATGTATGGATTTTTGTGCGATGCCACTACATAAGGCGGCGGTCACCGACGAGTTCAAGTACGCTAAGCCCGTTGATATAAACGGTTTTTTAAGGTTCGAGCTGTTGTTGCGCGGTTGTATGAAGCTTTGTCTCAGTGGGGATAATAAATCATGTCGCGGTCTGTGAGTGTAGTCGGCTCTAATAGTTAACATACCTGAGTGTAAGGAATAGAAAATTGGAACTTTACTAAAAAGCATATATAAGTAAGCATATTTTCGCTAGATATTTCAGCTTTCTATGTTTTAAACATTAATATCAAATAATGATAAGTTTCAGAAGATCGATAATATTCACGTTGGTACATCTCACTACAATATATACATAATATTTTATAACAATACAAAGATATTCTCAAAATGGACTCTATCTATAATATTGCGGAATTACAAATATATTGAGTTTATTAAAATTCTAACTGATTACTAACATTATACTTAATAACCAATACACGTATGTATTTCATTTTGATTTTTACATATTAAGTATATTAGCGTTATTTAATAAACCCTTGGAAAAATGGTTATAAAAGTGTAATATGGAACACCTGTATAAGGAGATATAAAAATGTAACTATAATAAAAAAACGAAGACTAGGAGAGATTGGCACAAATACTTCATATTTCCTTAAGAAAAAGAAATAACACTTATAATTATTAAGATAAAAACGTCAAAAATAATAGTTCAAAATTAACAATAATACTGTAAGAGTAAAAAATACTGTTTCTAAAGGAGAATAAATCATTAAATTACAAGAATAATGCATTATATTCGAGTTTATCGTACCTGAAAGTTACATTAAACCAAACAACACCTTCTTGTTAAGAAAATATATTCTTAATTCTTAAGTAAGGAGCCACTACCTCGCTGTACTCACTTGCTTTTTACACAACTCTGAAACATTTACAATTGATACTTATCAATGACATATTAAGTTTAATCTTTTAAAGAAATAAATGCATACTACCCTAAAGTTTTGACGACTTTGAACAAATAAAATTGATTTTTAAAATATAATTTCGATGACTGTTACAAATTGCGAGGGACAATGGTGGATTTACCAGCACTCAGTACGCTGGAGCCTAGGGCGGCAGATTTTAGGGCCGGCAAATTTGGGGACAAAACTTTTTGTCTTACAGAAATTAAAAAGCTTAATAGTTACCTAAAGTTTCATACCTAAATGTTATAAGATCCACACAAACGATTCAGCATGTAATATGTTTCACCATTAAGACAAATTTTTCAACAATTTGCTTAATGTTGGTTCAAGAAATTATGGCTGGCAAAACTTTATGACTGAAATCGGGATAATTATTAACATTATTACATATACATCACATCATTACATATTGTTGGTAAGTAGTATTAAGGCTTACTTTATCCCGCCTTATTAGTACATGATTGAGCTTTTATTAGCTCAGATGTATACCAAAAAACTATTCCTTGTGCAATCTTAACTAAGTCGTTGGATTGTAAAAATAATCAAGGAACTGACAGTTGTAGAGGTCTATAAGGGCTTCAAATAGCTTTGAATAGCTTACTGGCGGCAAATGTGTAAGTCCAAGTCCGCCACTGGCGATGGGTACAGATGTAAAAATACAGGCTGTCTAAAATACAGTGTAACTTACATTTTCGCTGATTTCTTATTAAGTTTTTGATATACAGATCCCTTTGCCAGTCCTGCTGGTCCCTTAGCGAGAGATGAGGGGCCTCGGGCTAGCGATAGTTTATCCCTACTTCCTCGTGGCTCAGCCCCTTCAGGTTTTACGATCGGCCCACATCGAAGTTCTGGATTTGGACCATTCCAGGTCATATAATCCTCTCTGTAAATATTGTTATTGTCACATTATTTTTGAAATTTAAATAAATAATAAAATATATTTTGGGACATTAACACACAGCACCATCTAGTTCCATGTAAACTACACATATATAACTTTAAATACATACATATTATAAACCTCATAACTGGAGTACAAACATTCATGCTGATCATACAAATGAATGTCCCCACCGGGACTCGAACCCTCGACCGCACGTAGAGTCGGGACGACACAGCAAGTAGGGTCACACTACAAACTGAGCCAAACGTGTCGTCAATCAGTAATAAATGATAATACTCTTAAGGATTACAATTTGAATTCGAAGTTGGCGTCATTATCGGGGTCGACATCGGAGGGTCGAATGATCGAGTTTGAGAGTGACGGGAATAGAGAGCACGTTGTGTTTGCGCACATACTCGTGCATACAATATGACCTCCGCCTGTACAAATGGCTAGTCTCAGTGAGATTGGCCAATGTGGCCGAAAGCGGTCAGGAAGATATGATTAATATTATTATCATCATTTATTAATCATATTTTGCTTTAAAAACCTAAAAGTCCCACAAAACGCATTTTTCTTTTTATTCAGACGAAATATACTTACAATAGTAGAGTGTCTTTAGGTCCTTGACGGAGCGAAGGATTAGGTCCATTAGAGGGCACGGAATATTGAGACTTATGCTGCGTTTCGGTGATATTACTTGTTTTCAGTATAGGCCTGAAATGCCAGTGTGAGTACATCAATTTAATTTCACAATGTAAATTGTACTACAAATTTTGTCCCAAGTTTAAAATTGGACTTTATTATTATTTGTATTGCGGTAAATATGAATTCCATGCATAAACATAGTATATATAAATGTAATGTACAATCGTTTATATTTGATATTTTTATGATAAATATCTCTAATTTAATAGAAAATAAATAAAAGTAATTTTGCTAACTAAAATAATGAATATGAATGTGATGACTGACACTACTGATATCTTATTCTTATATTTATGATGCTACTAAATAATTTATATGCACAATATGCGCGTACATATTTGTTTTATCCAATAATAAAAGCATTGTTTTAGATAAGCCTATAAATGATTTCCTATAACAAATCGTAAATAGTAATCTAAGAAATCTGCTCAGAGTGTTTTATAATAATTTTCAAAATAAGCAGAAAAAGAAAAAAAATAGAATACCTACTATATCGTGATATAATATGATTCAGTCACACAAACTACTAATATTATTTATGAAAATATTATGTTATAATCTCTTCCATTATTCACAAACTACACACACTCACAAACATTAAAGGTAAAGCAAAGTTTAGAATTTACATCAAATCGGCTAATTATTACCAAAAAACCAAGCATATTGAGAGACAACATGCAATGACCGACTTGTTGGCCGCAGGCAACTGTGGTCTCAGGTTCGGTCACCTAGTACACGAGTTAAAGGTAATTTTGCCTAAATTTTGTAATGTTTACATTTAAAACGCTTCTTTTATTACTGGCCTTTAAATATGCTTAAACATTTTTGCAGAATAATTTATTTTCAGTAAAGTTGTAATATCCTCTGCAAAATAATATCCAATTTAAAAACAACAACAATTTTAAAATTAACTGTTATATATCTATTTTGTAAATTTTCTATAGATATTATGGCAGATTATCATTTTATCTATATAGGTAAGTGAAATTAAATTCGATTTAGTTTCTAAGAATCCTAATCTCTTTATCTATATATGAATAGATAAATATGAGAATAATTTGATCTGTCCTTTAATACTAACGTTCATCCAAAGACAAGAATTCGCTTCGTCTACATAAATCAGATATTGATAGCTTTGATCAATAAAATTAAATAAGCCACTAAGAAAGTAGGACAAAAATAATTATGAAAAACACCAAAAAACCTACACTTAGGTAATTGACATATCGACAACAAAACTGTCCATACAACACAACAAAACTACACTGACAACAACAAAAACAAAAAAAAACAAATTAAAAAACAACCTTTGTCCGAATAACACAAGAACACCAACACAATCAAAGCTACTAAGTCGTTCGAAGGGAACTCATGCATATTGCACGTACTTCAGATGTTCCGTCCATGTCTTGAGGCGGCGCGGGACGGGAGCGACGCGCGGGCTCGACGGCTCCACGGGACTCGCGAAACTAACGCGGAATGCGTATGAGTGATGAATGGCGAGATTGGTCAATTATTTTTTATATCCATTTATATACGTCTTCAAAGTTCAATGAATTGGAATAACGACTAAGTGGTTATTTTGTTTTTTTTTCTTATAGGCGACACAGGCGTTTTTATTAAAAAATAGTAAATAAGGATTTTTTTGTTTATTATTACCTAATGTAATTCAATTACCGGCAACAAACATTTTTTAAATACGATTATTTAATTAACAATTTAGCTACAGTATTATACCATTATACAGTTGTATAATAAGTTGGATTTAAAAAAAAACTTTCTTATTGGTTACAATTTTTTCGTTATGGAAATATGTTGGCAAAATATTAGCCCTTGACATCTAGCCAATGGTTCTGTGCATTGATATATTGGCTTGTTTCAATTTATTCTTTACAGATTACTATGTTGTAGAAGACTGTTTTGTCTAAATGATGTTAATAAATAAAGAACGATGCTAATGTGCAAACCCTCGCGTGTGTCCCCGTAATCATATAATTATTATAAACTAGCAAGTAGCGACTCACCCGGCTTCGGCCTTCGCTCGGGTTCGTCCCTAGCTTAATTCGCCATACAAGCTTTCATTCCCATTTTCACCCCCTTAAGGGATGATTTTCGGGATAAAAAGTATCTATGTCCTTTCCAGGATCTCAAACTATCTTTTTACCAAATTTCATCTAGATCGGTTCTGTAAATCCAAAGATTACATCCTAAAACTTCACAAACTTTACCTCTTTATAATATTATAATTCTTATAAAAAAAAAAATTTTTGTTAGAAAACTTATACTAGACCCGCTGAGTTACTTTTGGCAGTTCTTCTCAGGACTAAAATATTTAAAATTCAAATTCCTTGTACAGTATTTGACAAAATATATAATACGTGTATTTCTCGAATACAAAGTTTTGTATAATACCAAAAATAGATTTATCAAATGGGGATAATAATATATTTTTATTTTGTAGTTCTCTTTACTCTATGTTTTACTGTTCAGTTTGTAGATTATATATCACAATATTTTGAACATAATTAAATAGCTCTTAGTACTTAACAGCGCCAAAAGTTAATTGTAAACTACAAAAGATATAGGTACTTTTGTAGTTTACAATGATGACATTATTTAAAAATGAATTTTGTTTTCACAATGAGATACGAAAATTGATCAAAATAAAATTTGATCGAACGCAAAATAAAATTTGATCAAAAGATCATAAAATTCTAGATTGGCATGCCCTTGCAACACGGAAGGACCTATAGTAGGCACTAGGTAGTATTAACTAGTAATCTTACTAATATTATAAATATGAAAGTTTAGATGTTTGGATGGATGTTTTTTACTCTTTCACGCCAGAACGGCTGAACACGGATCTGGATGAAATTTGGCACAGAGATAGATTATAGTCTGTAATAGGCAGCATAGGCTTTTTATCCCAAAAAAATATACGGTTCCCGAGGGATAATTTGTTTTTGTGTTTCTAGAGGCGAGGTGAGCCGCTAGTATTATAATATATTGTAGTAACGTCCAATTAAGTCAGCTGATGTATTTATGTAAAATTTACTATTTTGTTATTGTGTAATACATATTTAAAACTTCCCTAAATCAATCACCAATCTCGCTATGTAAAAATGTAAAAGAAGTGCATAAATATTTTAATGTCGAAATTAATATTTTTAAAAAATAAATAATTTATGCAATCCTTTTAATATGAAAAGCTAAAAAGCAGTCGGATCAAACAATGGTTTAAATATTTAAGGTATCTTATTTCTAAAGTTTATGTGAAAAGCAAATATGTCGTTTATATGTTCATAATATGAATGCTGGTTATCTTTCAATGCACATGTAATACTTTTATAATGATAAAGGTATTCGTTTCACATTATTATAATATACTTAAATGGCAAGAACCAAAGACAAAAGTATTTCATGTGTATATGATCTAAATTAGGGAAACACAAAGATGTAGTTGTCATATTTTTTACCTATAAGTGGTAATTTTAATTTTAACTTCAATAAATTATATATCGTTTTTCATCATCTAACAACATTATATGCAATGAAATTGTAATAATTTACGTATTTTTAAATACTAGTATTCCACTTCACCCACGAGCTTTTTTTGATGTGTATTCTGATTATATTACTTTTTAAATTATGTAATTATAAGCTTTTAAACATTGACTTTTGAATCGGTGATAGATTATTGAAATGGTGTTAAAATAATAGTGTAGACTTGATGTTCCAATTAATAATTATCATTGGTAAAAATGGCTTTGGCAAATATTTATGTTGAATGTAAAGCCATCGTTACAATCTTATTGAGGTGAAGATACTAGTGACGATAGCGAGAATAGATTTTAAAATATTTAGTAAAATAAAGAACCTCTCATCAGTGCATATAACGGTGACTATTAACAACAAATAGCTGTAACCACACCAATACGTGAAAAATAAAATTACATATTATATAAATTCGGTATAAGTTAAATAAAACACATAATTCTCTTTCGGGCTTCGTCGCAATCGGATAATTATAATAAATTATCTTACCCTTTTTTTACATCAGTGTTTTCTGGCCGCCTTGCATTAGACATTTCCGTAGTTATAACAACTTTAGGGATCTCTTCTTCTTGAACGACAGCATTTAAAATCTGTTCAGCTCGTTCTTCATTAAAATCCACACTTTCCAAGGCAATAGAGACTACTCTTTCAGCCAATTTATTATATTTCTTTTGAAGTTTTAGTTTTACTGCAAAGCAAAATTAAATGCAATATGTGTTTTTTTTCTTAATGTTTAATTAACAGATATGCTACTTTTTATATAACTAATCTACAAAGCGAGCAAAGCCTTTTTTTTCAAATACTAAAAAATTATGGCATACTATATATACTAAATTATTTGCCACGATTGTAAGAGTAATTATTTTGAATCGGAAAATTAAATATGACCCATTTGTGGCGATAGAATGGCGAAATTAAAAAAGGCAATCAGGGAAGCTGTTAAATTGATAATTCATAACAGATTTTCCTTGTTTAAATTTAATACATATCTTAAAAACTTAAAAAACGCATTGCATTTAATAATTTTACAATATAATTATTACTTATAGAAATGAAAATTTATTACTAATAATTTTATCAAAAATATTATATTCATATTTTGTTGTTTTAATTTAATTGCGGTATCTGCCACAGCGCCAAAGAAGTTTTTACTTTAACCGCGAGTAAAGGCCACACACATTTTTTTTTAAATTGAATTATTAACTTTCTTTTCAAATATATACTATAGAAATAAAGTAGTACAACAAGTGACCATCATAAGTAATAGTCACACTAAAAAAGCGCTTAATTCAGTTTCTATAAAACTGCATTTTCACAGAATTTCGAACCTTGAAAATAAAAATATTGAAAGAGTATAAAAAATAAACTAGCAGCATAAAAACTATAAATATGTTTTACAATTCACAGTATAATTTGAATAGCTATCAACAATTACAAATAATATTAAGTATGCTTGCAGAAAAGTTAATAAATTATTACATACAATCATTTTTCTCTTCCATTGTCTTCATGATCACAACTTTCTTTGGAGGTTGTGGTGTTTCTTTTTCTTTTTTCTTTTGCTGTTTGATAATTGTTTCTTTCTTACTGAATCCCATTGTAATAAGTTCTTCACTAGCCTTCTGTATATTGTTATCTTTATTGGCTAAAACATCCAGAATCAAGGTTTCTTCAGCTTTTGGAAATATACTTTTTAAATATCTGAAAATGAATGAATTTTTGTAAAATTGTGGGTAGGCACTGTCTGTAACATCTATATAATGCTTTTGAGATGTTTGATGATGTTTAAATAATGAGGGTTCGGTGCAAAAAAAATCCATGAAATTGTGAACAAAATCCGCGTAGGTACCTCGGGATGCACCCAAACGAATCGAGGATAAGTCGTTTGTCTACCTCTATGAAAATACCTATATAGTATTAAACAAATCTGTTTGATATTGTGTGCAGTGTACAATCTGTTCAACAATAATAAAAAGTGTCCGCTAAATAAAAATGGACATTCGGATTTTTTTTTTGTCTTCATACAGTGTGTAGGGGAAAACAAGCACGGGGAAAGCGGGGACCAAACCCTGGACCAAAAGCTGGGTACGCCCATGAAAATAATATATCTATAAAAAAGTAATACCAATAAAAATAAGCAGATAATTATTGTCATTCAATTTTCTAGGTAAAATGGAGTAAAGTTCAATTATTTATATTTAAATTAAATCTAATACAGCTTTTTCCTAAGCCATAGCAAGAATATTTATACATTGATATACAGAAACTCAAAAGTGCCCTCCAATAAAGAGTGCACAATTGGAAATTATTTATAATACATAATTGTTTACATTTATAAAATTTTTGTTTTCATTTTTTTTTTGTTTTATTTGGAAGGATTATTGCACTATTGAGTTTGATACAAAAGAAGTAATACACATTCGTAATGACAATAGATTTTTTTTTCGCCAATACTATCAAATTACATTTTTTCTTAGAAAATAAAATAAATACATAACAATGACTCTATGTAGTTTTTATTCTGCCTGACTCCCTATGGCGATTGTTTTTTTACGCATAACTTCGAATGTGTGTTAACACAATCAGAACTTACGATTTGTGGGTTTTATTCTTTGCTGTGACTTATCACTTATAAGCCACATATTGAAGAGATATTTGTTAGGAATTGTGCATCTATGGTTTATATGCCAATTGAATGATTAAATCGGGATTATCCAAATAGACACATATAAAGCCTTATCAGGCATCATAAACTCAATTAAAATGTTAACTTTTTAGATGAGTTACTTTTTATCTAAACCTTACTTCAGTTTCATCTTTGGTGATTGGTGTCTGGGTGCTTGTCCATCAATGGATTTTGTTGTACCATAGTAACTTGAAGCACCTGAGGCTGGCCGAAGCAACAATGGGGACCCTAAAATGATAAATTTATATTATTCATGTTTACACATATTTCATTGTAGAGTTATAAAAGAACACTTTTTTTATTTTATTCTTAACTTTCTTGACTTGGACAGATTAAGATCATCAGCACTAAAATGTAGATCATGGTTTATCCAACAATATTTTCAAGATTTCTCTTTCTTCTCTTCTTCTTCAATAAGTTTTGAGAAAAATAACACAGCAGCATGCAGTAGTTAACTAAAAATCTAAATAATTTTTATCTAAATATTTGAATACTATGTTTTAAAGTGTTGTAAAAAATTATTAAATGTATTAAAAATAATGAGTACCTTACATAATAACATTACCTTGTGGTGTTCCAGTCATAGGTGTGTAATGATTGGAACTATGCATTGAACCCGATACTCCTTTGGCTAATTGTAATGCTGAGTAGACCCCAAGCGCTCCTTTTTGTAAGCGTGTTGTTAAGGGAGACATTGATAAAGGCCCAGGTGTTGTAATTGGATGTTTTTCCACTTGTAGTGCACTAATTACTACAGCTTCACGATTGTAATACCTATAAATGAGAGATGTAGTGCTAGTATTTCGCATAATATTTGTAGTTGACTTTATTAAATCAAAACACATAATTATTGTTAATTTTGAATTAAATATTTTAATAGCAAAAATAAAAGCAATTAATTTTAATACTATAACAATTAAGCTATTTATAATTTATTGAACAAATCACTCACTTTTTTAATAATATCTTGATATGTGTCTCACTAACAGTTGGAAACATTGCACTTATCTTAGCAACTAGTGCATCTGTATCAGTATTTAATGTAAGAGAATCTTGAAATTTTTCATTTAAGTGTGAAACCTGATTTGGCAATGGACTCCCTCTTGGTGTAAGACATAGAGCTCGACCTAGAATTGGGCTGTCATTTGGAGTAGCAAATGCTTTTGGATCCTATAAATATAAATATATGAAAATACAAAAAACAAGCATACTATATTACTTAATTATAATAATAAATCTTTCAAGTTTATAAATAAGATAACATAGAGCTATAATTTAAATAAATATCAAAATATATCATCATGGAAGTAAACATACTAAATCAGGACAAAAAATTGATAAAATTCAAATTTAATTTCCAAAATAAGTTTTACAATTGCAAGTTAATTATAAAACTCTTGTAAGTACTTACAATATGAGGCTTTAGACCCTTTGGATAAAACATTTGCGGGCTCTGTTGAGCTTGAAAAGCATGTTGAAGGCGGACAGGAGAGGGATAAGGATGTACATGGTAAGGTGAACCGTGAGTCGACTGTGCAATCCAATAGTACAGACATGGATAAACAAACCACACTGTGAATAAGTGCTTGTACTGGACGGTCTCTATAACTGTGACAAAGTTAAATAAAAATATTCAAGTGATTATTTTGTAAATTTTAAATAAAACATTCAAATATTTTATGATTATATCCCCCACCTTACTGAAAATCGATTCGATGTGCTATGTCCATAATATATATAAACCAGTTAATATTTATTTAAAAACAAAAGGAAAGAACTATGTTCATTTTACTTTAAGTTTAATTAATTTTTAATTAATAATCATTAAGGGGAAAAATTCAAACTACCTAAGGATGAATACACTTCAAACCAATATGATGCGCAGCACTTTGTATCAACTTATGTTTAGAATGTATTTCTTTCATTTCAAAGACTTAAAACATAATAAAGTAAATAAGAAATGCAAATAAGTATCAACTGATTTTTAATTATTAACCAATTAGTAAACAATAGACTATAAACATACTTTTTTCTTTGTTTGTTTTTAAACTCAATCATGCAACGGAAGCACAACAAAAAATATGCAACAATAGTAAATATAAATTATATTAAAGTACAAAAGTATTTACTCACCTTCATTTTTCATTTAGCCGCGTTTTTCTGCGTAATGGTGGAAAAGGGAAATAATCAATAACTGAATAATATGTTGACAATGGAAGGTATAGGTAAGGGAAACCATCTCTGTGTATGAATTATGAAAAGTGTCCGCCGAAAACCGTCAAATTAGGGTAGCGCCACGGTAACAGGTGGGTAAATTTTGAAGAAAGCGCCAAAAGTATTATTAGGTTTAAAGACATTTATTTCCAAAAAGAACATAGTTCGCTTAAAATCAGGAAAATTATGTACGGAAAAAACTTATGCAACTAATCATGCAGTAATGGTACTTAATTAGATCTTTCGAGAGTACATAAGTGGTTCTTTAATTATTTCTTAATTATGTTAATAAAGTTTTAAAAAAAAATGTAATATTTATAATATATAGAATAGCTTTAGAATCAAATTCAATAAATATTGTAAGATATTTTGATGCCATTTTTGAATTATTTGAGATCATTTTTGTAAAATAGTGGGTAGGCACTGTCTGTAACAAGTATATAACGCCTTTGAAACGTCTATAACCTTAGTCCCTTCCGTGACCATGCTTGCTGTAAAGCATTCGAAACGTCGGGAACCAAAAATCAAAATAAACCCGCAAAATAATCCGAAAAGGTAGTTTTATTTGAAATGTCAAATATTCGCGTAAATCTAAGAAAGTATTAGAATATGGAATGTCTATTGATTATACTTTTAAAGAAATATTAAAATATAATAATTTAACAGTCAATATCTTAAAATTAAACATATTTTTCGAGTTACTAATTTTGTAATTATATGCTTAAAAATAAATGCTTGAAAATAAATCAAATAGTAAGAAGTTCATAATTATATTATTACATTTAAAAATTCTGAAATACTATTGTTTAATTTAATAAAATTAAATTATAAATTATGGATACTTAACTGATTTTTAGGAGGATTTTATAAAAATAATTAAAATTTCACTTCCGGCTGATTGATATAAAAAGCGTAAGGTAACCGTTGAAGAGTTAGTTTTTGGACAGACGTGCGCCAGAAAAGAATAAAGATAAGTAATCGTTGTTAAAATAATATTGAATTTATGCTGGTAAACTTATTGATCACAATAGTGTTAAACTTATGTGTAAAAAGTAAAAAGATAAAGTTTTCCTGTGATTGGTAAAATAGTAGTGATATAAAGTGATCGTTAAAACTACATTTAATTGTTATATTATATGGAAATACGAAAATTGAAGTGACATTGTAAAATTTATAAAGTAAAAAGTGATAATATAAAGCTTATTGCATTGGTTTACTGTGTTCTTATTTTCCTCGTCCTGAAGTTATATGTTTATTTATACACTGTTTTATCATAATATTCTCCTTCTTAACTTATGGACTTTTGGTGAATTGTTTTGTATTAGTAAGTGAATATGATAAAGTAAATAAACTCGATTGAACAGTGCTTGTGTTGAGCGTTTATTTTCCTATTACAACATAGACTATTCTCGCACACATACCCTGTGTTCCAATTAGAGCACTAAATCGCATTATGCGGCATAACTAACTTCGAATGTTCCAACTATAAAACGCTCTGCTCATATCAATCTAGGATCTCACTCAATAACAGAAAATATGAGAAGTATTTTTTTCTTCAAGGTGTCATTGATCATAATTTTATTTACATTATTATCGTTAGTAATATTTGTTTATATTTTATTTATATAAATATATATTAATTAGTTATATATTATTATAAATCTATATTAATATTATAAAGAAGTAAACTTTGTGAGTTTGTGACGTTGTAGAAAGTAATCTCTGGATCTACTGAACCGATTTAGATGAAATTTGGTAAGAAGATAATTTGAGACCTTGGGAAGGACATAGGATAGTTTTTATTCCGGAAATCATTCCTTAAGGGGCTGATAATGGGTATAAAATTTTGTATTGGGAAGCAAGCTAGGTAGGAACCCGAGAGAAGCGAGGATGAGTTTATTATATAATTTATAATAACGACGATATGTATTGTTATATATTATATACTTAATAGTTAGTTATATTTTTCCTTTCAACACTGGACTCAGTTCCCTCTGCTGGTGCACTTGAAAACTAATTTGCGTTCCAATGAAGCATTAGCACACTTTGGCATTGTGCGCCAAAGTACGGCGTTATGCTCTGTAATTGCAAAACAAGGATAATAGGCAGCATTCTGGGACAAGGAATTTGATAATTATAATCGAATGATTATTGTAAATTTCGCCATTGTTAACAGAGTGGGAGAAGAATTTTTGCACATGAAAATCTTAACATGGTTGTAGTACTTTCTTAGCTCTACGTCGAAATTACATTTTTGGTTTTAAAGACATTTTAATTGGTCGATTCACTGCGATCAGTGAATCGACCAATAATATCACGGCTTTGACAATATACCTGTGACATATATGATACACATATATTCCACGGAAGATAGAAAACAATATATTCTATACAAAATACTTTCGATGTTTCACATCTGCCAGGCATCTTGCAACCGCTGTAATTTTTTTGCAAAATTATTATGGCCTCATTAACTGCCTCATAACGATCCTCATACTCGTACACTTTCTTTATATACATGTTTAATCATAGCTCGTACATTTAAATCCGGCTCTAGTAAAAGTACATATAAGTTGAATACATAGCAAATTCCATTGTTTCCGTCGAATTAGCTTAGGTACCATATTCATTACACGTAATCCTATTTAATCATTGTTGATAATAATTTAATAGCTTTGGATACTAAGAAATAAAATAAAACAATTCAATACACAGCGTATTAAAAGTACAGTGCGTATTACATATTCCATAATACTAAGTTTATATTTAAAAAAAACTTAAAATTAAAAAAAAAAAAATATTGCCATACTCAAGATATTTATTTAGATGATATTTATTTAAGTAAAATTTACCTACTATTTTTATTTGCATGTAAAATGTCTAATTAAAAATTTAGTAATAGACGGCTAATCGAAAAATCAGAATCAATAAATTATAAAATTTGTTCCACACTGTTATTTAAGTTAATTTGAATATACCGCCATAATTTTCGCGTCATATTTTTATCATGGCGGACAGACAGAGAATGATCATTATTTTTAACATTCATTTGTGAATTTTTAAAGTAGAATATTAATGTAATTGTGTCAAAATTCGGTCATTACGCGAAGGGGTTTTCAGGGGTGGGCGGAAGAAAGCTATGGCGGAGAATAGAAGTTCGGACAACGTCGTTATGCCGGACATTACCGAAGTAGCCGAGTCCGATCCCCTGGCGACAGCAGCCGAGCGCGATACCGATTGCTCTGATGGCAATTCTGTTTTGTCTGCAGGAATCAAAACTGTTCGACGACCGAGTGATACAAATGGGGTAGTTTCTGTGCCCGTGTCATTACCAGTAGGTGCACTCATTGCAGGCACTACTTTTAATGTCATAACATCTGAACAATTACAGCACTTCAAGCCTATGATATGCGTCGATAATGGTTTTATATCTGGTGGATCAGTTCCGGAAGACATCAAGCAGACTCATATTGTGATTCAAAATACGTCTTCACCACCTGTGCGTGAGTCAAAAGACCACGAAACGGCAAACAATTCGTCGTCATCTGGTAGGTTTACGAGCAATCGATCATGGGTCGAAACTGCAAATATGCCTGTTCTTCCTATTAGGTGCAAAAACACCTCTGCAGAACTTCATAAACAAAAGTTAGGTTCTGGGGGACGGGGTAGATGTATTAAGTATGGCATGGAATGGTACACACCTAGTGAATTTGAAGCTCTTTGTGGTCGAGCATCAAGCAAAGATTGGAAAAGGTCAATAAGATTTGGTGGTAGAAGTATACAAACCTTAATTGACGAGGGAATACTTAAACCACATGCTACAAGCTGTACCTGTGGAGCTTGTTGTGACGATCAAACAGGTAATTTGTTTTGATTTTTTATAATTTAAAATAAAAAATATATTTACTAAAATAAAGGACCCGCTGCATGAAAAGAAAACTAAAAAGATTAAAACAAGTGGACTAAGGAATATAGTATTTATTATACAGTTGGAGACATACATTTAAGTATGTACATGTTTTATAAAAGCTGCGTGTATGTCTCTGACTGCATAATACTATTTTCCTTATTCAACTTGTTGATATCTTTTTAGTTCACTTTTTACATAGTTCTGTTTGTTATTATCTAAATATTTTTTTATTTATTTTTAGCATTTTTCATTCTAAATTACATTTAAATTTATAAGTTGTATAATTATATACCTATTTTTAAGCCTTTTATTAAACCCTTTATTTTGATATCTCATTCAATAAGTTCTGAGGGAAAAACAAATTTATTGAAGACATAATATGGCACCAATATAAAAAATCTGCCATTTCAATTTTTATAATTTTGATATACACAGTGTCACTCTCACAATTAAAATGAATCTAGCAATACCTCAAGTTAAAATCCATCAAGCGATTTAGGCTACAGAGCGTGCCAAAGAAGTATACATACATACATACATAGTTACACTCAAAAAACTCAACCTTCCTTTTGGCACTGTCGGATAAAATATATAACATAGTATTGTAAAAAATATAGTATTGTCATTCTTTTTAGCTATGGGTCCTGTAAGACTTTTCGTTCCATATAAAAGGAAAAGGAGAAATCAAGATGGTATGAATTTTATATTTCATTTACTTTAGTTTTCAATGTTAATAACTGTACCTAATGTTATTTTTTTTTTATTATATAATAAAGGAACAGATGAGAAAAAAGTAAAAGTTAAACTTGAATCAATAAGTGATGCGGAGGTGGATAATATTCACCAGACGAGTAGTAACAGTCATTCCAAAGAGGCTTGGCAAACTATAGCTGAGGGACTCGAAACAAATGCTGATTACCATTTGCTAGATAGTCCTGAAACCAATCCAGATCCTATAGTGGGTAAGCAGATATTATATTTTTTTGGTTAATTTTCCACTATGGTTAATATTGCAAGTGAAATAATAATAATTAAGGCTGCTTATTCAGATCTGCCTTGGAATTTTTAAATAAAAGCCAGAAACCTAATTAATTTTTTATCAGAACTGCTGGTACATTTTGAATATTTTTTATTAATTGTAACCAAATATTAGTTCTTTTATGCTTTATTTAGTTTAAAGTATAGAAAAGCATTGTGACATATTTTAATAGTAAGTAAAATAATTTAACATGTTTAAAAATAAACATGATTTGTCAGAAAATACTTATGTTGTATATAATAGTGTAAAGATTTTTACAAAAAATGGTACTTCCATGATACATGATATACTAGTGACTTACACTCGCTTCGCTCGGGTTCATTTCTAGCTTACTTCCCCATACAAACTTTCATCCCAATTTTCACCCCCTTAAGGGATGATTTCCGGGATAAAAAGTATCCTATGGCCTTCCCAGGGTCTCAAACTATCTTCTTACCAAATTTCATCTAAATCGGTCATTTCATCTAAATTCAGAGATTACCCCCGACAACGTCACAAACTCACAACCTGAATAACTCACGAATTTTACCTCTTTATAATATTAGTATAGATAAAATTTACAAGGACATATAAGTACAATATAAGATTTGATAATATATAAATAATATTATAATTATTCTGTAATTTAATTACACCTTTAAATGCTATAATAATATTATAATCAGAACCTATAAGAATTTATATTTCTTTGCTTTTATTTTGCTAAATAATGCGAATAAGTAAAATGCGAAAGGAATTTTAATTTCTATGCTTGCTATTTCAATGTTAATGTTAGCCTTAGCACAAGCGGTCATGTTTTATACCTATATTTAAAGATTTTATTTAATTTTACTCTTGAGTTTGTACTGATTTTATAATTTGAATATTCATAATTCGTAAACATGCATTCACTGAGCTTGTACTGAAACTTGTCTAACAATATTAGTTTAAATTCTTTTAAAGTACCTACCTACTGAAGTATGCGACTTGTTAGTATTTAATTATTATTTGCCTTAACATAAGCGAAATATTACGATTTCTGCCTTTCTTTCTAAATTTCCTCAAAAATTATGATAATTTATGAAGTATGTAGTTAATTTATTAATAATGTTCCAATTACGCGCAATACATGAATATTGGATTGGGCAAGGCGAAAGGTTTATTTATTAGCGAATTACATGATGAACGCAGCGAAAATGGAATTTATCTAACTAACGATAATGCTAGCTGAGTTGTGTGTTGATTTTTATTTAATACTAGCATTGCCCGCGGCTCCGCCCACGTTCATATGACCAAAAACCAAATTCTTAAGTTTTACTCTTACATTGCAGTTTTTGTATTTTTTCTCAGAAATGAGATATTTTCCTGGAGTAAAAAGTATCCTATATGTTGACCCGGATAACCGGCTACCATCATACCAAATTTCATCAAATCTCTCCAGTGGTTTTTCTGTGATGCGGTAACAGACAGACAGACCGGCAGACAGACATACAGACCGACAGACAGACAAACATTCTAAAAACTATAGATTTGGCCTCTGTATCGATAATACTGTTTATTTCAATAAGATTTTCCATAAATATTTAATGTACAGATTTGGCTTCGTTACAATTTTATTATATGTATAGATTTAGTACCTGGGCCACCGAGCTTCGCTCGGAGTTTTTGGTTAAAAAGTACAATTTTGTTTAAAAAAAACTAAAAACTTGAATAAACACAAAAAAAAAATAAAAATAAATTATACATTTGTATCCGACCGGGATGCGAACCCGGACACCAATGATTGTCAATCTTGCGTCTTTTTTTTTTTTAAAAAGTAAAAACTTTGTATGCGACCGAGATTCGAACCTGGACACCTGTAATTGTTGATCTTGCACCTTGGCCGCTTGAACACGATGCTTATTCCCGAGCGTGCAAATTACCGACCATATTTTGCGTGGAATAGTAAAAGAAATCATCTATCCTAATACCAGCTCACCCTCGCTTCGCTCGGGGTTCGACTCTAAAAAAACAAAAACCATATATCGTATCAATTAATTGGGAACCGTATATTTTTCCGAAATAAAAAGTAGTCTATATGTTATTCCAGACATTAATGTATCTCTGTGCCAAATTTCATCCAGATCTGTTCGGCCGTTCTGGCATGAAAGAGTAACAAACATTCATACATACTCACAAACTTTCATATTTATAATATTTATACAGATGCTTATTAGACTGATAGATAGATCATTAGGATTCGTTAAGTAGTAGAACCCGTTCTGTTGCGTAGAATTTGGTGAGTGTACCTGAAGCCTATTCACATCCAGTCTTTTCCTCCAAATCCTGAGGTAACTCGAAAGTGATGCCCCTTAATTATATGGCATTAAATAACAGTCATTTTCTATCGTAAATGCATATTGAAATGATAATATAAGAAATTTTAAATACTAAAATATTTAATTTTATTATTTGTAGCGCCACCTGACATGAAAAAAGTGATGAAACGCTTAGAAGATATTGGGCAAAGTCTGATTCGGCTTTCAAATGAGCTGAAACAATGTGTTGATGAAGTGAAACTGGTCAGTAACAGGCAGTTGGAGAGGTTCGAGCAGGAAAGGGCTTCAGCAATCATCGCGGCCAGCGTTGACGCTCAAGTAGAAGCTGATCAGGTCTCACTTCATAATGTTGAAGAATCAGAACCCAAAACGGTATTTTATATATAAATGTACATTGTATATACATATTTTTATTTATGAATAAACTGCCTCCTTTAAAACTTTAGGTTTGTAAAGTTGAATTTGTAAAATGTTGATTTTCCAAAATGTTAAATTTATGCTTAGAGAAACATGAATTTTTCAAAGTAATTTACTTAAAAATATGTTTTGTAATGTTTTTATGTTTTATTATACTGCTATATTTATTGGATCAACCAACATTACCAATCAACATATCTCAATTCTCCAATAAATTTTATGATGGCTCTTCGGCCCCGGCTGAGACATAGCCTCTGTTTAAATTTGAATTTAGTTTAACGAAACATAACATACTGACTTTGAACAATAATAAGGTTTAACATTTTATCAGAAAAAGTTAACATGTCAAATTAAATTATAATTCATTTCTACTAAATCCTCCTCCGGACATATACGAGTATTTGTTACAGTGCGTAAACTGTAACCGCGAGGCCTCGGCGGAGTGTTCACTCTGTCGACGGACACCATATTGCTCAACGTTTTGTCAGAAGAAGGATTGGGCGTCCCATCAAATTGAATGCTTACGATCGGTGCCAACCATTCATACTGACAGCCAGCAGCATCAGTCAATTATGTTGATTGTAGAGAGTCAACCACAATAGTATAGTAAGTATATAACATCCATGTTTATACCGCAGTCTACTCATCAATACTGCCATGTGTCTAACGAAGACATTTAAGCAGGACAATCACGAGAGAAGCGCGTAAGGATGGATATCCTGGTAATGTGCATCCGTTATTTTGCTCGACAGTTGGGAAACTAATTTAAGATTGATAACTGTATATGCCACAAGATGTCAATAAAGCTCTATAACTTCAAAACCTTCCACCATGAAAAATATTATTTTTGAGCTCTCGCATTTGGTGGAAATTCCGTCATAATGAAAGGTTATTGCTTAATGTTTGAGTTTTTATACAGTGTTTATACATAATATAAAACATTAGTGTGATTTAAAATAGTTTATAGTGATTTTATTTTATAACTAGCGGCTCACCCTCGCTTTGAAAAATAATAACTATCCCACGAGAACCCTACATTTTTCCGGGATAAAAAGTAGCCTATGTGCTATTCCAGTCCATGTATATCTGTGATAAATTTTATCGAGAACCGTTCGGCCGTTCTGGCGTGATTGAGTAACACACATCCATCCAAATATCTAAATTTTTACATTTATAATATTAGCACAGATCACATAATACTATAATGGTACAGATGTCTCATCCTATACAAAGAACTTGGACAGCGTTAATTCGGGCTATTCTTGGGGTTTTTTCTGTTTGCTTGAATAGTCTGTACTCTATACATATAATATTATCGATACAGAGGCCGAATCTATAGTTTTTAGGATTTCTGTCTGTCTGTTACCGCATCACAGAAAAACCACTGTAGGGATTTTTATGAAATTTGGTATGGTGATAGCTGGTTATCCGGGTCAACATATAGAATACTTTTTACCGCGAGAAAATATCTCATTTTTGAGAAAAAATACAAAAACTTTAATATAAGACTACTAATATGTAAAACCTAAGAATTTGGTTTTTGGTCATCCGAACGCGGGCGGAGGCACGGGCAATGCTAGTTAATAATAAATTTCGTTGATTCGCAAATAGTTAAACTGTTTTATTTATATAAATATGTGCAAACTAAAAAAATAAATGTTGTAAAATTCATCTTTCTCATCTCATCTTTCAGTTTTTAACCATGATATGCAATTCATAAAAATTAAAAGCAATATCTATGAATACAATCTTTAAGATCGTATTGTGGTATAAAGTATAGGACTTTTTCATAACAACGTTGTCGTCCTGATTAATTTGTTCATCTCAAGATTTATTATAAGCATATATTATTGGAATATACATTATGTTGTATGTGTGTATAGGTCAAAACCTTCCAAAGATTATGTTTGATTCTTATACATATTATAACTAGCGATTCACCCTCGGTCCGCTCGGATTCGTCCCTAATTACGTTTTAACGCTTAGTATAGATTTCTCAAGGTGAAATATTTTCCCGCATTAAAAAGTATCATATATGTTGACCCGGATAACCAGCTATTGATATACCAAATTTCATTAAAATCTGTCCAGTGGTTTCTCGTGATGCGTCCCCAGACATACAGACACAAAAATTCTAGAAACTATACATTCGGTCTCTGTATCGATAATAATGACTATTTCAATAAGATTTTCCAAAAAATATTTAATGTACTGATTCGACACAGTTAGAATTTTATTATATGTATAGATTGATGTATTTTAACGCTAGCCTGGTGCGGATTGTCGTACTTTAAATGTTTAAAAAAAAATGTTAGGTTTTCTCAGACATGCAAGTTTTCTCACGATGATTTCTTTCACTATTAGGCAAGTGGTAAATCTATTGAAAATAATTCACTTGAGATTATCAAAGGTGCGAGACCCGGGCTTTGATTCCGCTTCGCTAGGTTGATCAAGTGAGTGCATTATCACTGATTCAGGACTGCCAATAATTGATAAATATTAAAAATTGTAGGACAATTTCTAATTTTCATGATATGTTGTATTTCATTTTTAGATACCATGCGTCGGGAAACCGTGATCAAGAAAGGCTGACATTGTCTCCCGACTTCGTGTGCCGTACAATCGATCACAAGGAAGCCGATGTAAAAGAACACCTGTTTAGTTTATTATTTTAAAACCAAATGTAACGTTTTAAACGTGATTATTTGTGTGATTAATTTCATAAGTGATTTCAAGAATTAGTTTGAAAGTGAACATTTTACCGCAATGCAGAAGAGAACTTGAAAGCAGCTGGAAAATTAACTTGATATGTTCTATTTTTATCTAGATGAGATGGACACTACATATATTGTTGCGAACATTCTTAGAGATATTATGTGTCGTGAATATCAGAATCACCTTAATTAAATTTTGCCTATTGTGCATTGCATAATATTTCTGTATATAATGAAATGAGGAGCATTGCTGTATCTAATCATCAATTTAAAAAAAGAAAATTACATCAACATAATATCATCATCATAATTTCCGGCAAGTAATTGTTAATATTAATTTTATTATAAATTAATCATTTGAAAAGAAAAATAATCACAGAAGTCACTTAGCCCATTTAGATGTTGAAAAACATTATAATTATATAATTTTATTTATAAACTTAATAGTGATCAATATAGTCTAGTCAACAACTTTTAGATCAACTTTTTTCATCAACAATTTCAAAAAAAAGCTTTTACTTAAATTTTCATTGTTTATTTAATAAACAGTTTGTTATAAACAATTAATTTTTTTGTATGTATTTTTTTTCTTCATAATGAAACAAAAACAACCACGTGTTATTTTTTGAGAAAAATAATTTATTTATATTTTTTATCGAATTTTAAAACCTAAGTTTAAAATTTTTTACCTAAGTAAATTGTTCATAGCAAAGTGAAAATCTAACAATTTTTTAATTTTTCCAACGGGGCTCTATTTTGAAGCCTTTGAAAAATAGTTGTGCATGAAAAGAAAAAATGTCAAATTTATAGTTTAGCAATTATCACACTTGGAATGTTCATGTTCAAGCAGAAAATAATTATTAATTCACAATTGCATAACTAATTGAGAAATTCATTTCTAAAATTTTATATTAATTCATCAATAAAAAATATTTTAATTTTAAGTAAATTTTAAGTGTCCGAAGTAGGCGTGGATTGCGCAAGCCAGAGTATACGTTTTAGGCCGTATTTTCATCCATCTGGAAAATTATAAATATTGGTCTTACAGGTCCTGGAGTTAAGACTTTTTTTTAGGAAATTTCCTCCTCTTTTCCTGAATCTTTTTTTTAGATTTGAAATACCTCAATTAGTTTTTGAGATATTTGCCAAAACTAGGCCCGTTTTTTATTTTTAGTTAATTGTTTATAACTTTTGCAATTTTTGCAAGCAGAACTTGATTTTTTTCAATAATCATCTAATCAAAAGCCATTCCGAATCGTCTAACACCTCGATCACATTTTTCTGAGACTGCTGAAAAAAGTTGACCTAAAAGTCACTTGTTGACTAGACTAATAACTTCCTAGAAAAAATTAAGCAAAATATAATAATTAATTTTATTCAATTAAAATTAATTTATTTGAATTTTATTTTAATTTAGAAATGATTTTAATGAAACAACTATGTTCCTTAAAATTTGATTAAATCAAATTATGTTTTCGTATCAATAGTTTTGGTTTAAGTTAGAGCATAGATATGAATGAATTATAATTACTGCAAAAATACCACATTTGCTATTATTTTCTTTTTTACATACACCACTCAATGTTTATTTATATCATATACATTTGGTACAATGTTTCCCTCTTTATAGACAATGTATGACAATCAACATCTTAGGATTATTAGAAAAACACATTTTAATGTAAAATTATATGAACTAAAATTTTCCATATATTATAAACATTTCATATCATGTATTCCGCAGACTTAATAGGTTTTTTTTTATTTATTAATATTTATTTTCAAACTTTAAGAAGCGAAAATTATGAAGCCTTACCTCATGTAATTTCTTGTCCAATACCAAAAATTGTTTTATTTCTATCTCTTAAAGTCTAAGAACAATTGTAGTTTTTTTAATATATTAAAATAAAGTAGTGCTTTTTAAAAATAATCTTGACAATGGTAGTGTATAATGTAATTTAATATATGTAGAGGTGATGTAATATTCTAAAAACTTTTGTCTAAGACACTTAAACAGATAAAACTTTAAGATAAGTCTGTACATATGTGTAGTTCTAAAAATCTTCTGAAAGGTCTCAGGAAAAACTAAATTGCCATAAGGCTATTTAGGTGATATGAATAATTAGGAACTTAAATAATATTTGGGCTCATTAGGATGCTCTTTCTAATGATTATTGTGAAGGTACATGTTAGAATGTGGTAGCTTTATTAGTCTTCAAATATACATGTCTTTTTGGTAAAAAAAAAATGGTTGATGAACATAAATATGGCAAGGGTTTGCCAATTCTTGTCCACATTTCTGTCAATTTTTTTATAAAATATTGATTGATAGTATAAACATGAGCATATTAAGATTATTATATAATGTATATGTATATACTTGACAATTGTAGTATTTCATCTAGAAGCCAGTAATATTAATCACATAGTTAATATCTTAATGTAGTAAAATGTAATAAAGTTGTTATAAATTAAGAAAAATGTTTGTCACCAAAAAATTACTGTTAGCTCATTGTTCTGAAGTCATGCCATCGTTGAATGTATCATTTCCATAATTCAAATGATATTATAAACAATATTTTGATGATATTATCATATTAATGTGTACATGTATATTTAAGTAAATGTTAAATATTCATTTTATGTGTAATTAATTATTTTGAGTTACATATGAATGTTATAAATAAGTAATAATTTTTATCTTTTTATAGTAGATCTATGGAATACACTGGATTGAATGATGATGATTGAATAAATGAATACTATTGTGTCAGCTATAAAGCCATCAACCAAACATGGGCTTGTATTATGTTGACTTGTAACTATATATAATGGCGTCAATTAATTTAGATAATTTTATAGATAGCCCATAAAGATTTACATTATTTTGATTTTGTTATGACCCAAAGATGTGTTTTCTGTAAACAATTATAATATGACTGGGTTTTGCTCATGGCCTCCAGTATTCTCTTCCCTAAAATAGATGGTATGAAACTAAAGTTCAAAAACCTGTCTATTATAAATTAGTATTCTGTTTCTGTATCTGTGTATTAGTAGTCTGAATTTTTATTGATTAATAAATAATGGTTACCTTTTTAGTTCATTTTATCTTTTGGTTTTAAGTACATTGTAGCTCTGCCCTCACCATTCTAAGTTTTTGTCCAGGTTAACCGTAAATGTTCTATATTAGCTGGATAACCAAAGACGATACAGTACTTTTGTCTTATTTGTGTGTGATATTTTGTGCTATTGTACATTATTATTAATAGGATTTTTAAGGGCGCAATAGTTTTCTAGATTAGTGGTTATTATTCTTTAACAATTTGCTGTGGCTTATTGGTACAATAAATTATATTTAAAACTAGAATTATTTCAAGTGACTAATAGATCTAATATTTATTCGTTTACCGGGAATAAAAGTAATGGAACAAAGGGATATCATTGCCGTGCAGATATCTCTAAACCTTTTCCACCGACTTCAAAAAGGAGGAGGTTCTCAATTCAACTGTATTTTTTTTATGTTTGTTACCTCAGAACTCCGTCATTTATTGACCGATTTGGACAATTTTTGTGTTGTTCGAAAGTATATACTTCCAGATTGGTCCCATTTAAATAAAATAAAAAAAATACCACCCCTAAGTGTGGAAAAATAGCTAATGATGAATTTAACCTACTTCTAATTGACATATTGACTTGAAACTTTGCAAATGTTTCTATTTCCGTTGATAGTACAGTGGTTCGGTATTGTTGACCTGATCTGATGGTAAGGCCAGAAGGTGGATAGGTGGAACTCTTCAACGGCTAATAGTAGATACTTTGAGTTTGTGCTTATTTTGTTTGATTTGAAAAGCCTAACATGTTAGAATTCTTACTTTGCTACTACTGTCTACATTAAAAAGGGAAAATAAAAACTTTTTAACAAAAAAATAAAAACCGACTTCAAACAAAGGCACTAAAAAGTAAAAAATAACTGATTGGTAGTTTTCATTTACTATACATACCTAATCAAATATTTTCGAAGTCGGTTATATATATATATATATATATATATATATATATACTTCATAACAATACTTTAAAAGGAAATAAAATCGAACTTGTAGTGTGATAGCGGCAGTGGTAGCCTAGTGATAATACAAAACCAGTTCAAATCCTGGGTCGGAGCACTGATGTACTAATGTGCGAATTATTTTCAACATTATTGACACTAGACTTACGGCGAAGAAAAACATAAAGAGGAAACCTGTATGACCAGGAGCACGTAAGTTTTAGAAAGATGAAGTCCGCCAACCCGCACGTGGCCTTATCCCCTCGCACTGAGTAGATATCAGTGTCTAGCATGTGGGATGTTAAAAAGGGCTAAATAAATACAGTGTTATGGCGAATAGCCTGACTTACATCAAATGTAAAGAACAATGATTGAAATTAAATTCAGCTGTCAATGCGAAATATGAAAATTGCACTAATAAAACAGAAGTACTGTATCATTTATGTCATATAAGTGTAGTTGTTAATTACTTGTGTTAGAAGGTGAATAAAAATAAAGCCATGTGATTGTAATGTAAGGAAATTTCGCATCGAATATTTTCAATTTATAACATTTATTATATTACATGGAAATATCAAATAGCGTTGCTGCCAATTACTTAATAAGGTCTTAAGTGCCTTTTGCTCTATGTGGCAAAAAATCTACAGTTCGTTTAAAATATGCCGTGATTCTTAAAATATTTTTGTTAGTGTATCGACAGATAATTGGCCATGTGCATTATAAAATATAATACTCAATAAAAATCGGTCAAGATATTTATACGTATAAAATATAAATATGTACGTTATTTCACTGAAAGTTATTGAAGTTTTTATATGTATAGTTCCATAATTATAGTTGTGGTAAAAATATGCAAAAGTTAATGATAATGGCAATATGGTGTAATATTTTAAAATTCATTATTTTATAAAATATTATGTATATCTCTGACCCTCAATAATTAACTGCCTTTGTATTGATTGTATGTTCGTACGCAATGCAATATAAATATTTGAAATCTGATGCTTTCACTCTTAAGACAATATGACTTTATTTGGTATTTGTATAATATAGTATTTTGAGATAGTGAACTAATTTTTCTTTTTTATTTTTAAAATTTCTTTGTACTAACTAAAAAACTTATAATTGTTCGTACTAGTGCACGGTGCAAAGTTTTTGTATGTTTTTGTTGTATAATACGAGTATAAACAAAAATATTAATGGTATTTGACATTGAAGTGAATTTTGAATCTTACAATACAGTCTTTCGGTTTTAGAACTACGCCATCCAGTGACGTAATATCGTTTACTTGGTTATGTGATTTTGGGTTTGATTTTAAATCGATAAAAAATGTTTAGTGATAAGCATTAGTTTAAATTAATCAGTGAAAATTGCCATTTTGTTTTAGTTATCGTTTCTTAAATAAGATTATATACTTCATAATACTATGATATCGACAACTACTTTTATAAAATTTTCAATGAGGGCCGATATATACATAAAATGTTATTAAAAAATATGTTGAAAAACTTGTTGTTTTTTAATAATATGAACTAAAGTTATATTTTTAAGATTTCATATAAATAGGTAATAGTGTCTAAAATTATTGTTTTTGGTTCCTATTAGCAGGAGATTACATTTAGGTAAAAAATTAAAAATATCTAATGAGGTTCCGATAATAATTGTCAAACTGATACATTTCATGCAGCAAGGGGTAGGGGTCAGGGTAATTTTAATTTTATTACGGAAAGTTGTGGACTCGATCAACAATACTACTCTAGATAACGTTTCACATAAAAACTAAAAAAAAAAAACTGACTTCCAGGCACTAAAATATAAAAAATAACTAAAAGGAGGTTTTCATTTTAGTTATTTTTTACATTTTAGTGCCTGGATTTATTTTTTTAAGTTTTTATTCTTCCATTTTTAGTGTAGACATAATAAACGGGTAATAGCTCGACCGATTTCGATAAAATTTATATGGGACCACCAGGGAAGTATACTCTTTGAAACAAAAAAAAATCCAAATCGGCCTAGGCGTCTTCGAGTAATCGGTGAACATACATAAAAAAAATCCGACGAATTGAGAACCTTCTCCAATTTTTGTGAAGTCTGTTAAAAATCAAAGCCAAATCCTGTCCGCGCGAGTATGTACTTATAGAGCTATATTTGTATACTAATGAACCAAGACAAAGTCTTATAACAGTTTTATTTTCAAGCTAATCAACACCATAGCACATTGTAATAAAGTAACAAATCTTCAAATTATCATCATACGCTTACGATCATTTCGTAAGTTTTACAATCTTTATTGTAAGTCAACCTTATATAAAAAAAATAAAGCGCTTTTCCCCGTTATGACCTTGTGAGCTAAATCTTTGTTTTGTTTCTGTTTGTTTCTTAGAATTTGTGCCCGTATTGGCCGACCTAGGTTAACGTTCTTAGCTGATTTAAAATTGTTCAAAATTTCATTTTTATATTATTTCGTAGGTTAAATCTTAATAAAAATAAGACACACCTTCTGAAAATTTTCTACTTTGTGCATTATTTTTGCAACTTTTAAATACATATTGCGGCATTGTGAACGTGTTTACGCTTGTAGTGTTTCAATAGAACTAATCGAAATATACGCTCACTTAACAAGTGAGCTTATATTTACCGAGACGGATTTCTTACGCCTACCCAATATCTAGTAGTATAATTGTTGATCGAAGGTTACGGAATATCGTTTAACCAACAAAAATTGAATGACTATCTAATTAATGATAGAAAGTTGTCAATATAAATGTCAAAAAAACCCGGAAACAGATACTAAAAAGTAAGCTTTTCTAATTAAATAAAATGGGTTACATACTCTATGTAATCAAATTAAGACACTATCTTCATATTTATATTTCTTTGTTATTCAATGTTTATTCATGGTAAAGAATGTGTAAATAAATAAATTTGTTCCATGGTTAAATATTATTTTATTCCATTTATTACTAGAAAATAAAACAAGATATCTTTGGTAAGGTGATATATTGTTGCAAAATATATTATAAAAAATAATAATTCTCGTACCTCACATTTGCTTACAACTTGTGCATCATTTATTGTAAATGATAGCTAATTTATAAATACAACATAATTTTCCAATATAAGAATATTACAGGGGTACTAACATCAAAAATATATAGAGTAGGTACATATAATTATATAACTTTGTTTCAGGTCTGAATCTCTGGTAATACTCTGAAGTTTTATTGGGTTGCAAATAATACTGGCAAAAACATGTCTCTCCATAAAAGTGATATAAAAGTAATTCCAAGGTACCAAGTTCTTTATATATATATACATATATATTATATAGTTATTTCTCAAGTAAGTTTTATGATTCCATAAAATAATAATAATTTTAAATGCCAAAAAATAATCTAATTTTACGTTTACGAAGTTATATTTAACAAAAGCTTTTTTATTCATTACCCGGATTTAAGTGTAAATAATGTTTTTTTTTAGTTCGTAAATTGCGTTGTTGTTTAATCACTTGGGCATACTCCAATGTGTGTGTTCCTGTGTGCGGCCGTAAGCGGGATTTGCACGTTGGTTTCTTTAATTATAATGTTTCGTATACAACCAGTGAATCCTCTATTAGAACGCACTCCCTTCACTTTTGTTATTGGCTTTTCATGTCCTCCGATGTAAATTGCTGATCGGGTATCCGTGGAACCCGACACTCCTAGTCCAGCATCGGAGAAATGTCCGTCTACACCTACAGACACTACGTGTCGGGATTTCACCGCTAAAACATAGTTATAATTTAATAAACAATTGTATACAAGAATTATACATGAGGAAGATTATAATGTTATATAGTACATCATACAACATAATTAAAAATCTGTACCGTGTATTCTATGCCAGTTTCCATCGCATAAAGAAAATTTGTTGCCCAATTTATAACTAGCGTGAAATGGACCTTTGCCATTTTCTACATTAGCAACAACTTCGTTCTCCAAAAGTTCTAAAATCATGAAGTCTGTTCTGCCGTGGACGCTTAGTAATAATCCAGTAGAGTTGCGTGGTTTGATTTCCATAGATATAGAGATTTCATAACCGACTTTAAAGTTTTGGAGCAGCTGGAATAAATATTTATAGTGATTAAAATTTAAAGAGTTATTTTTAGGATAGTACTATTTTTTACTAGAATTACTAGTTTCTGGATACTTACTTTCAAATAATTACTGCGGGCATTGCTCGAGGGGCCAAAATAAACACCGTCCTCCACACGGTCCGTGCAGCGAAGTGAATTGACTCTATGAAGAATGTCAGTGACATATTGTCCGTTCATCATTAATCCCTTAAGACAACCTTTGAAAGGCTGGTAAAAGTCCTGTAAAAAATGAGAAATTTGTCAGAATATATTTCGTAATAACTAAATTACACTACTTGGACTAATGATATATTTTTAACTAGAGAAACTAAACAAATCTATCCCTCGGGAACCGTATATTTCTCCGGGATAAAAAGTAACCTATGTACTATTCCAGGCTATAATCTATCTCTCTGCCAAATTTCATCCAAATCCGTTCAGCCGTTCTAGCGTGAAAGAGTAACAAACATACATCCATACATACATTCTAACAAACTTTCGCGTTTATAATACGAGTATTAGTAGGATTTTGCTGATGAGGAAGGCGGTGCAATTAAACAAAAGGTGGTTTTGATGAAAGGTGTTTTACACGTAAACTATCAGTAACAATTAACAATTGTAACTTAAATTGAAAAATAACTACGTAATAGAAAAATAAATACACTTTAATATTTAAAGTGTGATTAATATATAATAAATAATACTGAATAATTTACCTCTAGATTTTGACTGACACTATTGTTGATAGATCTCAAGCCACCATAATAGTATGGTGGGGTGAGTACAGAAGGAGCATAGCAAGTTACACTAGTTTCTCCTATCCTCTCACCGTCGACTGTCAGTTTTCCATGGCCCCCGTTTCGTACAAGTGTAACCGAATGCCATTCGGTATCGTTATAGGTCTGATTAGACACTACGAAACCATTTTCACCACCACAGTTGAATGCGAAATGCAACTGAAAATGTCAATATTATTGTAATGTCTTGGAATCTATTTAAAAATGGTTAAAAATCGAAAAGAATAGAATGATTCCTTACTATTGCATTTTTCATATAAAGTGCGAGGAATTGACTGGGAGCGCGTTTAGCTGCTGCGTAAAATATCAATCCACCGTTTTGATCGAATGTACGGAAGGTGATCGTGAGATCGAAGCCTTCCAGTTGTCTGCTCGGCAATTTACCATATTCTATTCGACTGTCGTTTCTCGTACCTAAATATAAAAATATGCTTAATAATACAAAGTTTCTATGTTTGAAGTAGATTGGTATGGATTTTAGTAAAATACTTGCCAAATCTGTATCCTTCTTCAGGGTCACCGATACTATATTGTTCGTCATAGGCTAGAGCGCATCCAGGCTCTGGCTGTGGTGGCGGCAGTTTTGTAGTTGTTATGGCAGCTTTGGTTGTTACCGTCTCTTTTTCGATAAATGGTGCCTTTGTAGTTGTTGGTTGGATTGTCGTAGTCACTGGTGTTGTTGTTGTTAACACGTCTGGTGCGTAGACTAATGGGTTTTCTGTGGTATTTTTAAAATATTACTTAAGTCTCGTTCATACATCCAAATTTTTATTTGATTATGGGAAATATATATTTATGATACATGTTTTAATTTATTATTTAGTGTTGACGATTGTTGTAATTGAAATATTCAATGAAATCACGTTTTACCTATTTTGGCGGTGACTTCTTCTACTGGTTCCAGAATATTTGGCATTGGCAATACATCTCCGCGTGTTGGGGCTGGCCATGCTCCGAGATCTAAAATATATTTACACAATAAATTAAGTCAATAAGATTCAGCATGTTTTTGTTTTATCAAACATCGCCATGTTGAGTTTATTGGAAAGGATTATTTGCTCTCGATCCTCATTTCAAAATATCAAGACCAATAATGAGTACGGATTTTCAAATAAAAGTCCTATTAGTTCTACGTTAAGAGTACATCCAAATAGGTAGTACTAATATATAATAATAAACCAAAATTAAACATTTTAATATACCTTGGATAACTCCGCCTGTTGAGATTGTTTTACCACATCGTCCGAAGGTAACGCTGTGATTGCTGAAAGGTTCTAATAGATTTAAAACTCTTCCATTAATAGTTGTATCTGCAATGCACCCTTTGAAAGGTGTTTTAGATCCAACTTTACCACCAACTACGTATCCAGGCTGGACTCCACCCACAAAAAGAACGCCACTCAGTATATGGAGAGGCTCAGGTGGTGAGTCCGTGCTATCAAATGAGGAAAAAAATAAAATTATAATATATTTCATCAGTTATTATACCTTAAATTTCTTAAATTATAGATTAATTTGACTTGACCGTTATTCGAAGCTTGTCTATCCGTCTACTGTCTCGCTCTCTACCGCACCACCTGGCAGCAGAGTGGGGATCAGTGTGAGCGATTCCCACTCCTAAAATTATTTCTTCACTGGCGTCTTGTTTTTTCGCCCAGTGCAGTTGTGCTAGTTTGGGCTCGCACCGACTATACAAGTAACTCATAGCATTAATAGGAAGACGTTTCTATGTAAGTTTTTGAGGTAATCGCCAACAAAAAATTTAAAAGGTAACGATTCACACTATGTAAGTACATTTACCTTATTTATTATCATCATTTTTGTAGACATTTTGTTTAGCACAAAATAAAACGAGTAACAAATACTTAATAGTATTTGAGAATTAGAAATTTAATGCATGTAAAATAGGCAGTGGTAGCCCAGTGGTAACACGCTCGCTTGGGAAACCGAGTGAAGCGAGCTCAAATCCCGGGTGTCGCACCTCTGATATTTTCACGTGCGAATCATTTCTAACACGATTACCACTTGCCTTACGGTGAAGAAAAACATCGTGCGGAAACCTGCATGTTTGAGAGAACCTAGCAAGTTTTCGAAAGACATGTGAAATCCGCCAACCCGCACTTGGCCAGCGTGGTGGACTATGGCCTGATTCCCCTTGTACTGAAGGGAGGCCCGTGCCCAGCACTGGGACGTTAAAAAAAAGGGCTGAATACTATGTTAAATAACTGTAAAATATTTAAAAATGTTTTACATTAACTGCAATTTTTAAGTTAATACCATCATCATCTCCCTGACTATTTCATGCCATGATAATTTAAATTAATATAAATTAATACCGTGGTAAAGTATATTGCCACTACGCAATTCAATTTAGTTTGTTTTACTATTGAAATCCTCGCAGGATTGACAATTTACTTGTTCCACAAAACAATCTCCACAAGATTGTTGATTCTTATTCGAATGTGAGTCACATATTAATTTTCTTCAAGAGAAATGGCAGTGAGCTTAATATGAATATAAAACCTTGCGGGATTGACATTATACTTGTTCCACAAAACAATCTCTATAGATTGTTGATTCTTGTTCGAATGTGAGTCACATATTAATTTTCTTCAGGAGAAAATAGCAGTGAGCTTAATGTGCAGTTTTTGATCTCAATTGGAGTTTGATATGTATAGCATTCGAGCCATGCGTTGAATGGTCACTTACATGATATAGTTTGGTTAAATCCGCTGAATTAGGACAATCGTTATATTACTGAACCTATAATTGTATGGGAAGGCATCGTTTCAATAAGATTGGTTCACTTTTATGAAGATACAAGTCGGATTCAAAAGATATAAGTTTTAGGTATATATGTAATATATAAACTCCAAACCTGTGAATGAATTGGCTTTTGAGCATTATAAGAAATATTATACATATCATTATTATTATTTTTTGAACATATGGATATCGCATATCCATTTATCAAATTTCTAACCCGCACTGGGCAAGGGTAGGGGCCATTGGCCTGATCCCCCTCTTATTGAAGGGAGGCCTGTGCCAAGCAGTGAGTCGTTAAACTTGCTGAACACATTAAAAAGTATAATATTTTATTCCAGTGGTCGAACGGCCAAATCCAATTGGTTTTGGCCAAGCCAAATTATTAGAAGAAACAACAGTGTACCTTTACGAAATACATACGTTATGGGCCGTTCTGAATTATGTTGATTAAAGGTAACTTATTGTATTTCATATTAAACTCATGTTCCCACTCGGGGCATCAGGGGCAATTGCTATTTTAGGCGTTCCTGCTGTGCTTGTAACGACAGGCCGGCTGTGTTACAAATTAAGCCTTAAAGAGCTTAAGCAATCGTTCAAACATTACATGTTGGTAAGCTACGGCGTTGAAAATTTTTAATAATAATAAGGTTAATGAAAGTTCTAGGAACGATAAGACTCAACGTTAAGCATGGAATATAACTTAGAATATAGCATTGGCAAATACATATATTAAGACAATGACATTTTAAGCATTTTTAGCTTAAGTGACACGTTTTTGATGCCACTAACAAGGTATTTTAATGTCCATTGCTTGGTTATCGATTTTACCAAATGTCAGACTGTATCATGCGAAGTCGACCTTTCCCTACCATAGTTATCATCGCTTCTCTTGAGGTATCTCTATAAATATATGCACTTCCAAAGCCATTATCAAGTCTTAAGCGTTGTAACATTTGATTTATTTATTTTTTATATACGTAAGGAGTTGGCTTTATACAAACATCTAAAGGGACAAAAGTGCAAGATGAGGGTTTAAAGTTTGAACTCGCATCACTAAGTTACCCAAAGCAATGGGCTTCAGAGTTATTAAAGAAATGGTATAAAATGGGGCACACTATTTATAAATAATGAAGAGGAATAGAAAGTCAACTAATGTGTGTGTTTTCAGAAGAATTTATTAATTTATTATTAACTAAAATTAAAATTTTAAAACACATTAATTGTTAATGTTACTTATGGAAATTAACATGTACCTCGATCTATATATTCAAAAGTTATTGTTCGACAATCGGGTCGCGCATAGTAATGTTGATACGCGCATAGTGAACACATTTTTAAATCATTACATCTCGGGGGCAGAGGGTTTCTGAAACATTGGCGACCGAGGCGGTAATCGGCCAGGGAGATGTCTCCCATATTGTATTAATAGCTTGAGTTATGTGTTATCTACAGTATAATTTATTTTTTATTTGTAAAAGGACTTTGGAAAAGCTCTGCATTAAGTGTTTATTTTGGTCTTAGTAAAAATCTCATCTCAGTGTTTCAGTTACATACAGCAGAGTTTATTTCATCACATTGGCGTCCGGCTCCTGCGCTTGCACCACCAGGCGATAACAAACAAGTCTCAATACGTAAGCTTCGAATAACGGTCAAATTAATAGCAGCGTTTTACCTACCAATAAAAGGCATATTAATTTACTTACCTTATTCGAAGCTTAACTTTGAATAACTGCCTGGTGTATTTCGACTCAATGAAGTAATAATTTTAGGAGTGGCAATCGCTCACACCGATCCCCACTCTGCTGCCAGGTGGTGCGGTAGAGAGTGAGACAGTAGACAGATAGACAACGATAGATATATTAACGGCGGAAACGGTAATGCCTATCTCAATACGTAAGCTTCGAATAAGGTAAGTAAATTAATATGCGTTTTATTGGTAGGTAAAACGCTGCTAATAAATTCAAAATACCAACCTAAAGTAGTCGAAGTCATCCACAACAAGTCTTAATGCTTTGCTATTATGAGTTACAGAAACTACGTGCCACTGAGAATCATTGTATGTGCTGAGTCCTGTATCTAAAGTTTCTCGTTGACTCATGAGCACTAGTTTTCCTACAATAAATTAAAATAATAAAATTTACGCAATAGCATCTTATTTAATAAAATATATATATATTTTTTGAATTTAGTATTATCTAAATTGTTATCTTTTGTTTTTGTCTTTTACGTAAGTATCATACCTTTAATAATAGATAGTGAGATGCTGTCTGGTGTTGCCGTTGTTTGAGTTCGACTTACATAAACAAATAGTAAACCATCGGGACTTGAAGTCTTAAATTTAAGCGTTAACTGAACATTTTCTGTTGTTATATCCATAAATCGAAGATAACTATTGTCTCCAGCCAATGAGACTAGAGATGCAAACTGGAAACAAGAAAATTATTAGCGCATGGATATAGTTTAAATTATTGTACTTAAAAGAAGAACTTTCTTACCTGACACCCGTAAGCAATTCCTACGGATTCAATATTTTCACTTAAGTCTATGTTAATTCCATCTATACTAATTTGTCGTATGCATCCATCGAAACCTTTGTTTGTAACTTGTATAATGTTCTTATTGTTTCCTCCAAAGTTCATTGTATCTAACGCAGTAATTTCATTCTCATCTGAGTTCGACGATCCCTTCAATAGTTCATTGTCAACCCTAAGGGAACAAGAATTCAAATATCTTCCTGCATCCAGCCTATGCCATTTACCATCATTAAATATCTTTTGAGTTCCGAGGATGACTAACTCATCTGTATTTCCAAGTGACATCTGCAAAATGAACGTAAATCTAAGATTTTTTTTAACCACATGATTTAACAAGTAATTTTAATGGTTAAATTTTTACCTGTAAAAACACTCGTCCATCTTGCATTTGCAAAGAAAAGAAATGTTTGTCTTCTCCTAGTAAGTATATAAGACCATCTGGAGCGTATGTTCTAAAGAACAATAACACTTGATTTTTCTGAGAGCCAAGATATCCTCGTCCGGGCATTGTAACGTGCGAACGTCCATTGAAACGATATTCTTGTGGACCAGATTGAGATGATATTAATTTGTCCCTTAAACACAAAAATTGTTTTAGTAAATGGACAATAGTTAAAGAAAAATAGAAAGTATAAACATAAAGTTTATCCACCTTTGCCGCGCCCCTTCCAAATTAGCAGCATTAACGAAATTCCATAAGCCGACTGGTGTGTCTCCTATCATTAATTCTTCAATTTGGCCTTCAAAGGCTGGGAAACTAACACCTTGCAGTTTTGCATCAGATGGTACTCCACCGACATATAGTTTTGATTTATCACGGTCTAAGTTAAATATCGTATGTTGGCCAGGCAACACTGCTTCTTTGTCGTGTATCTTATCCGTACCATTGTCAAGACTCTCGCGAATTGATAACTTAACGTTACGCCCAACTCTGTCAGGAAATATTTTACATATAATGGTAAAACATTAAAAAATGATATTTTATGAAATACGAGAGAATGAGATGAATGAAATTTTTTTATATAATATTTTTACAAAGTATAAAAGTTACTTTACATTTTATTTAACACTAGCAACTCACCCTCGCTTCGCTCGGGTTCGCCCCTAGTTCTACCCTCTACAAACTTTCACCCCCTTAAGGGATAATTTCCGAGTTAAAAACTTGATGATTAATGACCTTCCCAGGGACCAAACTATCTCCTTACCAAATTTCATCTAAATCGGTTCAGTAGTTTCGGAGCATATTCGATACAAACAAACAAAAAGCAAATTTTTCCTCTTTATAATATTGAAATACATATATTACATTACATGTTATTCAGTATTCTTTTTATTATTTCTCACTTTCTGTGTAATGACGACACGTTTGGCTCGTTTATAGTGGCCCGCCCTACTTTCAGTGCCAGCTGTCGCGGGTTCGAATCCGGCTATGCTGTGGGTATTTATTTGTGTGATGAGCACGAATGTTTCTTCTTCAGTATTAACAGGTATTTATATTTATAATATGTGTGTATTTAAAGTTATATATGTGTATTTTATCAACTATCTGGTATCCATAACGCAAGCCTCGTAGCTTACCATAGAACTAGATTGTGATGTGCGTTATTGTCCCAAAATATTTATTATTTATTTAATGTATTCTATCTCACTCTCTCGCCGGCTTAATTCTATATAATGTACTAGCGACTCACCCTCGCTCCGCTGGGGTTCTTCCCTACTTACGTTTTAAGTGGTTTCTCCGTGATGCGGTAACAGACAGACAGGCAGACAGATAGACAGACAAGACAGACAAAAATTCTAAAAACTATAGATTCGGCCTCTGTATCGATAATAATGTCTATTTCAATTAGATTTTCCAAAAAAAATTTCATGTACGTATTCGATTCAGTTAGAATGTTATTATATGTATAGATTATGTGTTTGTCTCTTTGCTATAGCACATTTTCGTTTCGTCGAGTTTCAAATCATAAAATTCACCTCAAAAAATAGATATACATATGTAAAATATTTTAAATGAAAAAATGTTTATGTTTAAAAATTATTTACTTAACAAAAAACTTACCTATCGACAATAACTTGGTACCATCTGTTATCAGCAACATATTTGTCGCCTCCAATCTTGGCTGGTTCTCGACCAGACTCGGCACTGTCGCCAATATCCATAACTAAATAGGGATAGCCCTTTTGTATGCCTATGACCATGAAATCATCCTGTAAGCAAAATAGTTGTGATATTAACTTCTGTTTCTCTAATATGATATGTTTAAATACCCTATATAAGGCAATAACATATTATTTATTAGACTTACCGATTTAGTTCTTCTAAGCATAGTGTCTTTTGGATTACCAAGGTATAAAATAAAGCCATCCTTTTCTTTTGTACGGAAGTAAGCAGATACGTGAGTGGAAGTTGACATTTCATCTACTGTATCAGGCAGACGAGGTTGTAGAGTTGACCGGCGGTCAAAAGTTACTCCTACTGGTAGACGGTTAGCTACTGTACGGGCCTGTCAATATTTTTATTCATTAGAAAGATACCTTTATTCAAATATTACATAAATAGATTATCTAAAATATACCTGTTCAATCAGCTCTTTTAGTTTCTGTAGTTTTTCATCAGCTTCCTTTCTACGACCTTCAAGATCTTCCTGTCTCATTTTTACAGTCCCATAAGTAGACGAAATGTTTGGAATCATTTCATTGATATTAATAACTAAAAATGTAATGCAATAAAATAAATTTCAGAAAATAAATTAATGAATGCTGTCAATTTAAAAAATAAAGTGAATGACAATAATTATAATTACCTAAATTGTCAACATTGGATGTCATTTTCTGGGCTTCATCTGCCGATTTGGGTAAAGTCTGAGCCCACTCCTTGCTAGAAGCTAATTCTTTCCCTAGGTCTGACATGATGCCAATAGTATTTTTTACTGTTTCTGAAACTTTATCTGCTTTCTCACTTTCTTTTTCGAGGGATGGTTGTGGAGCCGTTGGAAGAGATCTAAAAATAAATTTATATTAGATATAAGCACTTTTGAAATATCTAATACTTAATAAAACTATAGTTACTAATTTTTGTATGGATCACTTACAATTGAATTGCATTGTTTTCATCGTCAGCATAGCCTAGTGTAGATGTAACGTTACCTAAAGCGGCATGAGCTAGAGTTAAGTTTGGCCTGAGAGTTTCTTCAACATTGTTCAATGCTTTTAAAGCACGTTCTGATAAAGTGACGGAACGATTTCGTGTTGGTGTAGCCCGTTCATTTATCTCATTATTCTGAGGAATGGTTGTAAAATATTATATGAAATACAAAAAATATGATAGTATTTTTTCTAAATAACAAATTTATATTTATAAAACTTAAGCCTTACAGTATCGTTAACGTTTTTAACTACAGCTTCGGCTTCATCACTTGCGTTTTTGGCTTCTCCTATTTCTTGTACTATAGATGAATAAGCAGATGCTGCTGAATATGCATCTTGAGTTCGAGTGTTGTTATTTTCGCGCTCAGCTAAGGCTCTCAAACTGTCAGCCTGTAAGACAATATGAAATTTTAATTGATGTATGCATAAAATTAACTGCATATTAATGGATAAAAGAATTTTATGAAGAACAAAATGGCCGGATGGCCTCTATTACTAAACCTGTGAAGTTTGAGAGTAGCATATTGTTACCCGTTATAGGTAGCTGGATATTTAAAAAAAACATGTCATAGATTTAAGATTAATGCTTACATCGAAACATGTTTTTTTTTGTATTTGTCTACCGTAAATGGTCAATTATGGGTTAGTAACGATTATTTGATTATGCGAATGTTTTAATAGTAAAGTTGAAATGGCTTACCCTGTCCCTCAAATTATGCGCATGAACATGTGCTTCACTTGTCAAATTGATTAAATTGGGTAGCAAGTCGGTTATGTTTTGTAAACTGTTCTCTGTTTCTGTATTAATAGAATTTATGTCATTTAGAACTTTAACTGCATTCTTTGTAACATCTCCAACTTTTGCTGTAAAGTATGTCGCATTGTTGATGTCGATGGCTGCGTCGATAAGATCTTTCATAGCTGCGCCATTTAATTTGGTCACTGACAGTACTTTATTTCCAAATTTGGATTTTCTGTTCATAAAAATATTTATTAATTTCATATAAGCAATAAAAATAAAATCGTCGGAAAAAATTACACTGTTTTTATTACCTGTTGTTTGCATTAAGCTTTTCCGCGTCTTTAGTAGTTTGTTGTGCAAGGTCTGTATATTCAAGCAAATCATCGAGCTTTGCTTTTAATTGACGCGTCGTATTAATGACAGATTCAAATTTCTAAAAAAATGGAATATCAGAATATAAAACAATAATATATAAATATAATGTAGACTAATATTTGACCCAATTTTTTTACATTCAGAGGTTGAAAAAAAGTAACTTATTTATCTGCTTACAATATATTTGTTTCTAAGACGTAATAGAAGTAGGTATATCTAAAATAAGGAATCTAACAATAATGATTAACGCTAATTACCTTTATTTGTTCGTTCACTGGTTGAACAAACAGGTTCATTCTTTCTATTTGTTTTGTTGCGTTTGTGTATGCATTAAACGCTTGTGTCTCCTTGGGTTTCAAATCTTTCTCTGTATAAATAATTACATATTTAATTAAGTTGCATTCATAGATCATTTCATAAGGTTCTAGTTCAAATCTTACCTGCAATATCACTTTTAATTTGTCTTGCTTCCGTTAAAGCACTCTCTACTTTAGGTTGCTGACTCAATTCAAGACCAGTAGCTAATTCAGCAACATATCTCACCACATCTTTTGCATTTTGGCTATTTTCTCTTACCGAAGCGAGCACTTCGTTGGCAGCGTTAGCTAATTCTGAGGCTCTTAATATTTGTTTATCACTATCAGTAGCTGCAAATTCAGCCTGCAAAAAATAATAATGTATGTGTAAAATTATTGATAGGTGTAGCTGACGAACTAAGTAAAACATAATAATTTTTAACGGCTGTAGTCCAGTATGACGTTACCTATTTCCTACCCATAAGTGGTAAGTGATATTAATGTATTTTAAGTGCTCTATATGTATATGATTGCAGGCAGATTTGACAATGTGATATAGAATTAATTAAATAGAACGACATACTGATCGTAAAAGGTTTTTGGCACTGGTCTCTAGTCCTTTAACGGAAGATGTGACTTCTCCAAGATCAACATTTTTTAGTTCCGCTACTCTTGGTTTTAACAGTTCTGTTTGATTGGCTATGTAGTTAAGGCGCTGAGTAGTGAAGAACGAATCAGCTTTATCCTGTATCAAAAATATAGATTATATGTTTTTACATGTCAGAGATTTTTATTAAACATAATACATATATAAACAGAGAAAATCCAATCTTTTACCTTAAAGTCAAGAGTTTCATTACTTAAAAGTTCGCTTAGATCTTGCACTGTAAATATAAGGGCATCGGTACACGAATTACATTCTAGACATCCCTCTTGTGGAAGTAGGACCCATCTAAAAATAAATTTCGTTTGAAAGATATTTGGAACTTTTATTTTAATATATTTTTATCAGAGAAATATTTATTTATTTAATTATGTATATTTTTATGAACAGAATTTACCTTTCCGGACAGCGGTCACATTTTTCTCCTATTACACCTGGTAAACATTGACATTGTCCGGTCGCATTGCACATAAATCCCACTGAATAACCCTTGTTACAATTACAATCTGAAAGTAAAATAAAAATTAAACTCTTTATGAAAAATGATGATTTCAAAAACAAAATCAAATTGGTATCATAACATTTAAAAATATAAAATTAGTATTTTGAATTAATGTACTAACTATCACATCCTTCCTTCGTGTAATTCCAAAATCCAGCTGCACATTGATCACAATGCTTTCCAGTTACTCCTATGGCACATCTATAAACGATGAAAGGACATTTTCATTAAGCAAAAACGTCATTTTAATCATATTATTGTATTAATGCAAATTAAGACTTAAGTATAATAATTAATCTTAAATAATAAATAATAAGCATCGTAGGCATCATTGGATTTCTGAGCATTGCAATTTCTGAATATTTTATTATCGCACGCTATTCAGCAAGAACATACTATATAATAAAGCAGTTCTTTAATTGGTTTAATTAAATTCTTTTACCGGCATTGTCCTGTGTTATCATCACATTGTGCGGATTCAGAAGCAATACCGCAGTCACAAGGCGTACATCCTTGTCCGCTATTAAGGCCATAGTGGTTTGGCGCACAGCGGTCACAATTATCGCCTATCACTCCAGGCCGACAGATGCAAGTACCAGTTGTTGGATCACAACGCTCCATGCCAAATTCGTCGCAAACACATGCTATCCAAAATATACAAATAATATATACAATCTATAAAACATTAAGATCAACACTAGTGGTATTTTGCATATTTCATAGTCAAAGAGTGCGGTATTTATGAGTTTTTAGGCATATCTTTCTTAAATATCTTAATTAATTATTTTACACATACCTGTGCAGTTCTTGGAAAAGATGGCATCACCAAAGAATCCAGGTGCACATAAATTACAGGCAGCCCCTGCTGTATTGTTCACACACTTAAGACAGTCACCAGTTATGCTGTCACAAGAACTGGGGTCATCCGTATTGATATTACCAGAACAATTACAAGGTTTGCAATAGTCACCTAGAAATATTTATATACTAGTTTAATACAATGTTTGTAAGTTTTATTCTTTCAATGGGTATAATTTATTTATTTGATAAATGTATGTGTATGTAAATGGTCGGAATGGCTTAAAACATTTTAATTGTTTTTACTTTGATCTACGACAATTTTAAGTACTTACTCATAAATATATGTAAATTAATTGAGAAGTAAAGCTATTTTTCTGATATATTACTTATTAAAAAAATGTTATTAAGACACAATACTATTTCGTAGGTAGGTATTAAAATACATAATCACTATTTAATTCATTAATTCATACCAATTTGTTCTGGTATTCCGAAATATCCTGCAGCGCAATATTCACAACGAGCCCCACCGTAGCCTGGCTTACATATACATGATATAAGCGTACCATTTTCGCTCAAATCACAGCCGATTGCGAAACTATTAAAGAAAACAATATACATTGTAGCTTATCCAAATAAATGATTATCTATACTAATATTATCAAGAGGTAAAGTTTGTGAGTTTGTGGGTTTGGGAGTTTGTGACGTTGTAGGGGGTAATATCTGGATCTACTTAACTGATTTAGATGAAATTTGGTAAGGAAATAGTTTGAGACCCTGGGAAGGACATAGGATAGTTTTTATCCCGGAAATCATCACTTAGGGGGGGTGAAAATTGGGATGAAAGTTTGTATGGGGAATCAACCTAAGGACGAACCCGAGCGAAGCGAGGGTGAGTCGCTAGTATGTTATAAATGTTTTTGGAGATTTTAAAGATGATGGCAATTAATAAAAACAATAGCAACCAAAATGACTTACTTATTAGAAGCATAGGGTATTGGACAAGCGCAAATTAAACAATCTCTTGGTGTACCAACTGTCGCATCTCCGTGATAACCTTGGATACATTGTTCACAATGATCACCCATTGTATTATCGGTACATTCCTATATTAACATTAAAAAATATAAGTAATGGTTATCTCTTCATAATAAATTATTGAAAAATCAAGATAATAATACTCACTAAACAGATTCCAGTATTAACATCGCATTCTTTTGAGTGTCCATTACATTGACAAGGTACACAAAATCCTGCATGAGGTCCTGAACTAAGCCTATAGTAACCTTCAGCACATTGCTCACAGGAGAGACCTCTGTAAGCCTTGGGGCACTGACATTCTTCTACAGATGAAGCTCTTCTGTCATCTGCATAATCATCAACGCCAACATCCAATGTTACAGCAATCAATCTAAAATATAAACATAAAAAATTGTTTCACCTACATTAAATATTATATACATGAACATATTAGCAACTAATTCGTTCAGGATTACTTATATACAACTAGTGACTCATCGTCCCTAGTTACGTTTTAACGTGTAGTATAGATTTCACAGAGATGAGATATTTTCCCGCAGTAAAAAGTATCCTATAAGTTGACCCGGATACCCAGTTATCAACATAACAAATTTCATCAAAATTTGTTTAGTGGGTTTCTCCTGATGCGTTCCCAGATAGAAAATCTAACAGACAATAATTCTAAAAACTAAAGATTCGGCCTCCGTATTGACAATGATGACTATTTCAATAAGAATTTTCAAAAAATATTTAATGTACAGATTCGACTCAGAATTTTATTAATTGTAGGTACATACATAATTTAAATAACAATAGCATTCCCAAGGAGGGCTGACGTCAAGCAGGCGGCCGGTCGTAAAACTTTTGCCAAATCCTATCCGCAGTACAGAAGATGTACTGCGCCGACCCCAAGTGATTGGGAAATGGCAGGGAGAAGAAGATGACATAATTTAAAATTATAAAATACGTACCTTGTTGTAACGGCTTCATCCCAATATGTTGCTCTTATGTAAATACTAGTGACGTCGACTAAAATATTCATAAACTGGTCTCTCGTTACAGCTGATCCGTCAAGATTTGTGAATTCTTCTTCTGTAAATCTTACACTATGCATCCAGTTAACAAGCGATGGGGGTTGTTCAATACTATTATGGACTATAAAACCATTAGATCCTCCTATGATCACGTCAGCCGCATCAATAGCGTGGCCATTCTCTTGTGTGGTGTAGAAGACAGAATATGTTAGGTACCCACCATATGATGTTAGACGTTTACCTGAAAAAGATTATTATTTCCATGGTTTATATAGCATGCTTGTATGTTTAAATTAAAAAAGATCTGAGTTCACATATGATTAAATATAGGTGTTGTATGTAACAAAGTCTTACCAAGATAATAATCTGGTGCACCAAAATATACGACTTTTTGAGTTCCATCATTACTAGCGACATCTGCTCCAATCACAGAATCATTTAGTACGGTTGGTGGAACGGATAACGGGAAAATATTTAAAGTACGGTTCGCTTCAATATTTACTAAATACCAATCACTCATGCCATTAATCTAAAAAAAGAACATTGCCATTACACAAGTGAGATATAATAAGATAATATTTTTATATATATGGGTTATATATATTGGTTATATTTTAATTTTCTATAATTACCATAGCCCACGATAAATACGAGCTGACACATCTAGTAGTTTTGCCAAAACAGAAACATTTGGTACAACCATCAGGATTGTCAGGTTGGAGGTTGAAGTATTCTTCTTTACATACATCACAAGCCTAATGAAAATAATAAATATTAGTGCTGTAATTTGATTTAATTACAATAATTACGGCGTATTTTAATATTTTTCTTATTTATTAAACTTACTTGGCCCTTAACATGCTTTTTACAATAACATTGGGCAGTATTTTGATCACAAACATCGTCAGTAGTACCATGTAAGTCACAAGTACACTGAAGACAGTCAGGGAAGGCATAATGCCCAGGTACGCAATAGTCGCAAACACGACCGATGACATTTTCTTTACATCTGAAAAAATTGTATTATATTCAAATATATCCCAAAAGTAGTTCAATTGTTTTATTAGTAAAAATTTTAAGCACAATTGTATGAGAATTTTACGTAAAAATGTATACGTATGTAGGTATATTAAGAGGATTGTGAACCTGTAAATTTTCATACAAAAAGCGATAACGTTTTTCCCCCCTTAAACATAGTCTAATTTTCATAATTTTTGGAAATGTTGTAGATATAATCAAAATCTAGGTCCGTACGTTTTTATTTTTTTGAAATATTGCGTACGACAGAAGTTATTAGCATCTAAATATCAATATTTTTGACCTAAAAACTTCCTCCAGCGTTTTTATTTTTTTAAATTAAACTAAACTGAATTACAAAAAAAGGAAAACGTACAGACCTAGATTAAGGTGTACTGAATCTAATGAGACCAAATCGTCTCATTTCGTTAATGTTTAGGGGGGTGAAAACGTTATCGCCCGAAACAATATTTCAAAAGGAAATGTAGGTAATTGAGTCTAAGACTTGCAACTCTCTCTATCGCACCATACGGGTCGGGGGCGGGGGCATATTGTAGACTGTAGTGATGTTGAAGGTGCTATCGATATTATTATCTCCTAGGGAGGAGAAGGTAATATCGATATATCGATCGATACTGAAAGGATTCAATCCAAAGTTAAGAATTTTATTATACTCGTATGTATAGATTGTAACTAAGCCGTATCTGTACATTAAATATTTTTTGGAAAATATTATTGAAATAAACATTATTATCGATACATAGGCCGAATCTATAGTTTTTTGAATTTTTGTCTGTCTGTCTGTTACCATGTCACAGAAAAACCACTGGAGGAATTTTGATGAAATTTGGTATGGTGGTAGCTGGTTATCCGGATCAACATATTATAGGATTACCGCGGGAAAATATCTCATTTCTGAGAAAAAATACAAAACTGAAAATATATATATATATAATTTATATAAATATATATATATATATATATATATATATATATAATATATATACAGGGTCATTTTTAATTTACTGAAGACCTTTTGGGAATATACTATTTACATCATAACAATAACCTCTGTAACAAGAAAAAAAAATATTTCTTAAATTTTCATTTTCATACAAAAATAAAAATATTTTCTATATCATCATCATCATTATATCTGGCCAAGTTTGAATGAGTAAGGACCACTTCCTACACCCCTCCACCCCTTGCCCTCCACCCCTCGCCCTCCACCCCTCGCCCACCACCGGTCACGCGCTTTCTTTTGCTAATTGCTGGACTATTACCGTTTAGAAGGAGCAATAAAAATACTTTTATTTTTGTAAAATTTTCTATTTTTAATTCTATATTCGTTATAATTTATAATATTTGTTATAATTTTATGAAAATTATTACGAATAGTATGTGTATAATTATATATATATACACATACTATACGTTATAATTTTTCCGAAATTATCGATATTTATTAGTTTTGGAGTTAATTTTAAAAAAAAAATGATTTTAGGGCAATTACAGAAAGAAATGAAAATCATTCGTAATCTAATCTTGTTTATTCATTAGTTAAAAATATATTTTAAAAAATTAAGTTTATATATTTTATAAAATTTAGTCATAGATATGTTAAAAAATCGTAAATCATCATCATTCATGATCAGGTCATTTTATGAATTTCTATTCCTTATATACCTGCTAACATTATAAAAAATCATAAAACTTCAGGTTTTCAATAAAATAATTATTTTTAACAATAAAAGGATTCCGATGGGTCTATTAGTACCTACATATACAACAAAAAATTCTATAACTTTCAACTTTTGGAACGAGATTTTTGTAATTGATCTAAACCACCAATTAATTTTTGATGATTTTTTGAAGTCATCAATCTAAACAAGTCAAATTTTAAATGATATTCGCCACAGAATTGTAATTTAGAGTTATTTCAGTTTATGAATAAAGGTGCGATGTAACTTGTAGGGAATGTATATTGTACGCAAAACCGTTAAATAATAAAATATTAGATAAAACTTTGAAATTGCTCTTGCGCCGAGTCGCGCCGCCCCCGCCCCCGCCCCCCGCAAGAGCCCGCGCGTCACCGGCTGCTGCTATCATAGTGTGTGTGAGAATTTGCGTATGTTGTATTTGTGTTGTGCACTGCCGGGGGGATGCAAAGCGGTATGAAACAGATAGCATTTTTAAAAATACCTACTCTCGCCGCGTATCGGCACTTCACAATCCTCTTAAATACATATTATAAACTTACGCGCAATTACCGCTGTCAGCTTCACATTGCAACTGATTGTCGATCACACCTAAAGGATTGCAATTGCAGTCGTCGCAACCGCGCTGCACGTCGAAGTTGAATGTGTAAGGCTTGCACCGGTCACAATTTTCTCCTTCCACATTTTTGGGACAGATACACATACCTTAAAGAAAGTTTTTAAATTAAATATAGGTACAATTTTATAACCGTAGTCAATTTTTAGAATTATAATACATACATAAAAATTATAAGTAGTAACGTAATCAAAATATCATCGTGGATGAGATATAACGTAGGAATTATCATCTATACGATAAAAAAATAATGTTCACATAATGTTTATTATTTATTAAATAATAAAAATATACATATTATAACTTACCGTTTTCGTCACATATTGCTGTTGATGGGCAGTGACATGGTCTACAATAGGGAAATCCATAATATCCAGTTCTGCACGCGCTACATGTTCTACCGATAACATTTTCCTTACAGGGACATTGTCCTCCAAATGTGTTACATTCTAGTTCTGTTGAACCCATAATATCACAGACGCAACTTAAGGCACCGCTGTTATACTCGGATGTTATAGAAAACATGGCATCGCGGCAGAAACCTATAAACAAAAATATTATTTCGGATCATGTAAAATTATGAACATTATACATATTAACTAATTATCGAGAGCTTTTAAATTGTAAGATTTAAGAAAATTTGCTTACCCGTTTCGTTCGAAGCAATATAGTAATGATTTGCAGCACATTTCTCGATAAATTCTCTAGTATAATCGACCATATTTGCTTCTCGTAACGCAGATTCAACGAAATCTGACTTATCAATGACTAAGACATAATCTAACCATACTCCTTCACTAGTATCTCCCTAAAGAATACAAATTAATTAATATTAATTTTGACTAAAAAATATAAAAAAGCAATATAACATAATAACGTAATTTTACCTTAAATACGATGGTAAAGTTTTCATTTATTGCAAATTCAGTATTTCCATCCGCTAATTTAATGAGGGCTCTGCACCCAGAATTTGATGGGCAGTGTTCAACAGGGATATTAGTTTCATATTGTTGGCCGTCGGCGGTTAAAACGATATTGATGTTGCTTTCTATAAGAAAGAATCGTGTTAACATCCACCATATTAATGGATTGTTCAAAATTGTGAATTTAATGTTTAACTACATATGAACGATAACATTTTGTTATGCTAGTTATACAAGATAAGTAAATCTGACCTGGATGGTCTGGCTGATAATAATGCACGGCGAACATATATGCCCCAGGAGTAGGAACTTTCGATTCTAATGTTACTGGTTCTGATTGTGGTGCTAGATATACTACTATTGTAGAATTATCCTGAATTGAGGGCCTTATTTCGCGGTTGCCTCCTATGCCTGATTCTATTTCAACCTGTAAGAAAAATCGAAATTATTCCGCTACGAGGTTTTAACATTCTAATGTGATGTAAAGAAAAAAGAAAACACCAATATCGCTTTGTAAGTCTATCTAAGAAAAAGAAAATTATTGTTTCTCGATATTTAGGATGATCAATGTACTATATACGAATTAAAGTTATTAATATCTACTTTTATTAAGTAATAGGTGAATAAAATTTGTACCTTTTTAGAATCAACGGCAGTTGAGAAAACGGCAGGAACACAGCGATTGTCTCTTCTCAAGCAATACGGTCTTGGTGTTATGTAATCCAAATGCCATTCTGCTTCTGGTATCGCAATAATTGATTTGATTCCGGCCAGGGTACCACTATGTCCCTAAATGCATAAAGTTCGTTATTAATGTATGTATGTATATATTTGGATCATTTGAGTGAACTTTATATAAACAAGTCTTTACTTACATTCAGATATATAACATTGTTCGGATCTTGTACATTAAAGGTGTAAATTTTTGATATATCATCTACAATAACTTGTCTGCAAGGTGCAGTATATGGACAGTCGTTTAAGTTGGCTATTGCATTATATTCTGGCCCATCTCCAGATTGGAATCTAATAGTGATCGTTGCTCTAGGAGACGAGTCATAGACCTCAGTTGGTTCAGTATCATATTCAATCATCTGCAATGCTGATCTATTTACTGGTGTAACATATTCAATTACTAGTACATAGGATCCAGCAGGATCAATTTTCATATTATATTGAAGTTCGTTTTGTTTACTATTTATTAGTGGTATATGATTTGTGCCAACTGCGTACTCGTTTAATTGCTGAAAAAATCATTTTATTAAAACATACAAGAACTTTAAGAACTATAAATATTGTATATGTACGTGAAAAAAATATATATTTATAGATATAATTTGTTTACCTCAGGATCAGATATAAATTCACTAACAGTTGATACCAATTCCATTACATTTGCGGAAGGTCGCCCAATAATACTGGGATAAGCAAAATGTCTGCAAAGTTTCTTTTCTCCAATAATGCATGGCTTATCTACAAGCTTTGTTAAAACTGTAGCCTCGTAGTAAGCTTCCGGTATAAGAACGAAGTAATCCTAAAAAGTGTCACTTGATGAAATATGTGTAATACCATGATTGACTAATAAACTTATTAGAGTAAGGAACATATTAATAATATGTCTCTGTTTTGTACAGAACAACACGGGGTTAAAACAATTAATTATCTTACAATCATAATTTCCTTAGTAGTTTTTATAGTAACGGTCCAATTTCCAGCATTCATTACAAAAGGCGCAGGCCCATTTCCTTTTTCAACAAGAACTGTTATGAGCTGTGGTTGAATAGTAGGTCTTAAATATACGTTGAACCTATAAAAAACAAGGATGCATTTAATATTTATGGCTTTTCTGAAATCGAACATAATTATTGTATTTCTATATACCATTGCTTCGTTTCGAGGACGCTCTCAGGTGTAATTATAATATTAGCAATAACAGGATCTCGAAGGGGATTTGCATACTTTAATACCAAGCGATATAAGGAAGACTTGGTGATATGGACCACGTTGATGACCTCATTCTAAAAAGATTAAAACAAAAAGTTATTTTGATTATAAATATTTAAATAAGATAATTCTAAAAACTACTTATACAATCGATGTTAAGTTTACGTACTTGAAGTGGCGAGAAAACCACATATCCCTTCCACGAGTATCCAGGGAATACATCTTCAGAATTTCGATATCTCACAGGTCCCGATTGGGTGAGGCCTTCTTCTACTTCATACTGAAATTGATGTAATGTGGGGAAGTAATGAGCACGTATGGGGCGGTCACAGCGCCTACCTTCTACGCGTGAATGACATCGACATTGACCAGTGCTTTTCTCACAGTTGTTATCGATAGATCCACCGATATCGCAGTCACAAGCTATAATAGGTATAAAACGAAAAATGAATTGGTGATATAATTTTTTATCTCTATACCCGTAAAAGGTAAAACCTATTTTTTTTGGGTTTTTATAAGAAGACTAAGGCATGTTCTCAATCATTAGTATGATTATGACCTTCAAATATTATTTTTTTATAGTATTTCAATGTTAGCATTTTTATTTAACCTTTGTATTATAATTTTATCTATTTGTCTGTACTCACCTCTGCATCCGAATAGGTTTTGAGTCTCTAGTTTATAGAAACCATCTTGGCATTGGTCGCACTGTCTGTCTCCGACGTGCATTTTACACGTGCACTGACCGCTGCGAGTGTTACATGCACCAAGACCGCCAAGAGTGCCGGCTATATTACAATTACACTCTAAAAGACAAGACAATAAATTTAATTTCTAAGTACATTATAAGAAAGTATATACAGTATTTAATAAAATATTAAATGGTATAATATGCTTAAATTAGGGAAACAGTTCATACTTTCACATCCAAGGGGATTATATTCTTGCAAGTTCCAGAATAAAGCTTTACAGTCGTTACATATGCGTCCTTGGACTCGGTCTTTACATTGGCATAACTCTCCTGCTGGTACAGATCCACACCCTGTTGATTAAATAATACATTAGATGGTTATTGTGACGCAGGTTTGATTTCTTGCAGTGTGCAAAAAATTTTTTTTTCCATATCATGTTTGCTAAAGCATTTGAAACGTAGGGAACAGAAAATGTAACCGCAAAAAAATCCGAAAAGACAGTTTAAGTTAAAATATCGACTAACTATATAAATCTTAGAACTCTAAATAACTTTAAATTAATGATAAGTTATAAAAGTCAAAATTTTAGGGACTTTTTGCAATTCGTTACGTACCAGCGAATGACGCGATGACACCTCTTGGATCACAGTTGCATTCTTCACAAGCTGGATAGTTGTAGAATTGTTCCTTGCATTTGTCGCACTTAACATCGTCAAAATTAGGCTTACAGTGACACTGGCCGTTATCGTCACAAGTGGACCCGATTGTGCCGGATTCATCACAGTTGCACGCTAAAATAAATCATTATTTAAATATTTACTGCCTGTTTAAAGAAAATAAAGACAAGAATTGTAAGAATAATGCCATCATTAGTAATAATAGGGCCTTCTTTATAGAGAAGGAAAGTCTAATCTACGCGTTATTTTTTTTAATTTTAATTGTACATACGTAAGCATCCTGGGAACTTGTAATATCCTGGCGAACACTGATCACATTGTTTGCCTCCAAAATTGACCAGGCAATTACATTTTCCATCAGCAGAGCAACTGGTTGAAGTAGAACCAGTTGGGGAGCAGTTGCATGGCACGCATGACCTTTCTCGACCCTTAACCTCCATATAATATCTAATCAAGAAAAAAATATTTTTTAAGATCATATGATTTTATTAAATATTGAAAAATATAATGAATTAATCATGTTTAAAATACTTTTGGAAATGTATAAAAATAACTTTTGTGATATTTATATTATGTTTAAATATTTACCCTGAAATACATTGATCACAGCGGGATCCACCAAAGCCTGGTTTGCATATACATTGCCCGGTGACATCATCACAAATATTAGGCTGCGTTCCACTTGTGTCGCAGTTGCAATCTGCAATGAAGTTATTTTTTAAAAATTGGCAGGACTCCCTGAAGTCTTACTTAATTATTTGCTTATATTCATTTTTATAGATAAAAATGTTCTAAATAGTATATTAGGTGCATTTGTTAATTACCTATTTTTTATAACTTACGTTTGCACGTCGGATAGTTATAATAACCAGCTTCACATTGATTACAGGTCCTTCCACTATATTTGCTTTTACATGTACAGTTACCACTTTCTTTGTCACATACTTGTGACACAGATCCTACAGAATTACATTCGCAATCTGAAAAGAAAAATCTCATTGTAAGATATATAGGTACTTCATTATATGTATTTAGATCTTAATTCTTCAATTCTAAAATGACTACACCGAAATAATCATGAACTCTTATATAACGATGATATATGTATGCATAATAATATAATAATGACTTTTTACTGCTACGCTTGATTCTTAATAATCAAATGCTGATTTAAAGGAATATTTTACTTACTTTTGCATTCAGTTGAATAATAGCCATCAGCGCAAATTTCACACGAGTTACCCGCGTAATTGTATTTGCATGGACACTGAAAATAGATAATTTTTGATTATAACAGACATCGTACATTAAGTAATTTGCTATACTCATTTATATCAACAGAACAATAAGTGCAAATTAAAAATAAAGTAAATATTTATACCATTCCATCAGTGGGAGTACAGTGTTGACCCTCTGTACCATTCAGGTTGCACGTGCAAGGTTTGCAGTTGGGATAGTCGAAGTAGCCGTAAGCGCAGGAATCACAATTTGGTGGTTTGAATTCAGCTCTGCATTCACACCGACCCGTTTCTTCTTCGCAGTTACCCGTTGAGTAATGCAAATTACAGTTGCAGGCTGCAATATAAAGCAAGTCAGTTTTTCATATTTTTAAAACATGTATAATAACCTCAACTTTTTACACATTAGTTTACTCATACTTACGTTGGCACACATCTAGTTCATCCCAGCGTTTGCCATAAGGTCTATAAAATGTTGGTCTGCATTTGTTACAGTTTATACCCTCCGTATTATGCTGACAATTTTTACAAACACCACCGCCTTCGTAGTTGCCATGAATATCCAGAGATAGTCGCTGTTTATCAATTTCAGCATCAAACGTACATTCCGTGGTATGATTATGGCAGTTACAAGCTGAAAATTAATAAATATTGTATTTTATCTACAATAATTAGCAACAGTTAAAAATTGTTAAAATAATCTATAATAATTAATTAAAAAGTTTATAAACTATATATGTATATAGAAACATTTTAAATATTGTTAAAATACATACGTTCACAAGCAAATCTATCCCAGTTTTGGGAAATTCTCCATTTCTTTTGTTCGAATCCCGGACAGCAAGCAGCACATTGGGGCCCGCAGGTGTTGTGCTGGCAGCGACACACTAAGATACTTGTGTCACTTTCAGGGGCCGCAGGGTCGCATGTGTCAGCATGGCCGTTGCACATGCATCGACCACCAATACTGATGTCTTTAATACTGTAGAAATACTGTCAAAACATACTTATTTTAATAAAACAGTCAAGTTTACTTTATTTAATGATGGTAACGTAGCAAAATTGTATAAGAGTCATGTTATGTAATAACATAATATGTATTATAGTCGATAGTATCAAACTTTTATTTTACATAAGCTGTGATACACGTTGTTATGACAAGTAATTAAAACTTAGGAATCATGCACTAATTAAGAAAGTAAACAAATATAAAGACATCACTTAAGATCTATCATTGTAATTAATTTGTATTGCAAATCTACTTACTCTTCGCGTTACTGTGGGATCTTGTCTTGCCACCGACATAAGATGTCCAAGCAAGTTTTTAGTTCTTAATAACCTTAGTCTTACATTAGTTGCCCTAGTCCACTCTTGCAATACTGATGAATTAAAGTATTTGTTTGCTGAAGGCCGGTAGTTTAACAAGGATATCGGTATCTATAAAAAAAAACAAGGTAAAAATGAAATATTGGCATATAATTAATTGGTCGGTGGATTGGTCATTGGTGATTAAACGAAAACTTAATCAAACTTACCTCTCCTCCTTCAAGAGGGACAATTTTAGAATATTCGGTGCTACATATAACAGAATCATCTTTTGTAATAGGCTGAAGACTTTCCTTACCGAAATATCTTTCACAATCTCTGTAAACAAATAATTAATAAATGATCATAATGATCTAATAGCCTAATAATGTACTGGTTTCGAAATCTGTAAGTAAAATACAAATCTAAAGAGATAACATATGATGTTTAGTTAAAATAACCATTTTTATACTTATTTAAGAAAATACTTACTGAGGTGAATCAGAAAAATATTGCCATGGTTTGAATGTCTTCCCATAATCAGTAGACTTTTCTAAAGACCACAGTCCAGGACGGGGAGAATTACCCATTCGCACGAAAACATAAGCCACATGAAATTCCTAGAATAATAAAGCTATTGTTATATTTATTTAAAAATCTATAACAATGTCGGCTTAACTATTGTTAATATTAAGTGTAAATGTTTTTTATTCTTTAGGTATTAAAGGCCATGCTCGACTGCGATTCCTTGCTTTTCACTTATAAAATCCTTGCTAAAATCTTTATTATATCAGTATCTAAAAAAGGTATTTATTTTAATGCCATAGTATGAATTGCTACCACGAAAGAAATTTTGCAATGTGCTTTTTGTAGTTATGTATGTGTAGTGTATCAACTATCTGGTATCAATAACACAAGCCTCGTAGCTTACATGGAACTAGATGGTGCTGTGTGTTAATATCTCAACATATTTATATTTCTTTACATATATTATCAGAGAATTCTAACAAGCTCATATTTAACATAGAATATATATTATGTAATGGTGCTACCTATTATTTATTTTGACTTTATTTCAGGCATTACGTGTCTCTACTTCGACTTCGTAAAGTTACAACTACTTAGAATAGGCAACTAGAAAAATGATTTATCATAAAGTGTTTCACTAATAAGGTTTATAATTTCTTATAACATTCCATCATAATTTGTTATAGAATTCCAATTATGCAAATTTACTTATAATTCTTAAAAAAAATGAATTACTTTGTTTAAAGTATTTATTGTTATGTTATTAGGAAACCATTGTTAGATGAAATAGTTTAAAGAATAAAAATAATTATTGGAATATAATCACGACCTATTTTTATACGTGACCTATGCGAGCGTCATGTCCTCGCCCTTTCATAATAGCCCGCCAAATGTAATCTATGCCTGCTATCAACACCCACTCTATCCTGTCGGTCAGCGAGTATCAGTTAGCGACAAGCTTATGATTTCATGTATCTTTTCATAATTAGATGTAGATACTCTTATTTATTCTTATGACTTATGTATAAAAAATAAGAATATACGCGATATTTGTATATATTCTCAACTTAATTTATGCCACACTCTTAAAGTACATACTAGTCGTGAACGTGAAAAGGTAATTTATAAAATTAAATTAGTGGAAGTTTTATTTTTCATTAGGAACAATTTGTTAATAACAGATTTTGCGTGCTATGGCGGTTTTTCTATATTCGCCTACGCATTAAATAAATATTTAAACATTTAAAAATAAATTCCACTAGGCAATAACTAATTTTAACTGATAACTCATTCGCAAAGCATTTTGTGAATTTTTTTTGATGATTTTTATATTTCGCAAAGCCAATAAAATTATAATTTTGCATTTCGAAGTGAATGTTATCATAACATACAGTCGCATTTACTAATTGCAATAAGTGTTACACAAAAATATAAAAATTAAATCGCCTTTGCTACAGTTTAGTCTTTTATTTATTTTTCTTACTGTACATGGTAAGTCGATTTAATTTATACAGTATTTTTAATACAACAATTAGGGAAAATCCTAAATTTTTTAAATGTTTATTTATTGGATAAAATAAACAAATTAAAAATAATAATTGTATAAACAAATTAGTTTGTACGTTTTCCATTCATATTTAGTAAGGACATTATTTGATTGAGAGGTAACGTTTATTTTAATATTGAAAAATCAGCCCATATATAACTTAAACCGCATAGCACTCAATATCTGAATAAAAAAATATAAAATATGCTTTATATTTAGTTGACATAAAATAATAGCGTTTCTAAAATAATCTAATGTCCTCCAGCGTGGCTCCAGAGTCTAGAGGCATAGATGAGGTCGATGCACTTTCAGCAATATAATGGCACTATTTCGGGAACTAGGATGTAGCAACTGACACGTCTAGTCGTACCAAGAACTATGGACATAGTTTTCACTTTTCGCTTATAAAACAAGGAAATATTGCGATATTTTAAATAAAGGAAAATATAATTATTTTTAATATGTACCTACATTTTATTTGCACTAATGAAGTTTTTTTTATATTGAATGTTCATAAAAATACTTAAATAGAGTGCTGTGCATCAGCAGATATAGATACTAACTTATAATGTATCCAAAAATAGTTGATATAAATAATGATGTCATAGTTTAAAGTTTGAATAACATGTGTTATTATAATCTAGAGTTGTGTTCGTAAAGGAACGTAGTTCTTTAAAATATTATCGTCGAAATATAAGATGGTTCAGTTCGGGCTAAAATGAAGTGAGGAAAGGTTACTATTAATATAATATTCTACTATATATACATCACTATTCTGCTATCGTACTTTTTTTCTATCTATTCAGTATTTAATTCTAAAGTTGATTTGTATAAATTATCTTTTTAATGAGCCAGGGACTTCGAATTATTAGCATATAGTTAGACGTGGATAACAATCCAATATTTACTCCTTTGATCGTCAGTTTTGTACTTTTTTGATACCTACAAATTTTGGAATCGTTATTAAAGTAAATGAGTAATCGATCTATTCAAAACTATATTTAAAATTAAATATAGTTTTGAATAGCATTTGCTATGCTATAGAAAATAGAAAAACTAGGTTCAAAAGGATAACCTTTTGAAGTTTTATAAACACACTGTGTAATTATAAACACCCTCATTGAAAAACTTTTGTATTGTGTATTTTTATAATATTATATTGTGTGATATTCAACTAGAAGCTAAATTTTGTTTACTCTAGATTTGTAGAAGGGTTCCATGAGTTTCTGTTTAATAACTGAGTTTCATTTGTTGTGTATTGGTATAAATATTTTGATTACTGTGATCGATAGTTAGTAACTCTTTTACCTGACCAAGGTCGATGGTTAAGTTAACTTCGTTGTACTTCATCCCTCTAGAAAGCGGTGGACTTTGCCACCACGTCTCCATACCATCCACGGCAAATTCTGGCGGGTGTTTTTTTGTATCACTTTTGGCATCGCAGAAATCGCAAACCTATTTGAAAATAAATATCATTATATAAATTAGTCCTATGCTTACATACGTACACTCTATGTGTTATCATTGTGATTTTAGCATTATGTAATAGAAAACTCTCAAGAGTAACTGAGTAGACATATGATAGCTTGTTTAATACGGGTCAGCAAATTTTTAGCGCCTCAGATGTAGAGCATGCCTACACTGACTCAACATTGTCAATATGAAATATAAAGTTACATTATCAATGGAATTCATAATAGCAAATGGTTTATTTTAAACACCCAATAAATCCGTCCATTCATAAACTGTTTTTTTTTCAAAACATGCGAAGAGCATGTGCCGACAAAAAACACATTCGATTTTGGAATCCATTGTGAGCAGTTCGAAAGAAACAAAAGAACGCTCTGGAGTCAGGATGCGCGAGCGCATTTGGCTACCACATGTCCATAAAAACTTTCCGAGACGAGCCGAGGCAAGTCGAAATTGGACGAGAGGTATGCAAGTGGTTCTAAATTACTACCTCAAGAATAATTTGTCGCTACGAGGACGTAAGATCATGTGCCTTCATTCACGTTATTCAAGCTTTGTTTGCCAGGAAACGGAAGAGTCATGAATGAATGTTAAATAACAAAAGTTAAGGGGTTTAATTCTTAGATATGATTTTATGATAAAACCTAATAAGACCTAAATATACCCGCAAATAAAATAATTATATTATCATTACTATAATTTAAGTACCCAAAGGATATATCAGATAACATTTGTAAAAATTGGTGATTTGGTTGCATGTAGTAATATATAATAACTTGTAAGATATTTGCATGTGTTATAGGTACTTTAATAGTATAAAGTAATATTATAAAGAGGTTAAGTTTGTAAGTTTGTGAGTTTGTAATGGATGAACTAAAAATCCGCGGAACTGATTTAGATGAAATTTGGTATGAAGATAGTTTAAGGACCTGGGAAGGACATATATATATATATATATATATATATATATATATATATATATATATATATATTCGCTAAGTTAACCTTTAAAATGTACCTAGTACGAACCCGATAGAAGCGAGGGTGAGTCGCCGGTATTAAGTAGGTATATTATAAAGTTGTAGTACATAGTTAAAACTTTAAAATTCTACGAAAAATATAATAATCGCTGAGTACCGGAAAGTGTTTTGATAAGACAAGTCTAACGACCTATACGGTATATTTAAAATAATCATGTGACCTCCGAACTTATATCATCTCGAGGCGATGAATGAACTAGATTACATTAAATGTATTGCGGTAACTTTGAAATCTATTGATTTATAAGTATTTATAAGTAAAAATAATTATCTTCATATTATTTACTTTGAGAGGGTGAATTCTGTATGCAAATTATTTATATAACTGTAATTGTTGTCGAACGAAATAATATTCTAATTTACGAAATCTTCATATACCTATTTTAAAATGATAAAAAACAACAAAACAGGATACAAAAAAAAACTTATAATATCAGTCAATTAATAGGTTTTGCTTTTTATAGTAGTCATGGGACTTGGGAACAAATTATCGCAGGATGGTACGCTGACAGGACGCGTGATAAGCTATCGTGCTTGCTTTTATCTAATAAAGAGTAGGCATTTTGGTGGTAGTCAAATGTTTTATATTGTAAAATATTTTTGAAATCATTATAGCTCGTTTATTCATATATATAATTTGTCTTTGCCCAATGTATTGGAAGTCAAAGTTTGAATTTAGCATCTTTTCAAAATCGATTAAGAGTTACTTATTTATTTAAAAATTGGTATATTTGAAGTTTAGTCATATTTATAATTAAATGGTGATTGTAATATATTTGATGTTACAAGAACGCAAGATTGGTATTAACGCTGAAGATGCACTTGATGTGAACTTTTATGACTATATTGAACCGGTTTGTTATTATATCAAAACGATCAAAATAAAAGATCAGCATAATTTTAAAGTATAATGATATATATTATGACGTACATAATACTTATAATTGAATATTTTGTGTCAGTTATAGGGTTACATTAAAAAATCTATATTTTATTAAAGAATTTGCATTATTTTTACAACATCAAACTTTTCTAGGTGGGCGCGGACTCTTGTAAATAACATATTATCAATACCACAAGTAACTTTTATAACTTAAAATTAAGTAAATAAAAAAAAGAAAAGCCTTACCTGTCCTTGGATAACACGCTCATCGTGGTCAGCGTTGGCGCCAACTAATTTGCAGTATAATTCAGGACTCTCGTCACCACATGTCGCTGTCGCAGTAATCTTCTTGCCGAGCGCTAAATTAAAGTATGGGGGTGTCAATATTTCTGCGCACGCGATGCTTGTGTACAATAATAGGAGTACGACAACACGCGCCATGTTGCGCGTGCGCCGTCCCGTCGCAGAATGAAGTTGACTGTTGATAGCGTACGCTGACCGGGAAGGGTGGTTGAGATTATATTTTAATCAACTTGGAGAGAGATATACGGAATGCGACGAGCTTATGAGAATGCAATTGATTCTCCATCGGCATCATTTTTAATTAAAAGCTTCAATTTAATTTTTATATTTTAATTGAACCCATACTTGTTTTTGGTTTGTTTTAACGTGCTATTTATGAGCACTCAATTTTTTTTGCATTTTTTGCCCATTATATTGGGGAAGCTTATATGTAGGTTATACAGCATCATGCTACAACCTCAGGGAGTAAAATAATTATAGCCTGACTCTTCTCTCTTCTTAAATACATAATGGCTGTTAAGAAGTTAAAATTTGTATGTGAGCTTTTATATTGAAAAAATAGATCGTTTTGATCGTTTTGACATTATAAAAGGGGAATAGCGTAAACAATATTATTTAAAATTTAATTTTAAGTAGATATTTGTCATTTCATAAAATAGAAAGCGTTTGAAAATAAAACGCTACGCCAAATAAAAAAATAAAATAAAATATACTTAAGAATTAGGATGTATAATGTCATCCATTTAATATTTTTGTAAAGCTTTAAATATATAAAAGCTCTTATGGTGTAAGAGCGTAAACATTTCAAATTAATTACAATAATTAATAATTGTGTTTACAAAAATAACTAGGTTTATATATAATGGTAAGATTAACATATTAGCTCTATTACAATATTTTTTGCTGCACACACAAACATGGTAACGTGTAAATATTGAAATTGCCCGACTAAATGGTGTCAAAGAGGCATGTGGACTTGAAACACATCCGTCCTCCACATTTTCAAGTACTTTTTCTAATTTTGCCAATCGTTTTGATGCGAAACTTTTCCCCCTCGTTGGATTACGTGTTCGGCATCCCCGTTCATTGTACTCGTTCCCTATATCTAGGAATCTCTTGAAGCATCCACCGCGGTACCATGGGCCATAATAATTATTCTTTATTTGAGTTACATTCGTGCTATAAATACATTTTATTTTGAATCTGTATCTTCTCCGGCTAAATCTTTGATCGTTTCCTTCAAATGTGTTGTAACAGTATGGCATCGGTATTTTTGATTCATTTAGTCCGCATCTGTAGCAAGAGGACTTTGTCGAAGCTTGTAACAAATTTTTAATAAATCTTGGCAATGTTGAGTTTCTTTTCATTGTTATATTTTTTGGTTTTAGTATCTTTTTGAATGGCTTTCTTATTATATTTGTAGCGATCGTTATCTGTGGTTTTTGCCTAAAAAAAATCCAGGGACCCGATGACGTTCTAATTGCAGAAGGATATCTTTGTATTTGTTTTCTATTGATTATTGTAGACGACGAAACGTTTTCTGTTTTTAAAACAATATTTTGAATTAAGTACACTACATAATGGTAAGTATTATTGTTATTTGTTTTAAAATAATAAAATATGTATGTTTACTTACGTAAAGTATGAGCAATTTCAGTTTTTGTGGGAAAATAAGTAGCCCAAGTTTTTTTACTGTACAGTGAAGAAGTATCACCTATGGAGCTAATATAAGTAAATGGTCGAGTTTTAAAAGAATTCAATAAGGGCGGTTGATACCAATGATTTTGCAATTTCGTGTACAAATGTATATCATTTTGTAAATCTTCACTTGTAATATTCTTGTTTATAATGCTAGCGCTTGTTCTATAAAGAAAATTTTTTTCTCGCAGGCTTAAAGTAGTAAACGTACCATAAAATTCTTTTTTTGTAGGCCTAAATTTATTATTAGTGAATTCAAAATCATATAAATCCTCTGTAAATTCATCTATACGATTCTCTTGTGGAATGTATTCGTAACGATTTTTAAAACGAGATAGCAAAGAACATTGGGTGTGTTGTAGTTTTGCAAATAAAAGTAACCACAATATGCACAAAATATAATTTTTATCTATTTTTACGAATGACATTTTATATTAGCATGTTATATTTACGTACAGATTATTAGAATAGTATAATAATAAATTACTTTCGACCTCTTTAATAAATGTCAAATATTGTGTTTATCGCTTAGAGTGCGCGTTGATTGTCGATATACGATTGTCGATTAGGTATATAATATGTAGGTATTTTTATTCACAATAACAGTGGTAAAATAGTGTGTGTAGCTTTCACTTTTAGGTTTTTATTCATAAATTTAAAAGTTCGTCCATAATTGTTAATAATAATGCGCTCTTTATGTCACACATATAAGACAGAGTAACTATTGAGGTTAGAGTAAATAAAAGTAAGTCTATAATGATATCCGTATTTACTTATTTTTTCTTAACAATTCTATAACGAATATTGGTATTTATGACCGGTTTCTTCACATTTTTTTTCTTTTGGATTTTTTTCATTTATACTATCCACACTGCTTTGTCTTTGTAAGGATTTAAGGTCTGAACAATTCTTGTTTCTTTTTAAATTACCTCTCTGTTTCTTTTCACTTTTTTTTAGTTCTATTGGTTTGCTCTCTTCTTCATTTTCTTTATGATTTTCTTTGACATTTTTTTGATTCTTTGCTCTTTGTAGAATTTCGTCATCACTTTCTGTTGTGCTTATGGTAATAACGGGTATTACTGATCCGATTGAATCATTGTTTTTCGAGAAATTACTGGATTCAGAGCTTTGTTTTTTTTCTTTAAATTTTTTGTTTGAATTTGGCTTTTGTACATTTTTGTCATTCGTGAAAGTTTCTTTTATATCGCTCACTTTGAAATTAACGTCCTCACATTTATTTTCTTCTAATTCATTATTCTCACCATAATCACCTTTTGACATATTTTCTAATTGTACATAAATATTGTCAATAGTTTTAAATTCAACACTACTTTTTTTCTTTAGTTTTTTAGTACCTTCGGTACCCCTAGTGATTTTAATATCTCTCATTTTTAAAATTTCTTGTGGTAAAGATTCGTGAAAGTCATTATCGGCTTCTTCATCAATATTATTACTTTTTGAAGAAACATTGGTTACCTCTCCATCAGATTTTTTGTCTACTGCTAATCCAACAATCCTTGCAAATATCCCACCTGTATGTGAATTTAGTCAATTATGTTTCAAGATAATAGTATTAATATAAATATTAAATATTATCATTTTTAATTTAATAATTGTAATCAATGTTAATAAAAATTTTAATAATTTAAATCTCACCTTTCTTTTTTATTGTTTTCGCTGGTTCTTTATTATTATCAATAGCCTTTCGATCGTCAGAATCTATAGATTTGGTTAATGGAAGAGATGGTAACGCTTTTTTCCACCTAGCAAATGGAGTATTATCTATAGAGGATGATCCACCGCGTCTTCTCGTATCTGCTAATTGAAACATTTTTCGTCTTTCTTCCGTTCTTTCTCGTCTTAATTGTATCTATGGAATTATAAAAATCAAAATTTATTTGAAGAAATTTGAAAATGAATAACACATTAAATGTAAGGCACACTTTTCACATTTATGTAATATAAGATTTAAGTTATATAAGGATTTTAAATAAAAATTTCTCACCTTCAAATCATTATTAGCTTCCCTTAATGAGTTTGTTAGTGATGTTAAGTAATAAATTATAAGGATTAGCAAAACTAATAACGGTATGACCATCGCTGGCGATGCTATATATTCGAGAGTAAAATTAAGTGTCTTCGGTAATATTTTATATAATTTGCTTGTCAATATTTTATAAATTTTGTCGTATTCTGAAAATGGGCCACAATGCCAAGATGGTGTTACCCATACTATTGCGTATCCAACAGGCAAGACACATAAAAATAGCATTGTTAACAGCAAAGCTAGATAAAAATTGTTACTTTTAGATACTCTGAAAACAACGGCATGGGGAACATTACACGTCATAACTGCCCACGATCGAAGATACATCATTATCATTAGCTTAAAAACATTTAATACTACAAGTCCAGGTGAAAAAAACATTCCCATCCAAACCATCCCTTGGTTATTAATAAGATGTAAAATATTTTCGGCTATTTTAAAATCACCATATTCAGGAAATTTCTTTTCCAAATCCCAGCACCAGCATTTATTCATGTATCTCACAAACAACGCTCGAAAGAAATCTAGAAATAAAGTCCCTAATAGAACGAAGACCTGAAATAAAATTGAAAACAATTTACTAATAACCTTTTTAAACATTTTAAGCGTGTAATTATTTTTTTTCTAATAATTGACAATACAAAAAAATCTGCTTTTTAACATTGTACTTACCAAATCCATCATTGTTAATTTAACTAATTCCTGGCCAAACATAGATTCCCAACATAATTTAAGCAATTTTTTCTTGGTTTCTATACTTAAATTGTACATTTTTCTATGATGAACATCAAAGTAGGTAATATCTGTCACAGAAGAATTGGTTTGGTTCTTTCTTAAGGCTTCTAAATTTTCTTTTACAATAGTGCATTGTGTGATATAACATCTAGTTTCTATAACTTTACAATTAGATATAAAAAACATTTTGGTTATATTTTTATCTCCACAGTTTATTGAACAATTAAAAGATATATCTGCACATGTAGCTGTTTTTTCAAAAGCACCTGGAAAATCCTTAACTGTTGGAATTTCTGTATTTTGGAATTGAATAGTTTCAGAATTAGTAAGACTTATATCAGTCGTAAAGCTTGTATCATGTGTATTTGAATAGCTTGATTCAGTCTCAGTGCTTAAATCTGTAATAGCATAGGCGGTATTTTCATTTGTTGAATGCTTGATATCGTAAGAAGTGGTTACAAACTCAAAATTGGTTGAATCTGTTCCATGTTTAGTGTTTGAAAAAATATTAAAATCTGTATTTAAAACAATATTAGGGAAAGTATCTTTTATTGAACTTTGTGTTTCATAGTAACTTGAAAAGGTGCTCGATGGTATTTCAGTGCTTGTTTGTATTGTAGAAGTATAAAGTTCATTTGAATTCTCACTTGTCGATTCATAATCTCCTATAGTAGTTGTAGATGATAGTAAATTTGACTCAGTTGAGGTTGTATCATATATATCATAAAATTCTTCATCATTTCCTTCTGATTTATCATCATTAGACTCTTCTAGCCCTGATAGCATACTTAAATTTCTTATTCTTTCAATTTCTTTTAAAAAAGCATTTTCATCATTCTTAAAATCGCTGCCATTTTCTTGAATCAGATTTTGAGCAACATAGAGCAAGTCTCGACGTCGCAAAATAGAGCTAGATTTGTTTCTATTACTATGTATAGTATAGTTTAAATTTTGCTCATTAGCATTTTGTCTTTTATTTTGCTGTTCAAAATCATTTATAATTAAGGTAGGTTTAGACACCTGCTCAGGGGTAACCATGTCACATGGTAAACATGGCACTCTTATCTCAAAACATGCCATAGGCAATCTTGCTTCATATTCATTAATATTTGATACAGGAACGACTGTTACGTTCATTTCTAAAGTCGGTTGTAAAGAAATTAATTCATTACTCATTCCTTCAATTTTACTAAACAGAGCAAAAATTAAGGAATATAAATTTAGAAGATTCAATAGCATAATTCTGTAAAAGATATAAACTGTATTTAAATGATCTTTATAGCTTACATTAAAATATTCATCAATTAAAACTCACTTACCTAGCAAGTTGTAGTCTTAATTGTTTCCTTGGATGATAATGCTCTAAAAATCCAAAAAGTTCAAAAAATAGTGGAAATGTTATTGATATTACTGTTACTACAATAGTTGTTTCGTTTTCCCTCCACCATATGCTAACTTTAACATTGTCATCTGAACGGGATACAACAGTTACTACGGCATAAGCAGACACAGCCAGAAGTGCAATAACACAAATGTTTACTATAGCTCTAAGAGAAATAGTTCGCCAGCTGCAATTTAATTAAGGCATAATATTTTAAACTTAAAAATAAATTTAAACAATTAATATCATTGAAGATTACAAAACTCACTTTCTTAACTTCTTTTTCTTTTCGGCTTCTTCCAATAAAGCTTCCTTGAATCCCAAAATAACTGATGCTATTCGATTATGTGCAGTTTCAGCATTACCAATCATATAATCCCATCCAGTAAATAGTTTCCACGAAAATATACATTCATCTTCCTTTTCAGATAGTTTTGACATCCGGGAATTTTCTGCCATCCTATAAAAGAGTTATTCGAGTACGAGTCAGACTCGTATGGATAAGGAGTTCATACTTTGTAAGAATGGGTCACTGTCAGATACAAATGCTTGATGTTGTCTGAAACTGGACACCACAGGCACTAATACAATTGATACTCTTATCGTTAACCACCATGGAAATAACTAAGCTAGCGTGAGTTTACATTCGTTAATTTATATTTTACTAGCGACTCACCCTCGCTTTGCTCGGGTTCGTCTCTAGTTTGCTTCCCAATACAAACTTTCATCCCCATTTTCACCCCCTTAAGGGATGATTTCCGGGATAAAAAGTATCCTATGTCCTTTCCAAGATCTTAAACTATCTTCTTACCTAATTTTATCTAAATCGGTTCAGTAGATCCAGAGATTACCCCTTACAACCTCACAAACTTTACCTCTTTATAATATTAGTATAGACATACATAAATTGTCAAATTTACTAAATTACAGTTATGAACGGATTAGGGGCTAATTCGTTCATGATCACGGTACTCAATAATAATACGATAGCGGATTATGTCATTATCCGTATATATATTTTTAATATAAAGCACGCATATTTGTATCCATATTATGAAGGATAAATTATTAAGGTTACGTAGTTTTATTCGGACGAAAAACTTAAATATCAATAATGTGATGTGCATAAGAGTAGCTCTACGTTATTTATAAATCCTTCATATAACTTACTTCCGCAGTATGGCGACGAAGCTATAAATATATACTACGAGACCTGTAAGAAAATAAGCCAATGGCATCCTGTATTCAGTCCGCTCGATGTTGCTGTAGTAGCCGTAAAATATTGGCGAGTATTTGAGAGCACCTTCAAATTCCCAGAGAGTCAATAGCTTGGTAGCATTCTCACGCTCTTCTTCCATTATTATTTTTCTTTCTCCATCTTGTAACGGGTTTGCAGTCAAATACTGAAAGAATTTCATTAAAGTTTTTAGTTACCACTAGCGACTTACCTACGAGGTGCCAGGTACTTCCTTAGGGCTAGGTAAGACGTCTAGGTACGTTTTAAATAGGTAAAAAAACACATTCTATCCTGTACTTTTCTGTAGACCTAAAAGACACACAACTTTCTAATACATTGTTTTGACGTATCTCTTAATTAATATATTACCAGCTTTAGATATGTAAAACAAAGGCTACGCTTCAGTCATTTTGTGTAAAATATGCATTTACAAATTATACATAATACAAACCTTGAACAACTTAACACCTCCAGGTAAATTTCTAAGAAATTAATTATATTACTAAGAAATCTATTGTTAACTGTAACGCCGGCATGTCCGCGGTCGTGGAAGGATTAAATGACTTGCGACCGAACTCAATTTTGTATTTTCCCATGATAATGAGAGATTTTACCACACAAAATGTTTAAATATGTTAATTTTTAGCCCTGCTACTAATAGTATTCTTGTAGTAAAACATTGAAATTTTTGTATAAAGGACTACTTAGGCGAAAAAGTTTTTTTCCGTGGAAATTAGAGATTTTCCTGCAGTAAAAAGTATCTTAAATATTGACCACATTAATGAGTTATTATTACACAAAATTTAGTATCGTTATTTTTCTGTGTAAATCATACTGTGATGTCACGCCAAGTGCGCGAAATGGCGAGCGTTTAAAGTATCCGTGACGGTATGATATTTTTTTTTGATTTAGATAAATGATATTTTTAGTTGTTTTATATTTATAACTAGTGTTGGCCAAAATCTTCTTCTTCATTTTTGTCGTTCTTGCATTTTTGCAAGACCAAGACCAGGATCACGACGAAAAAGAGATCTTACAAAGTTGGTCTTTACTATGGTTATATTAATTCAAGCTCAAAATGTACCTACTCCTTTACGTTGTTCTAAGATCTAAAGTAACGTTTAATAAATAGCAATAGGCTAACTCTTGCTGCAAGACCAAGATCAAGACTGGGAGTGCAATACCAAGACCAAGACTAAGACCAGGTGTATTGGCGCAAGACCAAAACTAGCTAAGTCTTGTTCTTGCATTTCGGCAATGCTATTTATAACGCACAACGATTGCGGTCTCTCACTCGAGTGTGACTTTTTTACCGACTTCAAAAAAAGCTTATCAATTCGACACATATGTTAAATATTCACTTATGATAATCTATTAGAGCTTCCAAACAAATACACAAAATTTTATAGATATTTGTATGCAGTACTATGTATGTATGTATGCTTGTATGTATGTGTGTTTGTCCACGCATTTTTCCGTAAGTAGTAATCAAATCGTGATCATTCTTTTTTTATTTGCTTACATTTATTTCAACTTAGGGATTTCATCAAAATCGGTTCAGTAGTTTTTATAATATGAACTAAAACGTGTAGCTAAAACTGAAATAGTTTTTGTAATTACTACTTATTACTAAACTATTTCGGTTTTCATTTAAAACTAAAAATTTGGACAAAAAAGTAATTCAATAATTCTTTCTATTTTTTTATATTTTACTTATTTTTTATTATTAATTCAAAAAAAACAAAATTAGAAACTTCTCCATTCGAAATCTATATAAATATAAATAGGCAAAGCTACTTAGTCAAAACAAAACAAACAAAACAGTTCAGTAATATTTTCTCCTTTATTCATCAACCGATTTTCTTTTTTTTGTTTAGTAGCTATTTACGAGCTTTAGTGTTGACAATAAAAAAAAGATTATATAGTTTGCATATTTGATCATAATTTATACAATATACATAGCTTACCTCAGGTATGATGACGAAAACAAGCAAAATAAAACCGATAACCAAATTGACCCAAAACAACCATCTTAAAAACGTAAAATATGATGCTACAACAGAGCCAAAATGTGATTCAATCTCTTTGATTCTTAACTCCCAAGGAATAAGAAGATTTGAGGTGTTTGCTGCTTCCCTCTTTAACTGCTGCCATTTCTAAAAAAATATTAGTGTACATTATAGCATTCATGTTACAATTAAGTAATTAATTGATAAATTACCTTTTTATGAATTAACTTACTGTAGCCATGACAATATTAAATCTCGCATAAATATCCCTAGTACTTTTTGATTGGGCAAGTCTTTCTTGCAATTGTCCTTCATGTCGCTTTATGTAGCCCTTTGCCTACAAATTGTTCTAGATATTATGAAAAGTTTTTTTTTCTTTTGCACTATAGTAATTTTCTTGTATTAAATAATTTAGAAATAATTTTAAATTACATCAGTCTGGAGATAGCTATAGATAGATGAACACTTGTTGTTGACGTACCTACCACCGAGCAGAGGAAAAATGTAATTAGCCATAATAAATATCAAAAAACTAACACGATGTCATAATGTGGATATTGATAGGAAGCATTTATGATGAAACAAGTCATTACTTCTAAATCTGAAAAAGTAATCATAATAAAACCTGGTACAAACCAACATAATAGTACACTCCAAAAGCTGTTACTCGAGATTTTGCATCCTCAACGTCACCTAAACGTATTTTTTTTATAATAGGTACAATAACTAAGTACGTATGTATCGTCTTTGTAACGACAAGCTGCATTGTTATCAATTTTATTTACCTGGTGAACAATTTTTAGCTTTCTTCTCATTCCTAAAGGTTGTTGCTTTACAGAACCTAGAACCTCCTTATGCAGATGTATATTTTCAAATATTTGTTCTTGGGTCACTACTGGCTGTTCGTCAATCGATATGGCTGTGCTGTAATATTTTATTAAATTGACACAATAATACATATAATTATTTATAGTTGACACATTTTTAGAATTTTTCAAAATATACTTTTAATATATTTTTTTATGACTTTAGATATATTATTACATACTACATACAGACTTTACATATATTATTACATACATATATTATTTACTTACTCTCCTGAGCTGGTGGTAAATACAGATGACCGTCGCCTAGAGCGTGTTTCGTCAGGAAGAAAAGGCGACGAAGGCCGTCTTGTTCTTCCCTTGCGAGATCGTCGGACGCTTGCCCGACGTTGACGCAGAACGGCGCTAAGGCTTGCTGAATAATCTTCGTCTTCAGATCCATCTACATTTCTCACAATTAACTCTTACTCAATATTTTATTTACGTTTTTGATTGTATTCGAAAAAATAAAGAAAAATAAATATATTATACTAGCATTGCCCGCGGCTCCGCCCGCGTTCAGATGACCAGAAACCGAATTCTTATGTTTTACATATTAGTATACTCTTACATTGCAGTTTTTGCATTTTTTCTCAGAAATGAGACATTTTCCCGCAAAAGTTCCTATATGTTGACCCGGATAACTAACTATCACCATATACCAAATTTCATCAAAATCCCTCCAGTGGTTTTTCTGTGATGCGGTAACAGACAGACAGACAGACAGACAAAATTTCTAAAACTATAGATTCGGCCTCTGTATCGATAATAATGTTTATTTCAAAAAGATTTTCCAAAAAATATTTAATGTACATATTAACTTAGTTACAATTTTATTATATATATATATATATATATATATATATATATATATATATATATATATATTTGGTGATGTATTATTTTTCTATAGGTCAATTAATTTGGGAATAAGTGCTATTTACGTAAGTTGTGAATAAAAGCTAGAAATATTTTCTTGGATTGACAAAGTATTAACATTTATTGAATTTAAAATTCATTACCTCCGGTTGAAGGTGAGAATTTGACTTCATTATTGGTAGTGTTTTCCGAAGGCAAGTGGAAAAGATTGACTCCTGTGGAAGTCATATTTTTAGGATCGGCCCACGTCACTGAGAGGCGGTCCACTGACGGCTGCGGTGAGGACGGTGGTCGTTCATATGATGCCTATAATACGTATAATAAAAAATAAATATGTACAATATTTTTAACACAAAAAACATCTTTCTGAACTCAGTTTAAAAAACAATTTTCCTTTAATAATAGAATATATTTTGGAAAACTTAGTAGATGTTTGAAATTTTTGTAATTTTGAAAATTCGCAGAAATTAACACTGCCAGTTTCAATAATTTTCACATATATTTCTCAATACAATACTTTACTCATTTTGATTCTAGAATGGAGACTGAAAATTATGTAAGTTACCTAATAGCCTATGTATTATTTCCCTTTACCAGCCGCGCTAGTTTACCGTGAGAGGCTAACAATGGGACTGTTTTGTATTGAGAACTGGTGGAAGGAGCTGGGGTCGCGGCATAGCAATTAATTAAACGATTTATAGCATCGTTCAGGTGTTTTGCGTAGCGCCTTAGTCCGACAGCTTAGGCACGTTTCACATTAAATTACAGTTTTATAACTAAAATAAGCATTAGCTTTCAATAATAAATTGTATATAATCTAATTAGCATAGAAGATATTTTAAAATATGTTTTTTTTGCATTATTTTGTCTATCGGAAAACTTGAAGCTGTTATCAGAAAAGAGACTATGTCCGAGGTACATATGTACATATATTCAACTACAGAAATAAAATTTTAATGTGGGTATACCTTTATGTTAGAAAATTATACTTTCCCATTATTAATTATTGTTAGTTAGGTGTGGTAAGAAATTTATTTTGTCATTAAGATGTACCGAAAAGATAGATTGACTATTAACTTATTCTTTTAAGCTCTTACAGTCATCAAAAGAGCTTAATATTCCGCCATAGGAATCTTTGTCGTACAGCACATTTGATCTAAATCAATTCCTTTTTAATTTTATGCAGGAATAACAGAAAAAAATGAAGCATTTTTCCGACTTTATTGCAATGTATTTTAATAAAAATAGCATTTTTTTGGATTGACACGTTTTATTTAAAAAAATATTGCGAAATAATGGAAAGATCAAAAAGCAGATACCGCTTAAGATGCAGTATAAAATATGTTTATTTATATACTTGTAAGTTTTTTTTTAAGTTAATTGCAAAAACTCTATCTTGTTCTTCCTCTACTATATAAGTACTCCTCCAGTGTTCATACGGCGGTAATTTTTTTTCATCTTACATGTTATGTAATATTCTTTTTAATAATTTGTTTAATTCATATATAATGCAATGTGTAATCTATGCTTTTTCCTTATTTTTAGAATATTTTATTTATTAAGAAACTAAAAAATACTAAAATATTTCTCAAAGTAGGAACACACCTTGAGTGCCGTGACAGAGAGCAGTCAGTCTTTTTACGCCAATGACTGAACGCTAATTGTTGATTCAGATTAAGTATTCGTTCAGGGTTGAAACTACTCCAGTAAAATATTATTGATAAGCAGTAGTATGAAATATTAATTTGAAATTCCATGCTTTTGTTACAACAACACCTATTTATATCGGTTCTATATAAAATGTTTTAGGAACAAATATGTGTTAACAAGCGGCAACGCCTTTGTTAATGGGTTGTATTCAATCTATACACAATTAAATTGAGTCATGAACTAAAAAGGTACGCAAATTTCGACAAATTTGTAATATGAGCCACAACCCTGTAGTTCATTCCATTAACTAGCGCCTCCCTAATCCCTCGCTTTATAGCACATCGCATAATAATAATTAAGAAGTGATTTCTCACGAACAAAATGAGAATTGTGATCGATGATGAACATATTAATAAAATTAATTTATCGCTCATATAGAAATAGTAAAGCTAAAATTATGATTTTATACGCCTAAAGTAGTAGGCTTTTTTACGGCTTCGCTTATTTACCTATAAAAGACATGAATCAGTAAGTAGTCACTCCTAAAGGAAAAAGGAAAAATTCAGTTATATTGTTAATAGTATGAAACTTAACATCTCTTTGTATGTTTAACCATTTGCTCATAGCTGACGAGAATCATTCGTCAGTTTTTTTTTTAGTACGGATATAATATATATACTAGCACGGTAATGTAATGCATACATTACCGTGATTGACCATTGAGTTGAGTGAGTAGACTTTTGGTTACGATAGGAAACCTTTCCAAAATATTACTTGGTTAGCAATGCCAATTTGAGTTTATGTCGAATGAAAAATCGCGATGTGGCGATGGTTTTTATAGACACGAGGAGTGTAGTTAGGGGTTAGGAGTTAAGCAAAAGAAGAGTGTGCCATTTGTTGTAAGTATAAATGTATACCTACTACAATAGAATTATATTATGTTATCTAGCGTGATTGATCGGGGAGCTAGTAAATAAAAATATATGAAAATACAAGACGCGTTTTAAAATAAAAATGTTATTGCTGATATAAATTAATATTGCCATGTATAAAAAAATCAAAGATGATTTTTTTACGTTTTGCTTATGTACATTTACGCTTTAAGCATATTTTCCTATGTGATCAATATATAAATGGGCATGTTGTCTTCCACTTAGCACTAAGCAGATGAATAAAACTGTTATAATATATGAATGGTTCAGATTAATAATTAGCTTGCCCTCGCATCGCTCGGATTCATACCAAGCATGCTTCCCCATACAAACTTTCATCCCCGTTCTTACCCCCTTAAGAGATGATTTCGGGATAAAAACTATTTCACTCACTCACTTTTCATATCATGAGATTTAAAAAAAACTTATTTTAGTAAAAAAAATTCTTTTCATTTTCTTCTATACAAAACTTTCTGACAATAACAAACACAAATAAAAAGAATTATCTAATTTGGTGCAGTCGATCCAAAGTTATGCGCGTACATACATTTAAGTAATTCATTTTTATTTATATAGATTATAAAATATCAGTTATTAAGCAAGCGTAGCCCCCTGGTAAAATGCGTATTAACCAAATGAATCGGACACAAATAGCATCTCTTAAGATTTTCGTTTACAAATTATTATCAATACGATATTGCTGAAATGTTAAACGGAAATGATGAAAAAAGTGATCGTTCGTGGAAAAATAACGAAGAATTAATTAAAAAATAATTAATGAGCACCGGACATTCTGAACATTTGACGACACGTTTAGCTCAGTTTGTAGTGACCCTACTTGCTGTGCCAGCAGTTGCGGGTTCAGGTCCGCTGGGGGCATTCATTTGTGTGATGCGCACGAATGTTGTACTCCAGTCATGGATGCTTATATTTATAATATGTATGTGTGTAAAGTTATAATATATTAGTAGTGTATCAAGTATCAGGTATTCATAATACAAGCCTCGTGGAGCTAGATGGTACTGTGTGTTAATGGTCCAACATCTTTATTTATTTTTATTTATTTAAATAATCTATCATAAAAAATAATATAAAAATATCTAATTAATTAGAAAAGATAAGTTTGGACTAAAAACTCTTGTTGATATAAATAATTTAAGTCCAAACAAAAGGAATTTGGGGGTTAAAACCGTATACGATTTTTTAATGAATTTCCTACCAACGTTCCTAATAGAGAGCTAATGTTCTAAGTTACCACATTGTTGTAATGTTATCAGAACTGGACCTATACAGAAAGAATCATTAGGATCGATTAATTGTGTTTTAAATAAAACTATCTTTTCGGTTTATTTTGCGGATTTATTTTGATTTTTGGTTCCCGACGTTTCGAATGCTTTACAACAATCATGGTCACGGAAGAGACTAAAGTTATTATAGACGTCTCAAACACACACACACACACACACACACACATATATATATATATATATATATATATATATATATATATATATATATATACTTGTTACAGACAGTACCTACCCTACCATACCATAAAAATAATATGATACCTCACAATATTTGTTGATTTTTATTTCTAAACATTAAAAAAAATTAATCCTATATGTTGAGCCGGATAATCAGCTATCACCATACCAAATTTCATTAAAATCCCTCCAGTGATTTTTCTGTGATGCGCTAACAAACAGACAGAGAGAAACAGACAAAAATTCTGAAAACTATAGATTCGGCCTTTGTATCGATAATAATGTTTATTTCAATAAGATTTTCCAAAACATATTCAATGTACAGATTCGGCTTGGTTACAATTTTATTATATGTATGGACTAGCAGTACCCGCGGCTTTGCTTGCGCAAGAACCACAAAAAACTTAAAAAGATAGGTTTTATACAAACTTTCATCACATATTTTACTATGTTATGGGATGTAATATATATATATATATTTATATATATATATATTATCTATGTTTAAAAAAACACGTATTTATTTAATTGTATTGAAGAGCGTTAATGCTAAGTTTTAAATTATTCTGATCATAAATATTTTTTTGGATTGTGTTTTTCTGTGGGAATGAGATAATGTTTCGCGATAAAAAGAAGCTTATGTTACTCCAGCCTTCCAACTACCCCACACAAAAAATTACGCCAATCCGACATTTTGTTTTGACATGAAAAACACTCTGTTTTATATTTATAATATAGTATGGATATCATAAATATACAAATTTTAATTAGAAATCTTTTTTGTGGTAGGTACTGCAAAATCGAGCAATCGATGAATTTACGTACAAGTAGTTGTTTGCCAACAAACACCTGAAAGTCGTGCTAAAGGTTGTAAGTAACGTACTTAAAAATATATATTTTACTTTCTAAAAATATTGCACTACTATTATAAATGGAAAAGCATGTTTACATTTTTATATATGTTATTGTTACTATTTTACTCTGAACGACTTGTAACGTATTCGGATTAAATTTAGTACATAGGTACTCTATGATCTGTATTAACACATAGGCTGTTGTTATGAATCTAGAGAGGCAAGGGTAAGTCGCTAAATAACAACTAAAACGAAAAAATATATATACAATATCCTTGGAAATGTTTTCATTACAAAATTCAATATTTGCGTTTTGCAGCTTCATGTAAACTTAATTTGCGCGTTAAAAGAATATGCATAAGATTTTAAGGTTTTATATGTAAAACATATTTTAGACAAGCTCTCAACAATATTATGCTTTCTAAGTTCCTTTATTCTTAACTGACTTTAAATAAAACGATGAGTTTTATTTAAACTATTTCGATTGAAACTTTTACATATTTCATATTTAGAGCACTCGTTTTAACTAGTTAATGGCGGAAATTGAATAAATAATAAACTTACTGAGGTTTGATTTGAGTTATTAGTTTTTAAATATTAGTAAGTTCTAGGTACCTGTTCAGATGTTGACGGCGTCATCTGAAAAATCACCGACCATCAAAATTATATTATTCAAAATTTCTTTTCAAATATTTAAAACTTGGGATCTTATAATATTAATTCATATAATATTTGAGATATTATTAATAAGTAAGTAGGAATATATTTTTTTGTTGGAAAATATAAATTTTTTAACCTAAATTTATGCCGCGGTTCTAGCTCTACTATAATTTGTGGACCCAATAAAACTCACGGACTTCACACAGTACACATGAATATTGAGTATGTGATATTTTAAAATGTAGAGCAGATAAATTATTTTTTAAAATATAAAAAAAGGTAATTTATTTTCAATATTCATAAAAAAATCTATTTTATTAGTAAGATAAAAAATAAAATGACATTCAATCAATGACATGGATTTTCTTAGGATCTTAAAATTTTGACAGCAAATGGTTTGCGAGGCTTAAAATTTTGTCAGCAAATGTTTTTGATAGAGCTTGAAATGTACCTGAGGTGTGAGCTCCAACTTGTTGTCAACAGCAGATCTCTGTCGTGGCTCCAGCTTCAAAATTCCCTTCTCTTTGGCCTTTGGAAATATAAAAAGTTTAATTATGTCGTATTAAAAATGAAAAAAATAATTGTTTATTTTAATACTTTAAATATCACGGTATTTTTATAAACTTTAATTACATATTCCTGATATTTAACTTACAAAATTAAGAATAAAATGAAACCGCTAAAATTTCCATAAAATAAAATAAATAAATAAGGGGCGCTTCATTGCAATGAATGGTAATTCGACTCGGGCCATGAAATTTTTTTTATTAAATCGTCTATTGTAAGGCATAAGACGTACCTTAGAATCCATGTTGTTTCAATACCGGCGAACACCATTAGACGTTGACAATGACTGGGGTTATTCTCAATGTTGCGTGCCCATTAAGTCCATAGGGAAAATGTCCTAACACAACATGTTATTCATTATATAACGTCGAATATTACTTACTAGTATAAAAATTACTTCTATTATTAAAAAACCTGCTGTTTCGTAGTAATTAAGGCGGAACATCGTTGTTATTATATTTGATTTGCACTAAAAGTATTAGGGCAGTCATTAAAAGTGTAACGTTATGTATGACGACGAATGTGAAATTAGTAGCGTATAGTAATTTATTAAATTAATTAAAACTTAATATATATTACGAATATGTAATTATGTAACTAAGCATTATGTTTGATGCAGAACTTCAAATGTTAAAATATTGCCTTTTTGAAATTTGTTTCACTTAAATGAATATTAACTGACTTAAATAAAAATATTACTTACACTATTTTGTCTCGGAACTAACACTAATTAGAGAAAAACGATGCGCAGAGGTGGGTTGTCAAAAGGGGTGAGAACGCAGGTCACTTTACACCTTTGGTGCCTATACACCTAGATAAATTACTGGACAATGATATAATTCAATCAGTGTTCGGGTCTTTTAATAATATTGTTCTGTGTGTATATTGTAAATGTTACATTTTTAATGGATATTTAAATTATAATTCAGCTTATATTTATTAATATACATAACTTATTCATATTTACTAAAACCTGAAATTTAGTTTAAAATAAACTAAAACATTAAATAAAATATGGGAATGCAACTGAACAAAACAGAAGATATTTTCCTATGAGACATTTAAGAGTTTCTCGAATCGCCTCCGATCATTTAATTTAATTAATTCATTTCTTCTCCCAGAAAAGGAAAAGATTCTTGAGGGACAAAGGACAAGAAAATACTAAATACCAACATTCAGCTTAATGTTTTCCTCAAAACACAGAAGTATTTTTGTATGATTTTTTATTAAATGTTCTCATTGTCACTCAAAACGATTACATACTAATTAATATGTGTAAGCTGCTGCATGATATTAAAAAGGCTACACCGTACACGTGATTTATTGAAAATTTAGGACTGCGTGGGATTGATGCAAAACGGAAAATAAGATCATAAATAATTTCATTCTTTATAAAATTAGAAATTTTAAAATATTATTACACATTTTATTGATTTATGGTTATCACAGTGCTAACACTATATAATAGAACTACCTAGTATTATTAGGTAAGCTTTTATTATGAAGGTGTAAAGTTAATGGCATATAGGAGACTGCCTATAAAATTACAGTGCAATGAACAAACATTGCATTACATGTTATGAGACCACTTTATATGATTAGTCTAATAAACGTACATAGATACTAAAAGCGTAGTGAGTAGGTACTTCGATCTTGATATCGCAATCTTGTGTTAAATGAGAAACTCGTGGTCAGTACATATATCTCACAATATTAACCCAATATTACAAGACAGATAGTGTTGTACCTATATAAAATTATATTAATGTTACTTTAACTTTTTTTTTTAATGAACGTACAATTGTAAAATATGTGTTGAAAATGATAAGATTATATTTTTGTGGTAACGCTTTGAACAGTGGTATCTATTTATTTATGATTAATTTACCGACATTTGCAACCATTTTAAGGTTTACACTAAATTTGCAAAAAAAATAAAAATTATAAAATTGTTTTGAAAATTACAGTACCTAACAGTCTTACGGTGTTCCTCATGTACAATATATGGGAAATTTCTATCTACATTTTGATACAAGTGAATCTGATTGTATTATCAAATAGAGATAGATAAATATTTCAGTGGCAAGTAAATAATTCGCCTTACTTGGAAATCAAACTCACGACCATTGCACTAACCGTTAATGCGTATTTGGTTATACGCCATACATCCTTGTGATGAAGGAGAACCCGATTAAAGTTCATCTAATCTTACACACAACGAACAGTTCTTTGAACTTCGTTATCTTTATTTTGGAAGCACTCTAGTAATTTTATTACAAAACCAGCTTCCGCTTTACTAAAAATTAGGTCTCATTTTTATCAGATTAACAAAATATTAACTTACACTTTTATAATTTTAAATATATTTTTTTATTTTGATGATACTTATGATAATCAAGATGATGATGAAAAATTTTCTTGCCTAAAGCAGATATTTTTGATTATTATTTATAATTGCAAATATATTTAAAATCACTGTGGCCTTCTTACTACAAATGTATGCATGTACAATACTAGAGTATTTAGTATAAAATCCAACAGATGCTTACCACATGTCGATAATACTAGTTTTTTTGTTTGAGACGTAATATTTTGATTATTATAAGCCCAAACTTTAAAGTTTTAAGCAAATTTATAAACACAAAGAGTTGTATAATTATGTATGTAATAATAATTGTATATTTTTTGGACGTATATTTTGTGAGAAACGTTAAGGCGTTAAAATACCAGGCCACTTTTTTTCCATATACCTATAAAAACATAATATTAAAGTAGTTTATATGGATGCTCATTGTAGTTTATATGGATGCTTATTAAAGCATAATTATTATTAAAAAATAAAATAAAGATATTACTAAACTAAAATTCTTCACACGTAGAGAATTGTACTAGCGCATCATACTATTAAATACACTAATACTACTAGAATAATTAGAATTACTGGAACGACCAGTCCGATTTAAAAATCCTTATTAAATTTATTTATTGGCAAAAGTTTTATGCTATCTAAAATAACGCCAAGAAACTTAGAAGCGGAGATTCATTAATTAAAACTCATTTTTTTTATTAATTTAAATGACGAATTTATATAGCTTTTCTTGGCATCTCTATCATTTTAATTAAAGGTTGTGTTGTCTTTCATGGGGGTCAGGTAAGGCATCGAAGTAATTATCAAGCCCTAGTGTGAGAGAGATAGACTGCGCAGAGAAAGAGGTAGTGCTATCCAATGACCTAATGCACTCGTCCGCGACAGAAGAATCCACACACTAATCTGAATCACGTATACAATATTAATTCAGATACTCCATGAGGATGAAGTCTTCATAGTGCAGAATAGGCATATAATATAGAAGAAGATAATATCGAGTAATGAGAAGTATATATGCTAAAAAATCTAAATATTTAAAATTTATTATATGTCATAATATTCTATAACATCATTGAGAATTTATTTGTTGATTTTTTATAGAAGCACTGTCACATATAATGTTAAAATATATTAAGAATTCGATTGGTATATTTTTTCATAGGCGACCGCACATGGTGGCATTCTAGCAGAAAACAAAAGCTCAGACCTTTTCAGGTTCGTTCACAAAAAACGGTCGCTATGAGGCCACCGCTCGCGCTTAGAAATGTGTTCCGCCACTGGACAAAGATTAGAAAGACTAACAGATGATTTTTATTGGTATTTTTTATGTTTGTTGACTACTCTTAATTTTTAATTGTGGTATTTTTATTTTAGTCAAATTATTCATTAATAAACTGTATTAAAATTTAATTCCATGAACAAAAGTACACTATATATTTTATTATGTACTACTATTATATAATAACAAATTAATTTCAAAAATCAATTCAGGTTAGTGTTTTGTATGGCCTTAAGAGCGCTCAATAATTGAGTAAATAACGGATAGGTGAAATTTTCATGAAAGACTCCATTTTCCGAGCAATAAATAAATTTTAAAATAAAAATCGATGTGTGTATGTATATTTTCTATGGACTCCAAAACAGCTGAAGCGATTTTGATGAAATTTTCAGGTACCTAATCTTCAGATTAGCCTAGCGGGTGATCCTGTGAATTTTGTTAGTGATCGGAAGTTAGGACGCGGGTGAAGCCGCGGATACTGCTAGTAGTATTATATGATCTGTACTCGTATCTATATTCCATCCAGTTGTAACCCTCGCAAGGAAGCTAAGAAAAATACAGAGCTCGCGCTATAATCTCCGCGTTTACTTATATGTTCGATGGTGTTTTTGTTATTTGGTGACAAGAACCTTTTTTTTTTTTTTTTATGTCGGGAAATGCATTTACGCATACCACCTGATCCCCCAGGTGGTGATGTGGGGCTCACCGGCTAGAAGAGCCGGTACTACCCACTAAAACCCGACATTCCCCTCCCCTCCGCCTTAATGGGACGCCGCAGGATCGCTTGCGCATAACTACTACGGCGCCCCGGCGGCAGTCTAAGCGCTAGGCAGAGCGCTAGGCAGACCACCAAACCAATGGGGCTGCTCCACAGTCAACTCTGCTACGCCAGAGAGGTACCCGGAGCAGCCCCATTAAACATAACCACCGCCCACCGAAGTGGGCCACCTCCAATCGGCTGCAGAGGACAGGGAGAGCGGCAACGAAACACCGACACTCCTCTTCCCCTGCAGCCCCACCGCGTCCGCCATCAAACGGTGGCGGCCCCGTCTAGGCCGCGGAAGGTAGGGAGAACGGCGCACCGAAATACCGGCACTCCTCTCCCGCCGCGGCCTACTCCTCCGCCGGATGCGGGCCTGCGACCACAGTCCCGCAACCGGCACCCATCATCCGGTTGTGGGACCAAGCGGTCCCACCACCGGTGGCCGCAACGTCTTCGGCTCGAGTCCTAGACGAGCGGCCCCACCCAAGCCATTTGGTCCGCGCCGGATTTCTCCGGTACCACCCGCCGCCCTAAGCGGGTGGCATTCCCCTATCCGCCACCTGGGGACGCGCCCGGTAGGAGTTGGCTTCTCCCCCGGGTGGTGACAAGAACCTTAGCCTACGTATTGTAAAATACCTTTGCAAATATGTTATTGATTAATATAACAAAATAATATCAAAATTGCTACATATGCTCGGGTATACATTTTAAAAGAAAGTGAAAGTTAGATTTTGCGAACCCCTTAGTAAATACATTTGAAGTTTTATCATAAATTAGTATTTTATACTATTTTCAACGGACTTCAAAAGAAACACTAAAAGGTAAAAAATAACTGATTGGTAGTTTTCATTTACTATAGATACCTAATCAGATATTTTCGAAGTTGGTGTGCTTTGATTTGTATCGGCTGGCACCGACTTCGAAAATATCTGATTAAGATATTTTTAGTAAATGAAAACTTCCAATCATTTCTTTTTTACATTTTAGTGTTTTTTAAAGTCAGTTTTTATTTTTTATTTAAAGTTTTTATTTTCCATTTTTAGTGTTTTTCACCTTTGTACAAAGTAAGAAGAAAGTATTACAATAAAATATTTGTTTAAGCCGTTTATGTTAGTTGATGCCAGTTTTTATATGAAAACTGATTAACTAAAATGAGCTTTTTCAAGAAACACTAAAAAATCAGGCTCTAAAATCCAATTCTAACGTATATGCCTTCTAAAATCAACAAAATAAGCCCAAACTATAAACCTATCTACCTTTTCGCCTTACCATCAGATCAGGTCGACGATACCGAACCACTGCACTATCAACGGAAATAGAAACACTTGCAAAGTTTCAAGTCAATATGTTAATTAGGAGTAGGTTAAATTTTCATTACCTATTTTTCCACCCTTAAGGGTGGTATTGTTTTTTAAATTTAAATGGGACGTTTGAAGTTGGTTGCCAGCCATACAAATCAAAGCATATCGACTTCAAAAATATCAAATTAGATATCTATAGTAAATGAAAAACTACCAATCAGTTATTTTTTACTTTTTAGTGTTTCTTGAAGTCAGTTTTTATTTTATTTTTAACAAGTTTTTAATGTTATCAATATTTTTTTTTCATAATATGTTTCTAAAATATCTTTTTTTTAAATAATTAAATTTATTTCATTTAAACTCCGTGAGACAAAGTAGTACATGAGTCAGACCTTTTAAATAATCTTTGGCGTAGTGTTGTGAAACGAGCGAAGCGTCAGTGCTCGGTCGACCAGCAGGCGCGTCGACACGGGCTCCACGCGCTTTAACAAAATGGCGCGGCCATTCATTTACCCATACTTTCTAACGTTTATGGCTATATCTTCGGCGCAGGATTACTACCACACTCCTAGGATAGGATCGCAGAAACTTGCTTCGTGCTACAATAGCGATGGACAACCGCAAGTAAGTATTAACTAGAGCTTTTAAACTTTTTGTTTGTGTCAATTTTGACATGTTGACGGCTGTTTAATCTATGCCCAATAACTGGAATCAAAGCCTTTCCATCTTTATACACTTTATCTATGATTCATTCACATCCAGATAATGCATTTAATGTACTGAATAAATGATTCTTTGAAACTAATTTACTCGCTTTTTAAAAAAGAGCTTTTTGTCACTTTTATCTATGTATTTTTAGATTTTATTTTTGACTAATTGCCTTTTTAAAGACTAATTCTCAAAAAATGAAGTGCTGTAATTACTTTTTCGAAAAGAGTAAAGAAATACGTCCGTAAGTGGTGTTTTAATGAAATTAAAGCTAATCGACTGGGAATATTTATAAAAAAACTATAATAATTAAAAATAAAATAATTGTAATACCAATAAATAATATTCTAATATAATGATTATTATTTTTAAATCTGTACATAGCGTAGATTTGTATCTCGATATGTACCTCGACTGTAATAGTCTTTATATTCATATTATTGTATTGCCACGCGTATATAACATAAATGAATATCACATAAGATACCTACTAGGTAATTGAAAAGCCTACTAAGATAATGAATCTGTTCTTTCAAAACGCAATTTTTGATTATAAAATATGTGGTTGTTAACAACTTTATTTTGTCAGATTATCTAAAGGTTATCGGTGTAAAACAGTAAATGTTGTAAGTCCATTGATATTGTAATGAGTTCATTTACTCTCAGAGCCTAATGTTTTGTTATCGGGAGCCAACGGAACGGGCTTATCACTACATCCGTCGTAACCAGATATAATGTACAATTCTAATTTACCAACTTTTATTAAAATTTACAATGAATTTTGCCAATTCATTAAAAATCGTTTAATTCAAAATATAGTATACAAATTAGAAATCCCATAGTTACTAGCCTTATAAAAACACTAGCGGCACAACCTCGCTTCGCTCGGGTTGGTCCCTAGTGAAAAACAAAAAAAAACTACCCCACGAGAACCATACATTTTTCCGGAGTAAAAAGCAACTTATGTGCTATTATAGACTGCTATCACGATGCTAAATATCATCCAGATCCGGTCAGCAGTCAGCGTGATTTAGTAACAAACATCTATCCATCCAAACTTTCGCATTTATATAGTAGTAAGATAGCCAATATTTTTATTCATTTTAATTAAAGCTCTTATAAAAATAATAACATTCGACCCAGTTACCGAATGTATCTTATCCGAATCGTTATATGTACTTGTTAATAATGATGACATGATCAAATTTTTTATCGCTAAAGTTATACATAACATGTAAGAGTCTAACTCACAGGCATACTACAGACTGAGTTCTTATTCCCCTTTGCCATACTATTAATGATTTTCCTTGTTAAGTTATACAGATATGTATAAATTATAAACTAAATGCTTATATTAGAGCAATCTCATAACAAAACATACCTTACAAGCAACATTTTTTGTTCAGTTGGCTTAATTTTATTTTTTCTATAATAATCACAAAGTACAGTCTATTATTACTTAATTAAATGAGTACTTAATTAAAATAGATTACATAAGACTAAAAAAATATACTGAAAATTGCGTAAAATCATTTGAGTCAGCTTACGCATTGCTGACTTTTTAAATGTTCAGAACTTTCTAAACTATAAATAATATTGGATAAGATCAACTAGGAATGATTAATGATTAACTTTATATGTAACTAGCGGCTCTCACTCGCTTCGCTCGGCTTCGCCTCTAGAAAAACAAAAACAAATCTATCCCTTGGGAACCGTTTAATTTTCCGGGATAAAAAGTAGCCTATGTGTTATTATATATTGTGTTTAGTAAAGTTTCAGTCAATGCTACTACTGAACAGAGAAAGACTAGATAGATATAGATAGTTTAACAAATGTTCGACGTGATTCTTTAAATTGGTATAACTTTTTTATTTATAAATCGATTGACATGAAACAATCACCAAATGTTAAGTGAAAACCACATCTAAATCGGATAAGCCGTTTCTGAAATTAGCGTGCACAAACGTACAGACAAAAATTCTAACAATCATTGTTTTAGATGCTATTTGCGTTGATAAACTTCCCAATAATATTTTTTCTCATATATCTTCCATTTACATACAGTGATCCGTTACATTTTTATTATATGTATAGATATTGTATTTGCAAGTATATAAATAAAGTAAGTACATATTATGTATATTAGGAATGCCAATATTTGCCTCCAAAATAATTATTTGAGTAGTGCACACACAGACATACAATTGTGTATAGAATTTGAGTATTAAGTGTTCAAGTATTTTATAATTTTTCCTTCTTCAATCTACGTAGACTCACATGTAACCTATGTTACAAGTTTATACGAGTATATGACTATAGCCCGATGGCGGTGATGTGAATGTCCTGAGCCCGCACTATATATAGCGTAACTATTTTGGCGGCAAAAGTACCATCTGGGATGAGTCGTAAACCTGTTTCCGTATTGTCTAACGATTTATTTTATTTGCTATTTGCCGTCTTCGAAGGTTCTTCTCGGAAAGTAGGAGTACTTTAAAGTATTTTGTTTGAAGTACTAATTTTATGACAACATTAGACTAAAATAAAATTACATATTTTTATGTCATCAACACTGTAAATATTTTTTATTTTTTTGTAGCGATGTATACCAGAGTTCGAAAATGCAGCGTTTATGGTACAAATGGAGGCAACAAATACGTGCGGCGACAATGGCATGAAGATGTTTTGCATCCAGACTTCAGCTGGTACCTCAACTCGGTAAAAGTGACTCTTATTACAATAGTAAAAACGTATGGAAATACCTCTCACCATGGATGCTTTTCTTGTATTCTCTATAGCCTTTTAGGGCAATTGTGCCTGCTGTTTCACCTGCATATAGTGTTTTCATTCTTTTCCTTAAACATTCAATATAAGAAACGTCAACTCTGCAACGATAACAATTAAAGGAGAGCATAACCGGAGTAAGACGTATTTATATATTGTAGTCCAGGACATAGTCGATTTACGCATGATTAAGTCACAAATATACAAGCACTTTCATATATATATAAAGAATATATAAAAAATAGGAGCAAGAAAAAATAATTATAGGGATTTTATGATTAATAGTATATCTTTATTTAGGTCCTGTGATTTCTGTCAACCGGGGCAGTTCTCCAGCTATTACTTAACTGACTTGCATTACGAACAGGATAATCAAACTTGGTGGCAGTCAGAGACTATGAAGGAGCAAATTCAGTATCCCTACCAAGTAAATTTAACATTACATTTAGGTAAGCTTACATTATATTTTGTTCCATATTAACACATAATACGTTTTCATTTATCGAACGGGCTTAAAATATGATTTTTATTTTACAATCTTCTTGGAAATGACCATTAAGTACAGATGTTGCGTCAAGATTGATACTTAATGTTATGGTTTTTGTTAATACTTATATTTATTTTAGGGATATTAATAACCAGTATGTGTTTTTAGGTAAAGCGTATGATATTACGTATGTGCGAATCGTGTTTTACTCTCCGAGACCGCAAAGTTTTGCTATTTACAAGAAAACTAGTGAGGAATCTGATTGGGAACCATATCAATATTTTAGGTACGTCAATCTTTTTTAATTATAAAAAGAAGTCATTCATTGACGTAAATATATAACATTGCCATTAAGTCATAACTATAGCTAAAATTAATTTAACGAGCAGTTAAGTTACTATATAACTTCGTAATTTAAAAAAAATCCTTTGGGATATGATTACCACAAAGTATGTGGCAATGCGACAACTGATAACCTATTTACATAAATAATTTCGTACATGTTTAAATATTTTTATGCCTGAATTAAGTTAATTATAAGTTATTGGTATCAGTGCGTCATGTCGAGACACATATGGAGTGCAAGAGCAACGTGCCGCGGAGCTTGGAGCAGAAACGAGAGCGCTATGTACTAGCGAGTACTCAGACATTTCCCCTTTATCGGGCGGGAATGTGCTATTTTCAACACTTGAGGGTAGACCTTCTGCGTACACTTTCGACAATAGTCCTGAGCTTCAGGTAAATAATTTTAATTATTTTAAAGATATATTTGATTCTTATAAACGCCACGTTGCTCCAGTAGCCGATATTGTTGGTCAAGCTCGCGCGTCGAAGAACACGTAAAGCCTGCACTTATTCAATCTTTAATCGGTCACATTATTGCCCCATTGGATTTTGCCAGTGAAAGAAATAGAACATGCACTGTTGTACTTACACTCGCACTTCTGCTCTATAATATCGCAGATTGGCTATTTTTAATTAGAAATACCGTCGTGACCGGAATCGTTCAGGATCTAATAACAATTTATAAGAATAAGACTTAAATGCCATAATTTAACTGTTGACTGTGAAAATATTAAATTTATACATATATGTAATCTAATATCGTGCGGTAATGTTTTATTATTTATAATGTTATTAATTTTTTATTCGTTAATTTTAATGTTTACAGGAATGGGTAACAGCTACAGATTTACGAATATCTTTGGATCGCTTAAACACTTTTGGAGATGAAATATTCGGCGATGTGCAAGTATTACAGTCATACTGGTATGCTATAGCCGACGTAGCAGTGGGTGCCCGCTGCAAGTGTAACGGCCACGCTTCCGTGTGCGACACACAGCAACTATCAGACGGATCTAGAGCTAGATATTGCAGGTTAGAAACTATTATAAAAAATACAAAAATAAAAACCCGACAACGTAAAAAGCGAACCAAAAAGATGAGAACATGTTGACGCAGGAACACAGTATTATGCAGTTAGAGACATACATACAAGTAGTATAAATCGCTATATAATGTAAAGCAAAAGAGTTTTTTGTAGTTTGAACGCGGGCGAAGCCGCGGGTTCTGCTAGTCTAATATATAAATATCTCGTGTCACAGTGTTTGTGGTCGCACTCCTCCGAAAAGGCTCGACCGATTTTATTCAATAATCAAACAAAGATTATTATCAAATTATTCTAAATAGATACAGGACCATAAACTTTAAAAATTATCTGTTTAAAATAAGTTTCATTCACACAGATGTGAACACAACACTGCGGGTCGCGAATGTGAAAAGTGCTTAGATTTCTACAATGACGCGCCGTGGGGACGCGCGTCTCCTACTAACGTGCACGAATGCAAGGGTGAGTGAGAAGCAATACTTTGGCCTTTTGTTAGTGTGTACAGTAGCATTGCGAATTATATTATTGTACTTATAATTTTTTAAAATTCTAGTTTTAATATGATATTTCTTTACACGATGAAAGTGCTTGGCAAATGCATACACGAAATTCTAGAAGACATTTTATATTATACTATATTTTTGTATCAATTATTTAAGAATTCATTTGATATTTTATAAAATTCACTTATATTTAAAGTCTGTGGCGTATGTACGTATGTTTTTTTAAAAGTAGTATACTTTTGACTTTAATAATATTTATTTTGTTTGCTAGCGATTTTAGTGCATCCTAAAATGTAACTGAAGAATTCCAGCGCGGTAGTCCCCATTGCCTGACGATGGAACCAGACAATGTTTAGGAACTATCCAAAATAGTTTGCTACTAAATGGAACTATAGAATGGATTATAATTATATTTTTTTATATTTCACTTAGAATTTTCTATGAATAATGTTGAATAATTTTATTATTATTTATATATCGCTAGCGTAGCCTTAAAGGATTATTCCTAAGTCACCACATATTGAAATTTCTTTACAGCCTGTAATTGCAACGGGTTTTCGAACAAGTGCTACTTCGACAAAGATTTATACGAGCGAACGGGCCATGGAGGGCATTGCATTGACTGTGCTGAAAACAGAGATGGCGCAAATTGCGAAAGATGCAAGGAGAACTTTTTTCAAGGCGCACAAGATATCTGTATGCCGTGCAATTGTAACCCTACTGGTAAGTAAAATATTTTAATTTATCTTAGTATTTAGTGTTTAGCCAAAGTTTTGGTTTTGAAGCTGAATTATAGTTCAGTCGGTTTCGGTAAAAAACTTTCCGAAACTGCGACCGCAAACTAAACTGCCTTCAAGATCTTTCGATTTTTTGGGAGCGATAGGCGAGTGCAGTGAGTTTATTTTTCTGAGTAAAGTAACTGATCTGTAAATACTTTTTTTTCAATATCTATATAATAAATATTGATAAAATAAACTTATAAAAGACACTAAGCTGAAATTAAGTTAAAGTTCATTTTTGGTTCCGAAAACATAGTTTAGTCCGACACCATTAATATCATTTGATGCATATTCTAAAATAAACAATAAAATTATACAAAATATTAAATATAAAAGCACCTACTGCTTGCAATAAATTATGTTATATAAATAAAAAATGTTCTATTATAGGTTCTCGAAGCCTCCAGTGTAATGCCGAAGGCAAGTGTCAATGTAAACCAGGCGTAACTGGAGATAAGTGCGACGTTTGTGCTCCAAACCATTATGAATTCACTGTTCAAGGATGTAAGCCTTGTGGTTGTAACGAGTATGGCTCTTATGGTAACACTCCTCAATGTGATTCTGAAACTGGGGTATGTCTTTGCAAACAGAATGTGGAGGGTAGACAGTGTCGAGAGTGAGTACTATGTAATTTCTTCAGTGTATATAAATGATTATCTGACGGAAATTTCAACTATTTTTATTAATCATTTAAGGTGTAAGCCAGGCTTCTTCAACCTGGACTTTGAAAACGAGTTTGGTTGTACTCCATGCTTCTGTTTCGGACATTCATCGCAGTGTAGCTCAGCGCCGAAGTACCAAGCGCACGAGCTAAGTGCTCATTTTATTAGAGACGCAGAAAAATGGCTTGCAGAGGATAGTAATCATAGACCTGCACAATTAATGTTCAATGCCAATACTCAAAATATAGGTAAATATCAATTTAATACTTTCGTTTTCTGATAAAACTATCTTAAAGTTAATTCTTGTACAAAAGAAGTTTTATTAATAGCCTTTTTTATTATTTACAGCCGTTGCATCCAAGGAGTCCGAAATAGTATACTTTGTGGCATCAAGTCAGTTCCTCGGCGACCAAAGACCATCTTACAACCATGACTTAAAATTCACATTACGACTTGGAGAAAGTAGAGGATATCCATCAGCACAAGATATCATCTTAGAAGGAGCCCAAACCTCAATATCGATGAACATTTATGGTCAAAATAATCCGGAACCCTCTGACCAAGTACGTATGATGATGACTAAGTAGCAAGCGATAGACAAAATTATTGACATATTATGTTGCAGCTGCGAAACTATTAATGCTGTTGCGATTTATTGTCCTTGAATACTTCTAATATATATGATGCTTATAACATTAATACTGTTTTCAGGAACAAGAATATAAATTTAGACTGCACGAAGATCCAAGATACGGATGGACTCCCACACTTTCAAACTTTGAGTTTATGTCCATTCTTCAGAACTTGACTGCTATCAAGATAAGAGGAACTTACAACAAATTTGGTCAAGGGTATCTCATGAATTTCAAGTTAGATACAGCTACGATTGGTAGAGAAAAAGGTTCGACTCCCGCTAATTGGGTGGAGAAATGTTCCTGTCCGAAAGCGTACGTCGGTGATTACTGCGAAGAATGTGCTCCTGGTTTTAAACACGAACCCGCGAATGGTGGACCATACTCTACTTGTATACCTTGTGATTGCAATGGGCATGCTCATATTTGTGATACAGCTACAGGTATGTAATATAATCATATTTTTATTTCTTTTAAATATATTACTTCTAATATTTTTCATGTACTGTTTAAAGTAAAATATACTATTTAGTTATGTTCTGCTTACAGGATTTTGTATTTGTAAACATAATACTACTGGAAGCAATTGTGAATTGTGCGCAAAGGGTTTCTATGGAAACGCCATAGCGGGGACGCTAGACGACTGTAAGCCCTGCCCTTGCCCTAAAGACAGCGGGTGCATTCAGTTGATGGATCAAAGCATCGTTTGTACTGACTGTCCGGTCGGGTACGCAGGTGAGTCACTTAGTTTATATTTATTTTGTCATTACAGTTCTTTTATTCTTAATTGTATACTTACGTTATAATGTTTCAAATTGACCTAATGAAGAATTCTATATACGTAAAATATATTTTTAGGTAAAGTTTTAATAAATATATTTGTTTAATGATGTTTCAAATATGTTTTTTCAGGACCTCGATGTGAAGTTTGTGCGGATGGTCACTTCGGTGACCCAACAGGTCAATTTGGGCCTCCTAAAGAATGTGAAGAATGTCAGTGCAATGGTAATGTGGATCCGAACGCTGTAGGAAACTGCAACAGAACGACTGGTGAATGTCTGAAATGTATCTACAATACCGCTGGCGAGCACTGTGATAAATGTTTAAGTGGTAAGTTATTCTATTTGGCTTCAGCTTTACCTATTATTTGAAGTTTATCACTAAGTAAATGTTATAGATTATTTATGTTTTATAAATTTTTATCGATTATTTATGTTTTATAAGATATTTCTTTAATTTTCTAAGGATTCTTCGGAGATGCCCTTGACCAAAAAAAGAAAGGTGATTGTAAACAGTGCCAGTGTCACGAGGCGGGTACTTTAGAAAGTGCAGAAGGTCCACCACTATGCTATGGTCTTACTGGATTCTGTTCGTGCCGTCCCCATGTTGTCGGCAAGAATTGTGATAAATGTGAGGTAATATCAATAGCTCCTAGATTTACGCCTAAAATGAAATTGAATATAATTATTAAAGTAATATTATGCATATTTAACCTACTTAGTATAAAAGGGAATATTTTTATTTCAACAAATAAAATGGAACTTAGAAATTAAGAATTATTTGAAAGTTAGTACACATAAAGTTAGTTTGTTCTAAATAATGAAATAAGAAACACCATTTGGATAGCAGTATAATAAAACAATATAATATTCTATATAACCAACAATATACGATATTGACTTTACACTTTATATTTTCATAAAAAAATCCATGGTTAGGTACTCATTAAAAATATTATTTATTGTATTTTATGAAGAGTATAAATCTAATAAACACTAATTAATATTTTTTCTAATTAGGAGGGCTATTATGACATCAATTCTGGGGAAGGCTGTAAGTCTTGCAACTGTAACCTGGAGGGTTCCTACAACGGTACCTGTCATCCTGTCACTGGACAATGTTATTGTAAGCCTGGTATAGACGGGTAAGAAATTTATACTTTATACTATATCCGCCTTCTCTTCTTATATTATCTTATATGATGCTTCTCCTTCTCTCTTTCTGTAAAGATTAAATAAAATTTATCGGTGAGATTTCATGTTTTAGCAAAGTATTATTAAAATGGGTACATTTTTTTCTTGTTTGCAGGTTTTTATAATTGATAATATTGATTTTTATTAATTGTTATTAATTTATTTGGATTAATGTAATAATAAAACTTAACAATTGATAATGTTTTTCTAGTATTCACTGTGACCGTTGCCGAGCTTATCACTATGGATTCTCAGCGGAAGGATGTCATGACTGTGATTGCGATGAATGGGGTTCCACCAATTACCAGTGCGACATGATTGGGCAATGTTCTTGTCAGGAAAATGTTGAAGGACGCCGATGCGATAGGTAATTAATTATTCAAAACGAATAAAGCAATCAATTGCGTATTACAAAAGTTTTATATTCGATAAAGTGTCGTCTATAGAATCGCTACTATGATGTTTTTCATATCGTTTTTTTCAGTTTTTCAGTTTTTTTCCTGTTTATTATACAGATACATATTATATCTACTATTTTATATTTTTACAATTCTTAAATATTAAATTGCATGCTTTTAAATATTTACTAATAAAATAATTTATACTTGTTCTAAAAAAGGTGCATGGAGAATAAGAAACGGCGTGCAGATGGACAGGGCTGTGAAAATTGTCCACCATGTTACAACTTAGTGCAAGATGCTGTTAACCAACATAGGAAGGAGCTTAAGGAATTAGATGATGTGAGTTTACTTATAGTAATGAAACGTTTTTATAGAAGCGAACCTACAATTGACATTTTAAATAAAATTTTGTCAAATAACACAATGCTTTTTGCTTTATTTAGTCATAAATTATCAAATAAAGATGTTGTTCCTCATATAAATTAGGATTATTTGTTAAATATATGTACAATATAACGTCAATGTTTAATATATACTTAAAAAGAAAATTACATTACATTATATTAAAATTACAGATATTAGCGAAAATTTCCAAAACACCAACTGTTGTGGAGAATGCAGATTTCGACAATGAACTTCAGCGCGTTAGAGCTGAAATTGATAGATTAATTGAAGAAGCACAAGCTGAACTCGGTAGTGGTCCTGGCACCAGCATTACCAACAATTTGGCTGAGCTTGCCGATAGACTTGCTGACGTCAGGTAAAATTATTTTTAGTAATTTTTATTAATTTATTTTTCCTATGAAAAAACGACGTGTTTTATATTAATTGATTCATTTTAGGAACATGTTGTTTAAAATCGAAGATGAATGCTACGAAGGTAATGATTCAGTCGAACGAAGCAAAGGCAATGTTTCAAAAGCAGAAGATACCATAGAGGCAGCACAGAAAGAAATTAATGTAAGTAACATAAATGCTTGTCAGTTGTGACCTTGTGAAGTGCGCCAACCCGCATTTGGCCAGCGTGGCTTGGTGGACTATGACTTGATTCCCTTAGATCTTACATGTGATATTTATTATCAATTTATTTCAATTTCTCTCACAGAGTGCTTTAGAGTACCTTGACGGTGAAGGTGCGGCTGCTTTATCAAAAGCACGTAATAGATCCGATCAGTTTGGAAAGCAATCGGTAGATATGTCAGCATTAGCTAAAGAATCTCGTTTGTTGGCGGAAAAACTTGAAAATGATGCCAAAAATATTAAAGATATTGCAGAAAAAGCATATAATACTTCATTGGCAGCGCACAATATAGCTAAAGAGGGTATAACAAAACAAGCCAATATAAGGTAATAAGATTGTGTAACTGTAACGTTTGGTAATATGATAATCTTTACATTGTCTTTATTCTATATTTAATGTATATTTATTTTCAGTAACGAAGTGCAAATTTTAGCAAATGAATTAAATGCAGCATCCGGAAAATTAAGCAGCATGGCGGAGCTCGCAGAGCAAGCTTTAAAGAGAGCTAAAACTGTATACGATGAAGCTTTAGGACTATATGCTGAAGTTAATACTACATTACTACCTGACATTAAGCTAAGCAAGTTACGACAGGACTCCATAGATATGAATAGAACTGTAAGTATACTTTAAAAAAAGGTTATATAATTTTACTTCGAGTACGATGGAATGGTAAAACAAACTTTTCAAAGTTGAAATGACTTAACAATGCTGCGTGAAGATCTTATATTTAAATAATATATGTATATTTATAGCTTTGGTAAATATTTAACCTAAAAGCCCAAACAAAATTACAGATTGATGAGAAATCAGCTGAATTGGAACAACTAATAAGCGTTACTGAAGATACACTCCAATCTCTAGATAAAGAAATTCGTCGTGGAAAAGATCTTATAGAGCAAGGCCACGACAGACAAGACGAGCTTTATGATCTTCTAGCTAGACTTGACGAATTGAAAGCTCAGGCACAAAACGATGTAGAACTAACAAAAGAAACTTTGAAAGACGCTAATGAGATTTATATAACACTTAAAGGTGAGACGTTAACTTAAGGAGTTATTATATTTTTTACATATTATGTCCAGACAATGCATCTGATGCGAACTACGTACGGTTTTACTATTTTTTCTTTGAGCCTACTATGTATTTCTATTTATATACTTAATATTTTGATAATTAATATACTTTTGTATACTAGCAGCACATACTCGCTTCGCTTCCTCCTTACATGAAAAACAAAAAAAAATCAGTCCCACGGGAACCGTACATTTTTCCGGGATAAAAAGTAGCCCATGTGCTATATCTTAATCTACTCAATAGACAGTAGTATACAGTGATACATATAATTATAATTATTGGAAATATCTATCTACCATTTTAATTTTTAACTATTTAACATACATACATAATTAAACTGATAAACACATTACCTTCCAATGCGTCGCGCAGTAATAACATTTATTAACAATAAAAGAAATTACGAACATAACTATATACATATACAAAAAGTGTTTAGCGCTCCAATTCCATGGGCCAAGGGTTTCTACAGCAAAAGGTATAAAGGTATAATTTTGACTAAGGGACAGCTTATAATAATATTAATTTGTAGTGTTTGATTTTAGTAGTGTTTTTATTAATTATTGTAAATAATTTGATTCAGAGTTCAGCGATCAGGTAACTCAGTCGCGTGAAATGGCAAAGCAAGCGGCGCTTGATGTGCCGGGAGTTCAAGAAAAAGTAGCAGCGGCTGAAGAACGAATTACAAACATATCTGAAGAACTAACTACTGCTAGTGATAAAGCCAAAGAGGCGAGAGATTTAGCTCAACAGGCTCAAAAAGAATTCGCTGATAAAGCTTCAGAGGTGTGTTACATCTTGACAATTATTACATGTCATATAAGGGAATAATTAAAAAATCTTTGTATATAAATTCTTTGTATATTCATTATATGGTGAAGATAAATAAGTAGCTTAAAATATTATTTGAAAACAATGACATGTACCTATTGCTGCTGTCGTTGTTTTTAATAAATTTCAAAATGGGTTATTAGTGCCATAAGTTTCAACCAATAATATCGATGTATGCACAATTAATGTGAAAATTATACTTATTTAATAGGTAATTTACAATATTTTCATGATTACCAACTTCATTTTACTTGAATAATTATTAATAATAATTCTTATTTAGGCGGCACATGAAATACGAAAGGAGGCATCAAGATCAAGAGCAGAGGCAAGCAATCTTCGAGATGAGGCAGACAAATTATCTAGTAAATATACATACTAATAAAATATTTAGAAATAACAAAACACAAGTTTGTAAAATAAAAAAGTTCCTTTTACAGTAACGTTAAATATAGCGCTGTAAGATTAATTAACAAGCGATCTTAAATGACACTATTAATTAAATTGTATTCGTATTAGCGTGACGCTTATGTACAGGCTCAATGGACCATGATACCGTGATCTAATATTTTTTTCTAAATAATGTTAAACATCACAATTTACACTTTTTTAAATATCTTTTTAGCTCGAGTACAAGGAACAGCAAAACAAATAAAAGATCTTGAGAAACAAGCCGAAGAGAATATGCAACTGACTAAAGATGCTAAAATGAAGGTATAGAAATTTTTTTTACAATCTAAAGACCTATATATAATAATAATGGTAATACAGGATTTTATAAAACTATTTTATTTTAATTAGGTAGGCCAAGCGAACACTGATGCTCGTGAAGCCGAAAAGCAAGTCTCTAAAGGCCTAGAAGATTTAAAAATTATAATGGATGAATTACAAAATTTGCCTACTTTAGATGATGCTGCTCTCAACAGGCTGCGTGAGTACTTTTACTTATTTTAAAAATAAATCGCAAAATAAGGCACTCCTCAAAATAATTGACCTTAATCTATTACAATACTTATATCTCGAGAACTGCTGAACCAATTTTCATGGTTTTTGATTTGTTGGATTTGTCTCCCGAATATCAAAATAACTATTAAAATATCGGAAAATTTCACGAAGAAAATATTTAAAACTTACATGTCTAACGCTGGCTAATAACTATTTAAAAGGTAACTAGGATCGAACCCGACTGAAGAGAGTGTGTGCTGCTAGTAGAATATAAATTAGATTAATTTTTTACTATTACAGAGGAGAGTCTAGATACTGCTGAAAGTGCTCTCCGAAAAGTAGACTTTGATGGCAAGATCAAATCTTTGACAGAGGCGAAGAACAACCATGAAAGGTATGCCTTTTTTATTTCTTTGAAAAAAATTAAATAATGAAAACTTAAAATAATCTAAACCTTCACATAAGTAGATAAAAACCTTTCTATTTTTATAGTGAATTAAAGCAAGTTTATATGTTAGGTGGTCTTAATTTAAAATGTGTAATTTCGCTTAAAACGATACCTTTATAAATATTTAATTATATGATACAGGTGGAGAAAACAGTATCAAGATGAACACGATCACCTGCGCCGTGAGGTGGACAATGTAAAGAATATTTTGGACCAATTGCCAGAAGGTTGTTTCAAGAGAGTCGTTTTAGAGCCTACTGAGGGCCCGAGCCGACCAGCGACCTTTAGATAGACGTTGCAATCAAAGTTAGAACGTATCTTTAGCCGAGAATTAGTTACTAACGCCAATTTTGAGTTTCTCAAATAAAATAGCATTTATATGTTCTGTAAACCGGTTTTTTTTCTATTCTAGGACTTTTTGAGATAGAAATCTTATTGAAATCTTAGTTTGATATCTTTATATATCTAAGTAATAAATTTGGAATTTTCAAATTTAATTAAATTCTTGGGAGCTTCACAATACTTTAAATTTAAATTACATTTTAAGTATTAACAGCATACAGCATATATAAAGAGGAAATAAAATACAAACTATGTTAGTACGCTGTTTCTGTGGAGCCATAATATATTTTTGTAACTTTTTAAATAACTTTTTTCATAATATGAATTTATTAAAAAACCAATAATATATATTTCATGTATTGCGCATAAGATTTCGTTTTTATATTAAAATTGAAATCCTTAATTGAAAATATAATTAATGTTTTAAATAAATATATTCCTTATAAACTTTGAATAATATTTATACTTGTAAATTGCATTTATTATTCGAATTTTTGTGCTTATAAGAAGATTCTAACATTTTTCAAAGTTTGTTTTATGTCACTAATTAAATGTGCTTGAGTGTAAGTCACAGTAATTTTATCGTGCCATATCCGATTGGTACATTTGTAAATATATAAGATAAATAATTTTAAGTATTAATAAGGTCTATAGGCTAGAACAGATAATATTTGTTTCAAAATTATTCCTACACGTATTTCGCCAAAGAGGAAGATTGACAGGAAGTGTACTTTAAATTTTTATTTTTTTAATTTTTTTACTCTTAATTGCTGAACTTAAAAAATTATTACCTAAAATTAGAATTAAATGTAGCTTATTTATTTGTAATAAAAACAACAAAGTAAACTAGTCTTTTAATTCTTCATAAATTTAAATATATTCTTTATATTACAAGCTTTTATAACTTGCAATGTTTGTATGTTTGTTAGGGTCAAATCTTGCAACTGAATTTTAAAGCAGGTATCCTCAAAAGATTGAGTTTAAATTTTGCATACAAGTTAAGTTTAGATGAATTATCATCGTTCGTTTAAACGAGCAATTCTTGTATATTTACCGGCGATCTCGGAAACGGCTGTAACGATTTCCCTGAAATTTTGTATGTAACGTAGGGTATAGATTAAAATCGATCTAGATTAGTCTTATACTGGGAAAACGCGTGTTTTCGAGTTTTCACGCGATTTTCTTTGCACACAAAATATGGTCACTAATTTCTCACGTTCGGGCATAAGCATCGTGGTCAAGCGGCCAATTTTGATATTTGAATTTGAAAGATTGACTATCACAGATGTCCGGGTTCGAATGCCGGTCCGATACAAAGTTTTTCACTTTTATTTTTTGTGTATTTATTCAAGTTTTAAGTTTTTTTTTGGTTTAAGCTAAATTAAAAAAAAATGTACTTTTGGCCAAAAACTCGATCGCCCAGGTACTGTATTTTATGCTCGTACGAAGAAGACTCAGCTAAGAACCGATTTGAAGAATTATCATATTGTAATCTCTACATAATAATAATATGCCTACAGAAAAACTCACGGAGTATTTTCTCTTCTAATATGATTATCCTTTATATTATTCGTATTATCAAAAAAGTATTATTTTAAATTAGGTACGTAATAATCGAACTAATTAAGAAAGGATCAAGTTAGTGAAGGACAATAGTATTATACAGCTGGAACTTGGAGACTGATGTTTTATCCTTGCTGGAAGTCTAGATAAGTGTATGTATGTACGTGTATGTCTCTGAATGTGCATAATGTTCATAAGAACATAAGATACTATACTAGATAACACTATTTTCCATCGCTTACTTGTTCCTTGCGTTTTATAGTTCGCTTTTCACGTTTTTTTGCATTAAAGAATCAATATGTAGGTCAGTGTCAAGGAAATTAGAGTTTAGTAATAAGTGACGTATGGTACGTTATATCATAATACATCGAGGAGATGTAATTGGCTGCTATTGAGTAAATATTATATATATTTTTATTAAAAAGCAGATATTCATTTTTTTCGTACATCACAAATATCGATACAATAGTAATGATTCACATTAAATTAAATTAGATATCAAATCACGCCGCGCTGAACGATAATAATGAAACCATACCCGTACCGTGAATAGCATGTGAATAAAGCATGAAACATGAAATGTCATTGGTATGGCAAAGAAAATATTGTATTAAAAATATTATTCAAATACCATATATATAAAAATTAAAATCATCCGAAAAATCGTGGTTTTGGAAAACAAACGAATTTGGTAATTCAACGACCAATCATTTCATTTGACCTTTAAGATTATCTATATCTTCTATTTTCGAGGCAAAATAAATAAACACTTACGTGAACGAAATTTTTGTTTGAATTTTTAATTACGTTATCTATAGGTACTTCATCTGTGATTTAGAAAAAAATTTGGATTCATCAATGAGGGCTACCGCACTTGAATTATCTGCGAGATCATTCGCCGCGAGAGGCGCTAGTGTAGAGTGAGAGAGTCTCTACAAATGTCAAATGACACTGAATGTGAGCTTTTTATGGATTATCATTTAATATTCATGATTATTGTAAAGATTGTGCCATTGCTGATTAATTGTGGCAGACACGGTACACCTCAACAAATGTAATTGATTTGAAAGAAGAGCCAAGAGAAAGTCAATATTTTATCTATTTGGTTATTATATATTAATTATTTAACTGCCTCGGTGGTGTAGTGGCTTGCATGTACGGCTACGCACCTGGAGGTCCTGGGTTCGAGTCCCCGGTCGGGCCAAGCTTAGTTATTGAGTCTTTTTGTATATTAAGCCTCAGTAACAGCCCGGAGTTGGGAAGTTTGCGGTGTTTCACACCCGTACCTTGGAGAGCGCGTAAAGCCGTCGGTCTTGCGCCATAAGTCTCACTGGTCCACCAGAGTATGAGAGTGACAGGAATAGAGAGTGCACTTAGGCCTCATATCTTCTGCGCAGTTGGCTAGTCTCAATGAGATTGACCGCCGTGGCCGGAATCGGTCAGGAGAACATCATTAATTATTATTTATAATAAAACCCTATAAAAATTAAACTGGTTAGGCGCTAACAATTATCATTATTATATTAAATTCATGGCCTATTATTATTTGTTAATAATAATTTTATAACCAGTTATCTACTAAAACTAGTCTATATAAAAATAATCGTTCGTAAATCCATATGATGAATCTTTTCAGGGTTGTACCACGCGGGAAATCATGCTTGTATCGCGAGACTGGGGCAATAACATTGTACTTTCAATATAAAAGTAGTAGTATGTAGCCTGACCCTAAACGATAGCATAGTTGCGTGTGTGCGTAATATTCAGGGGTGTGAATCCTAAAAAAAGGGTGACTTCCGTCTTTAATTTTATTGGACTTTTCGTAATATAGAAATAAAAAAAAAACATTACTACACAACTTAATAACATACTGTCGCAAATTGCAGATGTAATTTACTGCTATATTGACCGATAACTGTTCATTTATATTTCCACTGTTCTTTTAAACTTACAATATAAAAACTTTCTATAAGTAAATAGTACGAATTAAAGAATAAATAATGTATTCCATCAATCATAATGTATATCAATTACCATAGTACTATGTCTAAAAGATTTCATACAATTTCTATAATATATAACGTCTCTTTCGGACTGACAGTAGTGTTGGTTACTCTACTCGGCTATGCAAACGCTACAACTCCCGTGAGAAGAACAATTTATGGCGAGCATTCTACTGAATTTTCTTTTGTTTTTTCAAAAGTAACATTCTTTTTTACATATCTCCTGGAGCTATATTACGCATATTTACATATATAGGCACTTGTTATATATTTCATGGGCCTTGGCACTCCGAATGTTGTGCCTATGGACTTTTTTCATAATATGTCCTCCATCAATTTATCAAACTTTTTGATTAATAATAATTGTTTTTGCTCGAAATATATTTTAATATTACATCTCAGAATTTTATGGTTAAAAATATAAAATAGCATTGTTCACAAATAAATATATCAAGTAAAGGTAAAAACTTTTACCAAAGTATGTAACTAACAAAACAAATTTGCAACAACTAAATTGGCAAATTTCTCACTGTCCAGGGGCTTAGTGCTACCGAAATACGACGATAAACTAAAACTAAATAAGTGGCCGAAAAATGGGATAAAACGACCAATGTACAAGGAACCTCAATTTAGTGTTGATTACTTTATCTACCTTCTCATTCATTCATACACAAAAGGGGAAGAGGGCTCAAATTATACTGGTCAGAGCACGTGGAAAAACTGGGATAATCCGAAAAGTTTTCTTAATTACATACGTATGGAACTAACTCCCTAAACGAATTAGGTGCTAGGCGTAACAAATCTGAACACCTTTTTAGTATATGTAGTAAACCAATTCTATTAATAACTGTTATTATATAAAATAAAATATATTATGTAAGTATAATAATATTACCCATAAATGTTTAAAAAATATTACTTAATACCTACCTATTGAATTAAATGGGTAAAGAAACTTAATACGACAAAAAAAGATTATTGAAACACTGTCAATAATTTAAAATAGGTCAAATCTGTATTCAAAAATTTAAATGCGAAGAGATATTATCATAAACATATTACTGGAAGATGTTATTATAAATTATGTTATATATTAGACGATACAAGCTACTACAGAGATACCAGAGAAATATTTTTACCTCAATCTGTAGGTTAAATATTTGTTAAAATAGAATGTTAAACTTTCTAATGGAAAAGTCGACGAAGGACGTATCTACCTACTACTATATTTATAACGTTTAGGTAACACGGACATCTATTTGAAACAGTTCATATCGATAATTTACTTATAAACAAACCAATTTTCTGTGACTTGATTGACTTTTACAAGTTATAAAGGGTTATAGTTCTTTTTATCCAATCTAACTGAGACTAGCCATCT